CTTACATGGATTTTTTCGCTTCATTCTGTCTTGACATTCATGTACCCATGGGAAAGTATATTTAATTTTACAACTTATGTTTCAGAATTACAATAGTTTAGTTTTTCTGCGCTCTTATTATTACGCAATAATACTTCAAAAATGGAAGTCGAATGTATCGCAAAAACGCCCGTTTTTTTCTTGTTACCGCAAAAACGTTGGTGTCATTAGAGAGATCGTACAGTAATGTACTGAATACTAAAATTTGAGAACATTTGTATGGACAGTTAATAAGAAACCATCCTCTAAATATTAAGTACTTTTCTCAATTGTAACCTGATCTTGATTCGTATAATATCACCTTATATATGTCTTACATGGATTTTTTCGCTTCATTCTGTCTTGAAATTCATTTATCCATCGGAAATTATATTTCATTTTACAACTTATGTTTCAGAATTACAATAGTTTACTTTTCTGCGCTCTTATTATTACGCAATATTACGTCAAAAATGGAAGCCGAATGTATCGCAAAAACGCTCGTTTTTTTTCTTTTTACCGCAAAAACGTTGGTGTTATTAGAAAGATCGTACAGTAATGTACTGAATGCTAAAATTTGAGAACATTTGTATGCACAGTTAATAAGAAATCATCCTCTAAATATTAAGTACTTTTCTCAATTGTAACCTGATCTTGATTCGTATAATATCACCTTATATATGTCTTACATGGATTTTTTCGCTTCATTCTGTCTTGAAATTCATTTATCCATCGGAAATTATATTTCATTTTACAACTTATGTTTCAGAATTACAATAGTTTAGTTTTCTGCGCTCTTATTATTACGCAATAATACGTCAAAAATGGAAGCCGAATATATCGCAAAAACGCTCGTTTTTTTTCTTTTTACCGCAAAAACGTTGGTGTCATTAGAAAGATCGTACAGTAATGTACTGAATACTAAAATTTGAGAACATTTGTATGGACAGTTAATAAGAAACCATCCTCTAAATATTAAGTACTTTTCTCAATTGTAACCTGATCTTGATTTTCGTATAATAGCGCCTTATATTTGTCTTACATGGATTTTTTCGCTTCATTCTGTCTTGACATTCATGTACCCATGGGAAAGTATATTTAATTTTACAACTTATGTTTCAGAATTACAATAGTTTAGTTTTTCTGCGCTCTTATTATTACGCAATAATACTTCAAAAATGGAAGTCGAATGTATCGCAAAAACGCCCGTTTTTTTCTTGTTACCGCAAAAACGTTGGTGTCATTAGAGAGATCGTACAGTAATGTACTGAATACTAAAATTTGAGAACATTTGTATGGACAGTTAATAAGAAACCATCCTCTAAATATTAAGTACTTTTCTCAATTGTAACCTGATCTTGATTTTCGTATAATAGCCCCTTATATATCTCTTACATAGATTTTTTGCTTCATTCTGTCTTGACATTCATTTATCCATCGGAAATTATATTTCATTTTACAACTTATGTTTCAGAATTACAATAATTGAGTTTTTCTGTCATCTGGTTATTACGCAATAATACGTCAGAAATCGAAGTGGAATGTATCGCAAAAACGCCCGTTTTTTTTCTTTTTACCGCAAAAACGTTGGTGTCATGAGAAAGATCATACAGTAATGTACTGAATACTAAAATTTGAGAACATTTGTATGGACAGTTAATAAGAAACCATCCTCTATGATTGTAACTTGTTCTTGATTAGCATAAAGGCATCTTATATATCTTTTACGTAGATTTTTTGCTTCATTAAACCTTTCAGTTAAATTTTGAGCATCTTTGGCTATATATTCAGTTTGATACCATAACTAATATTATAATTGTCTAATCTCTAATGTGTCTAATCCTCTTGAATAAATGTGTCTTTTAATTAAGCAGGCATAATGAGATCATCTTTCTTTCGCATTTTGTTCGCTTAAGTGCGTCTATTTTACATGTCATCACTGTTTTAATTGCTTTATTTTAATAGCACGTCAACCTTCTGTCTTCTGAGTAATCCCTTAATGCCTAAGCGCAGGTTCCATCGTCTGCGCTACAAACTGCATCAAAACACGGCACAGCACATTGTATTATTTTGCAGAACAATGAAATCATACCTTCATATAAACAGAAGTTTTAACTTCAATGCAGTGGATGGAATAGGCATGCATTTTGTATGAAATGCATAAATTTAAATTGCACAATTAGGATGATAACGTGGGTATATATGTCAACACCATGTAATATTGTAAGATGTTTTTGCAATGAGTCGTTGCTGTTGCCCTGAAACATTCAGCGTGTAACGTCTGCGTCTTCAACTGATGTGTACTTTTGGATAGATGGGAAAATACTGTTCTAAATAACGTTTGAAACGATCTATATATGCGTGTGAAAGTTGCGCCGAGTTTAACTTGTAATCCTAACCTCGTTGGACCATTGTTTGTCATATGGCAATAGTACGTTTGATTTGTATGCACATCTACGCTAATTCTTGTTGTAGCAAATGACTTTGGCAAATTGTAACATTGATAGCGTCGGTGAGAGGATCATATACTAGTTAAGTCTTTTGTATTTATATCATAAGGACATTTTTAATTTGAGAAAGGAAGCAAATAATCCCGAGTATGTTGTGACTGTGCAGCCCAACGATGCACGCCATTTGTAAGGCCGTATTTTTCTGTAAAATATAGACGTATACACAGGAATTGAAATAAAACATTATAGTGTATGCCATATCTATGCGGGTCAATCACTTCTCACACAGTGCCCAAAAATAATAATCAATTTACTCTGTAAATCTGTATAAAATCGACTGCTTTGTTCTAATTACAGTCTAGCAATGCATAAATAAGCTATACATCTTCGTAATTTTAAAGTTTAAACGAAAAAATGGCTAAAAAACCTGTTATTATTAAATGACCAAATTCTACTTTTGAATGATTGAACACAGTTGAATGTGAGGCCCAATCTGAGGCCCAATCTGAGGCCGAATCTGAGGCCGAATCCGCGGCTAACTTCACAGTGGTTGTAGATATGTCCCTATAAAGCTGTACTGAACTCCCAGGGGTTCATGAGTATAAAGACTGAACTATTATTAGAGTATAGATACTACGACGGGACAATTCTGGTAAAAACATCAGAATTTAACGACTCAAACATAGTTTCGAAAGATCTGATCGTTTGCCATCAACTCTAATCCCCTTGTTCAGAATAATATAAGACCAAGACAGTCTAATATTTGTCGAACAACTGTCTAGAATTGCAATTTTGTTTTGCCCTCCTGTGATATATCGTTCATACGGCCTAGTGATAGTCATGTGGTTCAACACAAGTCAAACTATCGCTCAAGATACGATGTAAATGACAGTATGATCTCTGTGTTGTTAGCAAACTGAACATCGCGATACTATTTCACAAGTCTTGACGAACGACATGCATGGTTTTTTTTATCGACTTGCTTTCATTTTTGATTACAGCAAACGTGTACCTATACGGTTACGCTAAAACCACACACGCTTCTCCTGATTAAAGAGTCCTCAAGTTTTACTCTCTGAATTGAGGAAGTGTGTGGGATGGCTTGTTTTAACCGCACGAAAGGCAGAAACGAGTCGAGTCTATCTTTGATAAAAGAACATTGCTTTGCAACCGTTTGCCCTTTTATCTCTTTATGTATGCGTAAAGCTTACACTATATACATTCCTTTAGCCATGGAACTGCAAAATTAAAAATATTTTGAATGCTTCAATCTTACCTTAAATTGGGACGTGTAATACTGTCTTGCGTGTTAAGTTTTGGAGTATATCTGATTTTGCTTATAAGGTTTTCCAAGGACAGGATTCACCGACGATTGACCCGAGGTAGTTGTTTGTGTGTAATTGGAGCTGATTGTCCTTGAGGCTTGAAATAGTTTACATGTGAACTTGAAAGACAACGCGTCGTGATGCGCTTATATTATTGACATTAGGTGCAAGTTAATTGAAAATTCTAAGAAATGAACCGTGAAATTCCGCGGAAATTTTATTAGGATCTCCGGTTACGACAGAAATGCGGCTATTTCAGTGTATATGATAAAAGCACTGAACGACGATTGCAGAATATACAGAGTTCGCTTTTATATAGTTTGTGTGTTTCGCTGTTTTTGCTGATACCTGTTCTGGCGTTAATCTTACCCAATTAAACTTAAAACAAAACAAAACAAAACCGAATTTTCAACTCCGTCGCTGACGCCGGAGTAACTATTGCAACAATCGGACGATCTAAATGTGCGTCTGCGCCTTACTGATAAGAGCGGGTTTTTGTAACTTCGGCTAGAAGTCTCGTCCCAGACGCGTTTTGAACATATTTTTACGAATACAGTAGCTACCACAAAATACCCGCGCAATTACAGTTAGGACCAACTTCTCCAATTTTTTTAAAAATTAACTGGTACAATTTGCAGAGGCGGAGAAATGGAATGAAGCTCAAATAGCCTATAATGCTTTGAAGCTACCTCAGTCATTAGCTTCCCATGCACCCCTGCGCACTAGCTCCAGTAGCTTCTTCCTTCACGCTTATCTCTAAGGACTAACTGATCTCTAAATGCATGCTGAATGCAACCTCCAAGTTTCCCAATGAAGCGTACGACTGTACGAGGCTTGTCTTCCACGAAAGTTTTATGTCATAAGGCAGTAATTTATGGTCATCTTGAAATTCATTTTTTCTTATTTTTTTCTTATTTTTCGAACTTTTCCCCCAATTCAAACCGAAGTTTCGATTAGCGAGGGTTCATTTATTATACCCCAGTAAGTATACACCTAATATGAACGAGTTTTGCGATTGGCTTTTTGTAACAATAGCTAGTGAACAGTGTTTATGATTCGTTCTTTTAGAAATCAATTCCTATAGTTCATTGTGTTTTATTGTTATCATCAAGACATCAACCAGTAGCAAAGCTTGTTTATATAGGTGGAGAATGCTGGAGGGTGGTTAGTTGTTGTTTTATTCAGTCGTTTTAGTTTTTCCTGATTTTTTTAATGCAAAGCACAATGTCATTTACAAACGTATCTAAATATAGTTGAACAGCTAGTAGAAGATATAAGAAATTCATACAGCATACAAGACACAACATTCGCTCACTATCTTACTTGACAAAAAAGCTTTAAACATGGCCTTAGGCTTATCATAATGTTAGGTTACTTGGGTATCACATATTCATTAAAAATAATAAATTGCCCTATGATTGCAATCACATACTAGAAATAGTTACCATTGTTTAGTAAAAATATGAAGTATTTGGTGGTTAAATTCCATGAATTTTCAGCTCTCTTGACATTTGACAAGTTGCACATGGACCACAGCATAGAACTGTGCAACAGTCGTCCATAATGCTTCCCTGTGAAACAACAACAATGCAAAATTAACTCTATTTACGTGTAAGAATAGTGACCTAGTGTAATTACTACAGGAAGAAACTAAAACTAAATAGATACAAGCTTTACCGCAATGTTATGCTTTGTTCTTATCTTCGTTCTCAGAGCAATTGGGCAACATCTTGCGACACAGCAGCACTCCCCAGCCGCACTGCTGAGATTACACTCGTGTATACACGGGCAGAAGAAGCCAAACAGACCTGCAGGAAAAATTAAAACTGTCAACATGAGTACCAATCTGGGCGGCAAATTGATTGACTAAAGTTTAACGACTTACAGTCACCACAATCATCAAAACAGGAACAGATGCCAGTGCTCCATGCTCTTGGTCCTTGAATCACAACCTGCTGTGGCTGTTGCTGTATTACGACTGTTGTATTAGTGTTGCTGCTGTGCATGTGGCTGGGTTGTTGCATCGGTTGCTGGAATGCTGGTGGTTGTTGCATCGGGATGGGTCCCATACCGGGTTGGGGGTAGGGTGGTGGCTGTTGAATCTCCGGTTGGGGCATACCACCCTTGTCCTCATCGAAGCCTGGTTCTGACATGCGGTTGTACATCTTTGGATGATTAAGCTAGCAGATTTGAAAGAAATGTGCACTATGTTTGAGAAAGTATGATTTCTTTCAAAGTAAGTAAGATTTCTTGAAGTTACAAGTTTGTTGTAGGCACTTGATAAACCTAACTTGCAAGTTCAGAAAAAAATTGTAAACTTTCAGAATACCATCTGATATCTGAAAAATGATGTGAACACAATTGCTATTAATATTTGACAATTGCATTGCATTCCAATGCGTGAGAACTTGCTGTTTAAGTCAATTTACATAACACATACAAGCACAGCATGGTCTCTTGGAGGCGTATCGAGTGCATATATTTGATTTCAATACAAATTAACGGCAAAGAACTGTAATGCAAATTTTGAAACAGCTATTTTGTCTTAAGAACGCTGGAAAACGTTTTAAACATCTCGCTGCCCACGGCTAGGGATATGAACGATAATATCTGAAAATAATTTGCCCGTGATAGCCCGTGCCATATGTTTTGTAATTGTATAGTTTGAGCCTTGAGGATCGAGCTATTCATTTTTATATCTATATATACATACGTGTAATGTAGAACTAAGAGGCTGCTACAGCCTACGCTGAGATAAAATTGTGCCATTTGCGATGAGCTAAAATTGCGCTTTGCAAAAAAGTTTCAGTTAAAAGATACGCTGTGAAATCATTGCCGTATGCTCCAAGTACTCACAAGATGACATTGTGACTTATGAGAGCTGATCGAGAGGGCAGGCGGTTGACATGTTGCATGCTTCTTTGTGAAATATCTCAAGATGCGACTCGAGAAATAAAATCAAAAACATAGTTGCCTTTTTGCTAAGAATACTTTGGCATTTAAAACGTATTCTTTCCCAAAAATCGCGCAATTTCGTGAAATACAGAGGATAAAAATAAGAATTAAGACGTGTCAAGTGGTGGTTATTGCTCAATACTCAATATCAGCAGCGCAAGTGCCAAGTTTATATATTTGCGGTAAAAGGGCCCAAAATTGCCATTTCTCCGTCTTAAGAATAACAAATACTACCTTTAACACCCGCATTTACGCAAATTTAACGTTTAGCGGAAGCTGTGCAAATAAAATCAACAAGAGATGCATGTGCATTATTCTAGAAACGGGCACATTTTTCACGCCTGGTAGAAAATTGAATTGCCATCCGATATTGTGCTTTGAGAAAAGAAAATACACAAGAAAGAACGTTGCAATTACGTTAAAACAAATAGAAAAGTTTACCTTTTACCGATTGAAAATTTCTCTTTGTCGAAGTCTTGAAGATATACGACACCAGGGAATGTGTAGTATTTTGTTGCATTGAATTAGAATGTCTCATAATTACCATTAATTAACCAAATTTGCTGCATTAATTACCCGAAATTACATCACGTTGCCAACTTTTGGATTGTTCAATGATATTGATCACGTCTTTGTGGAGTTTTGAGAAGTTATAGTTTGATTTTGTGAATTTCGCAACTAGTAATGCCAGGGAACGTACAAAAATCTTAAATCTACATGCAAAATGTCCCAGTAATGACTTAGTAATGAGTGACTAATTAGAACGGTATAATTTGATTAATTTCATGTTCTACGAACAATTTAATTATGTTCACATTTGGTTTAATACGTACAGCTCTAAAAGTTTTTCATGTGTAAATTAGCGAATATGCAAATAAAAGATAAAGATCGAGGCAAGCTTTCTAAACGCGGCGTTTGACGAAGGCTCTATTACGAATAGTTATAATTAACTATAGGAATGTGATTATGTCTAAGTTTGTAGTTTATTTCCTCCAATGGTTAAATTCCATGAAGCTTCAGTTCTCTTGACATTTGACACATTGCACAATGTCCACACCACAACATTGTACAACCATCTTCTAAAACGCTTCCCTGTGAAACAATAGAAACGTAGTGTCAGCTATTTGCGCGTATTTATCCCCAGGCGGTTGGTGTGAAGCGCTAGCCTTAGATATAAAACTGTTCTTCCTAAAGGTCCAGTAAAGATAATATCTCTTATTGATTCAGTGTTACTACAGGAGGAAACCTAAACTAAACTAACTTTATTTATACTGGATAACTCTATCAGTTCTAAACTGTTCTTCCTAGAGGTCCAGTAAAGATAATATCTCTTATTGATTCAGTGTTACTACAGGAGGAAACCTAAACTAAACTAACTTTATTTATACTCGATAACTCTATCAGTTCTAAACTGTTCTTCCTAGAGGTCCAGTATGGATCATCTCTTATTGATCCAGTGTTACTACAGGAGGAAACCTGAACTAAACTGACTTTATTTATGCTGGATAGCTCTATCAGTTCTAAACTGTTCTTCCTAGAGATCCAGTAAAGACCATCTCTTATTGATCCAGTGTTACTACAGGAGGAAACCTAAACTAAACTTAATTATTACATTGGTACAGTTCTATCAACTCTATCTACTCGGATTTTCCTGAAAGTACTTCATTTAATGTGATTTACCGCAATATTATGTCTCATTCTTATCTTTGTTCTTAGGGCAATTGGACACAACACTCCAATACAGAAACACTCTCCAGCAACACTGCTCACATAGCAAGCATGGCAGCCTGGAAACAGGCAGCTAAAGACACCTGCAGAAAGAAAGTTCAAAATTGTCTGCTTGAGATCTGGGGCTTGATCTGATAAAGAGTACAGAAAAATATGTACACCCTTTTATAATTTCAATTTTCAAAAACATGACAAGAAAGGCAAGGATATGAAATAACCTATAAATAACCTTGATACCATATGCAAACACAGGTAAGACAATGGTATAATATAGCATATGGTGATTGTTGGTCAATGGTCATTATGATATGATAGAAGTGATTAAACACAATACAATCTACTTACAATCACCACAGTCATCAAAACATGAACAGAGGCTTGAACTCCAATCTCGTGGCACTGGAATTCCAATATATTGTGTTTGTGCTGGCTGTATTACAACTGTAGTATTGCTACTGTGCATCTGGCTAGGCTGTGGCATTGGTTGCTGAAACAATATATTGATTGTTGCAAAAATTTTTGAAACTGATAGGAATATTAGAGAGCTCACAAATAAAGTGGCTTTGGTATAAAATGCGGTCACCCCAAGGCAAAAGCATTTATCCCTATATGTCACATTTTGCCTGCTCACAAACCTGTGTCGGTTGTCCCTGCTGCATTACAACATTTGTGTTGGTGTAACCAGGCATTGGTTGCTGTTGCACTGGGGCATAGGGTTGGGGACGCTGTTCATGATCCTGTGGGGGTGCACTATTCATACCGTCATCATCACCTGGTTCGGATAGGCGTTTGTACATCTTGGATAATCAAGCTGTTAGATTGAAACACAGAGGTTGAAAAGACATCTTTGCCAAGGTTGAGAGAGGTCAAAAATATTTTTGACATGACCTTCACAAGCTGTGTTTGTTTTTACATATCGCTTGTTGAAAGTTCTTCTAACATGCATGGTTATGTACGTTCAATGGCATGACGAAGTATAAATTATAAGCGCTATGGCACAATTGTCTTTTTAATTTTGTCAAATCTCTTGAATCGAAATTGATCACTTTGCATTTACTTCCGCGTGAAGTAATGAAGAGTGTTCGCCTTATACTGAATATGTAGGAACCACTTTATTAAAACAATCCAATGAATATCATGCTTTAGCTGGGTTTTTGAAAAATAAAATGCAACGAGAGGATAAACATCAACATTCAAATTTCGAACAATTATTCAACGACTATTTTACCTGCAGTTATCACTTATCGTCGAAAATTCCTCCGCTTTGACAAGCATGCGGAACACCATTAATTAATATGTTAATAGTTAATTCTTTCTAAATAATTTTATAATTTGCATTGATTGTCAAGAATGAAATAATGGTTGGAATATAAAGTGACGGAAGCAAGTAGAAGTGGAGTGAAACTGTGGAAGAATCGAAGAGGAAGAATGTTTGCAAAGCATTGTCTGTTGAACTTCGTCACATGGTTTCGCTTTTCAAAATTTATATTCCAGCGAGTTTTGCCAGATGATTCAATCTGCTGTGCAAAGATGCTTAAAGGATAAAATTCGACATTCACCTTAAAACATTACCAGTGTTGCCAAGTCAGTTTTCCTAAAAATCCCGATATAGCTCCCAAAAAATCCCAAGATTCCCTATTTTCCCCCCAAAAAATCCCAAGATTTTTTTCATTAGTTCCCAGGTCCCCTCATCAGGCGAAGTGTTCAGCCATGCGCGTTAACCGAAGCCTGGCGAAATACTTGGTCTTGTATAAACGATAGGAAGAAACCTTCTCACTGATCTCAGCACTTAACTGCTGTATACTCTGTATGGTATATTAAAATATTTAGTGAATAAAAGTTATACCGAGCAGGCAGATTAATCAGTATTACAACTATCATTATTAAAACATTATCTTGTCTCTATTCTAAAAAATCCCAAGAAAAATCCCAAGGTCTTTTTAAAAAAATAAAAATCCCAAAAAAATCCCAACAGCCTTAAAAAATCCCAAGATCTTGGGATAAAATCCCAAGGTTGGCAACACTGAACATTACATATAATTAAGATATAGAATGTAATCCTTTAAAATGAAAAGGCATCTTTTCCCCCTCGGCAGTCGCCCCTGCTGGAAAATGGGAAGAGGGCGGCTGCCATTTGCTTCTCCCTTGTTCGGCGTCCCAGCCCCCAGAATCTGCTGTCCAAACAGAGGCGCTATTGCCTAGAAAATGAGGATATTTCTGTAATAAGAAAGCATAAAATGTATAAACTATAATTAAGAACCAGTGAACCACGCATTTCCCTTTCAGCAGTAGCACTTATTTAGTGAAAAGTGAAGCTTAGTGAAAAGTATTTATTGCGTGTATGTTTGGAGATAAAATAGAGCTTTGTTTGCAGAGAGGGCTTGACAAACAAAAAATACGAAAAAGAACAATATTTTTATTACGTTTTGCATGTTTGATTACAAGAATGTTGTAATTCCGTTCATCCGTTGTTATGCAAAACGCTATGTGGGAGGGAAGTCAGGGTCAGGGAGCAAAGTACAGACTGTGGCTGCTTCCTAACAAGTTCGGGATCCTGAAATACCAGTATTACCTGTACTTTCCTGTGATGTGATTGGCCGGCTCCGATTGTACGCGTTTCCTGATTGGTCAATAGTGACGTGTCGCCGAGCGAATGTTGCATCAGCCGAAAATTTGGACAAGAACACGCGTCGGTCACGAATTTCATCAGATTTCTACTTGCTTTTCCGTGTTAAATATAAGGTTATTTTGACACAATGGCTCAATAAATCCCGAGCGTGCCCTCCGCACGTCTTAAACCTAATCAAAATGGGGTAAGTGTAACGTTTTTTTATAAGTTTAAATGTTTAAAATACGTTTTGTAGCTTCGTAAAACCACGCGGGCTTTGGCGCCTTACGAAGAGTAATGCGTCATAATAATTGTTGTTTTGAAATCGAATTTTTGTATGAAAAACTTGTTCGATTTTGTTCAAAATTTTAGTCGTATTGTACCTTTTAATATGTACTTGTGTTTGAAGTGCGAACGATTTAAAATGTGTGCCTTCAAAACGCTTTATTTCGAGACATAACATAAAATTTGCAGTTCACGACTTCACGTACATGCTGAGTAATATGTACTTATTTACGAACAACATATTTAAACACCATCGCTGTCGCTTTCTGTCGACACGTATTAAAACTTTTAGTAATCTTTAGTTTATCTTTCCCAATTCAATGCATGTATTGCTAGCGAGTTTTTTAAAGAAGTATTTGTGATGAAGACACATATAATTTGCCACGAGGAAGCACTGTTTTTTCATTATCAAGATCCAAAATTCAGAGTATTAATGCCAGCTCTCTCTCAAAGTCAGATCGTTGTATTCCAAACTCTAATCAAATATTTCTTTTGCTTTTAGTATTTTATACACAACGGTTAAAGACTTGTTATATTACACAGTCACACACAAAGATGGAGTACGAGTTTCTAGAAAGTTCGGAGATGTTTATGCCTGTCTTTGGCCAAGATGATTTCAATTTTTCGCTCTTCCAAGCGGAAGAGAAGAGTGAAAATATTGACAATAATGTTTTGGTAGAGAAATTTGCTGACTATGGAGATTCCACAGCAGCAGAAATTGGCCCAAACTTTGAAGGTATGTTACCGGTGTGTTTTTAAAAGCTCTTTATACAATCTCCAAGGTAAGCGAATGAAGATACATGTCTCGTTTTTTTTCCCAGATTCTGAGTCATTGTTTGACAATGAATGGATGACTACGAAGATTGATCTGGGTTGCCTTCCAGACCAGCCTCATAACAACTTCATTTTGCCAAGCAATGACGCACATCTTCACTCTACCATACCCTCAGTTTCTGTTGAAACCCAATTGGAAGTCCCATCCTTATTGAGTGCCTTGCTTGGCAGCAAGGCCACCAATGCAGAAACAAGCAATCCAGTTCACACAGACTCAGGTTGTGTTGAAGAATCTTCCCTGGATGATGTTGCCCCAGTATCCCCTGAACAGTCAGTTCCTGATATAAATGGTATGAATGGGGAGCAGTTCAAAGCATTGCTTGATTCGTTCCTCTCAGCTGCCAGGTCTGATCAAGAGGACTCCTTTGAAAAAGATATTTTCATTCTTGAAACTCCCCCTACCACAGATCTCCCTGCAAAGAGAAAAAATGATGACCCCACACCTCAGGGTCCAAAAGCAAAGGTCAAAACTCCTGAACAAAAACATCGAAAGCGAATGCAAAATCGCAACGCTGCGACGAGGTATCGCTCCAAGAAGCGTGGCGAACAGGAGAACTTAAATGCAAAGTGTGAACAACTTGAAGGAGAGAATGTAGAACTCCGTAAAAAGATTGAAAGTAAAACACAAGAAATTCAGTACTTAAAAAATTTGATTATAGATGTGTTTAGCAAGAAACATGCCAAAAATTAACAGTAAATCTTGTTTTATTATCTTCTTCACTTATTTATGTAAATATTTTAGTTTTTTGTTTATTTACAGTATGCTGGCATTAATAATCATATTGTATTTGTAATTTGATTGAATATATGTAGCTTTGGTAGACCATGCATGATTGAGATATAATGTTATAGAGTAGTATGACAATAGTTTTCAGAGAGACAATACAAGTGGAATTAAATGATTTTTGCCCAATTGCAAAAGTGTAACTGTTCTTTTTTGCACTTCATTATCAATTACTGCCAAAACTAGTTGAATGGTGAATCTGCAACTGTAATTATTAAGGTGGGGAGGTATACAATGAAAATTTAAAATTAAGAATTATGCCCTCTCAAATCCCCCTAGGCCTCATTTTAAACACGCATTTTCACCCCCTTCCCAACCGCTTCCCCCTTCCTATGAAGTCCACTGAACTGCATAAATATTTCTGGAGCCAGGCTTTTATGCTGTTACGGATAGTATTTGATATCTGAGGATGATTAGGGGTAATAGGTGGGCCAGCAATGGATAATAGAGAATGACGCGTGATGAAAATGAACGATGATGGACAAGGGGGGATCTCAGTCATGATCACTAAGGGTTATCAATGGGTATTGAGGAATGTCAGGAAATTTCTCCTCCGAGTTTTCTGTAATTTATTCCAGAATCAAATGGTACCAGTTCGAACAAAACATACAAAATGGCATCGCCGAAATGGTACGTTCTGCATGAATTTAATTGCTTTTAATTCATATCTCATAGCTACCGAGTTTTAGGGTCGTATTCATCTATAAATAATAATCAAAACTAAGCTAAAACCAAGTTCTCCTGCAGACGATTTTTGTTTATTTCCGTGCAGGCAATCACGAGAGCGAAATTACTCCAAGGAGTTACAATCGATGTCGATGAAGGGCGATCCCGTATCAAATCATCCCTTGAAGATCTCCGTTGTCGTAGTAAGTGCATACCAAACTTCAAGGATCAATTTATTATGCTTTACTGAATGAAACTTTGATTTCTCTCAGTCCACCATGGACTCTAAATCAGGGAAAAAGAAAAAGACTTATGAACACGGTATTATCGATCCTCTGTCAAAAAGCCAAACTGATTCAGGTGAAGCAATCGATCCTCTGTCGATGTTTGCGGCTGAGAGTACAACGTCAGCAGCAAGTAAGAGTTCAGGGGTGAGTGTTTACATTGATTTTACTTTGTTACTTGCTAGACCAATTTCACCTGGATTTTTCTTGTCATGGAGAGAGTACTGTCCATTACTAGTACTGTCTCAGGCTGTGTACACATTCACTAGTAATAACCCTTAATCCATTTTGGTGATCAGGTAATCTATCTTACAGTGAATAATTTTAATCTTCTGACGGTATAAAGTTGGTCCCATGGTATAGTTTATTGTTTGTTAAAACATTTAAACTTGCTTGTCTAATGTAGGCTCTTTCAACAAGCAAAGCTGATACCGAACAATTGGTGTTAGACTTGAATGAATTTGCGCTGGAGCCTTGGACAAGCAAAAGGATTGGAATTTTAAGCAAATACACAACCTCTGAGAAGTTGTCAATAACAACTGTAAGTTCCAAGAATTTTGTCTGATTACAAGTGACTGATTACATCCCAGTGATTCCAATGTCATGTTAAATAATCTGATATGTCTTTCTTTTTTTTACCAGAGCTTTTTGTCAGATACAGATCGAGGTATGACTGCCTATTTGGCGTTTATAAGTAAAGCCAATTGATATGACATAATAAGTTTGTATTGTACACAAATTTATGTATTTTTTACTTCATAGTTGTCATGAAACAACAAACAACTGTGAGCGATAAAGTCAAACATAGAATTGGACAACTGGATGACATTGAAGAGGTGTGATTTCAACATAGATACCACAATAAATATGTAATTAATTATAATTAGATAAATAATATTAGGCTAAGGAGATGGTTAATATAATCATTTCATAGTCAATAGACTTGTGTCTGAATCGATAACTGAGCTCAAAAGCTCATCTTTAACTAATTAAGAAGTGCTGTTAGAAGAGTAAAAAGATGTTGTTATTATGCTCAATCAAAAATTTGCTACATTGTTGATATCAATCTATTTTTTTATTATTGCAGGGCTCAATTAAAGAAATGCTAAATCTCAGTCAACAGGAATTTGTACGAAAGATCGAACAGTTTAATCAAGTAGGCAGATTGTTCAACGTTTGTTCTCTGTGAGCTATCAATGGAAACTTCAAATTTTTTGAAAATGTTTTTTCTAGGAGTTAATTGCTGCTTGGGAAAATGAACAAAAAGTCAAAGCCTTGAAGATTGCAATTCAGGTATTGAAACTGATCTATCAGTTTTGGAATCAATATGGTGTGCAAGCAAGTAGATCTGAGAATGATTAAAAGTGTTTCTTGATCACAATCTAGTGTGCCAAGATGCTTGCAAGCATTGCAGTGATTGGTTTTTACCCAAGTAAATTTGTCCTCATAACTGATGTGTTGGACACGTTTGGTAAGCTCTTACGAAGACAGAATACTTTGTACTTAAAACGTTCATAATTAGAGCTGGAAAGATACAGGTTTTGATATCAGCTGTGAGCTCTGCCTGTAGCTTAAGGTATAATTGATTTGACAAGAGGGAATCCAGCACAAACAGCCTGCAAGTTCGCGCCCTCTTGTTGGAAGTAATACCAAAGACAAGATGACGAAAGTATCTGGAAGTCCTCAATTGTATGTCGCTCACAATGAATTAAGTGAAATTCTTTCCTTCTTGCAGGTCGTTTGGTTTATGAACGCTTGTATAGAAAATCTGCCACCATTGTTCCTGGAACGAAATTGATGAAAATGTTGCCAGGTAGATAGCTACCGACTGCTTTACATCTTCGTTAGATCAAGCTCCAAAATAATAAATTATTTCTAGCAAGAGATTTAATTGACACAATATAACATGCATCGAAATTATGTTTCCAGAGAATTTTTCCCCCGAAGAGGTGACAGATGTCGCGAAGGAGACGTGTCGGAATTGGTTTTACAAAATCGCTTCGATCAGAGAGCTTATTCCTCGATTGTATCCTCTTATTCTGACCGTCTTTAGCAAAAAAAAATATCGACGAAGTAAAAGGAGATTTCTGTTCACAATTTCTTCAGGAATGTATTTTTTACATATCATGTTTCTGGGTTGAAAATTGCATCGCGAATTGCAAAAAAAAACACCAACTTTGGGAAGTATGGCAATGGGGAATATCTCGGGAAGTGTTTTTGATGTGTGTGCATAATTTTCTTAACATTTTAAAAGCTACGTGGAAACGTCCATACTGAAATGTTATCGCTTTCTCACGACTGGGTAAGTTCAATATTTTATGTAAGCTGGGTAGCGCTGTTTTTCCACCATTCTTGTCACCTTGCGCCCCAAGAAAACCCACATTCAGTTCACCTTCAAATACGATGTTATAATCCTGCCGTTTCTTGGTTTTATTATTATTATTATAACAATATTTCAGTAGGAAGCTACACTCACAGCAAAGTGATTTTCAGGCAGGCCTCGTTTATGAATCGTGCCTGTCTAACCATTTTAAATTTCATGCGATCTCTCTACTCTAGGGAGTACGACAGTGCCCTGGTGCGACTGACGAAGATGATCCGCGGTATCGGGGATCCGCTCGTCGCAACCTATGCACGGTGCTATATCTGTCGGGTAAGACCTTGAGCAGTCCAATTTCATCTTGCGGGCAGTGATGCACGCACGCTGATTGTAATATGAAACCTGGACACATTGACTTCTGAAGTATGTTCTGAAGTAGATGATGGAATCGGCAATTCTTTTCCAAATTGTGAAATTGCAAAAGAAAATGATAATTTATATGAACACACAAGTGTCTCCAGCATATGTTGTTGAATTGACGAATATTTCATTGTAGCCATTGCGATAGGCTTATCTGATATAGATTTCTGATGGAAAAATTTTGAAAGAATATATGTTTTACCCAGGTTGGAATACTTGTTGCACCAGAGGCCAAAGATCATTTGCGTGGCAGTTTGTTGGACTTCTTCTTCACTTATAAGCAGGTAAGGACGGTCGTTTGCTACGAAATGATGAACAAAAAATTTGACACTGCAGGATTGTGGGGTGAGGATATAAAAGGCGTCCCCCCCCCAGAAAATCTGGTGATGCGACGCCCTCCCCCCCCCTAAACACTCTTCGCTCGCTACGTTGCTGTCAAGATTCCAATTATAAAAACAATTTGGTTGTTCATTTGCAGCTTCAGACGGACTCAGTTCAAAACATATTGGCAAAACAAAACACAGGTACTCTTCGTTCGAGTTTGAATGATTTCTTCTGCGAGTTCTTTCTTATCTTCTTTGAAACCTTCAAGGCATTCGTCACAATCCTGGCTTCATTTATTCATAGCAATTAAACAACATTAAAACGAGCTTTATACGAGCTCTTGCAAGTTATGTTGTATGTAGTTCACACTATCTGCCCTCCGCCATTTTTGGCGGCAAATTAAAGGTAGCATATATACTCGTATTGAAATACGTCAATACTTCCACTTCCCCCGGGATATTTTCCCTCTGATGTTTTCATATTTCTTATTTCCTTGTTCAAGCTCCGTCCGACTATCTTCAGCTCTACACACCGGCTCTTGATTGGATAATCCAGTGTATTGCATATAAGTCTCCGGAGGTATGTCAATAGAGTTGTCGTTTTGAAGGAAGGCTTTTCTAAAAGAATTTTCAGTCACTTGTTTTCGCTCTTTCAGGAAGTATTGACGGAAATTTTAAACCATTGTCGAAAGGATTGCAATAGGTAAGGTTTTCAGAAAGAGTTGTAAAGCGCCCATGTCATTTTTCCACGTCAACAATTTGGCTTTTCAGCAAAAATAGTGACAAGTTTCCTAGTCCCCTTTAAATATTTCGATCCGTTACTTCATCCTCAACCCTCCACTCATCACCCTCGATCCTCGACTTATCATCCCCGATCCTCGACTTATCATCCTCGATCCCCGACTTATCACCCTCGATCCTCGACTTATCACCCTCGATCCTCGACTTACACCCTCGATCCTCGAAAACAAAACCGGAAAGACAAACAAAACATTTCATTTCTTCGTTTAGTGCTCTGATCTTGAACTCAATCATGTCAGCATTTCGACCTTCCTACATCAGCGCAAGGTACAGTTTGAACTGTCGATTATTCTTGAGTTTATTTTGTTCATTAAGATTACACAATCCTGTGTTCTTTAGAGCCTTACAGTTTGTCAAAATCATCTCTGATTGTGAAGATGCTGGTTTTCCAAAGGTAGCTTTAGATAAGAATTCTTCATTGATAAGTTTCAACCAGACCTAAAAAATTCATCCATCACATCGTTGTATAATAGTAATGTGATAGTCGCTCAAATGTAGCCTCTTGTGCGAAAACACCTCTACATGTGGAGTTTTCCTGAATATTGAATACAAAATATATTTACCTCGACATATATCTTGCTATAAACCCATACGATTGCCATTTGCAAAGTTTAAAGCTTCGAAAACGAACAGATTGACCATATTGAAGGTCGTATAGCCAAGCACTTGATGTTTAAATATTTGCTGTGTTTAGTACCAGCTGTATCGTTCACTGGGAATGAATGTTGTGCTGGATGAACCACCAGAAGAACAGAGACTTCAGTTGTTGAACGATGTTTGGAAAGTTGTCATGAAACTAAGTTCGCCTGAGGTATAAATTCAAACATGCTCCATGTTGAATTTTAAATTCATGTTTCCAGTTCAACTTTTTGACCTACTGTCATTACCCGCCACCTGCTGTCATTACCTATCACCCACTGTCATTACCTGTCACCTACTGTCATTACCTGTCACCTACTGTCATTCCCTTTCACCTACTGCCATTCCATGCCACCTGTCATTCCCTGTCACCCACTGTCACCCGCTGCCACCGACTGTAACCCACTATCCCCTACTATCATACATGTACCTTTCTCTGAATCTATTCACAGGCCTACATATCTTGTGCTGAGATCTGGGTAGAATATCCAATCAAATATTTTGGGGTGAGTTTTATGACTGATGGCAGACCGAATAAATCTTTGCTTTCAACACAATTTCACAAAGGAATGTTCGGTAGAAATTTAATCGAACTCGTGTTTAACTTCAGAAAAGGGAGATTGACACATTGCTTGGTGATATTTTGAAACATCTTAACGTTGACAGAGCCTTTGAAAATTATTATCCTCAGGTAAAGCTGAAGCAAATTTAACTATTCACTTGTTTTCTAGTTTCTTTATTTTTTTAGTGTTTGTTATCCATTTATATTCAAGCTATAGCTTTTGTTGTAGATATTTGTTCGTTTCAATTGAGTTTATGCCATCGGGCCTTTCTCAAAATATTTTCAAATATTTTTCTACAGCTGTTATCGATTTTATCCAAAGTGCTCGCTGGTTTGCATGATTTTTCGTTGCTTTTTTCAATGGTAAGGAGTTTGTAAATGCAGAATTTTCTATAGAAAGTTTGAACCACCGTATAAAGTTTATCACAGAATTATAAATCTGGACAGATCAAGATGTTTTGACATAGCTTGCTCTCATGCGCTGATTTTCAAACGTATTAACCAGAAATAAGCAAGGTTTAATGCAGCTTTCTCCCTACAGAACAACTTCCTGCGGTTTCTGGATCTATTTCAAAAAGAAGCTGTAAAAACGGACGCGTGCCGATTGATAATGGAAGCGTTTTGCAGGTAACGACGAATGAATGAATCATCTAGTTCTGATGATCATGTTGAAGACGTTTATGCTGGAATATTCAATAAATTGTTAACCAAAGCAAAAGTATAATGAAATATTAAACAGTCCCTACGATATGTCAGTAGCTTGAATTTCCTTCCGAAAACAGACTCTGTTTATTTCCAAATACTCTTCAAGCTTCTCAATTATAAGAATGCGTTTAAAACAAGTGTTTTTCATCTCACCCGGCTGTTTTATCTGAGGACACAGTTTAGTTTTCTGTTTATAGATATCAAACTGAAAGTACAAACGACCCTGTCATCGTCAATGGCCTGATGTTCGTTTGTAAAACACTGCATGACTCCGTGAGGTAAGATACGAATTCTTCTGGTGAAAATTTGACGTCAAGATATCTTTAATTTATTACCGAAATGCGGAAAACTGCTAAAGAAAACACTAATTTCAGTTTGATCGTATCCTGGCAAATATGTTTTTCACGTTTTTTGCGTATTTTTTATTCATTTTAACGGGGAGTGTTTATTTTATTATAGTTCGCTTACTTTGACTGACGAGAAGCGAGCAACCGGGCAACTTGTAACTGGTTTTGTTCGAAAGATCGATTATGGTCGTGATTTTGAACAGCAGTTGAATTTTTATGTCGAAGCCAGAGCATCGTTTTGTAACTTAGATCCAGTGTTAGTTTGCCTTGTCCAGGTAAGCTATTTTGTACTCGTAGTCTGTCAGATTGAGTGTTGACTGTTGCTACTAATGTTAACCTGGCTAGCCTATAGCTTACTGCTTTGTAATGTTTTATTCAGTGTTTAACTTTCAACCTTCCTCATTGTCAACGATTCGTCCTTTTTGATAAAAATTTAGTGCGTCAACTTGTTATCGATGAAAACGAGAGAAATTGTTAAAGGAAATCATACTCGAAAGACAGCTGCTTTTATACGGGTAAGCTAAACTTTGCATGTCTTTGAATCATGGATTTGATTCAAAAGTCGACCAACTATACTATCGTGCGCATTTCAATATGTAACCAGTCAAATTTGTTCATTTCTCACGCAATAAAGCATTTCCCAGGGGTTTGTTTTGAAGCTAGCTTGTTATCGAGCTTTACATAAGACTTATTTCATATAGGCCTGTGTCGCGTTCTCTTTTATCACTATCCCATCGATTCAAGATATTTTCAATCGTCTGACCCTGTACCTTGAGTCTGGGAAAGTCGCGTTTGCCAATCAAGCACTCAGTCAGGGCAAGTATATCACAACTGAGTCTCTTGTCATGACACCTAGAGAGAGCAGTTCAAAACTAATAGAGCTATCCAGTATATAAATAAAGTTAGTTTAGTTTAGGTTTCCTCCTGTAGTAACACTGGATCAATAAGAGATGATCTTTACTCGACCTCTAGAAAGAACAGTTTAGAACTGATAGAGCTATCCAGTATAAATAAAGTTAGTTTAGTTTAGGTTTCCTCCTGTAGTAACACTGGATCAATAGGAGATGATCCTTACTGGACCTCTAGGAAGAACATTTTAGAACTGATAGAGCTATCCAGTATAAATAAAGTTAGTTTAGTTTAGGTTTCCTCCTGTAGTAACACTGGCTCAATAAGAGATGATCCTTACTGGACCTTTAGGAAGAACAGTTTAGAACTGATAGAAGTTATCCATGCAATATCAATAAAGATTTCAATTTTCAACTTTTTTGCAGGCGATGCATTTCTAAAAGCGGCAGTTGGACTGCTCTTGGAGGTTCCGAAAACGATTGGTACTGAGTCTGAAGTTTCAAGATTTCTTTTCAATACTGCTTGAAATGGACAAGCACAAATTTAGCTTCGTTTTTTTTATAGAGATCGACAGCAAAACGAAATCCTCGGAACCATTTCTTCTTTCATACGTGAATAACTTTCTCTCATTTCTTCTCGTTGTTCCGGTAGGTTTTGGAAACAAATTTTACTGGATAGCTCTATCAGTTCTGAACTATTATTATAAGCGACATGAAACATAAACGACTGAACCAAAGCTTTGACAGTTTGTCGCATATTGATCTTGTGATAATTATTTTCTGGTCTCTGGTTACAGGATCATCCAGATCAGGGTGTTTTGTATTTAGTTCGTGGTCTTCTCAATGTGATTGAGGACTATCACTGGGACTCACAGAGTGATGTCAAAATAAAGATTTATCTCAACGTGATATCACTGTTATCCTCAATGACACAGGTACTGAAAGATTCTTCTTCCATGCTCGTAAATTGGATTTTGTTGCGTCAATTCTCATCACCTCGTCGCTCGCTTTGTTCAACTTCCATCACCCTCCTTTTCCATAATATACTCTTGTCACCTTCATCGCCCCTTCCATCGACTTTCGTTACCATCATTACCCTTCGTGGCCCCCTTTCATCAGCACCTCTCACCTTCATTACCCTTCATCGCCCCCTTTCATCAACACTCCTCACCTTCATTACCCTCATCGCCCTGTTCCATCACCTATCGTCACCTTCACGGTCTGCTCAATCCATTCCCATCAACTTTTTTTTCAGTTTCTACTTTCGTACCTGTTTTCCTATTTTTAACAACAATTTTTTCATCGGATTTTCAGGAAAGCTATTTTTATCATATGGAAAAAGGTATGCTGGTTCACTCTTTACAGTTTTACTCGTTCTAAGATGATTTTTTTATAGCTGTGGTGTTGAATTGCGTTCTTCTTGATGAAATAAGAATTTAGTCGATTAGCTTGAATGAATTTTTTTGTCATTTTTTTTTAGTTGTTTCCAATGACGGCATGTACGGAAACGACAGAAAGTTTATCGCTGAAGTTCATAAAGTTGTCTCGACCATAGTTGAGGAAATATTGAAACATTTACAAGCTTTGTCAGCCAACGCAGAGGTTTGTGTTCAACGTTTGCATTGATATAAGTAACTTACCTTGGTGGTGACCAAGAAATTATGTTTCTTTTTAGGCAAAAAAGAGGCAAGCTCAGTTGGCCCTAGAGTTTTTCAACAGGTGTGGTTTTATTTCATTATCACAAACTAAACTTTCTAAACTGTTCTTCCTAATCCTAGAGGTCCAGTAAGGATCATCTCTTATTGATCCAGTGTTACTACAGGAAACCTAAACTAAACTAACTTTATTTATACTAGATAGCTCTATCAGTTCTAAACTGTTCTTCCTAGAGATCCAGTAAGGATCATCTCTTATTGATCCGGTTTTACTACAGGGGGAAACCTAAACTAAACTAACTTTATTATTTATACTGGATAGCTCTATCAGTTCTAAACTGTTCTTGACTAAACTGTTCTTGATAGAGGTCCAGTATGGGTCATCTCTTACTGATCCGGTTTTACGTACTACAGGAGGAAACCTAAACTAAACTAACTCCATTTGTATTTCTCTAAAGGTTAGTCGGTAGTGCAGACTTAGCAAATGAAGATATGTGCATGTTGGCTGTGAACCTATGGAATTTGGCTCAAAATAATGGACAGAATGATCCTAAATTAATGGTAAGTTCAAGTTGACTGTTTTACATCACGAACCTTGAGTGCTTTTCAACATAGCTACACCTGTTAAACAACGCTGTTTTTGAATTTTCAGTCACGAACGTACGAATTTTTAAAGAAAAAAGGAAAAACTAGACAAGAACTTGTGAATCTCCTGGGTAAATTGCCACGCGTGTCTCGGGCGTAAAGTATAATTTTAAATTAACTGAACTGATCCAGTTTATTTTCAAATCAATAGTAATGCGATCCTGTTCAATTATTTAAATATTTTCGATATTTCAAAGCTATTTTTGCAATAGGAAATTATTTTCAAACGAAATTATAACCTGTGAAGAGAGAGCCTTTGAAATATTTTATGTATTTTTTCATTAAAAAAAAACTTTATGCAAAAAGTTTTTAGAAGAGAATTTAGAAGAGAATAATGAATATTTTAACTGAAATTTGAAAGTTTTTTACATTTTACTCTGATGTACTGATGTATTTTATTTGGTGATTTTATTTGACCATTAAGTCTAATGGCACTGTATTTAACTGGTATTTTAATGGTAACTGGCCCATAGCCAGGTTATGCACAAAAAAGTACAGACAGATTTCACGATAGAATATTAAATTAGGAATACAACACTGTCGTCGCAAAAATATTTTGCACATTTATTTGAAAAATTTTGTCAGAGTTGAACATCATGATTATGAACCGAGGACTTTCCGGGCGATTTATTTCGAAGATTTTTATTAAATTCCTAAATCATGAGCTTCTTTTGCCTGGAAGAAGGTGTAGGATAGAGTTATAGTGTCCACTTTATAGAGCGCTGGGTCGTCCAAGAACTCCGGATCAATGTAGAAGAACACCGGCATATCAACCTGGGGAAAGAAACGTTTGTAGAGACAAGTGTTTGGGGAGGGAGGTTCAGATGTAAAGGGGGGTGTTCTGAATGGTGTGTGTTTAGAAAAGATAGTGCATTCAGATGTTCTGGGATTTATTGTGAAGATTTACCTGTTCATGTGGATTTAGTCTTTGTTCTTCAAAGCAGAAGCACTTAAAGAAATAAAAAATAGAAAGATATCAATGCAAAAACAAAAATTCATCAAGTTGCTGTCTCAAGTTGTAAGAAAAGTACTGTCAAAGAAGAATCTATATATACATGAAAAGGATACCTGAATCTTATTGAAATACTGTCCAGCCTCAAATGGTATCACATTGTAGGTTGAGATGCCTGTAATGGGAACATCAGTTGGGTTTTTTGCTGTGTAAAATGCCAATGCTGTTTCACCTGGATACACCTGAAATGGTACCAAAATCATCTTTAAACACCATTACATCATGAATGACAATATTTTGAACTCTAATGGCTTGGACCAGTTAGTAATGATTGATCCATCAATTCCAGAGCATGTTATATACTAGCTTTATACCTTTACTTCGGGCTGTTGCGGTTTAAAAGACCATTGCATTGTGGCGCTTTTGTCAGCGTTAAAACGAACTGTCAACAGGCGTTCTTTTCTTGTTGTCATGTTCTTGATTTTTTCACCGGCATCTGACTGTTGCACTGTCCCACCCAGACCTGATGCCTGGAACATTTGCAAGGAAATTTTGTTATGAATCATTTGCAACAGTATTTTTTAACCTGTAATGTATCGTGCGAAAAACAGACCTGGCAAAAAATCCTATACAAGGGTACGGCAGCATACGAGGCCCCAAGAACGACAATCACTAATGCTATGGTGTATGTTGCTGTAGTTCTGTTCCTCTGTTGATAATGATTCCTAGAACTTGAGAATTTCCTAGAAAATTGTCCATGGCAGTGATTTTGTGTTGAAAACACACAACTCTTATGAAAACCACATGGAAATTTGGCAGCTCCAATGTCATAAAAGTTCCAAGATTTAGGCCACTTTGAATTTCCTAGAAATCTGTGTCCGTACTTTCTAGGAATAGGCAGGCATGATCCAAGAAACCTTTGACCTAGACAAGAACCTAAACTTGTTAAAATATTGTGTTTATGACCATATGTATTACACAAAGAATCTGTGACAAAAAATCGTCTTTGCTTTATCAAGGTTAACCAGTGGACAGGGGAATATTTCCTGAAAAGCCAACACGTAAAATTTCCAGACATTTAACCAAACTTCTCAAAAAAAAATACTCAGTGACCTACTATATTTCGTCTAAGATCAAGTTTCCCGTCGGAAACGATATTGAGTCGCTGGCTCAGATATTAATAAAGTTTGTATTTTTCAAGAAGTTTGTAAATTTTGTTTGAAAAAGGTTTTTTTGAATTACTTTTTTTCCAAATTCTTTCAAAGAGGAGAGTTTATACAAGACTCTGAGGTTTTGGCATGCCTCTCTTAGCCAGAGCGGTTGATCAGGCAAGTTTCAATGTGTTATTGTAGTCTTCGCAAGTTGCAGTTATTCGGATTATTTTGGTTGTGGAAATTTATAAAGTTCTGAATGAGGTGAAAAGAAGATCGAGCGCTTCATTATATTTACACTTTGATCGCGCTATTTCAGGGATACTTAGAGCCGATGCAAGTTGATTTGGTGTCTGAAGGACAGCCAAATGTCGACAATGAGTTTACAATTGAAAATTCATCTCTGGTACGTAAAATTGATCATCGGCGATGAAACATTGGAACTTTTAGATCTTTATGCATGGAGACCTTGCGGATCGATTCCGATCTACAAAGCAGGTCTAGCTTGCAGGGAATCGCATGATTTTTACGTGGTAACTTTGTTATAGGAGCTTGACTATTTCTCCTTGAATTATGCTGGATTGCCGAAAATTAAAAGGCTGCTTTTCATAGCACAACACTGTCCAAGCCTGGAGCTTGATGCACTAAGGTAAGTAATTGCCTCGTTATTTTTTAATTAATAACCATATTTTTTGCTGAGAACTCTATTTGTTGAACAATAATATTTAATAGAAATGAATGATAATTCTACATTCCATTTTCTCTTGTTTATAGACTTGCTCATGATAGCGTTAAGCAAACATTCAATACAAAAATATACTCGCAAATTATTACCAAACTTGGTGAGGCCAGGTAAGTTACTCGTTTTTGCATATATTACTGCAATTATTTGCAAAAAACTGCAATTATTTGCATAAAACTGCAATTATTGCAACTATTCCTTCAAGTTGTTGAAACATTTTCTTCTAAATATATTAAGTTCCCGAGCTGGTGAGGCTGAAAATATTCAACTGGATGTAAACTGGGTGGAAACTACAAATAAAAAAGCAGCAGTTAAGGTAGGGGTTAAAACCTCTCCAATCGGTGAATATTGATGAAGTGCTGTTCCTATCTTGCTGAGTACTAATATGGCTTTTCATCTGTTCTTGCTGGTTTTTTATTGATATCTTGCCATTTCTTTTGTTACATATTACATATAGCTTGAACATCTGGACACTGACTTGAAGAATCACAAAGCCAATACAATTAAAGAAAGCATTAGGTTATTAGTTCTACTTCAGTTTCTAGTTAAATATACACCTTTGTATAGTTGAGAGTGATATTGTAAATTGTTTTGTTACTTGGTACATTGATACACTGGTAATTAATATATTCACTCATAATTCTTCTTACAGGAGAGGCCATGATGACCTGGGTGACCATCATTTAGATTGTGGGGATTTAAAGTAATGAACCTCTTTCAAACAATTGCAATAATAAGCCCTAAATTAAACCCAGAATCTGAAAGTTGAGATCAAACGTCTAGACTGGGTGATTGCAAGCTTTTTATGGTTATTTTACTGACTCTTAGCAATGCACTTAAGTGCTATTCAAGATCTCGTGATTACTGCTCTGTTCCAAAACACATTGTGAACATGTGCTGGAATGTAATTAAGGTTTGTGAAAATATCTGCCTAAAATAATTGTAGTTCTTTAGAGCTGTGCGATAGACCTTCTCGTATAATGATATCAAATTGGAAAACGTGATGTTACAGGAAATTTGACTGGCTCTTTGGTTTTGTACAGCCAAGCAAGCTTCGTGTAACACAGGGTATTCTAGGCAGAGCAATTCTCACCTCTAAAGTCCAACTCCAACCTTCAAATATTTCAATTTCAAGGTTAGCACGCTGCTGAATAACTGGGCGCACGTCTTGAATTTTGTCAACAAGGCTGAGAGCTCGATCGAACTAATGGGTGAGGTAAGAGAAACTGAAATGGGCGCAAATGCCTGGTGTACGTTATTCCGGATTTTGTGATAGAAATCAATAACTTTTCCTTTCCATTTTTTTAGCAACGTGAAAAACCAACCAATCTTGTCATGGCAACGAAGTTAAAATGCGCTGCAGGTACGTTGAGATCATAAAAAAATAGTGAAAATGTATTCGTTATCTTATAATGATCATATAATTCAATTTACAAGAGCTATTGCAGCCTTTAAACCCATAAATTCTTTCATTTCTAGCTAATTTCCCCACGCTATTGCTGTTTTTCCACCAAAGAACGTTTTTTCCCAGGAAAAGCGTTCTTTTCGCACGCAAAACGGTCTAATTCATTATTTCCCACACTTGCGACACTCTTAATGCTAAAATCGTTCTTTCCGCGCGCAGAAACGTTCTAATTAGCTTTTTCCCACGCTTGCGACACTTTTGATACATTTCTTGCAACATTTACGTTTGCGACATTTTGGAATATTTTTGCTACATTTCACAACGTTCTAGAATGCTTGATTGTTACTTTGTCCTGTTCTAAAGAATAATACTAAGGCGCTTTTCGAAGCGCAAGAGGAACCCGGTTTTTTGACTGTAAAAAACTTCGTAATACTTGATCGCGTCTAGTATTAAACTTCGTAATACTTGATCGCGTCTCTTTCCAGGGCTTGCCGAGTTAGCGCTGAAGAAATACAAGTCAGCGGCGAAGCATTTTTTGCAAGCTCAGTTTGATCATTTGGAACACGGAGAGGTAAGCTATGAAAATATAAACGAATTCACGGGCTGTTTACATGAACCTTTTTACCCGAGTTTCAACGAAACGTGATATAATTTTGAGGTGTTGAAATTAGTCTCTATGAAACCAAATAGGCACAAGCTTTTGTCTGGGTGACCAGATTCACTGCAGGATCATGTTATATACCCATTTCAATACCTCAAAATCATCTCAGGCTTCGTTTAATCTCGGTTAAGCGTGATAATGTAAAACAGCCCCTTAGACGAACACGCAGACGATATGTGTTGGGCACGCTACTCGTGTTCTGCACGAGAACTGAGTGAGAACACTCTTTCGTGTATTTGTTTGTATTTATTTTAAAATATCTACATATTTCGTACAGTACGTAATATATGATGCTATTCTGTACAATTTAGCTGTTATCTACACACGACGTAGCGGTGTTCGGAGGTCTCTGTGCCCTCGCAACCTTTGATCGTCAGGAATTGCGGACGAAAGTCCTTTCAAACAGGTAATATGAATGCGAAGGCGAAAATGGCCACTACAAATAGTTTTGTATTTTAATATGCATATAGTGAACAAGAGTAGAAGCCTCTCTTAGCATGAACGTTGAATGAATTAAAATTAGATTAAAAAAAGGTCCCGTATTTTCTAAGTGACTACCTAAATCTCGTGCACTAAATATGTATTTGAAAACGTTAATTTTACTTAAGTTGTGTAATATATTGTTTAATATATATTGATTGCATTATCGGCAAATCCTGTGGCTACAGGATTTACAATTATAAACTTATGTCAAACATAATTTAAAGCTACTTTATAGCCACTTAAAACGCGCTAACGCTTGGCGAATCTATATTAGTTGTCAAAGCATTAATTGTAATTTTCTTCACTTGATTTGGCCAGTTTTTCTACAGTTTAAGCAAAGCCGCTCCTGTTTCGCCAACTAATGCAACGGTGCCGTTCGGATGAGAGCTCAGCTTTGCGTATTCAATCCATTTGCTTCGTTTCAAACTCAACTTTTCCAAGCATAAACACAAACTGCCCGTCAGTTTTCCACTTTTTGAGTAAGAGAGGATGGTCAATCGGTCCGAGAGTATAGACGTTTCAACGAAAATACGTTCCGTCGTGTGACAAATCGCAACGGAAGCGATGAATCCGTGTCCTTCTGGCATCTTAATTTTCCACTCAAACTTTGCTTCGTCCGAATAGACTCTCACATGACTTCTGTTGGCTGAAACTATTTTTGTTCCATTAAAATCCACGAGCCGCATATTTCCACGACCTGTGCGAGACAATTTCCTGTCGACTTCAAATCTTTCGAAGGATTTTGAATCGACTTCGGGGCTTCCGATGTGCAGAATTCTCTCCTGGCAATTCAATATCGCAATCCTTCCGTGCTTGCTCACCGCCATTCGAAGTTTAATCCATGAAGAGTTGTGAAGAAAAGGTAACGGGGTTTCTCGTGTTTTCTCTCCAGCCTCATCAAAGATGAACAACTTATAACTCCATTGTTGGCAACTCTTTTCATGAAAGCCAGCGAGCAGGTAGAGGCTATCTTCAGCATCGATGTCCACCTCGACAATACGACACAGTGTCGCATTATCTTCGTTGGGAATTTCGCAGAACTTTCGTCCTGCGTTCGGATGCTGAAATACTTTGATGGTATTGTCTTGAAACAGCTCCGCGACAATCTCTCCCTTGCTGTTTACAACGGCGTGTGGCGGGAAAATTGTATCAGAAAATTTCATATGTGGATACGGGGACATCACTCGCACACCAGAGTCTTCGAGCTTTTCAACGAGCTGACATTCACCAAATACGGGATGATAGCTTTTCTCGTCGAAGGTTATGACTGGCCAGTCAGCGTAGTCCTTTGGTGGCAAATTCGCAAACTCTCCGGCAAATTCAAACAGAAGTTGATTCATTAGATGAACCAATCTGGCATTGTTGAGCCTCTTGGTTTTTGCTATTTTGAGCTTACGTTTGAGTCCACCGTTTATTAAAACAGAAAATATATGTTTAATATCTGGGACTTCGTGAAGTTCTTTGAAGTAAATGAAGCAGTCGCTTACTGCAGCGCTGGGGTCTTCAAGTCTTCCCAATATTCTTGCCGTTATTCGGACCTGCGTCGCCTGAATTCGATCCTCGATGGACAAGGCAGTGTTGGAGAAAGCATCTGTGGCTCTTTGGAGCGCCTGTGCGAAAGAATCTTTGGCGAACTCAAAGCGTTGACTTGAAGCAATTTTAGAGGAAGAGATCGCCTTCATGTATTCGATGGCTTTGTTGATAGGCGAGCTATGAACAGTACTGCTTGCCATTGAGACAGGCGTTTCCACTAAGACCAAGGCTTGTTCGCTCACCTCCGATGTTTTCTCGATGCTTTTTAACTGCTGTAGACACTGATCTAGTCCGTTGATTCCTTCGTGTAGACGAGAAATACTGCACAGTAGATCCTTCCTCGCTAAACCGTCCAACTTTCCTTTTATATCACCGAGTTCACTTAGGATCCATTTCAGATAATCTTCGTCGTGTTTACACCGTTTTGCGATTTCATCTCTAGCCTTGTTCACAAAAACTCTGCATGTTAGCTTCAAAACACCGACAATGAACGCTGACATCTTTAATTTGTAAACAAACAGTAAGAATTTTGGACTGTGAGATTTCTACAATTCTCTCGATGAAACCAACGCAGACATATACATACACACGCAGTGTTTGTCGCGAATGAACGAATGTTTATTTTTTCTTTTTATATAATTTCTGTATTTAAATATTCCATTATCGATTTGATTAATTAGGTATACAATAAAACTTTTTTGTTTGAACTGATAAACTTCCTCGAAATAAACATTTTCATAACAGTCACGCGAACATACAATATTTGTACGATGCAAAGTGTTCGGTCTTTCAACATGAGCTTTGTCGAGAACGTATTTTATATTGTACCGTATCTTTTGATGCAGTTACTGTGTATATTTCTGTAAAGTCTGTTGTTACTGTCGCATGAAATATGTATTTTTCACTTCGGATTCTAGTTATTTATAGTTAATTATCTTGTTTTTAAAGTTTTCATCGTTTCCGCTGTGTAAATTGATCACGCGATGTAAATACTTTGGTGAAACATAACTAAAGTATAATACTAAGACCTAACCTTAAAAAAACCGAACCAAGCCTGTAAACTCTATGTCACTTCTTAGGAAATTTCCTGAGAAAAGCTTGAATCTATCGAGGGGAGGGAGGGATATTTGATATATTCTTTCCCACATATTTATACCCTCCCCCACAGTAGAAAGGAAGAATATTGGATATAAAATGGCAGAGCACTGACTCTATAACTTCTATTGAAATTTGAAAATGTATAAATATTTTGATTATTAGTAGATATTTTGATTATAATTATCCAACTGGGTCAAACTCTCGTTTGTCAACTCCCATACAACTTCTGTTCTCGCTTGACTTTACATTGTTGGGGTTTTTTATGTATTTTTTAAACAAATCTTTCAAACATCAACATTGCAGTTCATTCAAACTGTTTCTGGAGCTGGACCCTCAGATCCGCGACGTTCTCCATAAGTTCTACGAATCTCAATACGCGAGTTGCTTAAAGATTCTAGATGATATAAAGGTGAGCGCTTCAAGAATCATCACGGGAGTCGAGAAGAGGTCTTGATTGTCCTCTCCTGATGAATTAAACGCCAGCGATATGGTGGCAAAAATAGACTACATTAGCTGCAATTGCACTACGAGCTCAGGCCAGACATATATAGTCCGGTCTACTTCTTCTATTTACAAGTGAAAGTGATGCTTGCTGTTTTTAAAGGCAATAGATTTTTGTCCAGTTAAAATTGAACAGCATCGTCTCAAATTCCGCTTAGTTCTCGGCTGAAAGGATGGATGACAAAGAGTTCATGTAAGATGAAGTATTTTGACCCTGTACATAGAATTCTTTCATTTTTCGCAGGACAATTTCCGTCTGGATCTATATTTATCGTCGCACGTCAATACGCTGTACAGTAAGATACGTAATCGTGCGCTTATTCAGGTAAATATCATCAGACTTCCGTGGCAGTTTTAGATTCTTTCCCACGACTATACTTCATGTTATTTCTAGTATTTTAGTCCGTATGTCTCGGCCGATATGGGCAAAATGGCAGAGAGCTTTAACACGACAATTCCCGCCTTGGAAGATGAACTCACGCAGTTAATCTTGGACGATCAGATTCAAGCGAGAATTGATTCACATAATAAGGTATTTCTGTTCTTTCTATAGAATCGTGAGTCATTTAAAACTAACTTTATTATTTATACTGGATAACTCTATTAGTTCTAAACTGTTCTTCCTAGAAGTCCAGTAAGGATCATCTCTTATTGATCCAGTGTTACTACAGGAGGAAACCTAAACTAAACTGAATTTATTTTAGATTCTATTTGCTCGTGAAGTGGATCAAAGAAGCACAACATTTGAAAAAGCAATCAAAATGGGAAAGGAATATGACAAACGTGCTAAGGTTGGTCGTTAATTTTGTAAACTTTCGAAAGTTTTGACTTCGAGAAATATTAAGATTTACCACCCAGGCTTTTTCCCTTTTAGGCATTGATTATAAGGGCCGCCGTCATAAGCAATCAGATTTTTGTGAAGGTATGTATGCGTATCTTGTATCTAGTGCTGCATGTTTAAGTTTCTTTTTTACATCTTTTTCTAACTGCGTTTGGGATTAAATACTTACGTGCACGGCCGTAACTAGAACGATAATTGTTTATTCATATATTCAGTTCTGCCCTGCGGATTTCTTTTGTAAGTGCAATAGCACACAATGGAAATCCGTCGGGCAGAACTGAATATATGAATAAACACCCCCCTCCCCCCCAAATTATCGTTCTAGTTACGGCCCTGCTTACGTGGTGTACCTACAAGCTAAATTACTTGAATGTTGATTCCTTGGGAGTTTGGATACGGAAAAGTTTTCGTAAAGCTATCTCAAAGCTGTTTCCTATGAAGAGGCGGAAATTGATTTAAATACCACCTAATTTCACCTGCAAATTTAATCACAAATCGGAAATTTAATCAAAATTAATTTAAAATAATTTATCGAAGCCCGCAATTTCTTATTTTCGCCTTTCAGAGCCCGCCACGTGACAACAACGCGGTGGATTCTGGGACGTCAAGGTAGCGGTCACGTGAGTAGAATGAACCAATCACAGGCATTCTTCTGTAGAACTGTACCGAATGTTGGTTAGCAGTGTAGCTGAACTGTGAATCGAAATATTTTATCGACAAGAACATGAAAGAAATAGTTTATAAACAACAAGCAGTTTAAAACTGGAAAAAAATTATTTACTTGAAAGCAATAAATCTTGGTTTGTCGAGATTGCTTACCCCTGGAGTACCACAGTCCAGTTTTGTGATTTAATATTGTGCTATCAATCCTATTTTCTAAACAAATAGTTTATTCAGTCTGGTCTCTTCGAAACATTTTATACGAAAGAGATTCGTTTTGACGGGTGTACTTTATAGGGGAATATATGCAGTTGGCTCACGGGCTTTTTCCTAGAGTTTTTGCCGAAATATCTATTCAGCAATTATGTTAAGTTCCTCGCAAACATTACGGGTGTCTTATTAATATATAATGATGTCCCATTAACACAAGTTTTAACAAGTTCATTACAACAGATTTCGCATTTGAATATCAACCATGCAACTATTGTAAAAAAATCGCTTTCTTGATCCTGAAATTAGCCTAGGAATTATAGATTTGTACAACGAATTTTTGGATCGTTTTATATGGGAAACGGCTTGGCTATGATAAAAAATTGATAAAGAAAAAAAAATCGAAGGAAATTCGACGGACTCTAAATTTAGCCTTTGTTGTGTTTCAAAGAAAAACTAATGTGTATTTCAACTTATCAGTGGTCTCGAGTAAGAAAGAAAATATAGCTAGGCCTCGTAAAGAACTCAAATCACTTCTTTGTATGTATACCTATAGTAGATATTCCTACAAATCGCATGTATGTTTAAAATATGCAACACGATTCTTGTGTATGCCACCAGCTGACTTCTGTAAACATGGCAAAGTTGTTAAGAAATTTCCAGCAAGGTTAAACAATATTAAACCTCTGGCTTGTTCCTGTGCAACTATATAATAGGGTTTCGCTAAGTATACAAACAAGATGTTAAATAATGATAATAGTGGTTTCTGTGGTGCGTGTATTAGTCACCTGGTCGATAGTTTGTGCCAAAAATGCCACTTAATTTAAAAACGTTTCCATTTCCTGACGCAGAGGAATTGTTTTCTAATCTCTACCGACTCTATTCCGGTATCAAAAACTAAGACTGGACTATTTCCGATCGGCGAAAACACTTTCTAACATTGAAATATGAAAGTTTAGCTAAATTTAGCCTTAATCTGCAAATACACGTAAAGTAGGCACTATATAGGACTATGTTGTGCTACCAATCCACGACGCAAATTCAATGCTCTATAACTGGAAAAATCGACCATAACATTTCAAACTTTGGCCCAACGAAGTACTTGAAAGGCTCGCAAGAAACGTGAAACATGCTATACGCGTGCACTATGACACACAGGCGATTACGCAAGCAAAAACCAGTTTAACAAGTTTCAAACAGGAATTTTCATCACTCTCGAACCCAGGTCTGCGATGTAGAGAGCCGGCGCCATCCCCTGTACCTGCTAATGTTATTTTTACCCGACCACAAATTTGAACGCGCTAAGCAACGTCTGTTAACATTCACCTCTTCGATAACAAGTTGGGCCAATCATAAGCTTTCCTGACCATCAACCTGTACCACACTATCGCGACGTCTGTTTAGCTTTTCCAACCGTTAACGACGGTTTAAAAACGACGTCTTTTGCAACGCTAGTGCGAAACTGTTTTAAAACCATTCTTTAATTGTATATTCGAGCTTTCTTCCAAAAGAATTTGTGTTATCGGCGAACAAACCGCACGGGCTCCAAGCGATGAAGGGCCTTGTGCTGTGTTTGACAATTTTTCTCTTCTTTGAGTTAAAGGTAAGATAGTCTATTTCTGTAAACAATTTACTCTGATTTAAGCCAGCTCGAAATTCGCCCTTTTTCTAGAGATTGTCTTTTTAATGCCGTGATGAGCCCCATTGTGGCATTAGGAAGATTGCAATTCCACAGTTTATATATGACGCGACCTATATTGAGCGAGCTTTAAAACTTCTTTACTCTAATGGATTAACAGGGGACATCTGCGGCAGCATTTCTAAACTGTTCTTCCTAGAGGTCCAGTAAGGATCATCTCTTATTGATCCAGCGTTACTACAGGAGGAAACCTTGATTAAACTAACTTTATTTATACTGGATAGCTCTATCAGTTCTAAACCGTTCTTCCTAGAGGTCCAGTAAGGATCATCTCTTATTGATCCAGTGTTACTACAGGAGGAAACCTAAACTAAACTAACTTTATTTATACTGGATAGCTCAATCAGTTCTAAACTGTTCTTCCTAGAGGTCCAGTAAGGATCATCTCTTATTGATCTAGTGTTACTACAGGAGGAAACCTAAATTAAAATAACTTAATTTATACTGGATAGCTCTATCAGTTCTAAACTGTTCTTCCTATAGAAGTCCAGCAAGGAACATCTCTTTTATATGAATATAGTTTGCGCGGTTAGAAGAAAAATACAACTATAATTCTTAAGACAATACCAGGAAAAATCGAGACCCAGAGTTTTATTTTTCACAATATAGGTCTCACAAATTCTAATATATTTCATATTTCTCTCATTTCTTTAATCAAAACCTCATGATGAAACTTCCGTTCTTTTCATATTCACTGTTATTTTTTTTTCATTTTAGCTTGCAGTTGGCTCATGCCCGACCTATTTTCAGCCTGGTAAGTTTAGAAAATTTAGTTTTAATGTTTCTAAGGGGAAAAAACTTACTATATATAGGAGGAAAACGTATTTAGTTCAGAATGAAGCGGTAAAACTGCATTTTCCTTACTGGAAAGATGTAAATAATGATATTCTCGAATACAGAGTTTCTGAAACACTAAAAAACACCAGTAATCTGTCCGTCCTGAAATATACCGTTTTTACCGTATAAAGAATAGCGCCCATATTTTTTTATGCTTTTGCTAGCTTGTTATGGTCTTGCTGGCTTGTCCAAAATGATCAAGCTCTGCCTAGTTCAAAATCCTGTTTAATATGGTTTATTAAATGGTTGTTGATATGTACTTCTTGCTGCATTGTCTAGATGAGCTTCAAGGATCGGCAATCTCGTTAACTCGGACTCGCTCGCTGGATAAGGTGGAGTGTTCTGATACCACACACGGTCCATGTGAAGCGGCCGTTGATGGCAAGGCTGACAATACCGCACCGCATCAATGGCAAACCAAACAATCTGTTGGAGAAATTTGGTTTAAGATCATTCTTATAAAAGAATTTCGTTTGAATAAGATCAGTTTTAAGCAGCTCAACAGCACCGAATTCAGGCAAATTCAAGATGTGCGAATTGAATTTACCGGCGCAGGAAATGTTTCGGTATGTTTTTTTATTATATAGACTATAGTCATGTCAATAAATACGGAATTGACCAACAAACTAGCTCCTGCGAGTTTTGGCTGGTGGCGTAAGCAAGCAGCATACGAGAATGACGAATCACGTACTCGTAGTCAAAGATAAAAAGATGGACAGATGTCCCTCTCAGTGATAAAAATGTCCAAAGGCAGCCATCTTGGTGGCAAGTGTTTATTGCATGATATTTAACAGTCATTCTGCGAACTCGAGTCGTATATGAGCTGATAGCCGACGAGGCGCGTATAACTGTTTTATTATATACACAAACTTTGTCGCCCTTTCGGTGCATTTTGGTGTGCTATTATCAACTAAAGCTTGGATTTCTATTTCACTAACTCCCCAAATCTTTCGGCCATTTTGTTTACTTTCTCTACTAGACAGATATGAGCTAATATCTATATCTGTCTAGTAGCCAACCAATGAAATTGCAGCATACCTCATATCTGGCGCTTGTGTATATAATAATGCGTGATATTCGTCATTTGTCATTACGTCATTGCTTTTATACTCATCTCCTAATACGTACTCTGTGTCGTAGCCACTGATTAAGCTCTTCAATACCCGTCGTGATCCAGAATATTGCAATATGCGCTTCGTTTCTGCTTTCAATAGCTGCAGCTGAGTTTACAGAAGAATGGTTGGCAGTCGTTCCGTTTTGCTGAAAGAAAAACGAAGGAAATCAAGATCATCCTCAAAACCTTTTACACAACGGATACCAGAGCTTACGGTTTTCAAGAGATTGAAATTTTCGAAGAAAACGCTGGAAAAGGTTTGGAAAAATTTCACGATTCGTCGAGTTGAACTCGGTTTGCTTAGCCTAGTTTATTTTAGATCTGAATTCTTCCTTTCGATAGATGTGAACTAGTAAATAAGTTTAAGGATGTTCAAAAAGGGGCATGTGTTCATCTTGGCCCAGTTGTATAAAAGACTAGTTAACTTTTAACTGTAGTTAAGAACAGAATTGGCCAGTTAGAGTCGCGTATTTCTGAGTTACCTAGGATTTTACTATGCAAAATGTAGTTAAAGAGTTTTATACAACTGGCCCCTGATCATTCATAACTTTTCGCTCGTTCGTTCTCATCCATCAAAAGAAGTCTCGCATTTGAGCAGGTTTTAATCCCCTTGTTTTCTCAAGTTGAACTGGAAGATTTCCGATTAACGATGGTTTAATTTTGCGTTGTTTGATTTCAAATAAACGTTTTTTTAGATCTTTTGTGTGAACACATGTCTCTTGAGGGCACAGGTGATGGTACCTATCCAATATCTGGTGGTTTTGTTGTCGTGACACTGAATTTCCCGCAGGATAATAAAAAGAAGGTTAAACTGGATTTTCTCCAAGCAGTTGGACCGTTTGATTATCGTTTAACTGTGGACGCTTCATTGAATCCGATCAAATTCACCCTCAAGCCTTCAGGCGTATCAGAGATAGTTGCTAACCTGGCTTATCCATTGTCAAAAACGGTTGATCTTCAATTATGGGTCGATTTCAGTTCCGACAAGTTTGTTGTCGGCGTAGGATCGGAGACACTCGCAACGACACCGCACACCATATCGACTTTGTCTCAAATGATTTTTTCCCCCGAAGATGGTACCTTTGTCAACGCAGGCTTTTGCAGTCAACGAGGTATGTCTGCAACTGCTGCTTCGAATGACAACGTCTGCTAAATCTAGCGCATCTAAATCGATTTAGATTCTTTACAATTCTTTATTAATCGCGAAAATCAACTGCTTGTATTGTTCTTAAGGCCTACCATAATTCACTATTAAAGTGCGTGTTAATTTACACAACTTCTCAGCTACATTTTGACATACATTTCACTGGCAACGAAAGGTGTGATGTAGGTGTGTATGGTTGATTTCCACTCAGGAAAATTATCCTCCGGATCGGACGGTATGGATTCCTTTGTGCTTGAGACTATTAGTTTTGGTTGAGAACACATTGATAAAAGAAACCTTTCTGTCCGATCCGACTGGAAACCAGCTTTAACACGCCATGACACAGCTGGTGGTGTGTTTGAAAACCTGCAGAAAAGATGTGTAATATATTTTGGGTAGAAATATGTTTGTACAATTAAATAAGGTCCACAAGATGTGTAAATTAACACACTTTCAACGAAGGTTTACTTGAGAAGATAATTTTTCTAAAATAGTTTATTGATTTTAACCACAGGCGCGTGTTTTGACGATGCTACACATCACTGGCCGATGGATAAACTTTATGGTGGTAGTGTAGGGGACATCGCTGGAAGTCAACACGGCCGGGTTGTCGCTGGTGTTGGCCAGATTGTGAATACCGGGCCTATTGTTCATTCAGGCTTCAAAACTGCCGGCATATCTTTACGCGAAAGCGACCGGGGAACTCTCAACTTGGGCGACTTCTCGGCTCTCCAAATGATGAATTTTCGTTGGAAATCAGGTAAATGCTGCCTCTTACTTTTGCCTCTTTCGTGTATTTCCTTCCGTTGCATTTTACTCTATCTGATTCCATTCTTTTTGATCATGCACATATTCTTTCTATTCTTTTCTAATTCTATTCAATTCGATCCCATTCTGTTATATTCTATTCTATTCAATCTCATTCTATTATATTATATTCTATTCAATCCCATTTTATTCCATTCAATTCTATCGCACTTCACTCCCTTCTTTTTCATTGAAATAAATTTTATTGAATTCTAAAGCTACCAATCGTATTTTTAATCGACTTATTCTTATTCTTCTCCTCTATTCCTTGCACCTCTTTCTCATTCAATGCTATCCTTTTCCTTTCCCCCAACACCAGCGTGTACTTTTTCCAATGTGAAGTATGAATTGATCTGTAACCTGCTTTGGATTTGACACAATCGTTTTAGCGTGTCTCGTTGATTTATCTCTTTACTTTCAGGATGGACTTTTTCTTTCTGGCTTCGTTTCGACAGTTTAAGGAATACAACAACAACAGCTAAGAATCACGCTCCGATATTTGTGATCAATGGATTTCTAGAGATAAGACGTTATCCCAATGACGGTTTCCACTTTATTATTTACAGAGAAAAAGGCAGATACAGGTGGGCACACAAACCGCCCTACAGGCTACATCATATTCATCCATGGTTCTATAAAGCTAGTTTAGTTTAGGTTTCCTCCTGTAGTAACACTGGATCAATAAGAGATGATCCTTACTTAACCTCTAGGAAGAACAGTTTAGAACTGATAGAGCTATCCAGTATAAATAAAGTTAGTTTAGTTTAGGTTTTCTCCTGTAGTTACACTGGATCAATAAGAGATGATCCTTACTTGACCTCTAGGAAGAACAGTTTAGAACTGATAGAGCTATCCAGTATAAATAAAGTTAGTTTAGTTTAGGTTTCCTCCTGTAGTTACACTGATCATTGATTTGCTTTTATGACAGAGTTAAAACGAACATTGAGTTAACTGTGGGGAAATGGCAACACTGGACATTGACGTGGCTGGAAGATGAAAAACTTACCGTTTATTACAACGTGGTCGGGGAAATGCGTTCACATTATTATGAGGAAAGTACCTGGTCAGACAGCAACCCGCCAAATCTTGCCATCGGGTGCACGGATGCGTATACCGATCCTTCATGGGTGTGTGATGACGTCACGATTGCTGACGTGGTGTTTTGGGATCGCAGATTAAGCTCGCAGGAGCTGATGAACAAGTTTCAATGCTCTGGTTACCGACTAGGTAAAATAGATTAATCTGATAATCAGATTAATTAATCTGATAATCAGATTAATTAATTATTTAATCTATTATTAATTGGATAATTAGATATTCGAAATAGATTAACCTGATTTTTTATCAATCATAACTTCATGGTTGTAAACGATGTGATGAATAATGGACAATTTACATGTTTTTCTTGGCAAAGAAAAGTATATCTCGGAAAGTGCATAGAAATTGCGAACTTTGTAACTTCGTTGAAACAAAATCTGAAGACACTTTTCTCGTTACCAGGTCAAAGCAACTCGCTCGACATAAGAACTGGACAGACGCTGAACAGCGGTCTCACGGCCTCATCATCTCTTGCATTCGGAGAGAACGCTGAGTACCAGGCCTCGCCTGATCGCGCCCGTGCTGGATTGCGTGCTCCCGAAGGTTGGTCTTAACACTGATCTAAACACACTGGACCACTAATTGAAGGCCCTCAGCGTGTGGAGGGGGGGGGTGGCAAATATGTTTGAGAAGTTTCACATAACAATGAGAGTTTTTTAGCCCCAGATAGTTAAAGTGCTTCCCTTTTTTTCCAGGTTACTGGGCACCCTCACGCCTGGATACCAGCCCGTTTCTGCAGGTGGACTTGAACCAGTGGGTTGTGGTGACCGAGGTGGCCGTACAAGGCAGTCCTGAGGCTGGCGGATGGGTGACCGGGTACACCATGACTTATAAACAAAACAGCGCCCCCTGGGCATTTGTACCATATACCACCGGCCTCTCTGTCCAGGTTGGTGACCATTAATTTTTAGAACCACTGAGCCGATAATTCACTGGATGTAGGAACTATATCTGGAAAAACTAAAGTTTGAATTACGGCTGTTTACAGTAGCGTAGCCAGCCTGACGATTTGTCCCGCTATGCTAATATTTTGGTGTTCACTGACTGTGAAAACAATAGATTTATAAAGACATGAATAATTATAATAACTCGAAATTTACATAGCGGGACAAAATCGTCAGGCTAGCCACACCACTGGATATTTACATCATCTGGATTACCTGAGAAAGTCCGAGATTCATTGAAATGCGTATACAACATGATCTTACATCAAACTTATCCGCCGTTTGAGCTAAACGCCTTTCGAACAACCGGCCCCAGATGTTTTAGCCTATTTGCACTCGAGAATTAAACGAGATCAGAAGTTACAGACGAGTGTAATAGCCTTGAACCTTCGCCTGGATCTTGTAAACTTTCCCAACGTTCGTTATTCGCTAAGAAAGTGGACAAAAATTAGTTGGCAAGTTTGTCAATTTAAAGTTTAAAACATGGGCTTTAAATGTGCCCAAAATGTTTGGCTTTCAATGGCTTTTAAATGCCCATAAAATTTGATTTTACAATTTGTCAAATTTTACAAGTCTATAAAGGTTCCCCCCCCCCAAGGCGAGTCTATAAAGATTGCCCCCCCCCCAAATTTCACGATTTGCTGATTTCATGATTTCCCCAAATTTGTGAGGCGTAGTTTTGGTTGACACCAGTTCCCATATTTTTCTCCAGGCTTGGCTTTATGTAACTTGTGGTCTTCGAATCGCACTGCGAAGCTCTGAGATAACCTCGGATGGTACCCCCACGGTACGTCATGTATGCACGGATGAACCCAGTCGTGAACTAAGTTTTGATGTGGGAAGAAATGTGGAGAAACGCCACAACTTGAAATAGCTTCTTAAAATGGGATAATGCAAAGTTTAGTTGCAAAATATTGAATATCTATATATTTCCGACGTTTCTCAGCCAAACTTTGCAGTCCCAGTCATTCTAAGATGCTCTCTCTAGATATTTTGTTGGGGTTTTTTCTTCTTGCCTTCCTGGATCAAAATTTAGCTGGAATCGTTTAATTCAACCGTTTCGCTAAACCACAAAATGCCTCAAAGAAAGTTCGATATTGATAGAAACATTGTGTCTGCACCTTTAGGTTCTTCAGGGTGCCGTGGACACCTCTACTTTGGTGTCAAATGTTCTGCCTAAAAACATCACCACTCGATTCATCCGACTTTACCCTACGACCTGGGTTGGCAGTATTGCGATGCGGGTTGAGGTTTTCGCCGGTCCAAAAGGTACATACTGTGAGTTATAGACTGCTTCCAAAAACACCTCTATTTCTCTAAAGTTAGTTTAGTTTAGGTTTCCTCCTGTAGTAACACTGAATCAATAAGAGATGATCCTTACTGGACCTCTAGGAAGACAGTTTAGAACTGGTAGAGCTATCCAGTATAAATACAGTTAGTTTAGTTTAGGTTTCCACGTGAAGTCTCATTCTCAATTTCAATCTCTTTCAGCCGAAAACTACGAGGGTTGTTTCAAATCCCCTTCGTCTTTGTCGCGCGAAGACGCATACGATGGTGACAACATGACTCCAGAAGTTTGCACCACTCTGTGCGCTCAGCGTGCGACTCACGCCTATCTCAAAGCTGGTACCCAGTGCTTTTGTTCTAACGCCGTGCCACCCACGGCCCAGGGCGAAACAATTGCCGAAAACCTTTGTGGTGTGCCTTGCTCAGGCAAGCCCGGGCTCTTCTGTGGTGGCGTGGAATACGTGTCAGTTTATAAAGGTAAGGGGTCGTATAGTCCCCCGTCCTTTGCCCTCACCATTCCGTCAGCCGTCAACCTTGGTGAGAACGTATCCTTTTCCGTGTCTCCGCTACCCGAGAGTGATTACCATATTGATTTTGGAAACGGGCAAACGATGAGATCCTTCAAGTCGAACATGTTCTTCGTCTTCGCAACGGCCGGGAAATTCACTGTGCGAGCGACAGCGATGACATCCGGCTACGGGGAACCTGTGGAGGTCAGCGCGGAGGTCTTGGTCCAGGTCAAAGTGCCGGTGGTGGCTTCTCTGAAATGTCCCACAGCTGTTGAGACGAACGAGGAGTTCGAATGCGTGTTTGATCTGGTACAGAGTCCAAACGCAGCTTTGACGCTAGATTTCTTCGGTGGCGTAGCAACAGTAACTGATACCATTCAAGGTGAGTGTGTTGTGAGATATTTCACTACAATGTACTACACTGTACAACAATGTACTTCACTGTACAACACTGTACTTCAATGTATATATACTATATTACAGCTGGTACAGCTCTGTACAACACGGTGCAGCTCTGTACAACACATTACAACAATGCACTACACTGTACAGCTGATCTGTACAACACTGTACAACACATCACTAAACAGTACTACATTCTACTGTACCTAGCTGTACCTCATAGTACTACACTAATTCTAAATTGTACTTCATTGTACTGCACTGTCGTAAATTGTCCAAAAACATACCCTTTTCATCTTCGCTACTTTACAAATACAAAGGGCTTTGACAAATCCCCCAGAGCGAAACTATAAGCGATTGGTTAAGACATTTTTACGTTATTTCAGAAACACTACAAGGTGTTGTTGGCCATGATGTGGTTCCAAATGTGGAGTCTACAAGCGATTCTGGTATTTATGTGTTTCCTGATTTGAGATTCGAAAGTAAAGGGAAGATCCAGGCCTGGGAAGTACTCGCTATGAAAGCTGGAGTGATTCGACTTCTGGTAAGCATTGAATGCAGGGTTGACCGCAGTCTCCATGAACTGCAGTCGTTTCATTTGCTCTCGCGTTAAATGAAGGCGATGCTTCGCTGATCAACGTTTGAAACGCAATGCAAACGAGTTTGTTTCTTTTCACAGATTGTTCGGGCGTTCTGTTTGTTCAACACTAGCGAAACGTATTTATCGAGCAATGGCGTTGCTCTCCAAGCATCGGAGTGCTCCTCTGTTTCGTGCCAAAGCGCTGAAAAGTTCTGCATGTCCGCGGGCTCATGTCTAAGCTCGAGCGGAAAATGTGGCTCCCAATCCCCAGTCAGCTTCGCGAATAAACACGAGATTGTCCACGAGTTCATCGCGCACGTCTCTCCAGGCTTGAACATCCTGAAGTACGAAGGAGATCAGTTGACTGCGCAGCCTGAGGTGGGACCTGGGTACAGTATCGCGTTTCACAAGCCCGCCGACTCTAGTGCGGAATTGGCAAAGGTCGTTCAGCAAAATCCAAAGTTTTACGTGTTTTCCGATGACGTTTCAGACGTGGGGACGATGTTAGACACGTCGTTGATCACAAACCCGGCCACTGGCAAGGTTCACATTAAGGCCTATTACTCTGTGGGCAGCACACAGGTCGTGAAGGCAACATATCCAGATGTAGGCATTTTCAACCCTCGCGCCCGCTTCGCCGTCAGCGGTAGTAACGTAGACTTCACCACGACCATCGTCGTCTCGGAGTCGATCGAAGGGGGCAACTGGACCGTCACACCAAGCCCGTATATTGGCACTAACGAGACGTTTACAGTGCTGGCGAAACCACTGACCAGAGGTTACAATGTGACCGTGAATGTTCGCTACGACACCCAAGGCAGTTCGTCCTACTTTGAGCCACGAGTGACAAATGAAATATTGTTCGATCAAGCCTTCTCCAAACGCGGGTTTAAATCTTTGTCGTTGACGTACAGCAACGCTTTGTCCTCGGTCGAGTTCAGCTGTCGGGTACACGTGCAAGATATGGTCGACTACCTTGAGCTGGTTGAACCAATCACAGTCGTTCCCACTGGAAATGAAAGCGAGATAGTCTGGAACTTGCTTCAAGGTAGTGATTTGACTTTTGAGTTCGACCTAGCGGATGGCACCGTCTACAGAAATGGGACTTTTGATATCGACGGGGTGTTGGTTGTGTATGCAAAACATGTGTATTACGCGCCTGGAGAATACGAAGTGAATATAACCGTCTTTAATGAGGTCAGTAATCTCACACTCATTGTGGTCGCCGCTGTGGAAGATACGATTGTAGACATGAAAACGGAAGTGGTTCACGCAGCAAGAGACATCGAAGTGGACGAGGTTATCCAGTTTAACACGACGATGCTCAATGGCACGAGCCCCTACTATCTTGTTCAGTTCGGCGATGGATCCGATGATTTCGGCCTCGAGAGTTTGATCAATCATTCGTACTCCTCCTGGCAGGTCTTCGAGGCCAATATCACAGCGTGGAACAACGTCAGTAAAGCCACGTATCTTCTTAATGTCACCGTACACAAACCAGTTCGACCGCTGATCAATTTCACCATTACGGTCGAGCCGACGAACCACACCGACCCACAGGCTTTCATGTTGGAAATTAGTGACGGAACCGACTACAATTGCTCGTGGGATTTCGGAGACGGTACGAAAGGCGAGAACAACTACGACGACTTGGGCAAGTATTTATATCATACATACGCCAACGTCGGCGTGTACGTCGTTTTCATGAACTGTTCGAATCGGCTGTACACGACTAACTACACTACGATTGCCATCGTTCAAAAGCCGATCGAGGGCTTCGATTTTCCCGAACTCGACCCGATTAAGTACACCGACAATGCAGAACTAGCGTGGTCATGCGTCAGCGGAACAAATGCGACCTACAATCTCACCGTTGAAAGGATGTACTCGAGTCTAGCACAAGTCCTTTTGCAAAACGACGACGTTACGATTTCAGTAGATCGGTTGACTGGTTCGCATGTGTTCCCAGCATCTGTCGACAGCCCTCACGACTATGGTGTCATGGCGTATACTCTAACCGTTTGGAATCTCGTCACACCCCCTCAAACGATTCGCCGTGAACTGATAATCGATAAGCCAATCGAAGGCGCCGGTTTAACCTCTTTGGAAACTCACTGGGAGGTGAACAAAACCGTTACTGTCACGACAGCCATGAGTCTTGGAACAAACGTGACCTTGGTTTTCGACTTCGGTGACGGTAACCAGTACGAGGAATTTGTAATGGGGGAATTCCCAACCACTGGTGTCGATACCTATCATACATTCGGGGATGATGGGGAATATCTAATTACGCTGCTTGTGAAGAATTCTGTGGGTAATGTGACATTGGAACTGACCCTGTTTTTAGAATATGTACCCGACTTGTCCCTTGAAAGCAATAGCCCGCAAATCCATCCTTCGCCCGCCACTGTTAACTTTACCCTGGTTGTGAGACCTGGAAAGGAGCCTCCGACTGATGCTACTGCAGTTTGGGATTTCGGTGACGGCACCCCGCTTGTTACCAAAGATTTTGACTACCACGACAACCATACCTACGCTAATCCTGGGTGGTACATTGTTGTTGTCAGAGTATTTAACGCCATCAGTGAAATGAATATTACTGGTAAGTCAACTCTGCAGTGCTGTGCTATATGCTCTACTGTGCCTCCACTCCACTCTACTCCACTCCACTCCACTCCACTCCGCTCCACTCCACTCCACTCCACTCCACTCCACTTCACTCCACTCCACTCCACTCCACTCCACTCCACTCTACCCTACTTTACTGTGTAGAACTGATGAGCTTCTTCTTGAATAGGTTACGCTGATGTCCAGCGGGTTATAGTAACCCCAGAGGTTTGGCCTGTGAATACCGCTGGAGATAACGGTGATGGTGGTGCAGGCTCTGGTCCTGGCGGTTTGACCTTCCCTAAAGATTATCCGGTACGGTTCATGACTAAGGTCGCAGACGGAACCAACGTTACCTACGAACTTGATTATGGCGATGGAACGACAGATTCGACAAACGAGACATTTTTGGAACACCAATTCAGCTCAGCTGGGACCCATACAATACACGTCACTGTTAAGAACTCCGTCAGCGAATCTAAATTTTCTATAACCATTGAATTGGAGGAAGTGGTTAAAGACATCACGATTGAGAATGACTCCCCGATCGTTATGGGAACACCGATGACTTTTAAGGTCGACATTGGACAAGTTGGAAATGAATCGTGTTTTTATCTCACCATGAAGAACGACTCTTTCATAACGTTCCAGCCAGAATTGACGACCACGTGCACCCTACCAAGCTTTTCAAGTGACGTCCGAATGTTTTCCGGAAATAGTTTTACATTTGAGTACATCTACTACGTCATGAACGAGTATCCAGTTACCATTGAAGGTCAGAACCTCGCCTCGTCTGTCATCGTGGAAGATCGTGCGGTGATCGTTGATAAGCCGTGCTTCTATCCGAAGGCGGTTGTCATCGAAGTTGGAAAAAACGTTAGCACGGCCAGAAAGTTTATAAAGTCGCGAAACACCGTTGTGCCCACGGAAAATGTTATCGATTGTGAAGCAGCTGTGTACAGGTTGGTGCCATTGATATAGCTCTATCAGTTCTAAACTGTTCTTCCTAGAGGTCCAGTAAGAATCATCTCTTATTGATCCAGTGTAACTACAGCAGGAAAACTAAACTAAACTAACTTTATTTATACTGGATAGCTCTATCAGTTCTAAACTGTTCTTCCTAGAGGTCCAGTAAGAATCATCTCTTATTGATCCAGTGTTACTACAGGAGGAAACCTTAACTAAACTAACTTTATTTATACTGGATAGCTCTATCAGTACAAACTGTTCTTCCTAGAGGTCCAGTAAGAATCATCTCTTATTGATCCAGTGTTACTACAGGAGGAAACCTTAACTAAACTAACTTTATTTATACTGGATAGCTCTATCAGTACAAAACTGTTCCTCCTAGAGGTCCAGTAAGGATCATCTCTTATTGATCCAGTGTTACTACAGGATGAAACCTGCGCTAAACTAATTTTATTTATACTGGATAGTTCTATCAGTTCTAAACTGTTCTTCCTAGAGGTCCAGTAAGGATCATCTTTTATTAATCCAGTGTTACTACAGGAGGAAACCTAAACTAAACTAATTTTATTTATACTGGATAGCTCTATCAGTTCTAAACTGTTCTTCCTAGAGGTCCAGTAAGGATCATCTCTTATTGATCCAGTGTTACTACAGGAAGAAACCTAAACTAAACTAACTTTATTTATACTGGATAAACTGTTCTTCCTAGTAAGTCAAGTAATCATAATCTTTGCAGGCGGAAATCTAGACTGAATACCACAACATAACCTAACCGTAATCACGATTTTTTTTCTAGCAAATTCGAATGGCGCGTGTTCCTTTACGATCCCACACGACCGCACATCCCCCCCGGTGAGAACGAGACTACGTTCTTTCACGAGATGATCAACGTGACTGGAGTGCAGTACGACGCCCCCCGTCTCATGGTCAAGCAGCGTGCGCTTGATTACGGCATTTACAAGGCGATAGAGAATGTAACGATGATCGGACCGCAGGGGGTGTGGAACACTGATTTTGGATTCTTCGAGATCATTATGTCCCCCCTGGACGCTATGATTATTGGTGGTAGTACCAGATCGATTGGTTTTGACAAGAATTTCACTTTGGACGCAAATAGTTCTGGCGATCCGGACGTGGACGTCGGGGACCGAGAGGGTATTCAGGTGTACTGGTTGTGTAAGAGGCAGTCTGAGAACTTCACGTTCCCTGAAGATCCTGGAAACCTCACTGCGATCTCAATGATCCCTCGTGCGGTGTCCCATGGCCCGAATGCCACTGATTTAGGTACGAATTTATTTTCTATCATTTCTAAACTGTTCTTTCTAGAGGTCCAGTAAGGATCATCTCTTATTGACCCAGTGTTACTACAGGAGGAAACCTAAACTAAACTAACTTTATTTATACTGGATAGCTCTATCAGTTCTAAACTGTTCTTCCTAGAGATCCAGTAAGGATCATCTCTTATTGATCCAGTGTTACTACAGGAGGAAATCTAAACTAAACTAGCTTTATTTATACTGGATAACTCTATCAGTTCTAAACTGTTCTTCCTAGAGGCCCAGTAAGGATCATCTCTTATTAATCAAGGGTTACTACAGGAGGAAACCTAAACTAAACTAGCTTTATTTATACTGGATAACTCTATCAGTTCTAAACTGTTCTTCCTAGAGGCCCAGTAAGGATCATCTCTTATTAATCAAGGGTTACTACAGGAGGAAACCTAAACTAAACTAGCTTTATTTATAGTGGATAACTCTATATTAGTTCTAAACTGTTCTTCCTTGAGGTCCAGTAAGGATCATCTCTCATTGATCCAGTGTTACTACAGGAGGAAAGCTAAACTAAACTAATTTTATTTATACTGGATAACTCTATCAGTTCTAAACTGTTCTTCCTAGAGGTCCAGTAAGGATCATCTCTTATTGATCCAGTGTTACTACAGGAGGAAACCTAAACTAAACTAGCTTTATTTATATTGGATATCTCTATCAGTTCTAAACTGTTCTTCCTAGAGGTCCAGTATGGATCATCTCTCATTGATCCAGTGTTACTACAGGAGGAAATCTAAACTAAACTAGCTTTATTTATACTGGATAACTCTATCAGTTCTAAACTGTTCTTCCTAGAGGCCCAGTAAGGATCATCTCTTATTAATCAAGGGTTACTACAGGAGGAAACCTAAACTAAACTAGCTTTATTTATACTGGATAACTCTATCAGTTCTAAACTGTTCTTCCTAGAGGCCCAGTAAGGATCATCTCTTATTAATCAAGGGTTACTACAGGAGGAAACCTAAACTAAACTAGCTTTATTTATAGTGGATAACTCTATATTAGTTCTAAACTGTTCTTCCTTGAGGTCCAGTAAGGATCATCTCTCATTGATCCAGTGTTACTACAGGAGGAAACCTAAACTAAACTAGCTTTATTTATACTGGATAACTCTATCAGTTCTAAACTGTTCTTCCTAGAGGTCCAGTAAGGATCATCTCTTATTGATCCAGTGTTACTACAGGAGGAAACCTTAACTAAACTAACTTTATTTATACTGAATAGCTCTATCAGTTCTAAACTGTTCTTCCTAGAGGTCCAGTAAGGATCATCTCTCATTGATCCAGTGTTACTACAGGAGGAAACCTAAACTAAACTAACTTTATTTATACTGGATAGCTCTATCAGTTCTAAACTGTTCTTCCTAGAGGTCCAGTAAGGATCATCTCTTATTGATCCAGTGTTACTACAGGAGGAAACCTAAACTAAATAACCCTTTGTAATGGTATATTAACTTTCTTTACCAGGTGGTTGTTATGGAAACGGTCCAGGCTTACTCGACTTTACCGGATACCTGATAAAATTGAACTCTGTGTACATGAACATCAACGAGACGTATGATTTTCGATTTTTCATAAGAAAGGTGAATAGGACAGCGTACTACGACAGTAGTGTATTGATTGTTTCCGGCGACCCACCTCAAATGGCGATAAGGTTTGTAATACTTCCACATTTTTTTCTCGCTGAAGAGGAACTAAAAAGGCCTTTAGGTCGGCATGATTTGATCCAGCTGGTTTTCCCTGAGTCTTTTTTATATTGCAAAGAAATTGCACGATTCACAAAAGAGAACTGAAGGTTTTCACCAATGCAATTTAGAGGCTATTATCTTTTGTGAGAATCGCTTGAACTAACCTGTTCAATGTTCACAGATGTGACCGGAATTGTCTTGAGAAATTTAACCCATCTGAGAAGATTACCCTAACAGCGCTTTGCACCAGTTGTACTGCGTCAAGTAAAGCGCGCTTGAAATACAAATGGAGACTAAGCGTGTTTGAAAACAATATTTGGAAAAAAGTGGAATTAGAACCCTTGGCGAATTCGCCGACTAGCCGGGACACCGTGGTCGTTAAAGGAGGTGTTCTTGAGGGCGGAAAATTATACAGTCTTCGCATTTCGAGCTGGTTCGACGGGGATTCATCAATAGGATTTGCGGAATTGGCGAGGTACATCAATGTTCCTCCTTCCGGGGGCAAGTGTGTGTCTACCCCATCTGAAGGATACGCCATGAAGGAGATCTTCGAAGTGAATTGCGAAGGATGGGAAGATTTGGACCTGCCATTGAGGTTTGTTGCAAGTTTGGCGTAGCGTTTCGCTTGTGTAATTTCAATCTTATCTTAAAATAATCAATGTCAGGTTTCCAATGATATCTTATTTCATTACAGCAGAAAATTATCTAAAATTCTTCATTCTCAAAGAATACATAATTGTTTTTATTGGAAAATATGCATAATTTCGTTCTAAGTGTGGACGAATACGATTTCAATCGGTACAAAGTCACAGACTATCACAGAGTTGTTGTAATTCAAGATATGTATCTTGAAAAAAAACTGCTTTAGCTTTCTGCCTTTCTATGAAAGAATTAGATAAAATAAATTATTTTTAAGCTTGATAAATATCTTAAGGGACTCAGCTAGTTTGCTTGTTCTGACAATATCATGTGATGCATGAACCACGTTCAATCTTACGATAACTCAGTTGGCCATTAAATGCGATACAAAATTTCTCGTATTTTACTCTGTGTAGATACCAAATCACTTACAAGAATGGTCTGGACGGACTGGAATCTGGCATTTATGAAGGGATGGACGCCGTGCGCAGTAATATGACGATGCCATTGGGAAAGAAAGAATCCAACTACACAGTATTTATATATATTTCCGTCGTTGATAAGCTTGGTGCTTTTACGACGTACGAAACAAGGGTTAAGGTAAAGTGTTCTGCGGTTCTTTGTCCTTTCCTTCCCCGCCCCTCACTGTCCTGCACTGTTCTGCTGTGTCCAGTATTGCCCTGCTCTTATTATACTCTGTACTACACTGTCCTCTTTTGTACAATTTATTCCTGCCCCAATCCACCCTATCTATCCAGCTCTATTCCGCTCTGCTCAGCTATCTTCTACTTAACTCTGTCCTGCACTGACCCGCTCTATTATTTCCTGCCCTGCATTATCCCCTACTCTGTCCCGATCTGTCCTGTCGTATTCTGTCATATCTTAAAGTGTCCCGCTTTTTGGGGGAGGCAAACCCCTAGTTCACCTCTCGATTGAGTCACGGATGGATTCAAGTCAGTCCCGTAAGGGGGGGAAGGGGAATGGGGGAGATCCGTTGCCAAGCATGGGTTTGGCGTGCAAGAAGCAGCCATCTTTACCATACTTGTGTTCCTTCAGGTCACGGAGGAACCACAAAGCGACGAAGAATTTAGCAATATGGTTTCCTCCATGACTGCAGATAACGGTGCATTGGGCAATCTTATTGCGGAAGGGAATGCCCAGGCGATGTGTCAGTTTGTGGGATCAATAACGTCATTGTTAAATAGCAAGGCTGAGCCAGAACCAGTTGTGATTCCGCCGACCACAATTCCGCCAGCCATCCCTGTTCGCCCGCTCAATCCAAAGGAACTCGCTGCGTTAAAGGCTAAACAGTTAGTATTTTGGTTTATGGTGAATTTAAGAAACGATTATCCTTACTGGGCTTCTAGGTAGAGGAGTTTAAAATTGATAGAGCTATTCATTTTCTATAAAATATTGCTTACGTTTTTAGGGAAAGAGAAGAAGCGGAGAGAAAAAGGCGGGAAGAGGAAGCGAGGAAACAAAGAATTGCGGTAAGTAAAAGAGGGAGTTCCGCGGACTCTTATAATTCCTGATCAAACGAGAATAAGAGTTTGTATGAGAGTTTCATCAACTGTCATGTCCTGGTCAAACGAGAACAAGAGTTGCATGAGAGTTGATGAGATAAGATGAATGAGAACGTGTGATTCTGGCGTGCATCTATTGATCATGTGCATCTATTGATCATGCCCATCTATTGATCATGCCCATCTATTGATCATGTGCATCTATTGATCATGCCCATCTATTGATCATGCCCATCTATTGATCATGCCCATCTATTGATCATGCCCATCTATTGATCATGTGCATCTATTGATCATGCCGATCTATTGATCATGCCCATCTATTGATCATGCCCATCTATTGATCATGTCCATCTATTGATCGTTTAAAGTGGTAGTCATGTAGAAGTCTCGAATTAAACACGGTATATGATCACGTATTTTTCAGGCTCGTGAAAAAATGGTCAGTGCTATGGCAAACGTTCAGGTTACTTCTGTCACAGCTGTACAACAAACATCCGCAGCTCTTCAAAGTCTTCTTTCCACACCCGAAGAGGTCTCCCCCAATGCCCAGGTAAGAATATGCGACCTTATTGGTGGTCGTTCCCCCGTTGTCGCATATTTTAGATGTACTTTACCTACATACACTTCTTTTCAAATCTTTTCAAATGACACACTCATTCATCATTTATTATGTAGTATTTAAAACACGAGTAGAAGTGTTTTATGCGGTATAAAACGCGAGGCGCAGCCGAGCGGTTTATAGCGCATAAAACACGAGCTACGAGTGTTTTGAATAGCTTAAAATACGACATTAATATTCAATAGACGTTGCGACCAATCGGATTGAACATGTGTCTTTATATAAAACCACATGTGTCTTTATATAAAACAGTGTCCTGATAGCGCTTTATCGAGTATAAAAGCCTACTCACGTGTTTAAAAAGGTTCATTGGATTGGTCAAAACGTCTATTGAATATTAATGAGTATTTTAAGATTCATAGAGGTGTAAATTTGATTCCTGACGAAAGTTGATAAAGACGTGGGAGGTTTTAAATTCTTACCGTTGTTTTGTGATATTTAAGGCGGCTGCAAGCCAAGCTATGGACAGCATGGCAGATTTTATGCTGTCAAATGCAGGACAGGCCAGCGGTTCTGCACTGACCTCTGCTGCGACTGGACTGGTCTCTGGTCTTGGGCACATGGTATCCGCCACGTCATCTACTGTGTCCAAGAGCAACAGCAGTGCTGGCGGGAATAAAACTGACACTGTAAACCAGGTAGGTGCTGGTTGGTGATGGTTGATATAGATGCATGTGATAGTTGGTGTGGCGGCTCGTGATGGTTGATATTGACGGTTGTGAATGAGACGTTGATGGTTGATATTGCTGGTGATGGTTGATATTGCTGGTGATGGTTGATATTAATTGTGGTGAATGAGATGGTGATGGTTGATATTGATTGTGATGAATGTGATGGTTGATATTGATGGCGGTAAATGAGATGGTTGATATTGCTGGTGATGGTTGATATTAATTGTGGTGAATGAGATGGTGATGGTTGATATTGATGGTGATGATTGATGTTACTGGTAATAGTATTGGTGTTGATGTTACTGGTGATGGTTGATATTGAAAGTGGTGAATGAGATGGTTGATATTGATGGCGGTGAATGAGATGGTGATGGTTGATATTGATTGTGATGGTTGATATTGATTGTGGTGGATGAGATGGTGATGGTTGATATTGATTGTGGTGAATGAGATGGTGATGGTTGATATTGATGGTGATGATTGATGTTACTGGTAATGGTTTTGGTGATGGTTGATATTGAAGGTGGTGAATGAGATGGTGATCATCAGGTTGATATTGCTGGTGTTGCTTGCTGATGGATTAGGATGATATTGAATGATACGTTTTTACTTCAGGCGAAAGCAGTAGTTGCGGCACTGACTTCAGCAACGGAAAAGGTTTCCAAAGCCTTGGCTGGTCAGACAGCCGTAGGCGAGGACCCTGTTGCCATCAAAACTCCAGCTATGGCGTTATCTACCGTCAAGAAACTACCATCTGAATTAGCAGGCAGCAAGTTGAAAGTTGGAGATGGCGACTTTGCCATGCCTATGGGGGAAGATTCTGGTAATAGCTCTGAACCAGTTGATATGAAGGTAATTTCGATCGCGACTGTCTTTACTTCTTGAGCTGAAATCATCCCTGTTCTTTCTAGAGGTCCAGTAAGGATAATCTCTTATTGATCCAGTGTTACTACAGGAGGAAACCTAAACTAACTTTATTTACACTGGATAGCTCTATCAGTTCTAAACTGTTCTTCCTAGAGGTCCAGTAAGGATCATCTCTTATTGATCCAGTGTTACTACAGGAGGAAACCTAAACTAAATTAATTTTATTTATACTGGATAGCTCTATCAGTTCTAAACTGTTCTTCCTAGAGGTCTAGTAAGGATCATCTCTTATTGATCCAGTGTTACTACAGGAGGAAACCTAAACTAAACTAACTTTATTTATACTGGATAGCTCTATCAGTTCTAAACTGTTCTTCCTAGAGGTCCAGTAAGGATCTTCTCAGACTCATAAATTGGGATTATTAAATTTTGTATGCTTTAATAAACGAAAAACAAGCTGATCTTTCCTCTCCTGTGTAGGGTGTTGGAACGAAAGACAATCCTTTCTCGTGGGATCCTGGTGCGAGCGCGGTGCAGACTCAGGTGATGTCACTCGAATTGCGGAACGCAACGGGGCACGTCATCCCTGTAAAAAACCTCACCGAACCCATCTCCCTCTTCGCTGCAACAGGGCAAACCCCGTCCGTTCCATCTCTCGTCTCCCTCGCTTACAGGGGCACAGTTTACCACACTCTCAACGTGGAAAAGAATGACACCTCTCTACATTTCGAAATCACCACCCTAGACCCCAACACCGAGCTGATTGTGTATCTCAAGCGCGGATCTCGACCGAAGCCAGACGATTATGACTTCAAACAAGCGATCCCTGATGAACCAAAGGTGAACGCAACCTTCCCCAAAGACCGCCATCTGTTCTTCGTATCCAATGCTGATACCAACCATACAACGGCTGGAACTTGGTACCTAGGAGTGTACTATAACGGTACACTCAAACCTGAGTACCAATTCGACAAGAAGAATGTGCCAAAATTGTTCATACCAAAGAAAGTCAACTACACACTTCGTATGTATTCGTCGGGGTGTCTGTTTTGGGATGAAGGACTCGATAAATGGAGCGGTGATGGATGTGTGGTGAGTTTCTTGTCGATAACCTTTCACTTCTGGCGTTTGAAAGCCGGCTAGGAAACGACGTTTAGAAATGTGGCTGGAAAACAATGATTCGTAGTTTGTTCACCTTCATGAAACATAGCTATAGGAAACAATGTTTCCTGGTTGGTCCACCTTCATGAAACATAGCTAGGAAACAATGTTTCATAGTTTGTCAACCATCATGAAACACAGTGGTGGAAACAATGTTTCCTGGTTTGTCCACCTTCAGGATAGATGACTGGGAAACCGTGTCTTAAAATATAATTTTCACTGGCGTATTTCCTAGGATTCCTTCGAATGGATTCAATAATATAACGTGTATCTCTCTACCTAGGTTGGCCCTCAGTCTAAAATGGACATGGTGCAGTGCCTGTGTACCCATTTGACCTCCTTCGCTGGGGATTTCTTTGTTATGCCCAACGCAATCGATTGGAGCAAAATCAGTTTAGACAATCTGTTTTCAAATCCCACCGTCTTCGCTGTTGTCATGGCTATTTTTGGACTGTACATCATTGGCATGATTTGGGCCAGAAGAAAGGACAAAGAAGATTTGCTTACGGTAAGAAGTCGGGAACTCTTAGACCATCGAAGCAATTCTGCAAAATCTATTTACATGCATGCAACTCATTTGCTCTTACATTATGTGATTTCGTCTTAGAATTCATAATATACTTACAAATATATACTAACGATATACTATATACTTATACCTACAAATTGAAGTATTTTGATCAAAGTAAAAGAAAATAAAGGAGACTAGTGGTTAATGAAGTGACTTTAGTTGTTGGTAAAGGACTCTAGTTGTTGGTGAAGGACTTTAGTTGTTAATGAAGGACTCTACTTCTCAATGACGGACAGTCTCTAGTTGTTAAAGATGGACTCTAGTTGTTGGTGAAGGACTTTAGTTGTTAATGAAGGACTCTAGTTGTTAATGAAGGACTCTAGTTGTTAAAGAAGGCCAAATGGATTGTCTTGAGATAGTACAGAGTTTGGACAATATAACATGACTTTTTTGTAACACGTTTCAGATCGGTACAACGCCATTGGAGGATAATGATCCCCGGGACACGTATCTCTACGAGATTGTCTTCTACACGGGTCATTCTGCCGGTGCTGGTACAACGGCCAACGTGTGCATGATATTAGAAGGCAGTATTGACGAGACCTCACCAAAAATAATGAAAGATCCGGTCCGCAAGAAATTCGACAAGAGCGGTGTTGATACATTCCTCCTGGCTGTGCCTTCGTCTTTGGGTCGCCTCAAGAATCTTCGGGTGTGGCACGATAATGCGGGCGAGTCACCAGGTAATGACCAATGAACTGAATTAATGCAACTTGAACGATAACCGGTTAAAAACGTATCCATATTATACTCAGTATCGAGTCTTGTTCTAAAATACTGTATAAGAATTTTAGGATTTCTCCGGGTAGAACAATGAGGCAATGGGTTGAGCAATCGAGCCGTGTCTGAACGACGAAAATTACACGACTTTTTTACATTTCTAGGCTGGTTCTTGCAACGAATTTTAGTCCAGGATATGCAAACGGACAAGAAGACTTGGTTCCTTTGTGACAAATGGCTCGCCGTGGAGGAAGAAGATGGTTCGATTGAAAGAAACTTGCCACCAGCAAGCCGCGACGATCTCACGAGTTTTCATTTGCTGTTCTCAACGGAGGCGCGAAAGAGTTTGACCGACAACCATCTGTGGTTCTCTGTCGTGAAGCGTCCTCCGCGAAGTACATTCACTCGCTGTCAACGTCTGTCTTGCTGTTTGACCATCATACTCACCACAATGTTGGCCAATGCTATGTTCTTCCAGACAGACAGCACCTCGTCGACGGGAACGGAGCTGCGAGCTGGTCCTATCAGTTTCTCGGTAAAGCAATTGTCCATCGCAATCACGAGCAGTATGGTGGTACTTCCTGCCAACATCTTGATCGTAACTCTCTTCCGAAAAGCCGGGCCGAAGCAAGCGAAGAAAAAGGTAATGTACAATGCAACCTCGATAGCCTACTAACTTTTTTTGCCTGAATAAACTTTTGCAAGTATTGAGAATTTAGTTTAAATTCCTAACACTAGACATAAGGGGGAAGCAAAGTCTCATTTCTGACAAAATCTGACTTGGGCAGAAAAGTTAGTAAACTATCCACTTTCAAATGTATGTTTGCCGATAACCCTTGTGCTTTGTTCTAAAATTCCATTTATCTTGTATTTTCATCTTTCATACATGACAAAAATTTAAAAGAAAGGACTGTCTGGGAAATAGGGAATTCGCATTTCGTTCAAAAACAATCAAAGCTACGAGTCAAGCAAACATACGACTTTTTAAATGGCAAATTCTAGCAATTATTTCGTAGTTTTAGAATGTTTTCCTCATAGCTAGATGCAGATTCTCAATAGCTTCGGTTTCATATACGACACAATGTTCAGTGTTTAGTATTTCGTCCGAGAATTGAGTAAAACTTGAAGGGCCAGGTTTGACGTCATCATCGGCTTCACCCCTCCAGTTGTATTTAAGTTCAGTTGGTTCAAAATCTCAATCGGTTGAATGATTCGTTCCCAGGCTGAAAGCTACACGCCCGAAGAGGACGAGGAATCGCCGAAAACGGCGGAAAGGAAAAACGAAGAAGTCATCGAAGTGGAAGAGTCGCCAGAGAAGGACAAGAAAGATAAGAAGAAAAAGAAAAAGAAAAAGAAGAAAGGGAAATATCCTCATTGGGTTATTTATGTCGCCTACGTTGTCGTTGCCATTGCGAGCCTCGTCTCTGCCACGTTCACTGTGTTTTATGGCTTAACTTTTGGCGAGGAGAAGTCTCAGAAATGGATCATGACAATGATGATATCCTTCTGGCAAGACGTGTTGATCTCCCAACCTTTGAAAGTGTTTGCTGCGGCGACGTTCTTTGCTGTCGTCATCAAAAACCCTGATAAGGTATCTTGTCGTTGTCTTTTGCCGTAGAAATTTCTCCTTGTTTAAACTGGATCAATAAGAGATGATCCTTACTGGACCTCTAGGAAGAACAGTTTAGAACTGATAGAGCTATCCAGTATAAATGAAGTTAGTTTAGTTTAGGTTTCCTCCTGTAGTAACACTGGATCAATAAGAGATTATCCTTACTAGATCTCTAGGAAGAACAGTTTAGAACTGATAGAGCTATCCAGTATGAATAAAGTTAGTTTAGTTTAGGTTTCCTCCTGTAGTAACACTGGATCAATAAGAGATGATCCTTACTGGACCTCTAGGAAGATCTCTAGAAGTGATAGAGCTATCCAGTTTAAAACCGGCATATTTGAGAGATAGACAAATGCAGGACCAAAAAACAAACCAATTGACCACACAGAAAGACTCGAGTGTTAACAAAATGGCTGCACTTTCCTTGCAGGCGGTCGAGGAAGAAGATGAAGACAAGAAGGAGAACAGTCCAGTTAAGGCTGACGAAGAACTCGTCCACAACAAGGAAAAAACTGAAGAAGACGAGATGGAGGATATTAAACGACAAGCCTTGATGCCGAAGCCGCCAGATCAGGTCAAACTTGAGGAAATGAGGCGCTTTAAACTGAAGCAGAAATTGATGTACAAGATTCTTCGCGAGATTATGAGTTACGTGATATTCGTGTTGATATTGCTCACAGTGGCGTATGGCAATCGGGATTACAAATCGCATCACGTGAACAATGCGCTGACGTCATATTTCATGGGTGGCAGTTATGCAGGAAAAATGGCTATTGGTGATGTAAGTGGTCGGAGTGTTTCTTCCGTTAGTGGCTAGTTTAACGGCTAGTTGCTCGTAAAAAAGTCACCTAGGAGTGTCCATGCATGTTCTCGTTTGTCCATGAATACCCATGAATCTCCATAGATGTCCATGATTTTAATGAAATAGTTTAAGGTCTTGGAAGTCCTTGAACTTATAGAATGCTAAAAATGTTTTGAATTATGTTCGCCCTAACAGGAAGCTCTTGAAAGAACTTGAATTTCGAATTTCCTGGTGACTCAAACAATGACCTTGATACCCTGAGAAATGCTTGAATTTAACGCTATCTCTCTGAGCTGTACGAACATGTAAAAAGTAATGGGTTGTTTTTTTAAAAACTTTAATTTCAGGGGTGCTAGTTTGAAAAATTAACTATTCATTATTTCACTCCTCTTAGATAAGTGATATAAATGGATTTTACAAGTATCTGCGAGGCAGTCTTCTTCCAACACTTAAACCCGAGTTCTGGTATGGGCCATACGACCAGGCAGTGTCTAAAGTAAAACCACCGGGCGAAAAAGAAATGTTTGCTTACTCAACACCTGGTTTCAACGGTTCAAAAGTGTATCATAAAGTACATCAATACCCATCAGGATACACCGCTGACCGTGCTAACGCTTGGCTCGTTGGCATCGCCAGAATACGGCAGCTGCGAGTGATCGATAGTAAGTGAGGCGAGCGTTTTCGTGAAGTTATGTTTAGTAAAAACGAACAACTTTAGCTAAACTTGTCTATTTTTCGTTTTTCTAGAGGGTTGTGTCTTCCCGAAGGGTGTGGGCCATTTGGTTGGTCGGTGTTCGCTTCCTTACAGTTTTGACAACGAAGACGTCGGCCACTACGAAGCTGGTTGGGTGCCAATGAATAAGAGCAAAATCGAACTCATCAAAAACGACAAATGGTTCAAGTCTCCGTGGTCTTATAAGACAGCATGGCAACTCAGTGGCACTCCTTATTGGGGTTACTTCAAGACCTACTGGGCTGGAGGTGAGGGGCGATGAAATCAATGATAAGTTGTTTGAAGTACAGCAGTAATTCCAGAATCGACGAGTATAATCCTTTAATCCTAAACCTCACCCTAACCCGTACTCAGCTACAAACCCTGAAGGATTAGATTAAGGATTTGGATTCCGGACATGAAATTTTTATCTACAGTGCAGATATCTGCGGTTATTTAAAGTTTTTCTACTGTAGATTTTGTAAGAAAGCATTGCACAAGACTTCCACCCTTTTGAAAAATAATTGTTTTGCATGTTCCAATATTTTTTAAGTCGTGAAGTTGAACTTCTTTCCTTCACTAACAATTACATAGGACGAACACTCGGCAAGAAACTGGATTCATTTATAACCGTAATTTTCCTCTTAGGTTATGTCAGCGAGCTCAGTGCCTCGTATGAAGAAGCCGTCAACAAATCGAAAGAACTGGAAGAACTCGAATGGCTGGATGGTAAAACCCGCGCCGTCTTCTTTGAGTTCACAGTCTACAATCCCTTCACGAATTTCTTCGCTATCATCAACATCCTCACCGAAATTCTCCCCACCGGGGGGTACTACCCATACCCGTACATCTCCACCACCCGTCTCTACCGCTACATCGGAGCCGAAGCGAAAGTGATCATGGTTTTAGAGTTCGTCTTCTTCATCTACTTGCTTTATTACATGTTTCGCGAATGGAAGGAACTGCGGACGGTGGGGAAGCGAAGGTATTTCCGCGACCCTTGGAATTATTTCGATCTTTTTGTCATCGTGAGCTCGATCGTAACGATTGTATTCTACTTTATGCGGCTGGTCGCAACCAAAGTAGTTATAAGTCGTGCCAACGAGGATCCGTACTCTTTCACGAATTTCAACTACGTTGTGGTCTTAGACGGCTTTGTGACCGCGTTCATGGGCCTTGCCGTGTTCGTATCGTTTCTCAAATTCCTGCGCCTCCTACGATTCAACCGCACCATTGGAAAACTCGCGTCGACGCTTCGCGCATGCGTCCCACCACTCGCCTCATTCTTCCTGCTCTTTATCATCGTCTTCCTGGCCTACGCTCAGTTCGCCTTCATGATCTTCGGGCCGGAGATGTCCGACTACTCGTCGTTCGAACGATGTCTTTCGAACATGCTCGGGATGACTCTCGGCTCGTTCGACTTCGCCGCGCTCTCGGCGACCAATCGTATCATCGGACCAATTTTCTTCTTCACCTACATTTTGGTGATGGTGATGATTCTGATGAACGTGTTTCTCTCCATCATCAACGATACGTTCAACGAAGTGAATTCAGACGCGACAAAGCAATCCAGCGAATCGGAAATAGCTGATTTCATGATGGACCGTTTTATGGCTACTGTGAAACGTACAGGAAGAACAGTTCAGCCGATATACAAAGAGCCGAAAGACAAACTGGACCAGAACGTGGACGATATCGAGGAGATATCTGATAACGTGCAGCAGGTTTTGAGGAGCCTCTGCCTCGAAAGCATCCGTCACACGTCGTGGTTCAAAGCGGAGAACGCCGAGGAGGGCGACAAGAAACGGCAAATCCTGATGCTGCTCATGATCTCAGGCGAGAACTTCACGGAAAGCGAAGTGTGCGATGCGATTCCTGTACTCGACACGGTGCTCGCGAAGTACTCGTCCGCACAGCTCAAGACCATCACCAAAAATTTCCAGGAAAAATTGGCGCGCGAGGAAAAAGAGGATGCGGAAAAACCGGAAGGACGGGAAGACGATGACGATGACAATGATGACGACGACGACGATGGCGACAGCAGCGATGGCGACAGCAACTCCGACCGGGATGAGAATGTGTTTGATGCAAAGCACGTACGGTTCGACTTTTAAACTGACAGCTCGCGAAAACGTCGTTCGCTTTTTCATTTCAGGAAACACGCATTCGTAGCAATTCGCCACCCTTGCAATGTCACAACAGACGTTTTAATATACTTTAATTACGAAGGTATTCATTTTTTTCACGTCAGTTTATGATGACGTTCACAAGAAAATATACTCTGATATAGTCGTGTTAATACGGAAATAAAATACGTTTTCCCTTCGAGTCAAAAATGGCCTGACCAGTTATGCTTTTATTCATCATAATACCGAAAAAATACTGCATATTTAGAATATCATGAATACAGCATTTAGATATATTTAACCATGTTTTACATCTCCCTACTGATAAGAAAAAAATTTCATAGATTCGTAAACGAAATATTTCATTTCAAATTGCAAAAGATGACAAGTCTGGCCATTTTAGCTGTTTTAGCCCACTATTTCCACAAGAGCTTGTACAAAGTAAAAATTTTTAGCCACAAATATGCAAGTAGAATAGCACCACAAAGCACTCAGTCGATTCTTCTTCACCTAATTTGAATATTCTCGAGAATATAACAAATGTTCAGCAAAGTTAATAATAAACAAAAGTTATGTAAAAGAACTAAACAAGTAATTGTACGAATGTGAAATGTATGTTATTGTTCTCGGGTTCTACATAATAATATTGAACCGCTAACAATTTAAACTTTATTGATCAGGAACGCCAAACGGCTTAGTCCTTACTAATTTCCACCTTAAGTATATCATTCTAGTTGTATAATTCCAGTTAGTATAATCGCAATAAGAAATAACACGGGTCCTTTGCTTAACGACCTACGCCTGCTTGTAATTTCAATTTAACATTTTAATCTATAGTCATTATAAAGTATATATTCAAAAAATAAAGCCTGCTATATGGTGTGCAACTGCCTTCTCGTTTTTTTTTGTTTTTTTTTTCCTGATTATGTTTTAACGATCCGAATTTACTAACAAACCTACCCGAACCTTAATCCTATAACAAACTCTAATCTCAACAAGGTTGTATCAAGCCCGTTTAGCTGAAGGTCAAAATTAAATAACACTCTTACATCTCTCTTGAAGAGTTAACTTGAATATTATGCACTGAATATGTAGTTGTAAACAGTATCTTTGTATTAAAGTTAAAAACATTTAGTTTGCTTCTTGAATAACTAAATGATAGACGGGCTTAATACAACCGGCCCTGGTAAGGAGAATCACACAACCACTGCCTATGTGTTCTGCTCATAACGTTAAAGAAAGGTGCCGCATTCGAAAATTGCGCAAATTTTTTTTGGAAAAAATTCCGGTCTGTTACATTATGGCCTCTCGCGCATGCGCCCTTCTGTACCCCTCATGCTCTTTTCATATTTTGCATGGCAAACCAATATTATGATATGTAGACAGTGCAATATTTCAAAAGATATAACATTCAAAATGTAAACAAAGCGCTTGTTTGCATTCCATACTAACATTACTTCACGAAACAAACCTGAGCGGATTTTACCTGCGTGAATACGGATTACCGGAAATGTGAGAAATTTGGAATCTCGTCCCCAGGAAATTTATTGGAAATTTGTTGAGATAGAATAGAACAGAGAAATGTTGTTCCTTTTCTTACTACAAGGACCATCAAACATAATTAGCCGACCCAATTTACGAAATAGTGTTGTATGTAGACAATCTTTCGTTGTCATCGCGCGTGGGCCTCACGCAAGCCTCGACTGGACGCGGCGCCGCCATATTGAAAGAAATACATAATTCGAAAGGAAGGCTGAAAAATAATAGAGTAAAAAAACTTCAAAAAAGACAGCAATCTAGCGTTGGTTCGCTGCAAGAACTGGCCTCAATAGTATGCCTAAAGACGACAAACAACGAAGCCTCGATGTACTTGGTCTAGTCAGAAATGCTTCGAAAAGTACGGAACGTTTTGCCTGTCTAAAATTTCGACGGCTCGTAGTTTTGTGTGCGAATTTTTTTGGCCCATTCGAGTGAAGCGGTCGATTTTTCAAAGTTCACCCACTCGATGCGTCGATACGGCACGGCTAATACTAATGGCTTTAATCTATTTGTGTTTTTAGGTGATATAAGGTTAGCTTATTTCAAGAAATCGTTGTACTCTCATCCCGATTGCGACAAGGTATGAATTAAGATAGGACGCTTCATAATAATTTGTGTTTATTTACGTTCGAAATAACTTTATCTTCCCACTCAAAAACCTCAATCGGTGCTTTATAAGAGTCCAGTAGCAGACCAAGGGAGCCTGTTCGTGTAATGAAGACGTTTTTTGCGAGATTTTGTGCTTTTTTTCCGCAGAATAATAGCGATATGGCGAGTTTTTCTGATGTGACTCAAGCCTACAGCAATTTGTCAGGTAAATGAAACGCTTTAAAAAGATCCAATTTAGATTGACGATTCATACATGCTAGCATTCAATTTATTTAAATTAATCCTCAGTATAACATAATTTACAATACTCAAATCTAATTTAAAGTGTATATATTTAGAGTTTACTAACTACTTTTCTATATAAAATTTGTGTTCAGAAATTGTACGTTTTTATGTACAACTGTCAAAGATTTGCTTTCTTGTTTGTTATATCCTATGTAATGTGTAATTTTTATAATTTCTTAGATGGTTCTGATGGATTAACACCGGACGAGGTATATTATTGTCAAATGACACCTGATCTATTCTGAATGTCACATTAATACCATTCCATTAATATATTCTTCCTATCTGCCATATTTTTGTAAATTATTATTGCCAAACAGTATTCATAATTATTTGTTTTGATCAACACGCTTCTCCTGCAGCATTTTCTTTATTTCCCGTAGGTTTTCTTCAAGTTTTTTCAAGAAGTATTAAAGGATGGTGAGTTTGTTTGTCATTCTTCTCCTGTAGAAATCTCCAACTTGACAGCCCCAGTTCATAGAAAAGCTATTACTCTTTCTGTCTGAACACACAGATGCCCTTGTGATAGATGTTAATAAAAGGACTGCATTATGACATGGTTGTGGACAAAGCATGTTTACGGTTTGCCAATGCAGCTAGTTGGCCAATCAAAAGCATGCTTTGTTACAACATACACTTTATATACTCAATAGACCTTTCCCCTTTATATATTCAATTGAGCCTTTCCCCTCAAGCTCTCAATGCATGATGTAGTTGATTATCAAGGTCAATTTACGTTATTTCGCCATCAGGAACGATTTAGTTTAACAAAGTGGGAAAAAAAATCGGCAAAGTTTTCTTCCAAACAAAATCGCTTCTAAGTAGAGCGATATTGCAACTCAAAGTTTCTTGATAATCAACTACCTCACACATTGCGTGCTTGAAAGCTAAAAGGGGAAAGGTCTATTGACTTCTTCCCACAAATCCTTAAAGGGTTTTTACAGCACTCCTTTATATTTCTGAGAAAAATAACAAAATACAGGAGGATACTTCTTAGCCAACAATTAGACAACATGGGTCTGTCTTGATTTCAGAAAATCCACATTCATTACGGGCAATGCTTCAAGAACACGATGCTGCCAAGTGTGCAGATGATGAATATCGGTGAGGATGTGTTTTATTTAATACCTTAATTTGCATTGAAAAGCTATTACTATATTTGCTTTTGGTCTGGATTGAAATAAACAAGGACAGGTGTGATTTATAACACAAAATCTACAGCAATTTGGGTTGTTTTGTTTATAAAAACCCCAAGAATTCATCCTTATTTTAAAATAAAAAAATTAGGTTGAAATTTCCATAAATTTTCTTCCGTCTTCTACCTTTTTCCTGACATAACCCCAATGATATTTTGTTCCAATTTTCTGAATTTTTGTTATTCAACCATTCTTTACAAATCATTCTTTAATTGGCATTCTTCAAAGTCGTACACATATGCCAATGTTGTATTTTTCACATTGTATTTTTTTGTTGGTTCATGGCATTAACAGAAATGAATCTTTGCATTTCAGATGTGAAGATGACAATGAAATTGATGTTGAGCGAGAATTTGAACGATTACTTGAGATTCTAAAGGTTTGTTCATTTGAATTACAGCTGTAATATTCGGGAAAGGAAGGCCTGTTTGTCGCAAAGCTTAGTCCTTTTGAATTCATTTAGAACCGTAAAAAGAACAAGAAAGAGGTTCCTGAAGATATGACTCAAGAAAAAGTTGTAAGATGTCGAGACAATCTCGTACTGCAAAGAGAAGAAGCAAAGAGAGATCCGAAAAAGGTAAATGAATTATGTTTAAGATAAATACATCTCAACTATGAAACGTCCAATCAGAAAACTTGATTTGTACCATGTGATTAGGCAATTGAAGTGGACTTCCACTTAAGGAGAAATAGTTCACTAGCGAAATATTTGCACATTTTCTTTTTGAGAACAGTCATGTTGAAAGAAAATATGCAAATATTTTGCTAGCGAACTATTTCTCGGTAAATGGAAATCCTGCCTCAACTATAATTTTAGTTCCACCGACTTTCATCGCATGGTATAAAGGTTGAATTACTCTCTACAATTTCAAAGTTTTGTGTGGCATATGCGTAGATAATTCTTTCAAAATGTTGTCAAATTTTCCCCTGTGCTGTGTTTTACCGCACTCCTAGGATTGTATTCATAAAGAAATAAACAATACCGTGTTCTTTCTTGTAACAGCTTCCTCCTAAAAAAGGAAAGTCACAACCAGTCCCTGTTTCAAAGGTATGCAAGACCTGTCAAGATTTGAACAGATTTGCTAGAACTTGTTAACTCAAGATTTTTACAGTATGCAAGATGTATTATGATAAAAAAATGCCTTGAAGCCTAGTTCCTATTATGATAAAAAAAAATGCCTTGAAGCCTAGTTCCCAATATGACTAGTGCTACAGTGCTGTAATTGTCATGAACATGTCATTTTTACCGATAAAAAAAAGGTCCGGATGTAAATTTGTCATTATTTCTGTATTCAAATCGGTCATTGTTGACTGCACGTAAAGAGAAATATGACACTTACGACTTAATGCAAACTGGTCGTTATTATTAATTCATTAATTCATCAAAACCTCTGGTTTGTAAAGTGCTTAAATGTTCTTTCCAGTGCATTTAAACTGGCAGATTTTGGATTTAACAATGCCCCTTTTGAAATACGGATTTTGTCGAAATCTTTGCGTTCAACGTGGTTGTATAAAGTAACTATCGAGGACGATTTAAGAGCGTTTGTAACTCTGTCCTAGAAGAGTTATTCATCCATTGGACAGCAAACAGAGTTGAAGCATTCTAAAATGTTCATTTTATTAAAATTTTCAGCCCAAACCCAAAAGCAAGAAACAACTTCTCGCAGAACAGAGGCGAAGGGAAAAGGTATGAGATAAATAACTTTAATGTTTTTATTTCTACGAAAGCTTGAGCTCGCGGGCATGAATACTCAGTCCTACGATACAGTCTTGTATAATAACATTATTTCTCGACAAGGCAACTGTAATCTTTTCTCAAACCTTGCAGGAAATGGAAAAAATCGCAGTTGAACTCGAACAGAAAAAGAAAGAAGACGAGGAGAAAGAGAAAAACAGAAAACAGGTAAAATAGATCTTCCGTTTGCTGTTCAGCTGTTGTGATGGGTTATTTCAGAAGAATGGCATCCAATACCACAGCTCCCTAAAGAGAGCATCGTCTGTTGAACAATCCATAAACTTTTCGATATTTTCCGTTCAGTTGGAAGCTGTGAAACAAAAACGTCTCGAAGAGGAAAGAAAGAAAAACGAAGCGGAAGCACGGAGGAAAAGAGAAAGGTCAGCCCCAGTCCTTAAGGGAATAAAATGAATATCTTTGTTAAAAGAAAAAGATAAATAATACAAATGTTTCCCTTTCGCTAAACTGTTAAAATTTCTACACCAAATTGTGTCTTTGAAGAGCTCCAGTTCCATATGCAACACAATGTTCAGTATTTAGTGTTTCTGTCCAAAATTTGAGAAAACTAAAGTGCATTTTGTTGTTTTGAACAGAGAACAGAAAGAGCGGGAAAGACAACAAAAGTTGGAACAAGAACGGGAAAGAAAACAGAAGGAAGAGGAAGAGAGACGGAAGAAAGAAGAAATGAAACGGAAGAAAGCGGAGCAAGAAAGAATCGAGAAAGATAAGGCTGAAAAAGCTGCAAAGATCAAGGTTTGTAACCTGTCATCTTGTGACTGGCCTTCATAGTAGAACAGTTCAGAACTGGCGGAGTATATATCAGTCAGTGTGTGAAAACTGTGAGCATAGTTTTTGTTATCTACAGTATTGTTTTTTTATTTTCTTTTAGGCAGCCCAGCAGGCGGCAAAAGGTGAGTAGATTGAGCGATACGTTTTAGACGTAAACTTATTATCACCTCGGTATTTTGAGAAATGTCGTTATAACGATTATTGTGATACACCATTCCCATGTTTCTCTTTCCTGTTGTATAGAAAAAGAGGAACAGGCAAAGAATGCAAATAAGAACCAGGTGCGTTGACACTTGACTTTTAGATACTGAACCATGTCGACCATTGAAAAGTTTCGTACAAACTCTCGCTTGTCAACTCTCGTGCAACTCTTGTTCTCGTTTCTCCATGACATGACAGTTTATTAGACTCCTCTAAATTTTTATGTTTTCACTATATTTTTACTAAAGAATCTCAAACGAAACCAACCTCAGCGTAACGATCAAACCTACCCCCGTGAAATACCGCCAAGGTTTCAGCGAAGAATGAAACAGCAGCAGCAGCAACAACAGCAGCAGCAACAACAGGCTGTGTTTCCACAACAACCACCTAGCACCTCAGTTTCACAGATAACACCCGTACAGCCACAAGCAAGTGGGAGTACGCAGAACCAACAAACATTACAGTCCAAAGCTGTGTCGAAACCAACGCCCGCAGGTGAGGTTTCCTCCTGTAGTAACACTGGATCAATAAGAGATGATCCTTACTGGACCTCTAGGAAGAACAGTTTAGAACTGATAGAGCTATCCAGTATAAATAAAGTTAGTTTAGTTTAGGTTTCCTCCCGTAGTAACACTGGATCAATAAGAGATGATCCTTACTGGACCTCTAGGAAGAACAGTTTAGAACTGATAGAGCTATCCAGTATAAATAAAGTTAGTTTAGTTTAGGTTTCCTCCTGTAGTAACACTGGATAGCCGATTTAGGTGAATACGATTTTACAATGCAAAGATATTAATTTGTGCTTCTTTGCAGTGGGCAAGAAAAAGGATCCGCAACGTTGGACCAAAGGTGAGTATACAGGAATAATTGAGGACATTCAGGATGATTCAGGGTGGTCGAAGGCACCACCCGCGAAAACGTCCGAGAACTGGGAGGACACTACGGAAGACTGGGGATGTGAAACTACATCTTGGGATGAAAAGCCCAGTGGCGATGAACGCGTGATTGTGGATAAGACAGATCAAGACTCTTGGCCAACCGTTGGAGGCAAGGGTCAAAATAGGGACGAAATTTTTGGAAATATTGAACCGATTTCCGAGAAAGAAAGCATGAGTACATTTGGCGATTCTTTGGACGCGGTCATTGATGGAATGGAGGCGGCCGAGGAGGCTGCTGGGGCTGGTTTAATGAACTCTGGGAAATGGAGTGAGGAAAATTCTGGGAAAAATAGTAATAACAGCAGCGTTAGTAATTTGTCGCAAGATTTGGATAAAAACCAAACTTGGTCGAAAACTCCAGGAAAGGATGCTAAGGGAAAAGGAAATACGGAAAGCAGTTCCGAGAATTTGTCCAATTCTTGGGAAGAATCCGCTTCCGGTTGGTCGGAAGGTACGTCTGACATGAAGCAAAACACTTCCGGTTGGGATGAGAGTACTTCCGGTCTCAGCCAAATTACTTCCGGTTTGAAACAAAACACTTCCGGTTGGGGTGACGGTGCTTCCGGTTTGAAACAAAATACTTCAGGTTTGAATCAAAGTACTTCCGGTTTAAAACAAAACTCTTCCGGTTGGAACGAAGGCACTTCCGGTTTAAAACAGAATACTTCCGGCTTGAATCAAAGTAATTTAAAACAAAACAACTCTGGTTGGCAAGAACAACCTGACGTTAGCGATCAATGGAAGGCCGTTGGTCAATCCGGGAATAAACCTGAACCCGCGCCGAGCGAGGAAACGGGTTGGGGCGAGAGCTCTGCGATGAAACGGAACAGCGGCAGTCAATGGGGTGCTTCTTGGCACGGGTTGAGTTTGACTGGGACCGAAATTTGGGACCAAAGTAGCGCCGATGAGAAAGGGACTGGTGATAAGGGAAGTGACTGGACTTCGGAGGACATAAAGGGTAATACGGATTCAGGATGGGATTCAATAGGACAATCGGAGGACGCACAAGATAACTGGAACAGCTGGTCTACTGCGGGCTCCAAAAGGAACAAGGTTAGAGCTGCGATAAATTCTGTTTACAATCTTTAACACGAAATGATTTCGAGCAATGACCTTTGCGAAAGGTGTTTTGCGATATGAGCGGTAAAAATGACTTTCCACGTATTCATTTTTTCTTGCATTTTGGGCATGTTTGGCGAAAAACGTTCTACACCACACATTAAAGCATTCATAGTCTAGTCATAGTCTCCTAACTGAATCTTCCTCTCCATTTTCGTTGTGCATTCACAGTCTGTCATTCCTTCGCTTTTTAGGCGCTTAAAACTAACCCAACCAATGACGAGAATGCTTGGCTCAGACGATCACTCAAACAACTCGTTGACATGGGTTTCAAGGTAATGAATTGTTTTTAAATCAGGGGCGAAGAATAATTGATTAAAATCAGCTAAACCATGACTATTAATCGTCAAAACACTGCTGGGAAGTTATGAGTGTTCATTTCAAGGATTTTCAGAGGTCAGGCCCAGATCTTAAGTTTAGGCCAAGTGGAACTGCGCTTACAAACTGGTCCATTGCTGGGTCTGAACCGATGAAACATCGCAATAACAGTCTTTGTAATATTATTGAACTAAAAGGGGAAGGAATACAAGTTAAAGTTGGGGAGGAGGAGTGCAAGTTAAAGTTTGGGGGGAAGAGTGAAAGTTAAAGTTGGGGAGAGGAGTGCAAGTCAAAGTTGGGGGGAGGAGTGCAGGTTAAAGTTGGGGGGGAGGCGTGCAGGTTAAAGTTGGGGGGAGAGTGCAAGTCAAAGTAGGGGGGAGGAGTGCAGGTTAAAGTTGGGGGGGAGGCGTGCAAGTCAAAGTGGAAATTCGCAAAGAAGTGTACTTTTAGGAAAGGTTTTTGTCGTCACTTTAAAAGTAGAGGTGGCATACCCCTGATCCCACCCTTTACCCCTCACCTTAATTACATTTGATTTTCTTCTATTTCAGGAGGTTGATGGAGAAAAGGCTCTGAAATCCAATAACATGAGTTTGGAAGCAGCTATAAGTAAGTCCTGTTTCCTAAAACGCTTTCTGCCTGCCGATTTTGTCAGACTAACTAAGAGCGCCTATTTTTGTTTCTTAGGTCAATTGCTTGGTGGTCAGGGTACACCACCCGGGGGTCATGTCTCGATGCGAACTTCTCTACCATCGGAGCTAAATTCCGAGGCAACCGGCCTCGAACAAATTGAAGATCAGGACGTTTCGAAATTGAACAGGAAACAACGTCGTCGGCTGATGCAACAAAATGCAGGCGCCGAAGTTCAAGCGACGAATTCCGAACCTTTGCCGCAAACGTCCGAAGCGACCGGAGTGAACATGCTTCCGGTAAGCTCGGAAGTAGTTTCGGAAGCCCCTCGGGCTCCGATCTCTTCCGACATGCCCGTGGAGTATGGAAATGATTCTAGTCAAAGTGAGCAATCGGTAGACGAAAGGAGAACTGCGATGGTAAACATGCGTAATGTAAATCCGGGTATTCCCGGCAGTGGACCGGTTACCGGAAGTGGACCTGTCACAGGAAGTAGTAACACGTTAACTTCCGGTTCGATACTCAATTCGGCACCAGTCCGCGCGCCGATTCCAGCGGTCTATCAACAACAGTTACTCCAACAACAAGCTCAAGCTCAGTTACAGCAATTGCGGTTTGCTCAGGCGATGCAAAATCCGCTGGCTTCACAGCCAGTCATACTCCTTAGACAACTGTCGCAACTCAGGATCGTTCAGCAACAGTTGGTTGCCCAGCAACAGATGTTGCAGAAACAGACTTCGAGCGCGACGAACACATTGCAGGCTCATCAAAATGTCCTACAGCAACAGCAGATCGGCGCCATGATGCAACAAATTCAGCAGAAACTCGTTCAACAACAACAGTTGCAGCAGCAGACGCAACAACAACAACAACAGCAACAACAAATGGCGCCAAGCCAGTTCCCGTCTGCTGCGCAAACACAAACGTTACTTTCGACTACGCAGCCGCAGTTGCAACAGCTGTTGCTACAACAACGTAAACAACAACAACAGCAGCAACAACAGATGCAACAGCCGCTGAAACAGACTCCGATTCAGGCACCGCAGCGGCTGACAGAGCATGAAACAAACGCTGTGCAAGCCCCTGATGAGAATTCCCCTCGTGAGGTGAAGACAATCTCCCCAAGGTCAAGTATGACAAAGGAACCGACGTCTCTCGTGCAGGTTGTTAACTCTGCGCCGGCGTCGCCGAGCACCGGCAAGTCACGATTAGGACAGTGGACTCAGAACTCGATACAGACGGAGCAACGGCTTTCTCCCAAACCGCCCGAAAGTGGCGGGCGAGATCGGAATATGCGGGCATCACCCCAGCCCGACGCCTCCCTTCTCGTAACAAGATCAACGAACTCACCAAATACGATGCATACGCAATCGAATTCGGCTCCAATTCACCGTGTCTTGGACCCAGTCTCCAGTAAGTGGGGCATCGACGCTGCTCCAAAGCTCTCGGCCGAGCCCCCAGAATTCAAACCGGGCGTACCCTGGCGGCCGTACCAAACGAAGTCGGGTACGGACGGACAACAGTCGGAGGTACCCGTGAGTACCGGATCTCAGGAATGGTCGAGTAATTCCGTCGGCAGTCAGAGCGTTTCAAACGTGAAAACAACAAACAGTAAAAGTCAAATAACATCTATGAAAACAGTTCCGAATTCTCAGAATTATTCTCAGAATACTTCGTCTGCCATATGGCAAGCACCAGTTTCCAGACCGGCCGGCGTTCAAAGGCCTGCTCCCCTCATCTCAAATATCAGACCTCCCCCCGGACTTGGGAGCGAAAATAGCTTTATGAATCTCCCGGATGTACAGAGTCAACCAGCCGACCCGAATTGGAGTGCCCACGGTGATAGCGCGCAGATAAGCAGCGGTGGTTCGAGTCAATTTGGTATCAGGGCACCCGGCTTTCAACCTTGGCCGAGTGATCGCCGTGATGCAGGTTGGCCTGGAACTAGCGGTCAACCGCTGGATACTCTGCCTTCAGTACCGCGGGCAAATGAGCTTCGTAATCTGGCAATGTTGGGTGAATCCGCAGCGAATGCAAATGCAAACGGACCGAATATGCGTGTTAAACCTGAGATGACTGGTCAAATGTCTTTCCATCATGCCTTGTCCACGTGGTTGGTGATTAGGAATATTAATCCAAGGGTAAGTGATCGTACCGTAGTTAATTTTATTCACCCTGGATAGTTCTATCAGTTCAAAATTGTTCTTCCTAGAGGTCCAGTAAGGATCATCTCTTATTGATCCAGTGTTACTACAGGAGGAAACCTAAACTAAACTAACTTTATTTATACTGGATAGCTCTATCAGTTGCAAACTGTTCTTCATAGAGGTCCAGTAAGGATCATCTCTTATTGATCCAGTGTTACTACAGGAGGAAACCTAAACTAAACTAACTTTATTTATACTAGATAGCTCTATTTGTGTTAAACAGTTTTTCCTATAGAGGTCCAGTAAGGAACCTCTTTTTAATTTTAAACTTGATTTCGCACCAAATTTATCTAAACGAATTTGTATCTGTTCATTCAAGGTTGATTCAACAGCACTTCGCTCTTTGTGTCAACAACACGGCCCTTTATTGACATTCCAGTTAAACTTGCGTTATGGTAACAGTTTAATACGTTATGGGAATAAGGAAGAAGCTGCGAAGGCTCATGCCAGTTTGAACGGTCTGGTTTTAGCTGGTTCCCGGCTTTCCGCTGACTTTGCTACAGATTCTGATATCGGAAGCTTCTTTGAACAGAATTCTGATTGGTCAGCTCCACAGCCAACCACAACTTGGGCAAATGCTCCAACATCATTGGCCAAGACTGAGCCGAGCACACAGTGGCCTGGATCGAAACCTCTAATCCCGCCCGCGAATTTCTCCTCAGAGTTATGGTCTTATAGTCAGGCCGGCGGGCTAGCGAGCGGAGTTTGGTCGACACCTCCGACCAGTCGTCGAGAGGGCGAACAGTCGACGACGGTCACCGAAAACGGAATCACGAGTCCCTCCATGGTTACCTTTCTACCTCCAGGCCTTTTGAACAGCGGCGAGTCCTCATAAACTTCAAAATGAATGACAATTATTTTACCTTTGCTTGTTTTGTTTGTCTTCTGTTTGTTTGTTTGTTTGTTATGGTCCATGTCTGAACCATGTTTATTATTGTCCCCCAGCACTGAACAAGTGTCGGAGTTAAATGTCGTCTGTAAAAACGAGACCGTTCATTAAAACAATATCACAAGAACTTCGAGTTTTTGTCATTGTTTCTTATGCTAGAATAAGAGGAATCTTGTTTTGAACCAATCAGCAAGTTTGTGTACATTTTCCGTCAACCAATCAAAATGCACAAACACTTTTCGGTCATGACCGAGTATGCCCCTAGACCATCGATCCTCAACTGTTTCTTAATTCTAGCCCCTGTTTCAAGGACCAAAAATCCAAAAAACGAAAAGTTGTTATTCGGGTCTTAAAATACAGCTTCAAATGTCCTATTTTTTATAAGTCAGAAGAGTGACGTTTTCCAGAAATGGAAATCTTAGGAAATTCAACTCAGAGCTGAAGGAATTCCCAGTAACCGGAAGTCAGTGATAACAAAATAGAATTTCACGATGGCTGGGGATACTTGGTGAGTTAATTTTTCATTATTTTCAGTTTTTTATGCGGTTTTTGTGCGTATTTTTAACAAGGTTTACCTTTTAGTACATTAAGTTAAACTTTAGAGTTAAGATCTATCCTCCACAGTTTGATATTCAACTGTATATTTCGGTTTAAAAATGCGTAACTGATACAAAATGTCACCAATCTTTGTCAATGATTACGTAATGTATAATATCGTACATCGTCATTTTAGTTTATAGTGTTATTAAGTGATTGGGAACTTGTTAAATTTTTTTCTACCAGTGGTCCCCAATGGTCAGCTTGTGTGGTGTTTGTAATAATGTCATAGTAAAGTTATAGTAATATACTTATTATACTAAGTCAATCTACTGTCAGTACTGTCACAGAATACCTATCAGAAGTAGAACTCTATACTATTTTTTCGTAAGTGTGATTCGTCATGATTTGTCACTTAGCAAGTGCTTTTTTTTTTGAGGCAGTCACCCCCCTGCCAATACTAAAAATGCGCTGATTTTAGACATTGGCAGGGGGGTGACTACCTCAAAAAAATGCACTTGCTAAGTGACGAATCATGACGAATCACACTTACGAAAAAAGTACAGGAGTTCTACTTCTGTTAGGTATTCTGTGGTACTGTGGTATGTTCAATGTTGTTATTGTAAGTCCAATCAGGGTAATCTGCAGTGAATGGCTTAGCAGATTGCATGGTATTGCTAGTCTCCTAAGGGTAAAGAGCAAATTTAGGTCTTCGATGTTGTGTATAAATACTAGTTTGTTATGCACATGCCCAATATTCCATCCTTAGCCTTCGAGATATGCGTGTATCTGGGTGTGTTCAATGTGATGCATGGATTTAAGAGATAATGAAATAGCTATGGCAGGGCAAAGGTCTGGTGGCGTGGTCTTGTCAGATTCATTATAATTTACTGTGTGATGTTTCAGGGTGACAGACTGTAGGTCTGTTGAAACTCTTGGAAATGACATCATGGAAAAGTTGAATGAGAAGAACCGTTTGAAGCGGTCTGGTTCAAATTACTCCAAGGTATACTTTGGTTCTTTTAAGGCAGTTTCTTAATTATCAGATTGGTTATGATCTACCAATTCAATCCTTGCAAAGCTGTTTCCATGACAATTTTTCCCTCAGGTTGACACACAATGCCGTCTAATGCTTCAAAATTACTCCAAAGAGCTTCAGCAATTAAAAAGCAGTCTGACCAGAGCTGCTTCGTCATATCACATGTATCCTTTGACCATGATGAAATTCCATCATTCAGAGTACCATCGTGCAGAATACCATCATTCAGAGTACCATCATTCAGAGTACCATCATTCAGAGTATCATCATTCAGAGTACCATCATTCAGAGTACCATTGCTCAGAGTACAATCATTCAGAGTACCATCGCCCAAACGACCATCACTCAATGCATCATCACTTCATCAATCATTCAAAATACCATCACACAAATATGTTAATCGAACTTTGTGATTGCTTTATGACAACTTAACTGTCACACAGAACAGAACGTGAAGCTGAGAGAAGACAAGATATGATTGACCAGCTTGCTAGCAAGTGAGTTATAATACTAAATCATCTCTTCCAGCAAACATAATCCAAGCTTCAACAAAATTACTTATTATATTGGAACAGTCTGACCTCATGAAATTTTTTTTACAACAGAGAGAAACGACTAAAGGCAGCATTCGTTCAGGAATCAGTTCAAACGGATTACGGCAGGTAAAATACGGCAAGTTTGCGAAAACAAACCAGATTTCATGCATTAAAATTGGGAAAACAAATGGAGTCCACCGTGAAAGCAGTTAAGACCAGTGTTTATGACTTTATGTTCATAACTTGTTGTTTTTAAAACAAATTCTCACTTTCACATCTTTCAAAAGACAAAAATCGCCGCAGGAATTGCTTTTGTAACTGACAAGCTTCTGCTGGCATTTCATTTTTCAGAGGTTCATTACTGGACACCGGTCCATCTCGTGGCTTCCCGTCTGATCCGTGGTCTGCTGATGTGGAGTCCGATTACACGATAAACAAAGGTGTTGGCGAACTCAGACAACAACAACATCAAATAATAAGAGGTAAAATGAATGAACTAGCGAGTTAAATCCTTGATAAAGCAATGCAATTCACATTTTACCGTCTTTCGTTGAAATGGACATTTGTGTACATCGTGCAAAGTTTTGGCGGGAAAATGTTCAAGACGTAAAGTCTTCCCAGATTAACACCACAAATTACTTTATTGTGGTTTTATTTTTTCGCTTTATTGTAGTTTTTTCTTTTGCTTATATATTAAACTAAGTTTTGGTACTTTGGCAAAACGCCAAAGCGATGTAAACAATGTGAAAATACATATTATTATCACATGTATTAGCGGAGATATTTCAGACCGCGAATACTTGTTTATTTATTGGGGTTCGTTGTTTTTTGCGACACCCTGTAGTCGATTCTCAAAGCACAATGGTATTTCATTTCAGAACAAGACAAGGGACTAGAAGCTCTGTCCGAAGCTATTCAACGTCAGAAATTGATTGGACATGCAATCTCTGACGAGGTGGATGAGCATAACGGTATGGTGGTAGTTGAAGCTCTCGCTTATTTAACGAGATTTTCTGTAATTTGTGTATTTCCGGTGGTGTTTTTTTAGAAATTATCGATGATCTGCACAGCAGTGTTGAGAACACCAACCGAAGATTGATCCGTGAAGATGCTCACGTTAGGAAAGTCACAGCAAAATCTTCAAGTTGTGGTAAGTTGATGAAACTCTCATACAAACTCTCGCTTGTCAACTTTCATGCAACTCTTGTTCTCGTTTGTCCAGGACATGACAGTTGATGAAACTCTCATACAAATTCTCGCTTGTCAACTCTCATGCAACTCTTGTTCTCGTTTGTCCAGGACAAGGCAGTTGATGAAACTCTCATACAAATTCTCGCTTGTCAACTCTCATGCAACTCTTGTTCTCGTTTGTCCAGGACAAGGCAGTTGATGAAACTCTCGTACAAACTCTCGCTTGTCAACTCTCATAGACTCTCGTGCAACTCTTGTTCTCGTTTGCCAAGGACATGACCGTTGATGAAACTCTCGTACAAACTCTCGGTTGTCAACTCTCATGTAAATCTTGTTCTCGTTGACCCGGACCTGACATTTGAACTAATGCAAATTCGCGCTTGCTAACTCTTATCTTCAACTTTTTCTTTCGACAGTAATGATGGTCGTTATTGTTCTACTGTTGATCACCATTGTCGTGGTCGCCGCTGTTCCGAAGAAGAGTTAGTACGACGACTTCACCAATCAAGGATAACAATAGTATACAGATGAGTTTGGCTTTTGTTTGTTTATACTACAGTAATTACTACGTCCAATACCCGTTAACTTTAAACCACCTCTGCGAAAAACACTGCAAATCCTGCAATTTGTGTGTGAACAGTTGTCAGCCAAATTTGTCCGTAAATAATGGATTAGGTGGGTGGCTCTTAGTGCTGCCTGGCTTAGAATTTGTAGATTCGTGAAGGAACTATTTAGTGCACCTGATTTTCGTTATTTGTCAGATCGACCAATCAAAATGCGTGAATTTCACACTGATCTTATGTTCATTGGATATAGCAACTGTAGCAATCAAAAACTTACCCAGAATTATTGAAAAAAATACATCGAGTTCTAGGAAGGGTTCGACTTCTAAATCAATCTTAAGTCCAGAGCTGATAGCGACGTTTAAGATAGTATTTTTTATTTTTCTGGGTCTACGGAAGTTCACTAATTCTGGCTTTGTTTTTGCCAACTAAATTGGCATAGTTGCTTCATCCAGTGTTCTATTAGACCAGTGGTATATACTGCCTTATAATGAACAATTATTTCAATAATTATTTAATATTAGTAGGATTACGTATAGTTGTAGCACATCAAATTGAAATCTATCCATTCAAACTCATGAATATCAAACGTTATATTTACACTCAATATTTTTGATACAAAAAAAAATTAGCAACAATAGATTCAAATTCGACTAGATACTAAATGCAGCGTATCGCTGATCTGGATATGAACTGGATGGCGTGAATAAAGACTGCGCCATCCAGTTTTGATGTGCCATCCAGTGGTATAAACTTTTTCCCAACAGTATTTGTAGTATATTTACTATGTTTCACCCGAGTCTAGAAAAATCTAAACGATTTCTACTTCAAATACTCTATGTTACATAAATATCCTTTTTAATTTAAATAACAACGTCGCTTTCTGCATTCGGGGCACGGTTTAGTTCTATCAGACTGGTAACTAGCAGCTAAACCCTTGAGCTTCGTATATATACCTGGAGCGACTGTGCGATCTCCCGCTCCAGATATATATCTAGTGCGGCGTCACCGGGCATTATATACTGCCATTACACGAAGTATCTATGCTTCGCAAATATATTTATACCCCAAGCTCAGTGGCAAATCGTGCACCGAAACTGTATATTAATAACATGTGCATGCATTCAATATGTTCACCCCCTACCCCCCCCCCCTTCCTTCCAAGTCCACCTATCGCCTGCACCCAAGGGCTAGCCTATCTCAGTGAACCCCTCAGACCTGTTCCTCCACCTTCGTGCTCTCTGTACACGCTCTTTTTCTCTGTCGTTTTTGAAATTTCGCGATTCTCTTTGAAACGTTCTCGGACCATTGCGTGACGACGGTCCGCTGACTGATAACGATCCCTTTTTGAATTTCGTGGATGTCGTTGAAACCTACAATCAGGTAGCGTCGCTTGTGCCTGAGTTTGGGGCAGCTGCACTTGAAGTCACGTGTTCGTACCCAGACCGCTTTCTTGCCCGGACGCAGTCGTGTCTCGCCTGTCCATTTGAAGACCTGTTCTATTTCGACCGTGAATTTCATCCAACCTTTGACATTTTCTCTAGCAAGGATTTGTACTTTGATGCCTGAATCAGAGAAGATTGATTCATCAAAAAAACGTCGAAAATCAAGTTATATTTCCACGCAATTTTACAAGTTTTGGATTTCTCTTTTTTTCTAAGTAATTCGGAAAGGCTTACCGAAATCTCTTTTGCAGTATTTCGTGACCGACAGCAGCATAGGCCGGCATTGTTTGCAATCTATTCAAGAGAATTATTCAGTAAAATGTGCAATGTATGGTGGGGTTAATGTTGCGTTTACAAAGTTTTCAAATACTCACTTGTGTGTCTTGTCTTTTTTCGAGGTTCGCCACGTTTCACGTCTGAAAAAAATAATTTGAAACTTGAACAATGGGAACATTACCAACATAAATGACCATACAGTTCTCACTGTCCTCATCGTTAACTTATAGCTATGGTACTGGTCATGGCCATGGTACTGGTTACGGCTATGGTACTGGTCATAGCTATGGTACTGGTCATGACTATGGTACTGGTCATGGCTATGGTACTGGTCATAGCTATGGTACTGGTCATGACTATGGTACTGGTCATGGCTATGCCCGCTATGGTACTGGTCATAGCTATGGTACTGGTCATAGCTATGGTACTGGTCATGACTATGGTACTGGTCATGGCTATGGTACTGGTCATGACTATGGTACTGGTCATGGCTATGCCCGCTATGGTACTGGTCATAGCTATGGTACTGGTCATAGCTATGGTACTGGTACTATGGTATTAGTCATAGCTATGGCACTCGTCTTACCTACGCAAGGCGCAGCTTTGGTCTTTGTTTTTCTGTATTTTGGTTTGCATTCATTGCATGTTCGTCCAGTCACTCCTTCCTTGCAGGGACACTGTCCCGTGGCTTGGTCACAGATCTCTCCCCTCGATCCCACTGGATGACACTTACATTCTAAATGCAAGATGGATACCTTTGCAATTGCTACACAATCAAACACTTCAAATTATTAATTAAAAATAGCTTTATTATATATTTTTGTATTAATGGTTTCGAGTATATCGGCATTAGAAAAACTTTGGTGAAAGAAAGACCTTGTTATTCTGAAATTCTCGTTTCCGAGAGTGTAGGTACCAGTTTTCTTTTTTATCGGCCAAAATTGGGCGTCGGCGCAAATGGCGACCAACTGCCACAAGTTTCCAAACATTATGCTTCCGAAATCTCTTGATGGCGATTCCGCGCCGATCCGTCTCCAGACCGACGTACCATTGACGGTAAAAGCCCTTTTATTGACCGGCGCTTTACCGCGCGAATATATACTAAAAGAACAGCAGTGCGGCTTGCGGGAGACAAATCCCACGCATGCGCAGTACACTTGAAGTGTCATGGTCGCTACGCTTAATTGAGAAACAAAAGACCCGTGCTGTGTTTATTGTAATTGATCCTAAGATGGTTCATTGTCAGATTGGTTGAATAATAGTCCTGCCTAGTGTATTGTTTCTGCCTTTTGTCATTTGTGTTCTCTTGAGGGCGCTAATGAAAGTTTGACTGAACCTTTATTCAGTCAATCTGAGCACAAAATACATTGTCTGTGTTCGTTAATCCCGCGCTGAAAATGGATCAGAATAATCGACATGTTTAATCGGAGGTTGATGGTCAAGTTCTTTCACTATTGAACAAGACTCGTAGCGTTTGTTTCGCGGTAAACAGGTGTAGCTGATGTTGAATGTTATAGCTAGATGATTAATGTGTCTATAAATGGTAGAACACGTATAGCACCCGAGGACTTACTTATACAAGCTTTCCTATGAGTGATATCCTTTCCTTTATCCCGGTAATAACCTTGTTTACAATAATGGCAGAACCTTCCTGCCGTATTGTGCCGGCAGTTGAGACATTCACCGCCATGGCCTTCCAGCCGATAAAGTTCAGCATTAAAACGACAGTGTTTCGCGTGGTTACTGCAGTTACAAGCTGTCAACATAAAGAGGTATGTTTTTGAGTCGGTGAGCGTGTTTATAGTTTTATAACAGTATTTGATACTTGAATACGGAAAGTCATTAGGTAAGGCTAATCACAAAGTCAAAACGAGCCATATTTTGCTATATGACTTTACTTAACAACGCTTTAGGTACTTTAGTACCCACAGCGATGTTAGTTAGCGAGTATGTATAATCGCAGAGAAAATGCGATCATTATTCACGTTAAGGTCTGTTCACACGATCCAATTTTGTTGGATCCAATTCACTGCTGACGTATGAAATATAGTCCGTTATTGATAAAGCAGTAATGCATTGGCTTCAGCGAATTTGCTGCTCATAAACATTACTAGACAACAGACTATAAAACATCCATCAGAAGTGAATTGGATCCGACGAAATTGGATCGTTGAACAGACCTTTATGCCGACGTACCTCCGAGTTGCATGCTCGGAAGGCAACGTACCTATGCATTCGTTAGCGCTCTCAGCCGTAGCTCTCATCCAGGGCCGATCTTGATAAAATGGTGCGCATTTTTCGCAGTTCACCCCGTCTGTGTTGTGCATACAGTCGCACACCAACTTTCCCTGTGCGTTCTTGACACATCTCGAAGCATGCCCGTTGCAACGACATCGGCCTCCGACCGAAAAGTCGGACACGCCGTAATACAACATGTCCTTATTCGCACCCAAGTATCTACGATTACCACTGATTTTCATGAATACCACCTAAATTATTGATAATATTGATAAAAAAGCGATGATAATGGTGATCAGAAAAATAGATCAGCATGATTATATTGTAGCCGATGATTATATTATACACAATAATAATAAGGCAATCAGATAACAATAGCCAAAAATAGTAATGCTATCTAGTGATGATATAGTTGTTAAATATTGAACAATAATAGTGATTATAATCAATTAATAATATTTATGATAACAATCGCTAAATCAAATGATCAATTACGATGGCAATCTCTTCATGTGTGTTTAGACCAAGGCATACCTTAATATCAGTAGCAGTCACCCACTCCTGCAGTAACTCGTTTGTGTCGATATTCGGGGCAGAGGGTCGCCCTTCCAAAGTACTGAACGCAATCCTTCCTCCCCGAAGAGGTCGCAACAGATGTGAATCCGTACAAAGTGCTTCCACCTTGAAACCAAAATGAAATATATTATGATTATTTCGTACTTTTCAAATCAGCATTCTAATTTGCAGTAACTTCAGGAGAAGTTGCCTTGTAATCAAACAGAGTCGGTTTTGAAGTTGACATGAAACGAAATGAACGCATGTCTTGTGCGTTAGCATTTTTCGATATGTTTCAATGAATTGCACTGCGGAAGAAACAAAATCAGGATAAAAAACCAACCTCATTTCTATGGCTGACAATTCCCCGAGTGCTCTTGTGGAACATGTGCATGCAGCGATCCGCGTAGTACTGGTACGGAGTCCACGTGCGGCCGAAATCGTTCGATTTATAAATAGCCATTGCTTCAGGACGATAGGAGCAAAATTCCAGATTAATATAAGTTACATCGAACTGTTTTTCCAGGCTAAGGATCAGAGTGACATTTTCACGAGAGCCATCCAGTGGATCGGTCTGCCAGCAAGTTAGATCTGATGGATTATTGAGATCAGTGAGGTAAGCAGGGGGGTGCGCTAGATCCGGCTCACTTGCGTCGCAGATTCCGCAGCCTTCGTGACCGGTCTTGCAAAATTGCCGGGGTCCCTTTTCCCCGCATGTGTGAGTGACCTTGATCTTGCTCCGGTATGCGATGTTTTTGAATTCCGGGAGGCAGCGATGCGGACGGCCGTAACGATTGTAGCACGAATCTGAGGTAATTTCCTGGTCGTAGAATATCGTCACTGTTTTCGTTGATACTTCGTGTAGCAGAAATATCACGAGGAACAAATCTTTGAGGACAAATCCGTGCATATTCATGCTGTCCTTGCGAGCTTATTTGAAGCAGTTAATGATATCCGAGAGTCGCTCTATATAATAAAAAGCTTGTTAAGTTACATTTCTTGTGGTCCATTCATCTCGACAATCAACTAAACTAACTTTATTTACACTGGATAGCTCTATCACTTCTAACCTGTTCTTCCTAGAGGTCCAGTAAGGATCATCTCTTACTGATCCAGTGTTACTACAGGAGGAAACCTAAACTAAACTAACTTTATTTATACTGGATAGCTCTATCAGTTCTAAACTGTTCTTCCTCGAGGTCCAGTAAGGATCATCAATTATTGATCTAGTGTTACTACAGGAGAAAACCTAAACTAAACTAACTTTATTTATACCGGATAGTTCTATCAGTTCTAAACTGTTCTTCCTCGAGGTCCAGTAAGGATCATCTGTTACTGATCCATTGTTACTACTGGATGTTATACTGGATAGCTCTATCATTTCCAATGTGATGATCGGCCAATTTCGAATCGACTTACGAGCCTACATGCACGTATCCACACCAAAACCTAATCCACAGTCTCCATACATGTAAATTTAACATTGAAAATGCGCAAGTGATTCAGTGCAGAAACATTAGCATGTATGCATGCATAGCAATTCAAATGAAGCGAATGAACGCTTGATTAAACGTTCAAACAAACCCTTGTGAGTGACAGCCGCTTGTTTCAAAATTGTGCGTACTTACAACTTGCAAACTGTTCCAAAACTTTTCAATATCGAATCAACTTTCCCACAAGCAACGTTCCGGTGTAAATATGTAGCAAAATTCCTGCGGACTTCGCCGCGACAAGCTCTGTTATAATATAACTCTCCGCATGCTACCCTCGTTGACTATACTTACGACGAGCATATATATATAGCATCGTAATATAATGTTACCCAAAAAAGGCTATAGGCAACGTTGAACAGAGTCTCGCTCAGTTTTAGGTCGCCTCGACACAGCAGGACACCACGGAGGACTAGTCTATTTGTGGTATAAATGATCATGGGCTATTATGCGGTCCTGCTGTGCCACGAAAAGCAAACACAAAATAATTAGATAAATTGTTAGGAGATCTTAAACACAAGGGGCAATTACAATGTCCGCGGTAGGGATGAAGTGTTACGAACTTTTGATGAACTTATAGGGTCATTTGAATCTCTGCAGAGCTGACCGCAAGGGTTTAATAGGGAATAGTTAGTTTAGTTTAGGTTTCCTCCTGTAGTAACACTGGATCAATAAGAGATGATCCTTACTGGACCTCTAGGAAGAACAGTTTAGAACTGATAGAACTATCCGGTATAAAATATAAAGTTAGTTTCGTTTAGGTTTCCTCCTGTAGTAACACTCGATCAATAAGTGATGATCCTTATTGGACCTCTAGGAAGAACAGCTTGGAACTGATAGAGCTATCAAGTGTAAATAAATTTAGTTAAGTTTACCATTACATTGCACAGTTTTGGACAGAATTCACAAACAAGATAGTTAAATATTCTTCAAATGAAATCGCGGTACATCACACTCGCGTTACTCCAAACAATGTGTAAGTAGTTTTGTCATAAACTAAAGGTGTGAAAACGATTTTCTCTTGAGCAGACGAGTAATATGTGTGTTGAACAAAGAGATACAAAGGTATTAACGTTGTAAGCAAACAATAAACATTACATTGGCGCCGTCCACCGCTTCTTTTACAACACCGGAAATTGTACGACTATTTCGACTCTATTTGTCCTGCTTGAAAGAATAGCGGCCAAATAAACAAGGAATTTGGCTTTAAATTAAGCCTAGCACGCCCGAATTTACTGCAAGGCGGTCTGAGCACAGCCTTATATGTGGTTTTGGGCGAGTTCACTGAAACTATTTTTCAATTGTTTTTGCCATCAATGATAACAAAAAACGGCAGACAAGTTGATAGAAATATGATTAAAAATGATATCACACACGTATTTGAGATAGCCGTATATCAATTTACCCAATGCAAGACCAATTTACCCAATGCAAGATAAATTGCCTTTTTGTTATGAAGACTTTTTAAGTAACCCCGTCTCTTTCATTACAGGGGATTGGCTCTAATATGACAACCCATGCACGGTATGCATTATGAATAAGGTTAGTTCATTAATTTGTCCTAATGTGGAAGCATGCACTGCGAATCGACTTGCGTTAACGGGGCCGACTGCATGCATGGGCCGGATAAAAAACCGCGCTGGTTTTCACTATCGTTGCAGTATAAATATAGCTATATAATGCGCTATGCGTTGGCGTCAGTGTATACCTCGATACACTTTTATTTGCTCAAACAGTTGACACTTCGTGACTGCGTGTAGTCAAGCGACGTGCCAAGAAAAATTGTTTGCCAACCTTGAAGCCAGCGAGGTAGCCCGTCGCTGTATGTTTTTATTCTATCGTGTGAGAATTTACACTGTATGCCCGCTATTTTAGTTGAGCTGCTTGGCATGAATTCGCTTTAATACTGGCTCGTTTAACAGGCTAGAAAAGAGTCTAGCTTTGAAACAATTAAAAGTAGCAATTACCCAAATTGCTACTTTCAAAAAGTAAAATGTTTCGCAACATTTATCGTCTTGTACGAAAGAGACTTTTCTTTTATAATCGCCAGCGAGAGTGCCATAAATAGCGCAAAAATCTGAATTATATAGTATAAGACAGTTCATGCTATTAGCTTTTTATTAAATAATAATTCACATACTGCTTGCATGCTGTTTAGTTTTTTACAATCGAAAGTAACAAATTAAGCTGGATCGAAACCTTGGCCTTCGACAGCGCTTTGGATCGCAGCTTTCAAAGAAAAACGGGATTGTTCCGTAATATAATACCCTCTCGAAAATCACAAAAAAGTCTTTTTTGAGTAGGTATTTGTAAAATCTATACAGCTTGGAATGCAAATTTTAAGAGATCGTTCAATTTCTTAACAGTGGAAGGTTATCTATGGAATGCTGAACTTTGAAAGAATCCTGCAAATTTTAGCAAAGTTTTGACATTGTCAATGGCATTTTGAAATAAAGCCGATATTTTAAAGACCACAAACGAGCCGTCCTTTTGGCTTCAAAATTGAGCTAATCTGCTCTCCGTCCGTCAGTCTGGCACGGTTATAATTTGGCGACTATTATGACTTTATCTTTGAGGATTTAGAACTTTCTTGGCCTTCAGAAAGACACAGCGGAATAGTTCGACTTATAAAGATATAAATAGTGCAGTTTTTATTTTAAGTATATATTTCAGCGTTTATACAGGCCCCATGGCACGTTAAACAGCTCTCCTGCTTAGATTTTAACAAGAATTTAAAGTGCGTGTAGGACAAAACGATAACACGTTTGTATAAATCGTGACAATGAATCGCAACACTGCCTCTTAAAAATCGATTTAGGTTCAAGAAGCGAAGGGCGCGTATACACAGTTAAACTACAACAAACTAAAGCGATTAACCTGAAGCGATCCATGGCCTTTTTAGTACAAAGTGGACTAAATAGCACAGCTGGTTGCTAATTGTTAAAACAACCATTCGCGAGTCCATTTCGCGACCCACAAAAGCGCTGTGAAGACATTGATTCATTGCAAATAGCCTAAAGAGGTCACGTCTTTCAACGGGCCTAATAAGAAAGCAAATGCTGTTCGCCGTCATTGTAATTGCGCGTCCAACAACATGCCGAGAATATTTAACGTAAAACTTACCGAGAAGATTTGCTCGTAACGGACCGGTGTGTGTGTCTGGTCAGCTTCCCTAAGCAGCTCTGTCACCACAGCTTCCGAAGCCGAAAGTACTAAATAGCCCACTTGCAACGTTGTTTTATTCTCAAATTGCAATCAACGTTAAGAACACTCAAAGCCACTTGACATAAAAAAGCGCTTGTTTATTATAGACGCTTCCCCCGCATATATAAAACGAGTATATTGCGAGATGGTTTCGCGATAACAAAGGTCGGAATATTTGCCACAGTTAGAAGGACATTAATCCCTTTTGTAACCACAGCACACACAACAATAAGTGTAACCTTTAGTCGGCCATAAAAAGCTGGGAAACCGTTGATTCTCAAGGCTTCATGACTGTGAAATATTTGCACCAACTCGAAGATCGAACTATATATAGCGAATTTCTCTCGAAATAAATCCGATTCTTCGCACGAAAGCGACGAGGCAGGCCTTTCGGGAACGCGATCGAGTGTAGCTTTGATTAGATATCCCCGCGTAGCGTCACGGTAAATACACAGATCAGGCGTCTTTGATCATAATGAGAAATTCTGGACAATTTCCTGTGCGCTTAATTCGTTGATGGCTGCGAGAAATCAAAGCTTTTGTCTCGAAAGTGTCAGAGCGCGTAATCGGATTAAGTGTCAGTGACAGTGCCTTCGCTCCTGACAGACACAACGTAGCCATGTAACAAAATGTACACAAAATGATTTAGCCTCCAAGCTATCGGTTAAATACATCAAATAGCCTTGTTTGAATACACGGGGGAGTTTGATTAGCCGTAATGCTGTTAAATGCATATCAAAATCTAGCCTTTTGGTGTTGCGAAAGGGAAGCAATTATAATACATACGTAATCCCCCCATATATGTTGTATACCATTGATGCAAGATGTATGCAACAGGGTGTATAGTAGGTTTCAAAATTCCATTTCTACGTGCTTTATTGCATGGTATACTATTTGATGATTTTAATCAAACTTTTTCAACCCTTTTTTTCATCCGATTTCCCTGTCCTGTCTAAATCCCTGTGGGAGAGTAGACGGAGGGAAGGGGGCATTTCTGACCGAGGGCCACGGGGCCACCAGTAAATGCGGGCATTCACCCCGTACCCCAAACCTACGCCCACACCCCACCTTAACGACGCTGCTCGATAAGTTGTATTTATTTAGCTTTAGCTCATTCTTTCTCAGTTCATCTTCAGCTCCTGTTTTCACTTGTGTTTTTAAGAACTCAGTTTAGTTTCCCGTTCAAACCCGGGATTGAATTGTTGCGTGTCAGTTGACTGCCTCTTTGAACTAAAAATAATCGAGCAAGCGAAGAAGACGTCTTAACTCAGATGATATTCGCTCACCGATGTTTGCAATTACCTTAACTAAGGACCGCTAAGGACTTCAGTGTTGCACAATTCTGCATCATGAAAGACACCTTTTCTTCAATCTTTATCCTTATGTACAATTACTTTCCAATTAAACCGTTTCGAAATTGCAATTGGCATTGTTGCAACCAGCTGAAATAAAAGCCCTTGGAATTAGGTCTTGATTAAAAACGATTGACAACAAAGATTTGTTACATTGCCAACGGATACTCATAGTTTACATTCTTCCTAAAAGCATCCAGAAAGTACGACCACATTCCAGTTTCAAAGCATAAAGATTTTTGCCAAAGACCTCTGTGATTAAGAGTGTAGGATTTAAGCAAGGTTCTGAGACTCGCCAGGACGCTGTTTGTTATTTTGTATTTATTTTTAAACCACATCCTCGACATTAGTAAGGACCCTCGATAGTTTAATGTGAACTATTTTTTTAAAACATGTACTTAGTTGATAGTTAAGGCGGAGTTTCACTTAGAGTAACGTCTTTCATCAATCGTTTTGTGGTAAAATTCGGCCACGAAAAGGCACGAATCCGTTAGAAGTTGTTCTATGAATGCTTGAGTTCTTGCTGTTCATGTTTTAAGGCGCTGTCTAGCGTAGGGAAGTAATATATTGCATAGTGCATACTAGTACGAAATTCATATATCATATGGTGCTGTGATAGTATGACAATGCCCCACTCCACCCTCCCCCCTCAAAATCCAGGCGCCCTGAGTTAAGCCCACCTAAGAGGCCCATCAAGTGCTGACAGCGTTATAATTATACGGGAACGGCGAACAATAACGCATTTCTATTTGGTGTTTACAAAATGTCTTATAATAACTCATTATTTGGATATTCGCTTGTAAATACTTGATCTTTTTGATCGCTGGTGGAATTACATTAAAGCTCGCTGTAATCCAGACTTGCCAACTTCAATTATGCTGCCCGTGTTCATTTGTGTACTCATTGTGTTAATTTTACTCCAAATTTCCGGAGGACAATGTTAGAGATACAATTGTTTGTGGGGGTTCTTAATAAAACTAGGGTCTCCATTCAGGCTAGTTAGACGACGATTCTAGGTATATATCAGACATTGTGCTGTATTTTTATCGAATGAATTGAATTACTTCATGAACTGATAGAGCTATCCAGTATAAATAAAGTTATATTAGTTTAGGTTTTCTCCTGTAGTAACACTGGATCAATAAGAGATGATTCTTACTGGACCTCTAGGAAGAACAGTTTAGAACTGATAGAGCTATCCAGTATAAATAAAGTTAGTTTAGTTTAGGTTTCCTCCTGTAGTAACACAAGATCAATAAGAGATGATCCTTGCTGGACGATCTAGGAAGAACAGTTTAGAACTGATTGAGCTATTTATATATACATTTAAAGAGAAAAAAGACTAGCCTTTGGTTAGAGAATATAGCTTTGTAATAGTCCGGTACGAGATAACATTGCGTGCTGGAACTGTACTAGTAAACATCTTTATTTCAGATGTGTGGTTCGGGTTCGTTCGACAAATGATAAATCATCTCATAGTTATCCCGTAATTAAAATTTTCGATCATAAATCAATCATCCAGTACTTCACCGCAGAGAAGCATGACGTCACTCAGTGGCATCATCAATTTGCGGCGGGGTTTGACACTAGGTTTGACCGTTTGAGCCGTTCCCTACACAAAAAGCGTTCTTTGCACGCAGAGACCTCTAAAAGGAATCGAAACTTAAGAAAGACTTATAGTTAAGCTATCTAAGCTTAGAATTAAAGAAAATCGACGCTAGATTAGACGCGAGTTTTTATGAAAAGGGCTCGCACACAGGCACACACTGACAACTCTATAAATGGTCAAATTCTTGTAAGTTACAAGAAGATAAGATGAGATTAATTCTTGTAAGAGCATAGGTCAGACACCGCAAATTAGGTCATTTGAAGTGGTCGTTATTGCTTGGATGAAGTTTATATAATCTAGATTGAGCGCTACAAACTATTCATTTTATATCAATTTGTGATCAACTATATCAATTAAAAAGCGCATTTAGATTAATATAAATTGATGATATATGAGCTAGTGTTGTCTTCGGAAATTAAATTGGCAACACAGTGCGAGATCATTGATACTCACAAATTCGGTCCTCCGGGAATCCGTACCGCCGCGCGATGTACACAGCATAAAAATCAATCCGTTTTCCCGTCTTTCATAGCCATTATTTCCCCATTGAGCATTATAATTCGCGTTATTCATGAGACATTTACAACTAACAAGTTCGCTCGTGCGTTGTACATCCTAATTAGAATAATTCGCGGCACCCAAGTGCGAGAGAATTTATTAAGAAGAAACTCAAGTCAACACCTCGGGAAAGTCGCAACAAATTTTTGACACGAATGTTTCCTGTACCTTTGAGTGTGATTTAGTATCGATGGCTCTGGCTGTAATTAATTCTTGATAACTGCCATTATTTTAACAACGGCAGGAACTAGAGAGGATAGTCTTAATCTTTGCGGCCAAACCATATGTTGAAACTCGCTGCAATTTTAGCGGAGTTAAAATAAGAATATGCTAAATATATGATTTATGCACGTGAGTTTGATCTGGTCTATCTCATATAACCGAATGGTTAGCGTGTGTTGTTTAAAATTGTTTCAAAACAGCGAAGCATGTTTGGATTAATTTTAAGCAAAGAATTTGCGACTTCCTTCTATATATTTATAAGTGATACATGCCCGGAAATTGTGGAAATAATTTGACGATAAAAAAATCAGGATGTTTCAGGATGTAAAATTTATTTTGAGTCAGAAAATTAGGTGAAATTGGGTGAATTTGGCACGAAAACAGAATCTTAAAGACAACAGAAATAAATATTGCAATGGAACGTCAAGCAAGTTCAGTCTCTCATATATATTTTTTACCAAGTTATGCAGCTCGTAGTTTATCTTTTAAACTGCTTTTCAGCTGTCAAATGTGTCTAGTTGTTCGCCAAATCCGTGCTAACTTGCGAATTCTTATTTTAGTATTGACATCTCCGAGTTAGTTATCATTATAGCTGGCCATAAAAGGTTTGAAATTAGGTAACTCTGTCAAACACGGAGTGTGGAATAAGAAAAGGTCGATAAATAGAAACCAGAATGGGCATGCAGAAATCCTAAATGTGTGCAGTTTTAAACGCTGTATTGATATCGTAATTATTGCCTTTAAAATAATCGCATTCCTTTTGATCACACTGAAAAACACAATTCATGCACACAGCTGCTTCCAGCGGCTTCCCCGCAGGTATTTCCATGAATAAATTGTGTGTATATACACAGTTTTAGTTTATTCTAGGTCATATATTGATGACAAGTTATGAATGTTTTGACAAAACAATGGAATTCCGACGAAAAACGGATGAATTGTGTAAATAGACTCGAATTTTTGAATTCCGAAATGATGACGAATAGAAAATGACAAAGGACTTACAAAGATTAATCATGAACTATACGTGTGGTATCATTGTAAAAAGTGGGATTTGGTCTGGATTTACACGAATATGTCTCGTTTTTTTCGATGTTCTTTGTTGATTCTTGCCATTCTGTGCCGGAAAATACCTATCACTCTGTCAGCAAAATAAAGGTTTAGCGAAAAAAACAAATGTAGTTTTTATCCGTGTCTCATGCACGGAGGAGTATACTATACTTCAATGAAATCTGCGATCATTGTTGTCGCCTTACCGCCAGTGTGTTTGCTAAGCCCAAACGATATTTCTGTCATTTTTGAGATATTCATGAGCTTTAGAGATCGCTTCGTGAGTAGATTTGAACTATGTGTCGCTTAATCGGTGCTCAAAAAAAAACAAATCCTATCTTGAAAATCACTCCGACATTAGCCTGATTTGCAAAAGAGAATTAAGGCCCTATACGTCGTATTTTATATAATCATCTTTGGGCTACTCATGGATTCTGTGTTGCAGGTGGTCGAAACTCACTGAGAACTCTAGTTTAGTTTCTCGTGTAGAACACCAACGATTCCAAACTTAATCGACGGCATAAGCGTACGCATTTCCTTTCTTTTAAAGCTGGCGTGGTAGCTAAACATGCCTTGGTAAGAATATGCTCGGCTGCATGTGCGAGGCTTAACGGCCGACACCGAGGTCAACTTGATCGAGTCAAAGCTGCCTCATGAAAAATGCACTGAGAGCTTCGCTAATAAAGTTTAATGCGGATAATTGTGATGAGGGGAGGGGGGTGGATCCTTTAAATCAGTGAGATAATGATCGTCGAGAAGGATCATCGCAAAATTGATGTTTTTGAGCCAGGGCGAAGCCGGGCATCGATCTTACTTTGGATTGAAAATCGTCTCTTTCCGTTAAGAAGAAACGTTTAGTCGCAAATGTTGATTGCTTTGACGGATTTGGTGCGTTTATTTGGCTCTCTGGCATTGAAAAACGTCACAGCTTTTCGAAATTTGACTCGTTTTTTAGAGCTGAATCCGTTATCGCCTAATCTGGTTCATCACTGCAACAATATAAGACGCGCTTTGAATTAAACTCCTGTCTGAAAAACTAAGCATTTTTCTGAATTATAACACATCATATTTTTTATCCTTGGAAAGCAGCCCTTGTAAGTTAAAGTAGCTATACACGAAATCAATATTTTATCAAATTCGTGTGATTGTGGTGCAGCACGGCGGTGAAAGCTAAATTTATCATAAACTTGGTTGTTCAACTACTTTGTTCGCTTGTTATAAAAGCAGTTCGTGGCGTATCCATTTAAGTCTTACGAACATGAATTACAAGACAAAAATATCACAATAACAAGACTGCAAATTGTATTTCAGCCATGCATATACACAAGCGAATTAAGTTAGCTGTTAAACTCTGTATTTACAGATATAAACAGTGCTGTAACTATATATTTAGCACAATCGTCAGTACTCAGTATTCTAAAACAATTACTAAATAAAAACAAGAAATTTAAAAAGCAAGGGGCTGTCACTATAGCCGAAGATACCTTAGAGGCTGATAAAATTCGTTGATTACCCAGCTGATATTTAAGTAATGAAAACTTTTATTATCAAACTTAAATGATATTGGTGTAAGCTATATATTGAATATAGATGAAGCTATCGCCTTCACTAAAGGAAAGACAATTTTAGCGTTTCGTTCTCAAGCTTAACAGGAAGATCTAGTGTTTTTGCTTTGATGGACATCTCTTAAGGCATCCGATTATTGTTGACAGAGAACCAGGGAAAACTTGATGGATTCTATTTTAATTACAATATGATTTGTTTGATCTATCACACAAATTTATAGTTAAACATACAGCGGCTAGAGATGTTGATGTGTGTCAAAATGACTATAGAAAGTTAGACAATTAAACAAACATGACACGCGGCGTGCATTACAAGATTGATAAGTATTTTCCTTAAGTTTTGAACCGCGACATCATTTGAATTTAAAGGATGATAAAAAATGGATGGACGCTTGTCGCTATCAGCTGTTTTCAAAAAGCCCTCTTTGAGTGTGACATAAATTATATAATCATAGAAATTTTGTTATTACTGATCAATATTAATGAGAAGGTTCGTTCTCAGTCACTGACTTGAAAATATTTGACATGAAACATTGAAAATCAAGCTACGGTTTGACTGAAAATACCGCCATGGAAAAGTTATGAGAAGATTGAGATCTCGCCCTCAATGAAAATTAGTTCGAGTGTGAGTAAGCTTTTAGAATACAGACGTTTGAATATGTTTGACTTTCATATTGTATGCTAACAATGTCCTGTGACTGAGAAGCAGATGGAGCAGCCGCTATACCTTTGTCTTCTACGAGGAGGGGAAAATGGACAGTTGTTCTTTTGATGTTTAGGACTGATTATCTTGCAATTTATTTGGGAATTCGCTCCAAGATGTGCTAGCCAGATTCAGCTGGCGGTTTTTGAAAACAGCAGGGTGCATGCTCTTTCATCGAGTTTGCCATAAAGTAGGAGGCTTGATTTACTATTTAAATAATTAAATTCATGTGTTGCGAAAATGCACGCACGCGAATATGGTTTGTTGAATTCGTATCTTAAGGTGCTATTACACTTTCCTCGAAATTTACAATGCAATTCTACTCCTGAGCGATCTAAAGTTGTCAAATACGAACATTTCTTGCCATCTGCCAACGTTTTCTTAGCATTTCGAACGCTCTATAAAATTAACATCCCTTAAAATTACTGATAAATGCATGCAAGTTGCAAGGAAAATTGTATATAGTGTAACTTCGCCTTTGTTGTAATGCAACCTTTTTCGAAATCAACATCTTTTCATGCAAATATCGATAAAACTGTATATAACCTCCTCTTCAAAAAGGGGGGGAGGGCTCTATCGTGTGACCACCTTTGCCAATTCAAAGATAATGCATTCATCTATAAATTTTCGACTGCATTTACCATTTTACCATGATGACTTTGTCTTCTGTGATAATCCAAAGAAAAGAGTTATCATTGAAATTTGAATTTATATATATTTGATTATTCGAGACGGATGGACCGCTATTTAACTTCCGATTTTAATTCAGTTTTTACATATTCAAATGAAATACCAGTCCTTTTGTCACCATATGTAAACACGGAAACGCGTTTTGAACAGTTAAGTAAATGAAAACATTGTCTCATATTATACTCGAGATAAAATTGCGCTTGCCCGAAACGAAACGGTGTAATTGAACGCGTATTTGCCGCCATAATATTCTGCAGCAGTTCACAGGCGGTTCCATTCGATTTCACGGTTTATTTGCTGCAATTACACAGCATCCCACTCGTTAGCGAAGACCGTATAATTGCTTTAATTGATACAAAAAAAGAACAGCTTCCTAAAACGAATCGTCGTTAAAATTCTATAATTAGTGTAAAATACACCTGCGGTCTGCACGCCTGTTGTTCGTCACGAAACTCGAAAAATTACATTCAATGCCCCAGTTTCAACCTGTGACAAGTAGATTTCGATTCGATTGACAAAACTGCAAATATGACTTAAAATTTTTGTACTTATCAGTTTAGTTTGAACTAGGGAAAACGTGTCAATTTTTTTTTAATCTTACTATGTCACTTGATTGTTGTCAAATTGTTTAGGATCGCGTGCCGACCGTCATTTCCATATTGAAGCGATTTTAAATTATTTGTATCTTCACGAATATCTTCACGGTGGGTCTATCGTGCGCATGATCTTTTCCGCGTTGCACCGCTTGGAGTGTGAAACTGCACGAAATCGACTCGAATTCAAAATTAATTGGTCGAGGAAAGCTCACGCGGTTAAAAGATTAAAAGGAACTTAACGGGCTAAATTTGTTATCAGATTGAAATTGTTTTTGTAGCAATTAAATAGTCCGAACGCTAGAGGTATACTACTGGGAGAAAGGCAGTTTAAAAACATTGAATAATATTTGATACAGCACCTGTACAGTACTACTACTAATGGTGGCAAAGAAGAATTGATGATTTGGCTCGTAATTACGGAAGTTTGAATCACGATTATAACCTTGTCCTTTTGGAAACGACGACGTAGACGATCTATCATTGCTTACCCCTGTGTTCGTCGTCTTCAATCCAATTATTTTAAAAGGATATATATTCGTCATCCGGTGAAGAAGCAATTGGGACTCATAAAATTGCTTTGGGAATCGAATATCGATTTGAGTAAACAATCTTGTTCAGCTGACAACGACGAAATATTTTGCCTGCGTGTCGTCAGTCATATACAGAAGGATTTTTACCAGAAAGATTCGAGCACGCTTTTTCTATTCGCTTTTTCTAGGAAAAACAGCGCGTTGTTACTATATATATTTTTTTAAGAAAAACAAAACAGTAAAAATTGAGAAATAATTGCGACAGCTTCTATTTCAAAATATTTGTTTTTCTAATCTCAAAGAATACAGCGCCACTATAATTAAGGTTCGCACAGTTTAGTTTTCATTTTAACGAGAGGATAATAAGAAAATCAAGAAAAAAGATCTATTCTATCTTGTTGAATTAAAAACAAGCAAAAAGCGAACGTATTTAAACCGCTTGTCAAAAGAAAACGTCGCGAGGAAACGTTTTCTACCTGAATCATTTTGTCCTGAATGAAAGATTTCGCCGGAACACTGCAGTGAAACGCAAGTTATTTTATTACACATAGGCTCCTATCGAAGTGCTGAAATATTCAAACGAACAGGTGGCAGAGCGACAACGAAACGGAGCTTTAATTGCATATTTTTGCTCGGAGAAGTAAAGAAAAACATTTCTAAAGAAAAGGCTCGAAGCAATGTTGACAATTCGCTGGATTTCTGCATCGGTTTTTTTCCTAGTCTTACTTTCGTCACGTTTCGAGGCTAGCAGCTCCGCCAATAATATAACTCTGGGGATTTTGCTACCTTTCAAAACACACGGTGTGTTTACCAAAGATAATCTTCCACAGGCGAAGTATTACGCCGGAATTATACCGTATGCAATTGACATTATAAATAAAGACCCACATTTGCTGCCAAATTACACTCTTCGCTATATCTGGAATGAAACGGAGTGTGATACCGAAAAAGCTTTGAAAGGCATGGTTCAGCAATGGACGAGAAAAGTTGATGCATTTATAGGCCTTGGATGTTTTTGCGAAGTTCCAGCAAGGGTCGCAAGTGCGCTGGAATTACCTGTAATTTCCCATGTAAGTTTATAGGATGGGATTCTCTTTACCTTAGGTCAGCTAAGTGGCAGAATATTATCGTTTGTACTGGGTCTACTGAAAAAGAAGAAGCGGCCATTTTGACGGGGAAGATTTGGAAGATAGAGGTCTGTTCGGGCGATCAAATTTTGTCGCATCCAAGTCACTTCTGACGGATGTTTTTTTAGTGTGTTGACTTGCAATGCTCAAGCCAAAAGAAGCACTGCTTTATCAATAACAAATGACATTACCTTCAGAAGTGTACGTCAGAACTGCACTGGATCCGACTAATTTGGATCGTGGAACAGATCTTTACAGCTGTTTATTATCTACGCCAGAGAGATTAAGGGGTATTTTTGTAGTTTTATAAAAGAGTTGAAATAATGTTGTTTAACTTTCAGCTTTGCAAGTCGGTTGAAGTCTCTAACAAAACCGTCTACAAGACGTTTGCTCGAACGATCCTCGACCCAGGCCAGATAGTGTTCGAAGTCGTGAAAATTTGTAAAAGATACAATTGGAAGATTGTTGGTATAATTTGGGAAGATATTCCTCTTTGGAAGGAACGCAAAGATAAGCTCGTGAAAACGCTGGAGAAGAGTTCGATTAACATTTCCATCGCGTCTTCGTTCATGAGCATTAACAAATACATACGGAGAAAGAATAAGGATAATTTCACGAGCCTTTTGAGAAATCTGAAAAGAAAGGCGAGAAGTAATAGACCTTTCTCATAATGACGTCAAGTGCGGGAGTTCTGGGGCATGTCGCAGTGCTCGAAAGCTTTCGTCCGATTGGATAATGCTTTTCTATGCTTTTTAAAGAACGAAGCTATGCTATTGGTTGAAACAGGAATGTGTTGTAAAGTTCAGCCAATGAAAATCATTCTCGCGAGAAGCTGCGACACTACCCGGGATTCTCGTGTTACACGACGTTTCCATAGGAAACCCATCAGAAAGACAGCTCCATTGTTTTCGCCGTGATCATGACGAATCACAATCACACACTGGAGTTGTCTTTCCGATGGGTATTGTGTTGTGGTTTGGGCGGAGCCAATGAGACTTCATGTAACATTAGACTTTCTGCTTTTACTAGTGGGCGGTGGGTCAATATAACCAGGGTCCAGACTAGGAAAAGTGTCAGACCCCCAGAGTCAAGGGCACAAATGAAATGAGAGGTAGTTAAGATACCAAAGACTTTAAGGGGACCGTAAGCGACGATGAATAGGTTTCAAATGAAACGAACTTGAATCGTTCATTGCCAACCATCGCTCTACCTTGCAAACGTGTACCCCCCTTCCCTAAGCGGTATTAGCCCCGCCAGGTTTTACCCACCCACACTTGGTCTGAAAGGTTTCTGGTTTGAGATTTTTTCTAGGGATTGGCTTAGTCTTTCGCCCCTGATCAATGCCTTCGGTAAAAGTTCTGGGTTTTCTGGAACAAGGGGCCCCACCAGGTTTAACGTTTTCTCGTGTTCTTTTGAGAGTGAAGTTATTTTTTTTGAGCGTCAAGCGAGTAAATATTTTTTATTGTTTAGTTATACTTCTAATGATGGATCACGCGCTTGCAGTGGAAGCACTGACTCTTGCTGCCGCCGTAGGAATGAATCAAGGAGATTTCGCTTTCATTCTCTTTCGAATTGATTTAGAAAACTTAAGGCGAGCAGCACGATTTCCAAAAAGTCTGCATGCATTCAAGACCCGCTTTAACTACGGAAAAGACCTCACTGAGGGAGCAGTTAAATCGTTTCATAATGCTTTGACCATATCGCTCATTGTTGAAGATGATGGTTTGATATCAAATGGTTCGGTGTTGAAGACCATTGCCAACCTGACACAATTACCTCCGTTTAATAGCGACAAAGAGCATGCCAACAGTTTTAAAGTAAGCGTGAAATTGAAATATGATTCAGAGAGAGGAGGGAGGAGGATGGAGAAGAGAGGATGGAGGGAGGAGGATGGAGGGAGGAGGATGGAGAAGGGAGGAAGGAGAAGGGAGGCTGGAGGGAGGAGGATGGAGGGAGGAGGATAAAGGGAGGAGGGAGGAAAGAGGAGGGAGGAAGTCTGAAAGAGGTTGGGAAGAGAGAATAAATAGAGAAAGGCTGGAATCAAAAAGGATGTACAGGAAGAGTAACGGGGGGTGAGAAAAATTGTAAGTCACGATTAAGCTGGAAAAATAATCGCTTTTCTACCTGTTCTTCAGAAATATCTCCCGGAGTACGCTGGGTATCTTTATGACGCAATTTATCAATACGCTATCGCCGTCAATAAAACGTTGTCGGATAATAGAGATATAAGAAATGGCACGATGATCGTACAGCATTTGATTGGAACAGAATACCGAAGTACGTAACAGTGGAATAACTTCTTATTGCTGCATCCAAAATACTTCACGAATGTTGAAAACTTTAAAACGTTTATACAGGTGCATTGGGCTGTAAAGCATTCTTTGATGAAAATGCAGATGCTCTCTTTTGGGAGTACATATTGTATGATTTTAGAGGAAATAGAACAGGTAAATACGACTACATTGTTCAAAATGAAGTTGATCCTTACTGAACGTCTAGTAAGAACAGTTTAGATCTGATAGGGCTATCCAGCATAAATAAAGTTAGTTTAGTTTAGGTTTCCTCCTGTAGTAACACTAGATCAATAAGAGATGATCCTTACTGGACCTCTAGGAAGGACAGTTTAGAACTGATAGAGCTATCCAGTATAAATAAAGTTAGTTTAGTTTAGGTTTCCTTCTGTAGTAACACTGGATCAATAAGAGATGATCCTTACTGGACCTCTAGAGAAAACATGCAGTTTAGAACTGATAGAGCTATCCAGTATAAATAAAGTTAGTTTAGTTTAGGTTTCCTTCTGTAGTAACACTGGATCAATAAGAGATGATCCTTACTGGACCTCTAGGAAGAACAGTTTATTAGAACTGATAGAGCTATCCAGTATAAATAAAGTCTACTGATCAATTTTCTGCGCCTATATGCTCTGAATGGTCCTTCAGTATATTTATTTATCTCAACAGCTCCTCGCTACCATAAAGTGGGGACGTTCGACATCAAGAGAAATTTAAGCGTTACAGACGATATTTTATGGTTAAAAGGAATTCCTAGGGATTCACCAAAATGCGGATTTAATGACGAACTTTGTGGAAGCGACTCAAGTAAGTTGTTGACAAATACGACTTGTGTGCAGGAAGCGTTTTTAACGGCAATGGTTGAACAGACAAGACAATGATGTGCGACCCAGCTGATATTGTATAAATGATTGTTAAACTATGACCTTTTTTGTTCTAGAGGACTACACGTTCCTTATTTTGGGTGTTTTTATGGGTTTTTTGGTAATAGCCGTTATAGCTCTTGTCATGTCATTGTACAGGTAGGTTTCCAGTGATGAATGAACAATTTACCTGGATGTTTTCTAGGACTGAAGCTACACGCTGGGATGGCTCTTTCAATTTTAGCATCAAATGTGGTATAACAACTGCCTAAAATAGACAAAACACTTCTCGACGTTTCGACCTGAGGACCTTCGTCAGGAGTGTTAGTAGAAGGCCCTCAGGTCGAAACGTCGAGAAGTGTTTTGTCTATTTTAGGCAGTTGTTATACCACATTTGATGCTAAGTTGTGTGAAGACGCTGCCACGCTTCTCCCTGGTTATATTGGAACTCTTTCTGTTTTAAACTGCATGTTTTCTCTAGAGGTCCAGTAAGGATCATCTCTTATTGATCCAGTGTTACTACAGGAGGAAACCTAAACTAAACTAACTGTATTTATACTGGATAGCTCTATCAGTTCTAAACTGTTTTCTCTAGAGCTCCAGTAAGGATCATCTCTTATTGATCCAGTGTTACTACAGGAACCTAAACTAAACTAACTGTATTTATACTGGATAGCTCTATCAGTTCTAAACTGTTTTTCCTAGAGGTCCAGTAAGGATCATCTCTTCTTGATCTAGTGTTACTGCAGGGGGATTGTAAACTGACTACTTTCATGTTTCACTACAGGAAATATAAACTAGAGGCAGAGCTAGCTGATGACTTGTGGAAAATTGATTCGAAAGAGATAGTTTTATCAAATCGAGCTAGGTCGTCATTCCGCAGTTTGGCTTGCGATAAGGTGAACTTTTTCCTCCTGTAGTAACACTGGATCAATCGGAGATCTAATGTTTCTTATATTACAGAAAAGTGTCTTCTCCACTGATAGTAAAGATGGTGCAATATCTTCCTCTCAAGTTGCGGTTTACAAGGTTTGTCTGTTCACGGACATTCACGACACTATTATTAAATGTAATCATTAATCTCTCGGCTGTGTTCCAACCATTTTCCACTCAAAATATTGTATGTTACAACAACGTTGTTTTTACCTTAGAGCACCACTGTTGCAGTGCAGAAACTGCAACGGAAGTCATTGGAAATAACAAGAGAACTTCGGTTAGATATGAAGCAGGTATTGCCATAATCCTTTCTGCTCGGGTTGGCGATCAGCCTTCCTCAATCCCATCATGCAGAGCGTATCCGCAACTCATTTTCTGAACATATCGGCTTCAGGGGCCTTACTTTGTCGAAACACCTTTGTTTTACGACCCACTGCAATGTTCGGTCATATAATTCTCAATTTCTTTTCAGTTACGAGATACTCGTCATGAGAATTTGGTAAACTTTATCGGAGCCTGCGTCGCAGTTGACAAATTGCTGGTTTTGACATCGTATTGCTCCAAGGGAAGTCTCCAGGTGAACAATAATACAAGTTTCACAGGATACATAATTAAGTAATAGATGGCATTTTGAGAAAGGTCCCACTTGACCGATGAACGATTTGTAAAACTTGTGCAATGGTTTTGATTATATTTTGTTCAGGATATCTTTGATAACGAAGACATAAAATTGGACAGTATGTTTATCCTGTCGCTTGTAAAAGACTTGGTCAGGGTTAGTAGAAAAAGCCATTAACCGCAGACAATGTAGTAAAATATAAGAAATATAGATATACTTCAAAGTACGGCATGGTGTAAACACAAAATATCAGCAAGTTTGCCGTGATTTTTCGACTCTGTTCAAAGTCATTGTTGAACTAAAGAATGGTATACTTCTTCTCCCCAGGGCATGACGTTTCTCCACGCAAGCGATATAAAAGTTCATGGAAATCTAAAGTCATCCAACTGTGTCATCGACAATCGCTGGGTCTTAAAAATCGCGAATTTTGGACTCAAGAAGCTCAGAGGACAGAAAACAAAAGAGATGAAGGGCGATTACAAGTATTCACTCGGTAAATAACGAATCCGTATTTCATGAAGTACCAACCTAAGCAATTCTACCATGTATTCTTCGACACTCGAGTCTCTGATGGTACACTCTATAGGCACAGAATACCTATCAGAAGAAGAACTCCTGTACTTTTTTCGTAAGTGTGATTCGTCATGATTCGTCACTTAGCAAGTGCATTTTTTTGAGGCAGTCACCCCCCTGCCAATACTAAAAATGGCCTGATCTTAGACATCGGCAGGGGGGTGACTGCCTCAAAAAAATGCACTTGCTAAGTGACGAATCACACTTACGAAAAAATAGTATAGAGTTGTTCTACTGATAGGTATTCTGTGCTCTAGGTACCAGTTTTTTTTTCTTATTGGTCAATATTGGGCGTCGGCGCGAATGGCGACCAACTGCCACAAGTTTCCAAACATTATGCTTCCGAAATCTCTTGATGGCGATTCCGCGCCGATCCGTCTCCAGACCGACGTACCATTGACGGCAAAAGCCCTTTTGTCAAACCACGCTTCACCGCGCTTACTTATACCGGAAGATTATCGCTACGCTTGTGGGAGATCTTTACATGCGCTCTCAACGCATGCGCACGAGTGGACCTATCCTGAATGATAATTTTTCGGGGTTTTTTTTAAGATTTACTATGGAAAGCTCCAGAAATATTGCGAAATCAGAAGCTGGCTGCTCATGGGACTCAGAAAGGCGATGTCTATAGTTTTGCAATAATTTTGCAAGAAATGCACACAAGGAATGGGCCTTATAATGTATTTAACTCGTTGGAAGAACCAGATGGTGGGTACTGCAGGAAAATAAGGAGCTTTTAGCGGTGACTACGAGTTCATGATTCGTCATTCCCGCCAAACTAACGAAATGTTCTCGCCGTATAGATCTTGTCAAGAAGATAGAGCGCTTCAGTTCTTATCCGTTCAGACCCGTTGTTTCCAAGGTGCTCGACAAACTGGAAGTTTTAAAAGAGTTGATGGTGAACTGTTGGCAGGAAGATGCTGAACGAAGACCGCCATTTTATGAAATATACAACATCGTTCGTCGTTTGAAGTTTGGAAAGTAAGATGAATTCCTGCTCAAAAATTACCTGAAAAACCCGTAGGAAAGTCTGTCGAATGAATCACAGAACCATTTATATTCTAACCGCATTCGTTTAGGTGATATACCGCATTTTTTGTATCCTTCAGAACGACAAATATTATCGACAACATGGTGAACATGCTCGAGAAATACGCTAACAATTTAGAAAGCCTGGTTGAGGAAAGAACGACTCTTCTCGTTGAAGAAAAGAAGAAAACAGACAGACTGTTACACCAAATGTTGCCACCGTTAGTATAATAATAAAATCCTTCGTATAGTTGCCGCCAAACATGGTCTAAAGTGCTCGGTCTGGAATTGAGTTCATGGTCTGATTTGCTGGCAAAAAGGGACTCAGGATGGTCTCTGGGACATGTCGCAGCTCTCGAAGCTTTCGTCCAATTGGATAATGGTTTTCTATGCTTTCTAAGGAACGAAGCTATGCTATTGGGTGAAACAGAAATGTATTGTAAAGTTCAGCCAATGAAAATCATTTTTGCGAGGAGCTGCGACACTAACCGGGGGGTCCCTCGAATCTCAATGCATCCATCCATCACACCTCCCTCATCTCAAATCTCAATGTTTTTATTCATTTAGATCAGTTGCAAGCGATCTCAAACAGGGGAAGCCAGTTCCTGCTGAGTCATTTGAAGAAGTCTCCATCTTCTTCAGCGACATTGTTGGTTTCACAAAGTTCTCTGCACAAATTACCCCATTACAGGTAACCAATCGAAGTACGCTTCCACGGGAGGGCAACGGGTGTTGAGGGTGGGGGTATACCCACCGTACCGTTACCGCACCCAGGTTGGGGGTATTGTCCGTATAGACCTTTTTAACAATAAACTCGATTTTCTATTAAGGTTGTAAAGTTTTTGAACACACTGTATACATTATTTGATGAGATTATTTGCGCTTATGACGTCTATAAGGTAAATATATAAGACGAATGCTTCGTTTCTTTTCGAGAGTTTTCAAAACAGTGATAAATATAAAACTATGTTACGTGTTGTATCCAAAACGGTTGAGTTGTCGGCTGGTGGATATATTGACAATTTTCGCCATATGTCAGAAGTGAGGCCTGTTCTAATGGTTGCATTTTACATCATGAAGCATTGCAACTTATTTTTCACCGCAATATATAAAAGAGTATGACAATTCTGCTAAAGTTAACTTTATAATAAATCCCGAAGGATATTTACCTAGCTGCCGCCCTTTGATGCAAAACTACCAGGAGTAGACTGTAGACTGCTTACTTTGCCATTATGTCCTCGCAGTGACAACTGGGGTTAAGTTCGACACAACATCAATTATTGTTATCTTCACAGGTGGAAACCATAGGTGATGCATATATGGTAGTCTCAGGCCTCCCGATTCGCAATGGTCAGCGCCATGCTGGCGAAATTGCAGACTTTGCTTTGCACTTGCTAGCGTCGTTGAACGCTTATCAAGTGCCAGATTTTCCGGACTATAAAGTTCAACTACGGATTGGCCTACACAGCGGTAAGATTTGGCAAGATCTCAAGGAAAACGACTATTACGAAATATATTATCTCTGTGCAGTCTCTGTGATCTAACAATGTATAAAATCTACAACATCATGATGCAACATCATATGCAACATTAGTTACTTCAGTCAGCTCTCATTCAAGAATATGTACTATCTCTGCATGATCTAACCATTGGCTAACTCAGCAGTGAGTTCTGTACAACATCAGATCATTTTAAACTTTAAGGTAGCTCTCATTCAAGAACATGTACTACCTCTGCACGATCTAACCATGCCTAACTCAGACAGCAGTCACTTTTAAAAACACGTACTACCTCGATCATCTTTGTTTTTCGTGTTTTCAAGGTCCTGTGTGCGCAGGCGTAGTAGGCAACAAGATGCCAAGATACTGTCTGTTTGGCGACACCGTCAACACTGCCTCGCGAATGGAATCGAACGGAGAAGGTAAATAATGATTAGTTTTCTTGATATTTATACGAGAGGCCTCATCTCGCTTTATTTACACAGCGAGTTCTCTTTTTAGCTCTGAAAGTCCACATTAGTGACGATTTTAAAGCCATCCTATCGATTCTCGGCGGTTACAATATCGTGGAACGAGGAGAGACCTTATTGAAGGTTTGGTTTTTATACCTACAAATCTAGCATTTACATGCAGACTCTGATACCAATGATAATTTTCAAATCATCTTATGACAATCTTTCTAGTCCAATACCTACCCCACAATACCAGGATGAACAAGTATCATCATAATCGATGCCATCATTGATATCATCATAATTATTTATATTATCATCGACATCATCATCAATATAATCATCATCATCGATACCATCATCATTGATATAATCATAATTATCTATATCATCATCGATATTATCATCAATACCATCATCATCATCATCGATATCATCATTGATATCATCATAATTATTAATATTATCATCGACATTATCATCAATATCATCATCATCATCGATATCATCATTGGTATTTCAGCAGTACTATCATCACTTACCATCAATAGCTTATCATAGTCTAATTGCACCTACGATTCTAGGGAAAGGGACTGGTAACTACGCACTGGCTACTCAGCTCGACACATCCTCTGCGCTCAGTCCCGGTCGTAAACACCGCTGACCAGAGCTCGCCGTCCACGAAACGACGTACGTATAAGCATAATAATTGGCGTCGCACAGGCGACTATGGTAATCCAGCTGCCGATGACTTCTTAGCTTCGCCAGAGACAAAACTAAGACGAAATAACAAAAACTGCTTTGATGGGACGCTTTATGAGAAGAGAGTAATGACCAAGGTTACAATATAAATCATAGTATTGCTATAGATATGAAATATCTTTTTTTATCATAATCATGTGATATTCAGAGCCCGTTTCTGGACGAATTTGGAGCCAGTGACACAGTAAACTCCCCCCCCGGGCCAAATCTCCTAGACATCTTCTGTGAGATGGAAATTTTCTAATATAAAGTACTGAACCAGTTTTGTGTTTAAATTTTTATTTTTTCACAATCATACAACAATTATTGGTGGGTATTTACAATGAAGAGAACTAGAATTCTTTGCTACATATATTTACGACTTAAGATCCCCATGAGATGAATAGAAGATGCCTATAATCACATGATGCATTATCAATCCATACAGATACAATTTACAGACATAAATATAGCAAAGTTCCTAACCAAGCTTCGACAAAAGTAACACTAACATCCTAGTTAAACTCAGGATTATAATTTTTGTTTGGTTTGGCAACACAAACTCAAAGAGGGGAGTCTAATGTTGCATTTTTTGTTTTCTATATAAACAGACAATTTGCATCAATGTTTGGACAGCTATGCCTTATGTTTGTCTTAAAAGATAGCCCACTATTAGCTGTCTAATCAACTTGCATGAATACTTAACGTGTCATGAAACCATTCAAAGTAAAACTTCACATGAAAAGAGTGTCTGCAAAGTCGTAGACTTAAGTCTTTGCAAACTACTTGTGGCTCAGTGCTGACGAATTAGAAAATTTATTTTAATAATTTTCATATAATAAATGCGAATATCTGCTATATCAGACAGGAAGGATTCATAATATTAATTCAGTTTCAAATGATGCTAGCTAATGAGCCTCCATCTTTAATCATTTGACAAGCCTAGAATTATGTGGAGTCAGTGCGCAGACATGGCTGAGTGGGAAAGTGGTGACCACGTGTCATGAGGTCCATTTGCAGCCGTAATCATAACTTCCACAGCTTGTTTCTCGACGCATTTCGGTGGTAGTGGAACGGTACGGTAGGTCACTCTGTCACCAGCTTTTAAAACAAATTCTCCCTCAATGCTACAAAGTTGGAAGCAAATTGTTACAGGATAGTTTGTTTGCAACACATTGTCGAGAGAATATGTAATAATAGGTTAGTTTGGTCAAGGAAAATTAACCATAAATTCAAGCTTCTTCTGACAAAATGCCAGCAAACTTACTCTGAAATATGGACAAAAATATCTCTAGGTTCGCCTTCATCTGGGGTGATAAAGCCATGGCCTCTCTGACGACAGAAGCTCTTGCAGACCCCGGTTTGCATTGGCGAATCTGATGCTAGTTTTGACCTAAACACATACAATTTGTTTTGTTTTGCATTCCTGACTGTGGGAGAGTGGGTAAGGGGGCAGTTGGGGGGGGGGTGTTGCAATGTTCATTGATCACACCACACTCTATCACCTAAGCTAATGATTACGTATTGATGTATTGTGCAAACTTTGCATGTTTTTCAAGGTAATGGGTTGTGATGTACAAGCTGTGTGAAGCATTCTTTCTTCAGAGACACATTTCAAACTTACTGTGAAGTTGTCCGCATTCGTCTTGTGGGAATTGGACTTGGTAACAAAAAATGGCCCTCATGTTTATCAATAGACTTTCTGGGAGACTTTTCGTCCTTTTTCGGTGGTGAAGACATCACGCAGTGCACTTCTGTCTAAAAGCTGCAAATTGCAGGCATTGATCAGACATATGTACCGAATTTGTTTATTTAATATTAATTAAACTTTGAAAAACAAAAACAATTTCCCTATTCGATCTGGGCTCATCTAAATGGGAAATAAGAAAAAGCGGAGATCAATTATTTTACACACATCTGTCTTATACAAGATGTTCAAAAATGATAGCTTTTGTTAACGCGAGTTGCTGTTTTTAGACACATCTTGGCCATTTATTTCACAGACCACGCGCCTCGGCAGACTGTATCATATGTGCTTTTATAAATAAATAGCTGCAAAATTTGTAAAATTATTATCGGCTGGTTATCGGTTATCATAAACTAAGCATTGAATAAAATTGCAAGAATAGTATAATCATTTGCATACCTTTACGGACGAGAGCAATCAGGCTGTCAAAGGCGAAAAAAACAGAAATATTTATACTTTCGAAACAAGCTTGCCTTTTGGCCTCCGAAGCGATTGGTATTTCATCAGCACGCATGCGCAAAACGGGAGAATTATTTTCGGGTGCGCTCGAAATCTGTCGGGGGAAAAAACAAATTTTCCCATTTTAGACAGAATTTTTGTGGTAGCCGCCAAGTCGGTTTAGTCTTGAACATAACACATGTGAGTACACCTTAAAAACCACTCGACAGAGCGGCTTCATTCGGTGAAATGAAAATTGGGGAAACTTTGAAAAAATGTAAATGTTTGTTCCGGCCTCCGGGTTCTTCCGATTTTGTCCGAAGAGCTGTCGGACTCTAGATCCAGGACCCTCGAGGCTCGAAGTTTTGATTTTTGCGGGAAAATTTGTTTTGGTGGAATTCTTTGGTTTAGGTCATACTTTTCAATATAAACGCTTGTATTTATGGATAATTTTCTTTTATTTCTTTCACAGTGCAACCGAGATGTAAACTGCAAAGTCAAACAGTAAAGAAAGGTAAATATTTTCTTTCTTTTTCCCTCAATATGTCGACAATAGGCGCAATATTATATGTCGATATAACATGCTTTATCCCATATTTAAATCGAGTGGTATAAATATATATCAAAAATATTTTAAAAATATCAGTAATTTTTTAGGTTGTGTGTATTAAACACTCAATTTTACGATGAGCTTAAAGATTCTGGAACATGTTAAAGACCTCTTAGCCATTTTAGACAAACTTTTGAATGCTGAAAATAAGCACTCGATTCCAGTGAATATTTTTTATTTCAAATATGGTTTCCTAATTCATCTTATCCCGGAGAACACTTGCCACCCGTTAAAGGACATTGTAAACTCAGTCAAACAGCGTTTCTTCCTTGTGAGTAAACTACCCAATGTGCAGGCAACAAATTCTGTTGATGATAGCGACGATGATGATGAAGAGAAAGGTGCATTGAAACCTGGTTCGAAACTACCAGAATTGGCTGTCACCACAAAGCAGCATGTTTTTGTTGGCACGCCAATTTCCCAGCAGCTTCACTATTTGTTCTGGCAAAAAAATTTTCATGATGGTGAAATGGTTATAACTGAGAAATACATTGAGACTGGTGGTCTTCTAAAGTTGCCGATCAGTGAGGTTCGATACATGGCATCTCTCTATGTTCAGTGTGTCAAACAGCGTGAAGACCTCCCCCAGATGTGGTTGCTTTGTGATCATGCCCCCCCTCAGGAAGTGGAATACATGGGTGTGGTCCCATCCCGGACCGAAGATCCCAAACATCCTTGGCAGGTGAGCACAGTTATGGTTAGAAGTGACGAATACAATAAAAAGCCAGGCTCCACCTTGAATGATCTGAAAAAATATCATATGACTTCTTATTGTGCTAACCCAACAGAGGTCCATGGTTACGCCAGATACAATGTGTACGGCATGACAGATGGGTGTGGCCAAAATCCGGACATGCCGCAAAGCAGCATATCCATAGAATTTGCTTGGGATGGGGTGAGGGAGATGCTCCAACCCCCACCATCCTCTAGTAATGCTGTATTCAATATCTTCGCCGACCCTGAGGATGTCCAGTCGATTCTTCCTGGCATTACCGGCGAGTTGAACACCCTCGGAGGTTTGTACGCCATGCTTCAGAAGAAAATTCACGAGCAATCGTTGGAAACAGTTGAAAAAGATGAGCCGGAAAATGATGGTTTTGATCAAGCAGCGCTCAGAAAGAATACCCTTGCTTTTCTTGATAAGTTGAGACTCCAAAGTATGGGTCAACCAGCGGACTCTGAAAGTGTCAGCGCTTCACCCTCAAACCCAATCGCATTTGGCGGTTTATCGGAAAGTCTGAATCGCCAAGACTTAGATAACACGGAATCCTTGTGGCTCTTTCTAAAGGAGTTGCCGTCGAGCGCCCAAATGATGTTCTGTTTAGAGATCGTACTCCACCAGGCTCTTGCAGGAGATTATCAGCCTGTATTGTATACAACTAACCAAACTCGGATGGCCAGCGTGATGCGGGAAGCCATCAGCTGTACGAGTGAAAAAGAGCGAGTTGAGATGAAAACAAAACTCGATGAAATCTTATCTCCTATCGCATGCCTCGAGAGTATTGTCGATATTGGTATTGATAAATTGCAAAACGATTACGTCAACTATTTCATAAAACAGGAGCTTGTCACGAAAGATCTGCTCGAGTACTTCATTGCAAAGGACGTTTCAAATTCTGAGAAATTACAGCGTTTATTAAAGCTCCATTGCATCCTTTCATTGGTTACTCTCTCCGTCTCGTATGCTCGGATTGATTACGACAACCTACGACAGCTCATCCCAGCCGCTTTGAAATTCTACGAAAACCACAGTCACACCGAGACTCCCTTGTTTTCCCTCTCTCTCCCAGCCTTTTCGACGTCTTCCGCGGATATCAAGAACACATGCGTTAGACAGTTCCAGCCTCAGGCATGGGTAGCTGCGATTACAACCAGTGACCACCATCTCACCATGGCGCAGTTGCATGCAAAAGACCCGACGGAAAGTCTCGTCGAGGGAAATGCGACTTTGCAAGGAAACAGTTACTCGATTACGATTGTGAAAGCTCATAAAGTGTGTATTTAGATATATAGAAATATCCCTATAACCCTATATTTCTAAAGTATCCTCATATAATTTTAAGTATCTGAAATATCCCCAAAATTATTTTGCATGCAAAACCAAAGTCTTTGTTATTATATGAACTATTACTGTTTTGTTGTATCAACAATGATATATATATACCACTAATTTCACTTATTTTTTAAATGCTATAGTATAGATTTGTTTCTACAAAACAATTCGTTACTTTCCACATTTAAACTTAGTAAACATAAAGTTTTGGATTTCATCCCACGTGTCTACGGAAAACAATACTTTCTTTTCTTCATTTTCAAACATCCCATTTTTCCGTTCTTGCAAAGGTACCAAGACTATGCCAAAATCGTTGCAAACTGCACGAAGGCTTTTACTTTTCCCAATAACTACACCAATATCTGCCTTCAGAAGCGCAAGCAAATCCGTGAACGAGTCGCCAATGTAAACAGTCATCCCTGGATTGCTGCCTGCATTTTCTATTATTTTCTGCAACTGTACTTCTTTGTCAAAGGCAGAGATAAACTTCTTGTCCAAAGCCCCATTTGAAAGCTCTTCTCCCGTCTCAAATTGCAAAGCATTCGCATGTACTTCAAGTGGTAGTGTTCCATGCCTATTCAAGACGTAGCGAATGAGTTTTTGAGAGAAATTCAGCGATATAACATGGAATGGAAGATTGAATATTTTGAAGCTTTCTAATACGCGAAAAACTCCCGGCAGAAGTTCAACATTTTCAGCAAAGTCACGCAGTCTTTTTGTGGATATTCCTTTAAGTAAATTACTCGAAATAAGTTTATCAATTGCTGATCCATCCGCAACGCTAACTTCAGCCAAGAAACGGCGTAAACCAGCCTCGTCAAATGTAGTTGCAGCCAGTTTTGTGCCTTTTATTTGTTTCAAAACTAGTCCAATTGTTGTGCTATAGAATTGCTCAATTTCTTGCCATTTTTGGTCGAGAAGAGCTTTGTTATTGGGATAATCCTCTCTGGCTTTGTAGATGTCCAGCACGGCTTTTGTTGTACATGTTTGATCAAAGTCAAATGCAAGTACCTTAACTCGCATGTTTCCATCTAAACGGCCATCTTTTGCACTCGACTCCCTTGTTGCTGAACATGTGTAACCTTCACTCATGGTTGAAATAAGACTGCAGAAAAACACCAATTGGATGTAGAAATACCGGTTGAGCATAGCTAGAAAAACTCTTGGTAATTTGATCGTTTATTTAAACGTATCATTTATTCCTAATTCGTGAATAAAATTATAGATGTGTGCTTTTAAAATTGTTAGTTTTGCAAAAACGTGGCGCCATTTTGAATGTCTTCTGGCAGATAATTTTAACCCTGTTCTCCCCCCGGTAAAAGATAATTTTAAACATTTACCCCGGGGGGAGCATTAGATTCTTGTCGAAAAAGAAAACGAAAGAGGAAAGGACTAAGTCGAGGTAAACATGGCTGCTTTTTATGCTGGTTCAATAACATCCAACTTAAAATTTACTACAAAGGTTTGTTTTCATCGCGGTATCATGCTTATTTTTCTTACGATATCTGAGAAATTAACATCTTTTGGATTCAGAGGTTTAGTTCGCAGTACAAATAAATATACGGTATCGTTGTTTTCATTTTCAACGCAACACTGAAAATGTAAATATAGGTTTACTACTTTTAAACTTTCTTGTGTAAAGGTGCCTCTATTATTAAAAGCGACATCAAATGACGAAAAGCCAACGCAAGGATATGACCTTCAAGAGATAACTAGTATGGAAGCATTTGAATTGTAGATTTGTTGTTATTGTAATTGTTTAGTAGTTTCTCGACTTGTGATTTGCCTATGTACTAGAGAATACCGTCTTCTGATAGTCATACTGAAAAGACTAAATTCGTGGATCTTCTATAATAGAATCCTGTGTATCCTGTCTAAATAATTTAAAATGTTTTTAGGTAATATGTAATATCTACCTTTTACCTAAAAGAATTTGTATCATTCATTTTCTAGGGATTTCCAAGTCTTCATTAGCTAATTGCCAATCATTACTGACATTCCTGCTTGGTCGTCTGGAGAAAAAAGACCCTCGGATTAAGTATAAGGTATGCATCACCCTTACATAATTTAGACCATGATCATGTTCAATACATAATGAAAGCTGGTAATCCCTTGCGGTGGTAAGTTGCTTAAAAAAGTATAGTCTTGATGTATGACCAAGTACATATTTAAGAGGATTACTACTACTCAAATTTCATGTACCAGTAAAAGCTAATGGTTGCTTTGCAATCTTATCTCCAGGTTCTGCACTTGATGAAATACCTCGTGATAAATGGTCATTCAGAATTTCGAAGCCAGCTGAGGCACAATGCTGAGCCAGTAAAGGAAACCATCAGTAAGAGATTTATATTGTTTTGGTTTTTACAACTAGTTTTAAACACTTTCCAATGTGATGTCATATTTTGATTTCTCAGATTTCAAGGGTGAATTGGATGAGTTACATGGTGATGGACTAATTCTCAAAGTTCAACAAGCAGCTTCAGTATGTATTCATTTTCCCTCTCTTCCTATTCCCTCTCTTCCTCTTTTTCCCTCTCTTCCTCCTTTCCCCTCTCTTCTTCCTTTTCCTTCTTTTCCTCCTTTTCCTTCTCTTCCTCTTTTTCCCTCTCTTCCTCCTTTTCCCTCTTTTCCTCCTTTTCCCTCTTTTCCTCCTATTCCCTCTCTTCCTCCTTTCCCCTCTTTTCCTCCTTTTCCCTCTCTTCCTCCTATTCCCTCTCTTCCTCTTTTTCCCTCTCTTCCTCCTTTTCCCTCTTTTCCTCCTTTTCCCTCTTCCTCCTATTCCCTCTCTTCCTCCTTTCCCCTCTTTTCCTCCTTTTCCCTCTTTTCCTCCTATTCCCTCTCTTCCTCTTTTTCCCTCTCTTCCTCCTATTCCCTCTTTTCCTCCTTTTCCCTCTTCCTCCTATTCCCTCTCTTCCTCCTTTTCCCTCTTTTCCTCCTATTCCCTCTCTTCCTCTTTTTCCCTCTCTTTATCCTTTTCCCTCTCTTCCTTTTTTTTTCCTTTCCTCTTCTTACGTGGGCATCTCACCCCTCTACCTTCCACATCTCCCCCATGTGTCCTTCTTCCACATCATCTCCCAACTCTCATCTTTTTCCGCCACTTCCTCTACCATTACCTCCATCTCACCCCATCTTCACGCTGATATGTGAAATCACAACAACAATGCAAGCAGTATCCAACCTTTTAACTGACAACAAACTCTTTCACAGGAACTGGAGAAATTGCTTTTTGATGTTGATAACCCAGAAGTTGAAGTCATATACAAGTCTTTGTGTAAGTAAATATTTTCTTGAATAAATATCTCTTCAAAAATGAACTGCATAAAAACTGACGTTGGATCATGTTTTGATCAGCTCAACAACGCATGGTATTGCTTGTCTAATTAAACGTGTAGTTCCCGCCTTTGGAGTTATACGAAAAGTGGTCCATTACTCTGACTGGACAGAGAAATTTGCTTGCTTGCAAGAGATCTGTGAATGTCCTATCATCTCTATGCCTGCAAATATTGCATTCAAATAGATTTCTTCTACTTTAAGTGGCACCAGATCAATCGGTCAGTAAGAAAATGCAAGGCTTTGGTTATACTGGAACCCTGGAACTAAGTAGGTCTATTTTTCTCCACTGAAATAATAACTTAAATGGAAAGAATTCTTGATACCGATTGGCAAAGAAGCGTGATATTAGTTACCTTTTTCATCTATATCATTAAGTTATTCTTTCTAGAGAAAGAGCCATCACTGATGGACACACTCATGAAAGTAAAGAAATCTGGCTCTGAGATTTTGAGCTTTAATAAAACGAAACCGAAGATCCCACCATCATCCGAATTCCAAGCAATTCCATCGACCCCTGAGCCACAATACACTCCAGTTGATTTAGGTAAGACTTATGATGAACTAACACATGTAAAATCCTTACAATTTTAAATCGGAGTTTATATTAATTTATATATTTTATAGAATCTAGTTTTGATGACGGAATTGAGGAAGAAGATAAAAAGTATGTTCTGCAAGATTAGTACATCCTCTCTCTGAGTACGTTCTTCCTAAAGGTCCAGTAAGAATCATCTCTTATTGATCCAGTGTTACTACAGGAAGAAACCTAAGCTAAACTAACTTTATGTATACTGGATAGCCCTATCAGTTCTACTAAACTGTTTTTCTTAGAGGTCAAGTAATTTTTGTTTAAACGTAGCTCATAGTTTTTTTCGTAGTTTTTCTAACTTTTGTTAAAACGTAGCTCTGATGTTTTGGAAAGTGAAATGAACAGTGATCATTACTATGAACGAAAACTCGTCCGAAATATTACTGATGAAAGTGGAATAACCAAAATTCCAAGCAAGGAAATGCTAAAAGATTTCGTTAACAAGTTAGTCTAAGATATGTATCTAACAATGCTCAGTACACTAACTAATCCGGTTTTATTAAAACCAACTATCGCCAATGAACGTATTTCTTAATGCGCGTCTTGCTTGTTTCTAGGTCACTGTCTTTAGAGTTACCAATAATTTTAGATATGTTAGACGAAAGACTTCAAAATCCATCTGTTATTGTCCAACTGGTATGTGAGCGAAGTTTTGTTTATATTTTATAGCAAAGCTGAACTAATCCGTTAACTATGGAAACCTCTGGCAGCTTCCTGAGGATCATCTCTTATTGATCCAGTGTTACTACAGAAAGAAACCTAAACTAAACTAACTTTATTTATACTGGATAGCTCTATCAGTTCTAAATTGTTCTTCCAAGAGGTCCAGTAAGAATCATCTCTTATTGATCCAGTGTTACTACAGGAGGAAACCTAAACTAAACTAACTTTATTTATACTGGATAGCTCTATCAGTTCTAAACTGTTCTTCCTAGAGGTCCAGTAAAGATCATCTCTTATTGATCCAGTGTTACTACAGGAGGAAACCTAAACTAAACTAACTTTATTTATACTGGATAGCTCTATCAGTTGTTCTAAACTGTTCTTCCTAGAGATCCAGTAGGGATTATCTCTTATTGATCCAGTGTTACTACAGGAGGAAACCTAAACTAAACTAACTTTATTTATACTGGATAGCTCTATCAGTTTTAAACTGTTCTTCCTAGAGGTTCCTTGATCCATCTTATTGAAAATGTGTATTTTTGCTTTCAATTCTAGAAATCGCTTTGTGTTATTGAGTTTTTGTTGAGAAGTACACTTGCGAACATTTCTCGTGAAATCGATGAACACTGTTCGAGCCTTCATTTGCTAGTTGAAAGTGAAGATCTGACTGTTGGCTCCAAAGCAAAAAAGGTAACATACTGCATGTGGATCTTGCCGTAGTTTTTAATAAAGGGGAAATGCAAATTGTTTAAATTGTTATTTCAATCATTTTCTTCAAGATTGTCCTCGCCGTGGCCTCGTGTTTGAAGCAAGATAAAGAAGAACAAGCATCTTCCAGAGGTAGAGGTAGACGGTAGTGTGTTGCTGCGCGGTTCTGTTTACAAATAGCAGGATGTTTTCCAGGCTTGGTTATAGCACAGAATACCTATCAGAAGTAGAACTCCTGTACTTTTTTCGTAAGTGTGATTCGTCATGATTCGTCACTTAGCAAGTGCATTTTTTGAGGTAGTCACCCCCCTGCCAATACTAAATATGGCTTGATTTTAGACATTGGCAGGGGGGTGACTACCTCAAAAAAATGCACTTGCTAAGTGACGAATCATGACGAATCACACTTACGAAAAGATAGTATAGAGTTATTCTTCTGATAGGTATTCTGTGGTTATAGTGATGACGAATGCCGTTAATGATGGTTGCTAATTGTGATAGCGATGGCGTTGTTCACGTTGTTCTTGTGTTGTTGTTGTTGTGTGGTACTTCATATAACGTGCGACATATCGATTCATAATTAAATTGATTTGTTTCTTAGTCGAAAACCTTGTCCCCCCAAGTTACAACGATGCGAATGAGCAACCAAAGATGCCGGAAAATAATAGAAAGGACACAAAACAAAAGGTTAGAAAGACGCCTGACAAATGCGACTGAAATTCTAAGAATATACCACTGATCTGACGACTTACTGGATCTAGCACTGTATACCATCAAAACCTAAATCCAGTGTATTCTGAGATCAGTCACAAAGACTGGCTTTTAGTTCTTTGTTTAATTGCTTACTTTTCCGATGTAAATATAAAAGTGACGTAATTATTAATAATCAGTACTACGTTTTGTAACCATTACGTAATTCAACTCTTACTGCAAAGTAATGTGAATTAATCTCAATCCTTCCCTTAAAATTTCAATGTTTTGCTAGCCAGCTAATGAATATGAATATCTTTAAATTTCAGCGTTCGCAGAACACAGACTTGAGTTGCCTGTTTTCTGGGATGAATCTTTCCACTGGAACAAGGCCTGATTCTGCAGGTAATCGTAAGCTGGTCGAAGTAAGCGAAACTCCGGTGGAAACAGGCTTCCCACGAGACTCGAATCTTGTGACAATACTCGACACGAAGATGGGAAATTCAAAACAAAACTCGTTAGGAAATGATAAACGGACGACTGGGCGATCAAGTCCAAACGTGTCTTTCGACTTATCGAGGGAACTTATCGATAAAAAAACAAGCGCAAGTTTCGCTACGGCGCGCGATTTTGATGCTCAAAATTCTGATAAGTTCGATCTGACAAGTTTGGAACGCTCAGGAAGAAGCCATTCTGGGCTCGAAGGTGGGCGTTTTTGCGCGGTTAACGAATGCAAAACGAAGGTAAATGAAGGTGAATTCGCAGAGGCAGGATGTGATAAAGCGATACAAAATTTGGAGAGAAGTTCACCTCAAGAAACGCGTAAACTTTTATTGAAGTCTAAAACAGATATGGACTCAGATAATGTTGATTTGTTTAGTGTGAAAACTCAGAACTCAGGCTCGAATCAAAACCTTGAAACGCAAACACGAAATGTAGACGATTTACTTATTTTGAGCACCAACAAACCTACCACACAAGATCTTTCACAAAATACTACCTCGAACCAGGATTTGTTAACCTTTCAGACGGAACCGCGATCTCAGGCACTTCCCGGAGGTCTGGTACTTCCTAGCAATAACTCGTCCTCCGGCTCGAGACGACCGTTTCCGAAAGACATGAAGTCGGAAACGGACGGATTTGATTTTATCCGAAAGTCGAGAGCCGACGCATTTAGTTTTATAAATGACGAAATTCAAGCGAGTAAAAATAAACCGAAATAGATTAGGTTCTCAATGAGAATAATTTTTGAATAACAATGAATAATTTTTTAACAAAATTTTGAATAACACCTATTTATAATGTGTGAAATTTAAATATATACGTGATCTTTCTAAATCTTTCACCCTATCAGTTAAAAAATATTAGTTTATTGACAGATATATTAAAGCTTTACTGATTAAACAATGGTACCATAAAACATGGTTTGAGCCACCCGAAACGTTGCCAATATTAGTGGTTAAACGGCGTCGAAAGCAAATGAATATTTAAAAAAAAACTCCGAATTTTATGATGCACGGAATGTTGAACTGAATAGTATAACTGGAGTATGCCTTCAGCCTTTCAGAAAGCAGGAAATCTCGTGTTATGGCGTTTGCAATATTGTGAGTATTATAATTATAAGTAAGTACGTATACTAAGCAATAATTCTTCATTTGGTAATCAATTTATTTGGGAAAATCATTTGCTTTCAAAAACGAAATTTTGATCACGGAACGCTCCCCCCCAGATCTTCCCCCCCCGGTCTAGTGATAAATATCTATTCTTAAATATCTTTTGGGTCCAAGTTGTAAAGCCTTATTACGCGGTGAATTTTTTATCCAACTTGTTCCCCAACTATTTTGGCCATTGCGAGGCATGTTAAACGGTGTAAAAACTCGTGCAACTCGCAAAAGCGCTGCGGAAGAAGTTACATTGCCCCGTTTAAAAGAGTCTTCTGTACTTTAGGCAAATTTGGAATATTTATCATTAGGCCTCGTTACTAAGGGACGGTTATTAAAACGAAAAATTTGTACAAAAAACTTGAATAGAGCGGTGTGGGTGTCGAATGTTTAACCACCTGCCAAAATAATTGCGAATGAAAATAATTACTTCTGATGTTATATCGCGTTGAATGAACCATGCCCGCGTTCTTTTTGTTGTGAAAGCTTAAAACTGTAATGCCAGTCGTCTTGTTTAGTACTTGGTCATTTGGTTTTCAAAAAAAAAAGACAAGATCGAAGGAAAGGTTTTGAAGAGGAGTTTATAAGGTATGATCTTTTCATGTCGTATAATGTGCTTGTTTAAAGTTGTCTTATTACTCTTATATTAGCTATAGCGAGCTAGGGGAAATTTGTGCCCTTGTCCAAACGAGAGTTGTCAGAGTTAGGACGTTAGTTGGCAAGCAAATCAAATAGGAGGTTGATAAAGTTTACAACCGCCAGTATCATCAAGCGTCGTTTCTTGGTCAGACTCTGAAGAAGGAGAGTTGCATTAGAGTTGACAAGCTAGGCTTTGCTTGGGTGGTTTTTTCATCAACAATCGTGTCCTGGTCGGATAAGAGGGGAGTTACATGGGATTTGGCAAGCGCGAGAGTTTACATGGAGAGATTATTCAAAGCCATTTCAAGCAGAATTCATAAAGCATATTGTTATATTTTATGTCAATAAACCACGCTTCACTCTCAAGAATTAAGAATCATTAATTAGTTTTGCAGATCGCTTGTTCTACTCCAGGTCATGGAAACCAACCAAGTTCCCGGAAATTCTGCAAATCCACCCCAAAAGCCAAGACGACTTCCGGAAATCCCGAAGGATCAGGAACCGTTTGACATCACGAAAATCCCGCCGAAGCCGCCACGACAAAGACCACGTGGTCAGAGATGCTCCACCCCAGACCTCCAACGTCGAGTCCCCGGTTCCATTGCTCACAAAAGATGCAGGTCTCTTGTGAAATCGATTGATTATTTTTAACTTGATAAAGCAGTCGTTTTTAGCTATTTTGAAATGCCGTGGAGGACTAGTCACGAGTGAGATTTACAATGCATCATGGGCCTTTTTGGAAATGAGCTTTTTGTTCACGTCAAAAAAAAAGTCCCGTGATGCAATGTCAGCCTAACTCTCACAAGTCCTCTACAGCAACTTGGAGTGACCATCTCAAATTTATAGGTCAGTGGAGTCAATACGCTTATCTCCAAATCCTGAAAATGAGGAGCGCAGTCCACTGTCCAGCAAAAACGGAAATCTGAAGCACGCAAATTCTTCATTTAATAGTCCAGGTAAGTAGGATTCAGTTGCAGAATTTTCATCTGCCAGTCACACACCTCTCACGCGGTACCTCAAATTAATTTTTATTCAGCTTTTTTGGACACAACTTCATGTAAGACAACACGAAATCCATCCAGTCCCAGGCTCTCCCTTCCAGCGTATTGTGGAGAGGGCGCAATATTTATTCGACGCTGTACGAACTGTCATCAGCGAATATTCCCCGAGGAAGAGCGATTCGTTATTGCACAATCGATGTTATTTCATCTTGCTTGCTTCCAGTGTTCCATATGTAACAAGACTTGCGACATCACAGATTATTGTTACGTCATGGAACACGAGAAGTTCTACTGCTTACGTCATTATCACGAAATGGTCGCCGCGGGAATAGGGATTGTTGAAGGGGCGAGAACAGTGTACGGTTCAGGCCCTGGAGCCTTTGCGGGTGAGTTTAATCAATCATTGGAAGAGCAGTGATAAAGCTATCCAGTATAAAGTTAGTTTAGGTTTCCTCCTGTAGTAACAATGGATCAATAACAGGGACCGCGGAGCAGGGTGGCTCGCTGGGCTTTAGCCCCACCAATAATTTTTCCGTAATTAGTCTTTAATTTCGAATATTTTTTAGTTCGCTCAAATTTACAAGCAATAGAAGCGCCAAAATGCTGGAAACTTTACATAGGGCAAGCATTTGACCATTAAAACAGCGTGGTTATCCATTTCAAAATATTTGACATCATAACCAAAGCATGGTTATATTGTTTAATGTTTGTATATGAGCGCCAAACATGCTGGAAACTTTACATAGGACAAGCATTTGACCATTAAAACAGCGTGGTTATCCATGTCAAAATATTTGACATCATAACCAAAGCATGGTTATATTGTTTAATGTTTGTATATGAGCGCCAAACATGCCTGGAAACTTTACATAGGACAAGCATTTGACCATTAAAACAGCGTGGTTATCCATGTCAAAATATTTGACATCATAACCAAAGCAAGGTTATATTGTTTAATGTTTGTTATGAACGCCAAACATGCTGGAAACTTTACATACTATCTATTATTTTCCATTAATCCTTAAATTGAGAGGCATTTGCGGCGATTTCAGACACCTATATTTTAAAATTTTCCCGGACTCTCCTAGCAGGCGCGCGGTTCCGAGCCCCAGCAATACGAAAAACGCTCCGCGGTCCCTGAATAAGAGATGATCCTTTCTGGACCTCTAGGAAGAACAGTTTAGAACTGATAGAGCTATCCAGTATAAATAAAGTTAGTCTAGTTTAGGTTTCCTCCTGTAGTAACACTGGATCAATAAGAGCTGATCCTAACTGGACCTCTAGGAGGAACAGTTTAGAACTGATAGAGCAGCTATCCTCTCGTATCAATGAGGGATCATCGATAACTGTTGGTATAAACCTTATTTCTCTTTATTATCAAGCTGTCGTTGGCAAACGGCGAAAGCGAAAAGAAACATTGAAAACTTTGACAGAGTTACAACATCGTAGGACAAAACTGGCCCAAATTGCATTTCAGTTGGAAGAAGCGATGAAAATGTCAAAAAGTGAGCAACATACTACCTATAAGACACAGCTGTTTACACCATTGCAAGTTTGGCTTATTTCAGATCAGTGATTGGCAACCATCAGTTATTCGGCAATCTGTCAAAGGCAAAACAACACTATAAGCTTTGAACGATATATCTTTAATACAAGTCTATACTTTATAGACGAGGAACGGGCGTTTCTATGGAAACATTGGTTTGACGTCACGTATGAGAAGAGTATGATAGCAAGAGCAGTCGCGGAGTTTGCTTATCAGTGAGTATCAGCCACAAACCCAGAGACCATCACGGCTTTACTGATTTCGTTTTTCACAGACCACAGTGCCTCTTTTTAGTTGCATTTTACGTTGGTGTTCCACTGTTCCACCTTAAATAACTGTACTGTATTTGTCATTCAAAATACTGGAACGTCCGGTGTCGCTTGCATGTTCAATCTCTACGAGATAATGCCGGTAGCAGTCATTGTATATTGTTAATCAGCTTAAGCGAGATTATCTGTTGCAGATTAAAGGAGGTCGAGCTTTGCAATGAACAAGAGCAATTACAGAAAAAACTACGGCGAATTAGGAGAGAGAAAAGTATGTCCGAACTCCGAAGAAAGATGGTAGTATTCCTTCTCGTGGTAACATTTGAGGGAGGACTTTCCTCCCCACGAGGTTTTCTCCTGTAGTAACACTGGATCAATAAGAGAAGATCCTTACTGGACCTCTAGGAAGAACAGTTTAGAAGTGATAGAACTATCCAGTGTAAATAAAGTTAGTTTAGTTTAGGTTTCCTCCTGTAGTAACACTGGATTAAAATACCAAATTCCACAAAGGCATCTCCTGCCGCTAAATGGTACTTGTCCCGCTATAGTGGTTTTTCATGGCGGCCATCTTTGTGGTCAACTTCAAAGTTCCGCCTTTATTAATGTCTGCATGTTCCTTGCAGTGAACTCAAATAAAACTGGAACGCTCACTCTATGACTTTCCCTCATTGATGAGTGAAGCCAAGATGGCGGATCATGATGCCTTTCTTGTAGGTATGATCCAGGCCTCTGGCGCGGAAACTTCAAAGGAAAATTAGAATTCCCGACAAAATTTCTGCGTGGAGGCCTGGATCATACCTACAAGAAAGGCTTCATGATCCGCCATCTTGGCTTCAAACTTCCGGCAGAGTGAGCGTTCCAGTTTTATTTCAGTTCACTGGTTCCTTGTCGGAACTTTGAAGTTGACCACAAAGATGGCCGCCATGAAAATCCTCTATATTCTTCCTAGAAAAAGGAAATCAGGAAGACTTGGCGAACGACGAGGAAACATGTTTACACGACATTTTAAATGTGATAGAAAAACGCGACCTGCTCTTGCTTGAACTTGAGATAGAACGAAGAAGGTCAGTGTGTCCAAACAGCTGATTCAAAAAATGTCGTCTTTCAAAAACCACTTTTAAAGTTGAGCGCGCAAAGAATGCTTCGTATGAACTTGTTACACTCATGGGTAAAAACCAGAAAAGGATTACCATTTAGCTAAGAAACAACTATACTTTCTAAATCACATCATTTCACTGTTCATGAAAAGCGGATTTAGCATTGCTAATGTAATGGAAAGTTCATCCAAGCAATGAATTTGTTTCATTGTTTGTTGCACCAATGTTGAAGGTTTTTGAGGGACAACCATTTTAAAATAGCTGGATTCAAATGAATGGAAAGCAGTCAATAAATCTTAGCTATAAACGAACTCTATGCTCCACAGTTTGTTTGAGCGTTTGTTTCCGTGGTAAAACGCGATGCATTTTATTCCAGGGATGACGAGGAGTCTAGAAAATTGAAATCACTATTCGAAGGTTAGTATTTCTGAAGGAATCGTTTTAACCTGGTATAGAACTAATGACTTTACAACAAAGGAATATGCTAGATTTTGCTACGATACGGGGGTTGAAGTGGAAGACAAGTCTAAGAGTTTTCAGAGCCACAGGTTGACCTCTTGTGGTTAAACGAATTTCGTTGTATTGTACAGGGTGTATAAAAAAAAGGCAACACTTGATATTCATGAATATCCAATGTTTTTCAACAGAAAAGACGAGGCTTACAAGCCATTGTAATCCCGGTCCAAAAGGCCTAAAATCTATTGTGCTTAAGAACAATATGAATTTTAAGAATACTAAGTGGTTGCCTTTTTTCGATGCACCCTATATTTTAGGGTTTTTTTTCGTTTGTAAACGCGTCATTGTGCTCACGAACGTTTCAATATTTTGAAGGACTAAATTATTTTAATATTCCAGGCCATTTAAAGAAAGGAGTGCGTGCGCAGAATATCGAGTTATCATGTGACAGTCAGAATGGACAGTGCGTAATACTGTAGTTGTTATAGGTTAGTATAGCGAAGTATTATAAGTTGAAAGTCTCAGGTGAGGTGTGTAATTGGATCCTGAGGTACACTATCGGATTTCGATGGATCGTTGTACCATCATCTTACGTAGACCACGGTTACAAACTCAAAATCACTTAATTCAAAGTGTGTCACGCGTTATAAACGCACTTTAGTAACCTTAGGGAGTCACAAAAGATGTAAACAAAACAGATCACTTTTAGAATCAGAATCATAAAAAAAATACGAACTCCTATAATATCATTTTTTTTGGTTTTTACGAATATCAGATTGCCTCCAGGCTGCGTAGGCTTAATAATATCATAATGCAGCTCCTAAATTCTCAAATTTCAAAAACAAAAGCGCACATGACTCGAAGGCCGGGTTAGCCTCGAGTCATCGGTAGTCATTGTCATAACCTGTGAATATTTTCGATTTTACTTTCGTGCGACAGAAATTTAAGGCAATATTTGGTATAGACGTGGGGTGTATTACACATCTTGTGGTTTGCATCTCTGGCAACTGACAAAATATTCACAAACCGGTTATTATCAAGTGAGATACTAAGTGCCTTGAAGTCTGGCCCTATATCAAGAAAGTATTGTCAATGAAATATTGCCACCAACGTATATATCCTGTTGAAAATGGGGCAAAGTTGAAAAGGCAATACAAACAATTACTCGGAATAAATTGTAGCTGATTCTCGCCTCGCAAATCGTCGCGATGGAAAACGGAAAAGCATTCGTTGTAAAGCTGGAAAAAGCGACGGAAAAACCCAGGTATTTCCATGTTTGTTATAACTTATAAGTATGTTTAATATTGGCATCTGTCGAGAGCAGAATATGTTTATATTCAAATTGCGATCAAATGGATTGTTTGACGTTTGTTGTATTTGTTCAAGAGAAAGGTCGCCGTTGCGCTGAAACGGCAAAGCAATGCCGAGATTATTTTCGATCGACGTTCGTCTTAAAGGCATGGCGTTTGATTCTAGGATTTTCAAAGGTTTTCCTCATGTAACTGGTGTAATATTTTGTGACAACCTATAAGCGCTGATGCAGTAATGGTGGTTAAAGTGGCATTTCGTGACAATGAATATTATGTGTACAAAGATTTAATTTGGTTTATAGGTTCAAACAGGTTACCTAAACTATTACCCCATAGGGGGCATTCTATAGATATAAACATAACTGATTACAGACCATTTATCCCTGTAACAATGGCAGGGATAAATCATGTCGTGTTCTGCATATCATTGTGACTTTGTCATTCATGTCTTCAGTCATGATCCAAAGGTCAGAATGTTAGTTTCACTGTCTTGGCATTATTTTGAAAATCTCCATGTCATCCAGTCATGATACAGAGATCAGAATGTTTCGTTGTCTCCATTAGTAATATTTGAGAGAAATCTAAAGAGCTAAAGAATGTGAACTGAATCTTCCATGATTTTGACAAAATCTTAACACACTCCATATCAACCAGTCTTTTCCTGTCTTTTCAATTTCTATTGTTTTTTAAAAGCCCTTGAAGCTCATTGTTCTAGTGATCATCTCTGAAAATGTTGCAAAAAGCTCTCGGATTTAGATTAGGATTAGTGGAATTAACGGATTATCTTTTGGTAAGGATTTAAAAGCGCCAACGGTCCGGTAGAGCTCAGCGGTTTCAGAATCTTTCGATGTTCTGAATTCTCTGTAAACTGTCTGGAAATGTTGCAGAGAAGCTCTCGGATTTAGATTAGGATTAGTAAGATTAAACGGTTAATCTTATGGTAAGGATTTAAAAGCGCCAACGGTCCGGTGGAACTCAGCGGTTTCAGAATCTTTCGATGTTCTAAATTCTCTGTAAATTGTCTGAAAATGTTGCAGAGAAGCTCTCGGATTTAGATTAGGATTAGTAAGATTAAACGGTTAATCTTATGGTAAGGATTTAAAAGCGCCAACGGTCCGGTGGAACTCAGCGGTTTCAGAATCTTTCGATGTTCTAAATTCTCTGTAAATTGTCCTGAAAATGTTGCAGAGAAGCTCTCGGATTTAGATTAGGATTAGTAAGATTAAACGGTTAATCTTATGGTAAGGATTTGAAAGCGCCAACGGTCCGGTGGAACTCAGCGGTTGCCAGCATTAATAAAGGTTCAATTAAAATTTTCAAAGCTTTTGCATAGTGAAATTTACATAGTAAGTGAGTCTCTCAATCTTCTAATCTTTGTCAAACGATCGGGCAAATATTCAAGCCATGGATGGCACATACCAACCTACAACAGAGCCCAATGCTCCTGAGGAGGATGCAAGATGCAGTCTGGGCTCGTTTTGGCCGCGATCGCGAAAAAATAGGGCCCCGAATTTAGAGTATTCTGACGACGAGGACGATGATCACGTACTGAAAACCAAACGCACAAAGAAGAACAGCTATAGGTATTTAGACGATTACATAGCGTAAAGTAAACATCACGAGGGATCATTTCACTTGTTTATACTTGAAATACTTAGTCTCGCAGATAGATAGATGCTTTAGACAAACTCGAACGCAATAACAATGCCGTTTACTTGCAAGTTATCGATCTAAATACACCGCAGGGTAAACACTATGTATTTTTTAAAATGTATCGTGATATTTCTAATGTACGTGTGTTGATTTTTAAATGAACACCGAATTAAATCGATTCTTCGAATCGTCCATTTGTTGTTGTTAAACAGTTCTGTGCAAATATTTCTCATATTTTTAAAACAATATCGTTTGGGAAATTGCAATGTCATCTGTCCATGTTGATGCGAAAGCCAGACGGAATTATGACGGAAAACTTTGGGTGTAACATGATTTTAAATATATGTATTATTTTGTTCGAGAAATTCGCTTAATTATATACCTTTGTAGATAATTATGAATTTAGCTCTTCGAAGGGGAACTATGTTATTGCCAGTTTATTTATTTAATTCGGAGCAAATATGCAACAGTAGGCGTAAATATTTAATCCTCCCCCTTTCAAAGACTTAAAACGTAAAACGATTATGCGAGAGTTTATGTTTTAAGATCGCCTGCTATTCTGAATGAAATAAGGTCGGGTATATATTCTTGTGATAAGGCTATGACATAAGGTGACACTACAAGAAGGTGTACTAAAGATAAAGGGGTATATTATCTGCATTGGCTAAAGATCAGGCCCAGACAAGCCCCTTTGTTAATGATAAGCAAGAACATTATTAAAAGATATCTTCTAAGGGAGTTTTGGTGATATTTTGTAACAGACAATTTGGATGAATAGTCCATATGATTTTGGGAACTTACCCCCTTTGTACTGTCATAAAGTAGGTATTTCCCACAGATCACTTGTCAATCATTAAAAAAATGCCAAGTCTTAATTATTGAATTCCAGTGTACATTATATCTGTGTACTTAACTTAGACTTGTGTCCAAAGAATTTTATCAAAAAGAACCTGAAGTAACTATCAAATATTATATCTTTATTTAAACATGATAAAATTATTTGTTAAACAACTCAAGTAGAGCACTTAGGGACTTCATACCAACACCTCTGCCAAGATCATGAGAAAGATTCCAATACATGCATAATGCATTGTCCCCAACAACTGGAAATATTCCAAAATGCATTGAAAGTATCTTCTTTGTCTAATGTCAGGTGAAGTTACTTATAAGTGGCTTCCAAAGTGCTGCAAGTTAATACTTACCCTGAAATCCCCATTAACTTGCCTTTGGTTCTTGCCTTTTGTTTCGCAGATTTGTGGCAAAAAGACATGGACATGCGAGAAGCTGCAAAGATATCATAGCTAGTTTTTGCGGAAGAGGTTGATTTTAAGATTCCATTTGTTTCTGTTCAATTGTAGCCAGCTTTGTCGTCCAATGCCATGCATGCCTGCCCACTCAACAAGTGGTCCTGTTCGATCAACTTCAAAGGCCTCCCTTGGAAGCACCCTTGAGAGAGAAGCTGAACCTGCGAAACCATCAGCAACGGCAGGAAGCAAGTGGAATATTGTACGAAGGTTTGTTGGGGTGCTTTTTTTAACTGTATAAAGGTTCCCAAGAGATGATCCTTACTGGACCTCTAGGAAGAAACAGTTTAGAACTGATAGAGCTATCCAGTATAAATAAAATTTATTTAGTTTAGGTTTCCTCCTGTAGTAACACTGGATCAATAAGAGATGATTCTTACTGGACCTCTAGGAAGAACAGTTTAGAACTGATAGAGCTATCTAGTATAAATAAAGTTAGTTTAGTTTAGGTTTCCTCCTGTAGTAACACTGGATCAATAAGAGATGATCCTTACTGGACCTCTAGGAAGAACAGTTTAGAACTGATAGAGCTATGCAGTATAAATAAAGTTAGTTTAGTTTAGTTTAGGTTTCCTCCTGTAATGACACTTGATGGATTAGAATGAGCCTGCAAGATGTATTTTTATATTTTCCAGTAAAATTAAGAAAGGCACAGAAGAATTCTTTTGCCTTTGTGAAGATGATCAGAAACGACAGTTGTTGGAACAGAAATGGATGGCCCGCCGCAATCGGTATTGCAGCAAGCGATACGGCCCACTAAACACCAGCCAATTGGGTGGGGATGCCACGCCCAGATTCCCAAGTATCAGCAGCGGGCGAAGCCAGCAAAATGTGTTTACTACAGTCATGTCTGTGAGCCCAGGTCAGCCTGGACCACCGGTGTTGGAAAGGACAAAAAGTAGGAAAGAATCTGTGGCTTCAATGGCATGGCAGGGCCTTAAAAACAGAATCATAGTACGTGAAATTATATTTCTCTCTCGATAAACCCTAGGTTGCCTAGAGGTATGTGTCCCAGTTTTATATATTGCAGTCAGTGACACAGTTTCAGCTTGAGAGAAGTACGTGTGTCCAGTTTTATACATTGTAGTCAGGGACACACAGTTGCAGCTTGAGAGAAGTATGTGTGTCCAGTTTTATATATTGCAGTCAGTGACACACAGTTGTAGCTTGGGAGAAGTATGTGTGTCCAGTTTTATATATTACAGTCAGGGACACACAGTTGCAGCTTGAGAGAAGTATATGTGTCCAGTTTTATATATTACAGTCAGGGACACACAGTTGCAGCTTGAGAGAAGTATGTGTGTCCAGTTTTATATATTGCAGTCAGTGACACACAGTCACACCTTGAGAAAAGTATGTGTGTCCAGTTTTAAATACAGCAGTCAGTGACACAGTCACAGCTTGAGAGAAGTATGTGTGTCCAGTTTTATATATTGCAGTCAGTGACACACAGTCACAGCCATACAGTCACACCTTGAGAGAAGTTTGTGTGTCCAGTTTTATATACAGCAGTCAGGGACACACAGTCACACCTTGAGAGAAGTTTGTGTGTCCAGGTTTATATACAGCAGTCAGGGACACACAGTCACACCTTGAGAGAAGTTTGTGTGTCCAGTTTTATATACAGCAGTCAGTGACACACAGTCGCAGCTTGAGTGTATGTTTTGAAGTATGTAAAGATCTGTTCACAAGATGTAATTTTGTCAGATCCAATCATTGAGATGAATATAGTAGAATATAGTCAATTAACTATTAGTTCCGTGTTTCTACTTTATATGTAGGGTGGAGATTTCTCATCTGCGATGTCGCACGGTGAAATGATTGGCAAAGGTCGGAGTTTCGCACCAGCGACTTTGGCTCATCTAGTTCATGATGAAGAAGACGGTGTATTTGAAAGCGCTGTGAGTATCCTGGGAAGGCGAACTTCGACACAAAATAACAATGAAAACAGGACAGAGTTGTTACAAATACCTCCAGGGGCCGGTTTTATAAAATTATTTAAATACACGTTGCATAGTTAAACCCTAGTTAACTCAGAAATACGCGACTCTGTTTGGCCAATTCTGTCCTTAACTACACTCAGTAAAATTAAACTAGTCTTTTATACAACTGGGACCAGCTATCGACAAAGTATTCTTCATCGTGGCAAAGAAAAGAGATTTAGCATCACATTTTAAAAGAGCGGCTTGGGTTGCGCGTGGAGTTTTATAATTAGCTCGTAAAAGATGTTTGAGCTGTTTTAGATGTATAATTAGATGTTTGAAAATGGTCTTTAAACTTTGCGAGATTCGTGATTGCCATTGTTGGAGTATAAAAGAGGTATTTAGCCCGAACACAATGCTCACCGTCATCTTTTTTTTCCCAGCCAAACAGTCCTCGGTCTTTCAGAGCTGATATAGATGACGAAGTCTTCTTTGATTTCATTGGCGGAGCTCCAGGCTCGACCCAGTCTTCTCTTCCTGCGATCAGAGAAGATGACGAGATCGATGCTCCACGGTAAGTTAAAATTTTGTTCAACGAGAAAGGTTTTCTTTCAAGAAACCGCACTAATGGTAAATTTGGAATGTGCTACTCTTGTTCTTGTTTGACCAGGACATGACAGTTGATGAAACTCTCATACAAACTCTCGCTTGTCAACTCTCATCAACTCTCATGCAACTCTTGTTCTTGTTTGACCAGAACATGACAGTTGATGAAACTCTCATACAAACTCTCGCTTGTCAACTCTCATCAACTCTCATGCAACTCTTGTTCTTATTTGACCAGGACATGACAGTTGATGAAACTCTCATACAAACTCTCGCTTGTCAACTCTCATGCAACTCTTGTTCTCGTTTGACCAGGACATGACAGTTGATGAAACTCTAATACAAACTCTCGCTTGTCAACTCTCATCAACTCTTGTTCTCGTTTGACCAGGACATGACAGTTGATGAAACTCTCATATGAAACTTTTTTAATTCTTTCTTTTAAAGCGAGCATGCTTCGCCAAAAATCGACATTACACCGGAACTTCCCGAAAAACTCCGACTGGAAAAACCCGACGAGAGTCCCCCTCCTCCGCTACCGGAGAAGAAAAGGATTGGTAGACCACCGGAAGAAAGGGTACCATTACCGTTCGTTGAACCCTCGGACAGTCGACCCCGCTTAAACCGGCAAATTAGCACCGCCAGTCAACGTGGTAACAGGATTATCCGATTACCTGTGGCTCCGGTACCGTCCGGAAATCGTCGCGAAATTGGGAAGGGTCTAGTTGGACGATGGTTGAACAGAACGATCAAGAGAAAACGCCTGACCAGCTCCGTCAAAAAACAACTGGACAGTATGGAAGACCATAGGTCGGTTGATTTTGACTTTGTTTGTGGATAAGTTCCAATATAACTAGGGAGCAGCGTGGCAGCGTCTTCAAACAACTTGGCATCAAATGTGGTATAACAACTGCCTAAAATAGACAAAACACTTCTCGACGTTTCGACTTGAGGGCCTTCGTCAGGAGAGTTAGTAATGAGGCCCTCAGGTCGAAACGTCGAGAAGTGTTTTGTCTAATTTAGGCAGTTGTTATGCCACATTTGATGCTAAGTACTTTGTTTGTGGTTTGGTTCCACCGAATTTAATATTATTAGTATAGTTAGTTTTTTTGTTTTTGTCACCCTGGATAAAATAACTGAAACGTTTTAAAACCAATCATAGTGAACCAATGGACAATTTCCTTTTTCAACTAATTTTTGAGTCGGGCTACAAAGAGATCTTCACAGCTCGAAGAGTATTCAAAAATGGCAAAACTGCAACGTTTTGTTATGAAACGTTATAAGATGTCAGATCTTGCAAGTGCACCTAAATGCCTTTTTCGCCGTTTTTTTCCAAGACGAAATATGCTTATTTTCAGCGATATCACAAGCCTTATCTACCATTTGGTGGTGGGGGGGAAGGGGGGGAGGGTTGTGCCAAGATCTCAATTTAATCAACGAATTTGATTCGTAGACGACGATAGATCGACCCTCCCCCCCCGTTTCCTCGTATTTTCTTCACAATTTTCAATGTCTTCCTCTTTTAGACCATATTTCACATACTGGATCTCATTTGTCCAAACAAGCATTCTCATCATCACCCTGGCTGTCTATGGTTTTGCCCCAGTCGGTTTGACCGTGTCCGAAGAAGTAGCGAGGGTAAGTCTCCCAGAGTGGGATCACCACCCGATTGGCAGAAATTTTGCTACGCGAGGCATAGTTGTTTTACAGCAGACATTTATACGTCTTTTCAGGTTCACAGAAGTCGTGGCGGGTATTTAACTGAAGAGAAAGTGAGCACTAAGACTCCTGATAATTTCTGGATTGGCTTATCGAGGGTAAGTCAAGGTCTATGTAACTTAACTGGACTGAACTAGATTAAATTGAATTGAACTGGACTGACCGAAGAGAACAGGACTGAACTGGACTAAATTGGAAAGGACTGAACTCGGCTAAAGTAAACAGTATTAAACTGGGCTCATCTGAACTCGTCTAATTGAGCTAAACTGCACATTACAGAACTGAAATTAACTGGACCGGGCTAAATTGAACTGGTCTAAACTAGACTGGATTGAGCTAAATTGAACTGAAATAAACCAAATTTAATTATTCTGGACTGGACTGGATTGACCTCAACTGAACTGAACTGAATTAGACTGGACTGATCTGGATTGAGCTGCACAGGCTTCCGCCTTAGATTAGATTGCATTTGGTAGACTAAACTAGACTTGAAATAACCAAATATTAATGTGTATTTAAATTTCCAGGACGCCCTGATTCAACTTGGAGCCAAATACGCGCCTTGCATGAGAAAAGACAAGGAATTGCAGCGCATGCTGGACAGGGAGAGAAAGGAGGAAGCCGAAACTGGCTGCTGCATTGGAACAGATCAAAATGGTTGCATACAGACATCACAAGAGATGTGCAAGGTTGAAAAACTGTATCCCTGTATCTTTGAAAAGACCTGGCAGAACTTTTTCACTGATCCAGTGTTACTACAGGAGGAAACCTAAACTAAACTAACTTCATTTATACTGGATAGCTCTATCAGCTCTAAACTGTTCTTTTTAGAGATCCAGTAAGAATTATCTCTTATTGATCCAGTGTTACTACAGGAGGAAACCTAAACTAAACTAGCTTTATTTATACTGGATAGCTCTATCAGTTCTAAACTTTTCTTCCTAGAGGTCCAGTAAGGATCATCTCTTATTGATCCAGTGTTACTACAGGAGGAAACCTAAACTAAACTAACTTTATTTATACTGGTAGCTCTATCAGTTCTAAACTGTTCTTATATAATCCTATTTTTTCAACGCTTATGTTTAGAAAACATTTTCTACGCTGTACAAGTACAGAAGGGACAATAAATCCAGAGCTGTCTGTGGGCAAGACCCGATGTAAGTTAGCTGTTCGCTTTACTAAATATTCTTTCTCGTATTTCGTGGAAAGGGACGCAGGAGACGCAGAAGATATTAAACTAGTGTTATGGAAAACTGAACCGTTGGCCCTTCTTTGCCAAGTACTTTTTAATCGTGTTTCGTTGAGAAGCTATATGCCATGCATGCAATGTCTGCAAACTATACTGGCGGTTTTTCTTGTTAATTTGCACTGTGTTGATAAACGATACGGTAATACCCCATTGATTAGCTGTATAAAAATGTTCATACTGTGGCCTTTGACATTTCAAATCAGAACACAAACACGGAAGAAACAGTTTCAATTACAAGGACATGGTCATGGAAACAGCAGCATATTAACATATAAATTATTGTATAGTTGTGTTACTGAATGCATGTGGAGTGTATATTGAGAGAGTGTGGTATTCATATAAATAAAGTTCTTCGGAAAAACTAAAAAATTACACCGTTCTCCTAAAGTCTGATGAAATGTAAACACTGCAATAGACAAGCAGCATCAAAGGAACCTCCGAGTAGCTTTGGATGTTAATTTTTAGCTTCGTCGCTGGTTCAGCTGTCGGCATTCTTTTTTCCTCCCGTGGGTAAATTAATCTCCATCTGTCCTTTTTAGCGATTGTGTGGATCCGCCATCCGTTGAGCCAAACAAATGGTCTCCTAATGATATTACCGAGTGGCCGGTGAGTCGCCAGACAGTTTGAAGTTCTCGTTAGCCAATAGCCATAAAGCCTGACCGCTTTGTCCGCAAGCAGACCATCTTGAGACCGTCTTTACCGGCTTCCAGCTGCTCTGTACTGCATGGCAGCGAAAATATAAGGATTCAGGTTTTTCTGTGTTTTGATTGCAAATACCTGAATGGTTTTTTTCGGAATACGAGACGAAAATCTGTGTTGAAATCGCTCATTCGATGAAAAAATGTAAAAAGGAAAATATCTCAAAAAAACTGTCTATAATTTCCCAGGGGTTTTTTTTTCGCCAATAGTTGCTTTTTTGATGAGGTCCTTTTGTTTTGTATTTTTGTTGACGTTCTAACGCTGGATAGTAATTTTTCATTGCTTCCGTGATATTTCAAACACCCAGTGTTTGAGTCAAGCATTTTCAGCTCAAAACTCGCAAAAACCAATTTAACTTTAGTCACGTATCATTTCTCACATAAGTGACTGGTTAAATTTGAAGATGAAGGCAAATTTCGCATCAAAACAATAATTTCGTCATCCTATCATCAAAGTAAAATAAGCTCTTTAAAGCCTCATTTTCTTTTTATTTTTATTTCAAAGATTTGTAAAAGACTGACACAGGAGTCGAGGAACAACACGAATAAGAAGCCAGATCACTTAAACTGCAAAATAACCGGTCGGCCATGTTGTATTCGTGATCAGGCTGAATGTCGCATCATCAGTCGTGAATACTGCGAGTTTTTGAACGGTGTTTATCACGACGAGGCGACTCTCTGCTCACAGGTAATCACATACCCAAACCTAAATGAGACTGATCTCAATATGATCAGCGAAATCCAACCCAAAGGACTGTCGTAGAATATGTAGAACTGCAAAGTTCGGTCGAGAAATGTGGCGTTAAGCCCGTTTTCCACTAGGCGAATTTATTCGCGCGAACAGATAAAAAGTAGGAAGCGGTTCTACTTCTTCACGATTCGTCAACGCGACGCTAAATTTCAGTTTTTGGAAGGGAATAAATTCAATTCTGGAAAGAATGTTTCAGAGCTATGGGCCCCATGCATATCAAAATATGCTATCCTTCAGTTATTATCAAGAATATCATAACATGATAAAACTTATAGGTTGCTTTTAAAAACTCAAAAATTCGTAAAGAAACGCGTCGCGTTGGCAGATCGCGTCCGGTGAAAACTGTTAAGGCCCACACAGACTGAACGCGAATTGGTAACGCGGCGCGAATTTTCAACGTTTTATATTTTTCAAAAGCAAATAAATTTTAACTTATCATCATTTTCTTGTAGATTACATAAAAATAATAGACTTTGACTGCTCTAGCGTCCATAGATTCCAAATTTTGATCCCAGAATTTAATTTATATGCTTCTGAAAACTGAAAATTCACGTCGCGTTGCCGCTTCGCGTCCGGTCTGTGTCGGCCTTTACAGTTTTGCCATATCGAGCTCTCGATCCAAACCATGCCGTTGTTTTTATTTAGGTCGATTGTCTCGGAACAACGTGTGGTCTTCTTCCTTTTCTTCATCCAGAAACGCCTGACCAGATCTACAGATTATGGCTGTCGCTGTTTTTACATGCTGGGTGAGTTAAAGGCCTCGTATTTGCCTCGTAACCACCTCGTTACGTCCTCGTAACAACCTCGTCATATCCTCGGTGTTTCACTCGCGTACAATGCAAGCATCTTTTGTACTGCGAGGTCTCATCTTGTTGTGGTTTTAAAGTGCTTCATGCAAATTCCTGAGTTGGGGGTAGATTTCAGAAGCTGACTTATTGATCCCTTGCAGGATACTTCATCTACTTATCACTCTCATATTTCACTTCACGATTCTCAAAGACATGGAGAAAATGGCGGGCTGGCTTAGGATTGCGATAATCTATATCTTCAGTGGAATTGGAGGAAATCTCTTGAGTGCCATCATAACACCCTACCAACCCGAGGTAATGGTGGAAGAATTTATATATTATTTGGGTGTCGGGACTTTGTATATTCTTGTACTAAAACGTTCACTAAATGTTTGGACCAGGGATAGGATAGGAGTCGAGAGAATTTAAATCAATTCCAAGGATTAGATTTGCTTTGATTAAGTCCTAGGAATAGATGAAGTTTGATCAATTCTTATATCAGATTATACCACATTTTATTACAAAGTTGTTTGAAGACACTGCCACGCTGTTCCCTGGTTATATCGAAACGATTCTAAATGCTTCTCTCTTTGAAGGTTGGACCCTCAGGCGCATTATTTGGAATCATCGCTTGCCTTCTTGTCGAGCTTGTTCAGAACTGGCAAATGATCAAAGAGCCCTGGTCAAGCGTCTTGAAGCTTGGCATCCTGACGTTCCTCTTGGTCATATTCGGTTGCCTACCCTGGGTGGATAACTTCGCCCATCTGGGAGGCCTAATGTTTGGAACCCTTTTGGGTTTTGCATTCCTACCTTACATTACCTTCGGAGAATGGGACAGGCGACGAAAATTGATTCAAATTGTGGTGTCCATCGGGCTGACTGTAGCCATATTTATTGTGCTGTGTATCGTATTCTTCGTTGACCAGGAGTCCACCTGTTCCGGGTGCCATTACATAAATTGCATTCCTTTTAAGGAGGATTTCTGTTCTCCTTCGCTGAGCGGTCGGGGCCTAAGTCCTAGAGTTACATCTTGATACCCGAGGGTTGATAATGTGAACACGAATGGATGTAGCTGACATTGGTAGATGGAGGTGGATAAACGCAGTACACATTAGGATAACAGTTGATATTTGGGTATTGCAAATTGTGGATTCAAGAGGCAGGAGCACAGTGATTAAGTAGGGTAACGGTTGATATTTAGGTATACTGAAGGACAGACATTGTGTCCTCTCTAGGGAAACCGTTGGTATTTGGGTACTATAAATGATGAAATACAGGTCACAGATAGATGAAGGGAACAAAGAGTGTGACCGCATCGCACACCTGGTGGTTTTAGCCGGCCGGCTGTTTCCCGTCGTGTGCGGCCACAGTAGGGGGTTACGTAACTGAGCATTTGTTTACAAATGATCTTAAGTACGTTGTTTGCACAGATTAGACTGTTATAACATAGGATATTTATTTTTTGGCGAGCAAACCGTATACACAGCTGAAGGGAAGTTACCGGATGGAATGTCCAAATCACTTCGAATGCAAACTAAAATATTTTGATTTTTGAGATTTAAAAGCTTCCGTTCATAGGAAAAACATAATATGAATAACTAACCTCGCCTCGTTTTTTACTGAGCGAAATTGTTCAACCGTCGCGAAGTATCATGATTTGTCAGCGAAAAATTTTGCCGCTGCGTTCTTTTAAAGCGAACATATTCGTTTTAATACTGGTGACCGTGCTTGAAAAGTGTCAATCTGAATTTCGTATTTCAACGCATGTTAATTACGTGACCGCAGTCAATAAAATCTATTAACATGCGTTAAAATAGCCTTTGTTTTTTATCGACTTATAAGCTATTCTTACGTAATTCAAATGCGAAAGTTCAAGTCGGTTAAAAAAATTTAACCCTAAGTACAACTTTCATTCTTGCTAGTTAGTTTAAACGCATTTGGACGACCCCTTCGAAATGTTAAGACTGAAAAACTATGCGATAAGCCTTTCTGTCACACAATTCTATGCAGGAAGGGTTGTTACGTACGGATTTGACCTTCAGACATGCGTGTCTGACGTCAAATTTGGATTGCGCGTAATTTTTGACCGATTTTACAACCAACAAACGGTATACGTTTTGAATCGCTTTCCACTTTATTTTCTAACCTGAAAAATAACACCACGCAGCTGAATTCAATCACAATAATTAAAGTAATTAAAATAATGTTGCGTCTGGCTGGATTTAAACACTCCCTAATCTTATAATATTTGTATGTAATGTTTACATTTTTAACTGTATAATAGCTTACATCATGTGTTGTTTTTCTAATGAAAAGTCGAGAAAATATTTTTACCCCTTTGCTCTTTATTATTTTCAATCATAAATAAAGTTAGTTTAGTTTAGGTTTCTTCCTGTAATAACACTGGATCAATAAGAGATGATCCTTACGGGACCTCTAGGAAGAACAGTTTAGAACTGATAGAGTTATCCAGTATAAATAAAGTTAGTTTAGTTTAGGTTTCCTCCTGTAGTAACACTGGATCAATAAGAGATTATCCTTACTGGACCTCTAGGAAGAACAGTTTAGAACTGATAGAGCTATCCAGTATAAATAAAATTAGTTTAGTTTAGGTTTCCTCTTATAGTAACACTGGATCAATATAAGAGATGATTATTACTGGACCTCTAGGAAAAACAGTTTAGAACTGATAAAGCTACCCAGTATAAATACAGTTAGTTTTGTTTAGGTTTCCTCCTGTAGTAACACTGGATCAATTCGGAGATTTTTCTTATTGCACCTTCAGGAAGAAGACACGCAGTCCGAATGTTTTTTAACGTTTAAAATATTGTCTCAAGGAGTTGAGACGCAAACTTGACTGAGCTCGAGTAGCCTTGTTCTAGAAATAAAACAAGACATGCATATGGGATGCTTTTAGATCTGATATATAATAATCAACTTCACAGTTGTTTGTATGTTTATTCACCTCAATTCCTGAAAAGGGTTGATTAGGAAGAGTTTGTTAGATAAAGCGACTAATCTCCTGCCCCAGATATAATAGCAATGGCGTAGCCAGCCTGGCGATTGTTTCAGCTATGCAAATCAAGTTATAATTATTCATTTCTTTAGAAATGGATTGTTTTCACAGTCAATAAACACCAAAAAAGGACTAATTTAGCGGGTTGCCTAGGGAAAACAGAATCTTCAGTCGGCTGATTTGATGATAATTTCAAACTTTCAGAGTTTCGTAGTTAAACTCTACCTTTATAGAATATAGATGCACAAGTACTACAATCAGCTTTTCCATTAGGGCTCAGAAATGTAATTAATTAATGTCAAAAAGCTGTGAGTTTCTTCACAAAGACGTGACATCCGAAATGGCCTGTAGTGAGCAGTCGAAATGTCGATGTAAGATTAAATTTAAAAAAAGTCGATTTTAATGAAATAATCGCAACACCCTGTGAAGACTGCGAACTATGTTTAATAAAAGAGACAGCTGCCAGTCTATTAAACTCTCTGTAGAAAGTATTATGTTACGGGCATGTTTTGAAGAGAGAAAAAAATTAAAGATAATTGTGCATCGGAATGATTGGATGCTTCTTTTTATTGCATGAGGTCCTATATCATCGAAAAAAGCGATAATGTGCGCCTGTGTTGTCTGGTAACATGACAATTTTCGCACTTCCCAGTCGAGTGAAGATCAAGCAAAAATGACTGCGCATTTTAGTATGTGCTTCCACTTCGAAATTGCTTGGTTTCGTCGGAGATATTATTGAAATTTTAACGTTGGCTGCGACTTGCATCAAAACTTGCCATGAAAAAGATGGTTTATGCTTCGAATGACCACACGAGAGCGTAGACGGACGAAAATGTGAGTAGAATTTCAATCGAGTGTTTTTTTTATCACGCCGAAGGCGACAGCTGCGTGAGACTTTGTGGTTCTGCTCGCGATGTTTCCATAAGAGAAGTACACGACTTTTTCAAGTGGATGTATTACGGTATTGTATTTCTCACTGCTTGAATTTGGTTTCTTCAACTAGGAAGACTTGTGAGTTTGTAGGCGAATAACAGATGTTTTAGGCGATTTGAACTGGCAGGTTTGCTGTTCATCTGTTCCTTCATTTGCCTGAGTGATTGCCGTTTACTGGTGAGAACGATCGCGTGATTATTGCTGCGATTCCGTCCTTGTTTTTACTCGCGTGAATATCGACTGTGACTCCGAACGTTCGTGTTGTTATTTGTTGTTAAATGAGAAGGTATGTTCGTGTTAGTTTTTTTCTTCTTTCATCAGGGTATCAATCTGTCTGATCGTTTGTGTTATTCAAAAGCTTGATTCCCCTCTCAGCGTGCTGTGGGATTGTTTAAAACGCGAAATTAACGGGATAAAATCTTGGCTTGATATACGGCGAAGATTTCTGCCGTCGGGGTACACTGGAATAGCTCAATTACTTGCAATTTAAGAGCCTTTTCAGCGGGCGATTATTCGGATCCAGCGATTAGATTGAGGAATGAAAAGGCTTTAAAAACATCTGAATAAATATAACCGAATATGCCACAATGCTGGCCCACAAAATGGAAATAAACAAAGTGTTGCTCGATTGCCAGTCTTGGCACTGTAATGATTGTTATTATAAAATGGCTTTTTCGTACCCGCAGTAAAGCTTGTTTCCTTGCGACTTTGCTCTCGAAAATTCTGTCTATGCCGAACCAGAGCTGGTCCTTACGTAAATATCTCCCGTAAACGCAAAACGACACGAGAATTCCTAGCAAAGAAAATATGGCAAAACGCCTCGAAAACACTTGTAATGCGTGGTCAAAATTTAACAAACAAGTTTGGCCGCAAATGAGGCATTTTTCAGTCGGGTTTCAAAACCAAGGTTTGCAACATTCTTGGAACTCTACAAAACGTTCCGAATTGCATGGTTCTTAGGCTGTAATTTGCCGGCATTGTTTAGAAAATTCCCGGTGGATATCGTTTTAAATATTGCCCGGTAAATGGCCGGCATTCGGCCTTCTGTCCCCGTGACAAAATAAGACATACTTATGTTATTAACATGATAATATTCCGGTCTGCTAGGCAAGAATAATGTTCCGATTTTTATTAGAACTATTTCCTCCCTTCGGAAGGATTTCCTTTTGGCATTAGAAGGCGAAAAATTGTTGCACGTTTTGTGGTTTTGTATCAAATTTATACAAAGCGTACGAGATTACGAATATATTTTCACGCAAAGCTGAATTCTGCGCGATGTTCTTTTTTAAAAGGCGGCAGATGCGAGAGGATTGCAGCTCCAATTTGTGTTTGCACGAAACGCTTCCATTTCCAATAATATCCGAAGCAAACCGTAAAACCCCTCTGGCTATTCTTGCATGTGAGGAATTTGTTTGCAAGCATACACGTCAAACTTAAATCAATTTGAAAAATTTGCAACAAACCTATTTAAATTACAAGAGGCGTTTGTTTGACCGCGGTTAATTGAATATGCCTTCGATGTGGCTTATTTGTCTTCGTTTTCACATCACCGGTGCACAGCTTAGCGTTTCTTGCGTATAATTGCATTGGACATATGAATCTGCCTGGCATTTTTACCGATAACCTGCAATCTATACTTAAATTGAAATCTCTCTTGGATGTTAATTTTTTTCGGCAGCATGTTCACAAGATAAGCATTTTCATTAAACTCTGTATCGATTCGCCTCCTCGCCGCGATGTACAGATTATTATTGTACGCTGTATTCTTGTACAATGATGTTACAGTGAAAATGATTTTGCTTTCTCTTTGTTGCGAAGTGTACTTCCTAAATTATATGAACCATTCTAAATCCTATTACATGAGTTGACAATCAGTGAATGGCAATAAATCTCAAATTTCAGCATATTTTCTAAACAATGCAACCTCATGTGGAACTCGTAGTGATTTCGTTTCAGTTTGATGTTGTTTGTTACACTTGTTTTCATTTCAACAGACAATTTGTTTAAAAAAGGTTAAATACTGTAAAACAGAAATAATATCAGGGAGGCACTACTTGCTAATGAGTTATGAAAAGATTGACAGGTCATAATCAGTCTTTTTCCACTAAGTCTGATGTTTGGGTGCTTGTTTAAAGGTCTGTTCACGCTATCCAATTTTGTCAGATCCAATTCACTTCTGATGGATGTTTTATAGTCTGTTGCCTTGCAATTTATTGGGCAGAAATTCGACTAAGACCAATGCTGTACTGCTTCATTAATAACAAACTACATGCCATACTTGAGAAGTAAATTGGATCTGACAACAAAGTTGGACCATGTGACCTTTCAGAAAAACAAATAATCTCATGTTAGGGGAGTGAACTGTTAGTATGGACACACTCTATTGCATTGCAAGTCCTTAGTGGCTGCATAATATTTGTTAAACCCGGACTGCTACATTTTAATTATAATGCGTAAGCCTTTAAGAGGTGGTTGTATGGATTCTGTTAAAACAGCCGAAATAAATAAGCCACTTTCATACATGCTGTGAAAGACTCAATCGAAATCCAATTACCAATATACTATAAATGCAGTTGTAAACAATATTATTGATTTTAGTTTTCATCCATGATAAATGTACATTCTAGCCCTTTTTTTGGTAACCATTCACTGCTTAAACTAAAGCGATCTTTTCACAACTTTGCTCCAACTTGAAACTACTAACACACCAACAACCTAAAACCAACCAAAACAGTATGAAACCTCTTAGTTCGAAATGGATTTTTTTATATTCAGTGGTTGATGAACCAACTTGATAAGATGATATCTGTAACAATATATTCAGTTCAAGAGTCTACTGGAGATAGTGTTTTATAATAAGTTGTGCAATACTGTTTATGATTTAGATCTTATATACTGGGAAGTTGTATTTCAAATGTGGTGGTCCAGTGTAGGTAGTATTCTACAATAAGCTATTGTGGTTTGTGTCTGAACTACCTGAAAAAGATATCTCAAACGTGGTGGTCCATTGTAGGTAGTTTTCTACAATAAGCTGTTGTGGTTATGGCTCAACCACCACTAAAATATCTTTGACGCTGTGGTCGAGTGTTTTTGTAAAGTTTCAAAAGAGGCTTTAATATGAATCTCATTAGTTTTCTTATGGGATCATTAGTCGCGATGCTTATTCGGTATTTGCTATTATTAGGTCATATGATTATATCTCCAGTGTGGGTAATATTCTACAATAAGCTGTCTCGAATGTGTCTGAACTACCTGAGAAAGATATCTCAAACGTGGTGGTTCAGTGAAGATATTATTCTACAATAAGCTGTCGTAGTTTGTGTCTGAATTACCTGAGAAAGATATCTCTCAAACGTGGTGGTCTAGTGTAGGTAGTATTCTACAATAAGCTGTCGTGGGAAAAGGGTATGTCAAACGTGGTAGTTTAGTGTTGGTAGTATTCTACAATAAGCTGTCGTGATTTGTGTCTGAAGTTCTGAACTACCTGGAAAAGATATCTCAAATGTGGTTGGTGGTTCAGTGTAGGTAGTATATTCTACAATAAGCTGTCGTGGTTTGTGTCTGAGCAAAATTACATGAAAAAAGTGTTGGCAATGCGCCCAGCTCGCTGGGCACTGCTGACCTTATTTTTTCCCATGGTTCATTGTGCTCTTGCGCTCATCAGGAAAAAATTAAACACCAACTAGTTGACTAGTTAATGGTTAGCAAAACGATCTGTTAGACTATCTTGTAGTGCTTCTAGAGGAACCGTTGGGCTCAACGTTAATGACCTCAAACTGAACCGTTTGTAAGTAGATAGTGAGTTTGGGAAATACAAAGGCAACCGCAAAGGCAAAATATATTCACCTAATATTGTGGTATTCAAAGAAAATACGAGTTAGTATTGACTTGATTTGCCTCTTCAAGATTCCTCTGTCTCTGAAACAGTTATTAACTATTATAAATATGGTCGATCAGCAAAATTACTTCTAACACTTCAAACAAAATCGAACACATTAACTGTTGCGGCGTTGTCATCATGTCATGCACCGTGAAATTGGTGTAAGTCACAACTTTCACTGTTTCAGCAACTACGGCAGTGTGCAACGCTAACGGCAACGTAATTTACATTTTCTTTTGTCTTAAAGGATCAATGCCATTGTTCATAAAGAGGTTGCGGTTGCCGTTGTCGTTGTATTTCCCAGATGCACTGATGTCTGATGAAATACTGGGGGTGGTTGCATCAAGCCCGTTTAGCTTAAACGGTGGATAAGTCAAATTTAAAAAAACACTCTTACATCTCTCTTGAACGAGTCAACTTGAATATTACGCACTGAATATGTAGTTGTAAACAGTATCTTTGAAAAAACATTTAGTTTGCCTGTTGGATAAAACGATAGACTTGCTTTCCATTTTGAACGTAACCACCGTTTAAGCTAAACGGGCTTGATACAACCGGCCCCTGTTATCCGGCCGACTATTATCAGTCATGCGGTTTAGCTGGACTTCCTAACCACAAGGGTGTTCTAAAAATTGAAGTATCTGCCATGACGTTTCCTGTGTATCAAGGGCACTTGATGTTAAAAAAGCAGGCTTATCAATCATTTTTGTAGAGCACTTGCGTTTATATTCGTATCCTGCCACGTACGGCATGCAATATGAACAAGGGAAAGCTATTTGTTACTGAGTTTGCCGGCAACCAAACGATTCCACGAAATCTTTTCGTAAATTTGCGACGTTCCTTGTAACTCGCGGACGCTGCTCTTTGATCCGGGGAAGAATTTGAAACTCGAACTTGTTAAGCGTTTTCACCGAAATGCCTGAAGGCAACAAGTAAACGAACGAAATTGATATCAATTGAGAGGAAAGACATAAAGGATCTGGGTTTTTTTCCGTCAAATCAACTAAAATCTGCCGTATTAGGCACAAATTACGTCGTTGTCTAGTCGAGTTTCACCCCCACATCGCATCAAAATTGAATTGTATTACATCTAGGAGATCAACGGCTTAAATTTTACAGCCTTGCAAAGATAAACGCTTCAACGAAGGCCTTTTGAATGGACGCCGTAAAAGGACAGCAGTTAAGATGCAAGATTGATCATATTGATAATCTGTCACGGTATAAACACGAGAACATGCTTCGTGACCCCATGGCAGTCTTAGTGCTTCTTCGTTTTTAAAAATCTCATTAAATTGCAACAGACCAAATATAGAAGTTTTGTGACGGTTTTATTGACGTGCGACTTATCTCTTACTTAAGGCAACCAGTAAAGCCAATTTTAGTTTTCTTGAATATTGCGACATGTTTAGGTTCATTGTTGAACCCAGTCTTTCCGCGCGTACCTCGAGGTCACCTGATTCATAAAGGTTCGCGACCGTGGAAAAGATTCTTTTTAATCCTGATCTAAAAACCCGGCCGATAATATGTATAAGAATTGCATAGCTCTATCATTTCTAAACTGTTCTTCCTACAGGTCCAGTAAGGATCATCTCTTAATGATTCACTGTTACTACAGGAGGAAACCTAAACTAAACTAACTTTATTTATACTGGATAGCTCTATCAGTTCTAAATTGTTCTTCCTAGAGGTCCAGTAAGGATCATCTCTTATTGATCCAGTGTTACTACTGGAGGAAAGCTAAATTAAACTAACTTTATTTATACTGGATATCTCTATCAATTCTAAACAGTTCTTCTTAGAAGTCCAGTAAGAATCATCTCTTATTGATCCAGTGTTACTACAGGAGAAAACCTAAATTAAACTAACTTTATTTATACTGGATAGCTCTATCAGTTCTAAACTGTTCTTCCTAGAAGTCCAGTGAGGATCATCTCTTATTGGCAATTCATTGAGTCTTAACCACATGGGGAAAAGTAAACTCAGTGTAATTAATTCATACTAGATATGCCGATCAGTTCTCAGTTTCCCACTGTCATTATTTCAATCGATCGGTATAGAGTCTGTACTGCACTTGAATATTTCATCCATCAAATATCACTTACACCTTACAAGTACAAATCTTTGTCGTTAACATAGTAAATTCTCAGTACTTCCCATCAGATGCGTTGGCAAAAATATGCGATAACTCCCGCGAACGACGCATGCTGTTAAACAATCTTTCCTAGAAAAGCGAACGGTTTTTTTTATGTATTTCAGTCAGCGCGATGCCAGCGTTTGATAATATCGCGAAAAGGCATCAACGAAATGATAACGGCAGCTGCGAGATAAAGAACAGCACCTGTTTTTTAACCCCCAATTGAAGCGGATTTTGAGTCCAGAGTATTTGTAATAAAATTGATTCGAGACCGGATTTACTAATCGCCCGGATTATCGCCTAGTTTAAACCAATCACGATTGAAAACAGTGACCAGTTCAAAATGGGTTAATCTCGGGTTAATCTCGGATTAATCTATTCCACCGATATTTCAGAAGTTAAAACCCACCAAAAAATGAGTTATTTCAACCGATGATATTTCGGTAGTAATGACAAATTGGTGAAAAAATTGATCTGAGACATATTTTATTTGGGCCTCTTCCACAAACTGTTTTTGCGATGTGAATGTAACTCACCATTTTTACCATTCCCAGATGTGAATGACGAGGCATCAATGAGAGCCTCCCATGATCCCCGTGATGAACCTCGAATATGATAAAAAGCCAACAGGATCAAACAAATTGTATACGAACTCACGAATTACTCTGTAGTGACTAACAACAATTCGCAATGACGTCTCTGCCGTTCCTCGTGTTGAGTGTATGGTGTTTATTTACAGTATCTTACGCAGCAATATTGAATGGTAAGTGTGCGCACGCATATGAGTATCGACCACTGATCTCGTGATACACTGAACATAACAACAAAACCATGGTGTGCGCACGCATGAGTATCGACCACTGATCTCGTGATACACTGAACATAACAACAAAACCATGGCGAACGACGCTAGAATTAATGAACTTCCAGAGACCCAGAACAGAGGAAAATACTACTTTCAACACGCTGCTATCGACACAGGACTTTGAGATAGATCTAGAACCAGGGTCGTAGCTGACCGCTTAATTGAGGGGGGGGGTTGCATATCCATATATTCATTTTATACCCGACTTTGTACGCTATTGTTCCATATGTAGATATGAATATATGAGTATACAACCCCCCCCCGGCCCAAGGTTTTATTCCTTATACCCGACATTGTACGCTATTGTTCATATATGTTAACATGAATATATGAGTATACAACCCCCCGGCCCAAGGTCAGTGGATGTAGGTCAGTATGTCAACGAATGCAACACTGGACTGAAACTGGACTGTGCATGATGGCTCAAATGAACTCTTTCTTATTTCAGCGTCGAGTACTAATAATGTACGAAGAACCTACAAGATGGGTTTCTTGATTCCCTTCAACGACGACAAAACGTGCCTCTCACAGCCTGATAAGCCCGCCTCGCAATACGCGCCTGCGATACTCATTGCCATGGACGACATTAAGAACGATACTAGTTTGACATTCAACCTCACCTGGGTTTGGAATGACACAATGTGTAACGAGTCGTTGGCGCTCAGACAGCAAGTGTGGCAGCTCAATAATGGCGTCGATGTCTTTGTTGGTCCGTCAACAAACTGTGCAACTTTTGCACGGAATGCCGTCGCCTTCAATCTTCCTGTTATGTCCTATGTAAGTTCCAGTCCTCGCCCTCATATTTCAGCCAATCAGCGTTCAGAAGGGTTCCCGAAATCGAAATCCCCCTTATCTTCTTGAACAACACAATTTTGCCCCCCCCCCCTGTCACTGGAGGTATGCGGGTACCACCCAGAGGAATTTCTTACATTGCCCTGCCCCCCCCCGCGTCTTCCCTCCCTTCCCTCGCCTCCTATGAACCCACCCAGGATCTCTGATTTCAACCAATATATATTACAATTACCCCCACCGCTGCTTGGTGCCCCGCCCCCTCTTCTGTCCCTTCACACCCCCCCCCCATAAGACACCGAGGATCTCTCATTTCAACCATATTCTTTTACAGCAATGCGAGGACGCTGCATTATCAAACAAGGCCCTGTACACAACAGTCGCGCGAACCTCGATAATCAATTCCCACATTACGCCGCCATTGATAGCTATTTTGAAATTCTATCGTTGGAGAAAAATTGCCATCGTTTATCAAAAGAAGACGAATTGGATCAAAACCTACGAATACGTGTCGAAGAAGCTGACGCCAGAAAAGAACAACGTGACTGTCACGTACACAGAAGCGCATAAGATGAACCTGCAAAAATTTCATTTGGGCGATTATAGTGATGTCAAAGCGTCTCTGAAAAGGATTAGCGCGAAGGCGAGAAGTAAGTGAATCATTTTTTATTTCCGAAAGTACAACCGTATAATTTCGGATATTATCACTGTTTAGCCTCAGGAAATCACCTTAGCTTATTCTATTAATAATACTTCGAATTGATGATAACTTTTTTGAGGTCTTTTTCAGATATTTCAGACAGAAACCACTACAGCATATTGCAGAATACTACCAACACTGAACCACGTAGTTTGAGATATCTTTATCAGGTAGTTCAGACAGAAAGCTTATTGTAGAATACTACCTACACTGGACCACCACGTTTGAGATATCTTTTTCAGGTAGTTCAGACAGAAAGCTTATTGTAGAATACTACTTACACTGGACCACGACGTTAAAGATATCTTTCTCGGGTAGTTCAGACACAAATCACGACAACTTATTGTAGAATACTACCTACACTAGACCACCACGTTTGAGATGTTATTTTGGGGACAAAAGAATTGCTTCATAAATGAATCATTCTCCATTGCTAGTTGTGGTTTTGCTCATGGACAAGGAGCTGAAAACGGAATATATGCTCTCAGCCTACCAAGAACGTTTGATTCAAACTCAAGAATACGTCTTTATCGGATTTCATCTGGATCAAGATGTAAAATTGGTAAAATTGATAGACAGAGAGAGGTGGTCATATTAGAGAGTGGTGTTCATATTAGAGAGAGGTGTTCATATTAGAGAGAGGTGTTCATATTAGAGAGACGTGTTCATATTAGAGAGACGTGTTCATATTAGAGAGAGGTGTTCATATTAGAGAGAGGTGTTCATGTAAGAGAGGTGTTCATATTAGAAAGAGGTGGTCGTATTAGAGAGAGGTGTTCATATTAGAGAGAGGTGTTCATATTAGAGAGAGGTGTTCATATTAGAGAGAGGTGTTCATATTAGAGATGGTCATATTAGAGAAGTGTTCATATCTATGTATTTACTAATATGACCACCTCTCTCTAATATGACCATCTCTCTCTAATATGACCATCTCTCTCTAATATGAACACGTCTCTCTAATATGAACACCTCTCTCTAATCTGAACACCTGTCTAATATGATCACCTCTCTCTAATATGACCACCTCTCTCTAATATGAACACCTCTCTCTAATATGACCACCTCTTTCTAATATGAACACCTCTCTTATATGAACACCTCTCTCTAATATGAACACGTCTCTCTAATATGAACACGTCTCTCTAATATGAACACCTCTCTCTAATATGACCACCTCCCTTTAATGTGAACACCTCTCTCTAATATGAACACCTTCCTAATATGAACGCCTCTCTAATATAATATCTCTCTAATACTAGAAATACATGCATGCAGCAACCCCTCGCTATTTCAAACCAAATACACAATTTCTTGAGCAAACCTGACCTCCGTTCTAATTGTCTGGGTTTTTTTAAGATACCAACCAAGAGATATTTCAGCTATTTTTCCGGGTCAACGAACATGGAGGATATAATGAAAAGTTTTGGCTCATTACTGATCATCGAGGCGAGGCCAGTCACGTACGAAAAAGGCAAACGCGAAATGACGAAAGTTTATCGACAATTTTCCGAAAAACTGCGGAGTTTAGCGAACAAACCGCCTTTTAAGACGGACAGTTTTAAAGGCTGTCTATATGCGGGTGGTACAAGGAACTGCAGTGAGTGTCCTCATTCGTTCCTACCAGTGAGGGGGTAAAGGGGGGGGGTTAAACGGGGGGGAGACAAGCTGGCAGAAACATGTCAGTATAACATTGTTAAACACACTTTCATTTTAACTTCGAAATCAAAATATATCCATAAACCAAAAATATAACGATGACGCTTCATAGAGAAATATCTGGTACTTTACTGGTTTTGTTTAACGAGATCTCCACCTTTTATTTCAGCTGGACCAAATTGTACGTGTATATATCAGAAAAATTCAAGTAATGTAAGTTGCCCATACGATAAAAGCCCATTCGTGTACCTTTCGAGGGATTGTTTAAAGCCTCGTTTACACTACTCAAATTAACGCAACCCTGGGTAAATCCATACTTAACCCAGGGTTGTGTGAACCCTGCTTTGAAGGTGGGTTTGAACACTAATGTAAACAAACCCAGGGCTCGACCCGGCTTTGAGTTAACCCGGCTTTGAGTTAACCCGGCTTTGAGTTAACCCGGCTTTGAGTTGACCCGGCTTTGAGTTGACCCGGCTTTGAGTTGACCCGGCTTTGAGTTGACCCGGCTTTGAGTTAACCCGGCTTTGAGTTAACCCGGCTTTGAGTTAACCCGGCTTTGAGTTAACCCGGCTTTGAGTTGACCCGGCTTTGAATTAACCCGGCTTTGAATTAACCCGGCTTTGAGTTAACCCGGCTTTGAGTTAACCCAGCTTTGAGTTAACCCGGCTTTGAGTTGACCCGGCTTTGAGTTAACCCGGCTTTAAGTTGACCCGGCTTTGAGTTAACCCGGCTTTGAGTTAACCCGGCTTTGAGTTAACCCGGCTTTAAGTTGACCCGGCTTTGAGTTGACCCGGCTTTAAGTTGACCCGGCTTTGAATTAACCCGGCTTTGAGTTAACCCGGCTTTAAGTTGACCCGGCTTTGAGTTAACCCGGCTTTGAGTTAACCCGGCTTTGAGTTAACCCGGCTTTGAGTTAACCCGGCTTTGAGTTAACCCGGCTTTGAGTTAACCCGGCTTTGAGTTAACCCGGCTTCGAGTTGACCCGGCTTTGAGTTATCCCGGCTTTGAGTCAACCCGGCTTTGAGTTGACCCGGCTTTGAGTTAACCCGGCTTTGAGTTAACCCGGCTTTGAGTTAACCCGGCTTTGAGTTAACCCGGCTTTGAGTTAACCCGGCTTCGAGTTGACCCGGCTTCGACCCGGGTTAGTTTGCGTAGTGTAAAAGGGTCTTAAGATTATGATAAAATAAGCCCACAAAATATTTCGTTTTAAATTGTCTAGGTTCGTATCGAGGGAGCGCATTTGTATCACGCTATTCGACAATATGCATACGCTTTGAACAAAACTTTGGCCAAAAACCTCGAACCGAACGGTATTAATATTATCAACGCTTTGAAGGGACACGCCTTCGATAGTAAGTAGTCAACTTTATTGATCTTTTATTGTTCGGAAATTCGGGAAACTTTGAAACGCCTATAACTAAATATATTGCCTTGCCCTACAAAATTCCTTTAAAACTTAGCTTTTCAAGTGTTCAGTAATGCCAAGAGATGGGGGAATGCTTGGATTGCAAGCTCATTCTCAGGCAATTATTGGATGAGGTTGAGTGTAATATCGAGAATTATCAAGCCGAAGTTTGCGTTGTTTGCCGAAGCGAAGCTGAGGTGGATAACGCAAATTGTTTTATTATGTATTTCCTTTTTAGAAAGGAAGCCTGCGCCATTATTGACAACAAACTAACGGCAAAAAATCACGTCACCTACGGATAATTTTCAATGTCGTGTAGGTGGCAAGAGATTGAGAATTATCTGTAGGTTTTTAGCCAATCACAATCGAGATTGATTTAGTAATGCATAGTATTTAACAGTTATTCTGCGAACTCGAGTCGTATGTGAGCTGATAGCCGACGAGGCGCGTAGCGCCGAGTTGCCTATCGGCCATATACGAAGAGAGTGAGCAGAATAACTGTTTTATTATATACACAAACTTTGTCGCCCTTTCGGTGCATTTTGGTGTGCTATTATCAACTAAAGCTTGGATTTCTATTTCATTCAACTCCCCAAATCTTTCCGCCATTTTGTTTACTTTCTCTACTAGACAGATATGAGCTAATATCTATCTATTAGCCAACCAATGAAATTGCAGCATACCTCATATCTGTCTAGTAACCAACCAATGAAATTGCAGCACAGGTGACACAAATTGAATTTTTCACGTTTAGGTATTTTTGGCCATAAGCTGGCGTTTGATGAGCAAGCAGATGTGATGTTTAATATGACACTTGTACACCAGGAATTTGTGAATGGAACATTTGAAGATAGCAATTGTGTCCCGTTTAATCAAGCAGCACCATGTTATGGTGAGTTTCTGGATACAGTAATCACCAGTATAAATAAAGTTAGTTTAGTTTAGGTTTCCTCCTGTAGTAACACTGGATCAATAAGAGATGATTCTTACTGGACCTCTAGGAAGAACAGTTTAGAACTGATAGAGCTATCCAGTATAAATGTTTCATTAATTGTTTTAAATCGTGACAGACATGAAAAGATATGCGGAATTTTGGTTGAACGAGAAAAACATTGGTGAGCAGATATTTCACGAGGTGAACCCGAAGTTGACCTGGTATGCGGGAAGAACGAGCGTTCCTCCAGACACGCCGCCCTGTGGCTTCACCGGCGACCTTTGCAAAAAAACTGAAAAATCTGACGGTGCGTTTTATTCGGGGATTGTTTGTACTGGTGGAATATCGTATACATGAATCTACCATCTGCCGACCTCATCTCTAAAAAGTCATTCACAAATAGAGCTCAAACAGAAAGCATCTGACACTCTGTATTTCTTTTATTTCAGACATTAAGAAGATCATTGGTAGCGTTTCTGGCATCTTGGCTTTGTTGCTTCTTTTGTTACTTTACAATATATACAGGTAGAGTTATTAATCGATTATTAGTTGCAAGATCCTCTCTGATAGACCATCTCCCTATTCAAACTAAATGCTAATAATAAAACATGGAATGCTAACACCTATAGTTCAGAGGTTTTGACTGTATTTTACATAGTTTTAGACATTCCTAGATAATTATACCCTCTACGTCTGTCTCAAACGTTCAAAAACTCAGAAAAACTTCAAAGATGGCATCCAAGTTAGCGTTACCAGTTTTATTACAGTTCACTGCATTTAAACACGCTTCTGATTTCTAAAATACTGAACTTCAGACCTCTGCACCTTTTAGGCAGTATTCCATGGAAAAGAAACTGCACAGTTTGTTGTGGAAAATTGATTCCAATGAAATCTCTTTTGAAGCTCGAAGGAATTCACAAATTTCCATTGAGAGCGGGGTGAGAGGGAAATTTTTGATGAATTTGATGTTTTGTTTCCGTAAACGCGAAGCTTCGTTGAAACAAGCATGTGTTAAAATACTTTCTTTTGTCTCCAGGTGATTGGATCTTTGATGCAAGACAATCATTCAAGTTCAAGTGAACAGGGAAAGGTGATTAAACTTTTCTTATTGATCCAGTGTTACTACAGGAGGAAACCTAAACTAAACTAACTTTATTTATACTGGATAGCTCTATCAGTTCTAAACTGTTCTTCCTAGAGGTCCAGTAAGGATCATCTCTTATTGATCTAGTGTTACTACAGGAGGAAACCTAAACTAAACTAACTTTATTTATACTGGATAGCTCTATCAGTTCTAAACTGTTCTTCCTAGAGGTCCAGTAAGGATCATCTCTTATTGATCCAGTGTTACTACAGGAGGAAACCTAAACTAAACTAACTTTATTTATACTGGATAGCTCTATCAGTTCTAAACTGTTCTTCCTAGAGGTCCAGTAAGGATCATCTCTTATTGATCCAGTGTTACTACAGGAGGAAACCTAAACTAAACTAACTTTATTTATACTGGATAGCTCTATCAGTTCCACTTCTCTTACGAATGTTTTTTTTTGTCTAGCATCGGGATTACGAGCCAACAGACACGCTGTTGGAAAACAATGACGACGATCCTACCACAATCAAATACACAACAGTGGGACTTCTAAAGGTCGGTACTGCGCCGTCTGCGCATGACACAATACCGTGAGTTGTGGTGTTTGCAAAATCCAACACAAATCATAGAGTTAAACTTCATAAGACTAAGAAGGATTTCTCTTGAGTTTCATTCCGTTATTTCTACCCACAGGGAAACTATGTTGCGATTAAAAAACTTTCAAAGAAATCTGTTGATCTGACGAGAAACGTTTTGAAAGAATTAAATCTGGTTCGTATTATTCAGAATTTTTTTGTTAAATCTCATATGTATATCGCTCATCAATAACTCTTAAACCTTTTTCGCTTTGAAAGATGCGGGAAGTTCGTCACGAGAATCTCAACCCATTCCTCGGAGCCTGTGTTGAGCCAGGAAATATTTGCGTTGTCACTAGCTACTGTCCGAAAGGAAGTTTGCAGGTATATGAAACGAGATCGTATGTTTTACTGCCCTACACAGCCATCGCTTGCTTTCGTAGAAAAAGCTTTATAAACCGTCCTTGATAACAGAAAATATTGCGATGTCACATTGTTGTCACGCTTTTTTCCCGCCAAAACCGTACAACGGAGTTTCAAAACTATGACATTTGTTTTGCAGGATATTTTGTTGAACGTTGACGTGAACTTAGATCACATGTTTATATTATCGCTGGTATATGACATCGCGAAGGTTAGTGTAAGATAGAAGTGGAATATAATTTGAAGTATAATTTCGATGCAAAAGTTATAAATGAGGTATAATTTCAACGCAAAAGTTATATCGAATTAGTTATCATATATTAAGTGAAATTTGTTGAACGATTTCAGCCCTAAACAAACTTAATTGCTGAAGTTGTGAATATGCAATTTTTAAGTTTAATTTTCGTAATGTTTTTTCTGTCGGAAGAAATATTCGTCTTTGAGTGACACAGGCTGTAGTTCGTAGAGCATCGTACGACGAACTACGACGATGGAAACCGATCTTTTTCTCTCGGAAATCGATTCCACGTAGCAAACATTCTCATTGTCACTCGTTTGTTTTCAGGGAATGACATTTCTCCACAGTACAGATATAAAAGTTCACGGGAATCTCAAGTCCTCCAATTGTCTCGTCGATAGTCGTTGGCAGCTGAAAATCACGGATTATGGTTTACCGACGTTCAAATCGAAACAACTAAAGCCGTATAGTTGCGAGCACGCTAAATACAGAGGTATTGAGACACTTTTATGCATGCGAACCACAGCCTAAGATCAAATTTACAGTCGTATTTCTCCTCTTATTTTAGACATGTTATGGAAAGCACCTGAATTGCTTCGTTCGTCCAATATGAACGGTCGAGGTACACAAGCGAGTGACGTTTACAGTTTTGCGATCATTCTTCAGGAATTTCACACCAGAAAGGGACCTTACAGTCATAATTTCGAAGACATCAGAGGTAGGCTTGTGTTCTTACACTTGAAAACAATACGGAACCATATTTTTCATGATGATATATTTCTCCAAACCCAAATCAAATGGCATGGCGTGTTCGAATTACCACACGCAGAGCCACGTGTCTAGCACATGATCCTAAAGATCGAATCTTTCGTCTTCAGAAATCATAGAACACGTGAAATCAATCGAATTCCCGCCCTACCGACCAGTCGTCCCAGATCTGATCGAGAAATTGGAAGAGCTACGCGAGATGGCAAAGGAATGCTGGAACGATGTCCCGCAAGAGAGACCAGCGTTCGCTGAACTAAAAAAACGCATCCATCGTCTGCTGGTAAAATTGAAAATGTAAGCACGAGTCCTCATTTTGTCGTAATATGGACCTTTTTCATAATGACGTCAAACGCGGAAAGTATGATGTTACACGAAGTTTGATTGGCTCGATAGTTTTGTGGAGCCAATCAAATTTCGTGTAACATCAGACTTTCCACGTTTGACGTCATTATAAGAAAAGTCTATTGTCGTGGAACAAGTCATTCTCAGCGATGTGAAATAGTCCGCATGTAAATTTGGCTTTCATTTTTGTATTCAAATCGGTCATTGTTGACTGCGCACACATAGAAATATTCCATCACATCAGCCACCATGACATATTCAAAACAAGTAAACCACTAAATGGAAACCGTGCCTAACTTGTTTGTAGCAAGTCCATCTTCAGAATCCACGACTATATTCTTACAGCTATGACCCTAAACCTGACCTCACAACGTTGTACCAACCCTAAAGCGGTTAAGGATTAAATCTTACAAGGGTTTGGTAGGTTTGAGCCAAATTGGTTAAGGCAAAATCCAAGTGAAGCAAAAATTAGTCTGATTATCAGGATATTGCGAGTTGTGACACTGTTAAAAAGTTTTCAAGAGTTTTTCTGAACAACCAACTACAAGTTTATCGAAACAACCGTTCTATGATTGTTAATTATTTCGTAATGCCTTCGTCGTTTTAGGAAGACCAATATTCTTGATAACATGATCTACATGATGGAAAAGTACACGGACAACCTTGAGGAATTGGTCGTAGAGAGGACGGGGCAGTTGATTGAGGAGAAAAGAAAAACGGATAATCTTCTGGAACGCATGTTACCGTCGTAAGTGCTGGAATGCTTGTTGATGGAACAGTGGGGGAATTTCGTTTTAGACCAATCAGCAAGTTTGTTTACATTTTCAGTAACCCAATCAGAATGCATAAATTTTGAGAAAATGTACAATATATATCATTTTACATGAAGTATTTGAAATTTAGGCATTCTGATTGGCTTTGCCTAAAATAATGTAAACAAATATGGCGATAAGTTGAAAACAAAATTCCTCCTCGTTTGTTGATGGTAGACTCAACTCCAGTAACCACAAGATTAGCAGTGCCAGTGGTGAGTCTGATTTCTCACAGATACTTTGTGTATTTTCCAGGTCTGTCGCCGAGCAATTGAAGAAAGGCAAATCAGTCGAAGCCGAGTCATTCCAATGTGTCACGATCTATTTTAGCGACATCGTCTCGTTCACTGAGCTCTGCGCTGAAAGCACACCATTACAGGTTGGTGCGAATTCTCTTGGCTAACTTTGCTTCAACGCCTTGAAATAGAGCCTTGGCTTCAAATTTTGCTGTACTATAGATGCATATTGAATTTTTGAAGGTTTTCATTCTTTCAAAGCTATATATTCTTGACGTTGTATGTAGGTTGTTACCTTGCTCAACGATTTATACACGCTTTTTGACGAAATAATCCGAGATTTCGATGTCTATAAGGTAAGTTTGCAAGGTTCTGTGTACGTCTAGCCAGAGTATTTACTTAAAAGCGAATCAAAATCATGTTAAATCATTTACTGAATCAAAATAATGTTAAAATATACAGTTCATGATATTTTAAAGAAATGTAGTAATTCAAACCAAGTTTATATATAAATTTTAGAAATTTCGACAAAGTTCAAGGTCGTCCACAGTTTAATAATAGATTTATAAATCTCATATCGTTGCTAGCTCATTTATCCGTTAATTTCGTATCTAAATTTCTGCTCCACAAACTCAGGTTGAAACGATTGGCGATGCCTACATGGTTGTGTCCGGTCTGCCTCAGAGAAACAACAATTTGCATGCTTCTGAAATATCCTGCATGGCTCTTCGCATCAGAGATTCCGTGCTGGACTTCAAAATCCGACATAAACCGAACCACAAGCTCATGTTAAGGATCGGCGTTCACTCGGGCCCGGTCGTTGCCGGCGTCGTAGGCCGAACTATGCCGAGGTACTGCCTCTTCGGAGATACCGTGAACACCGCGTCAAGACTGGAGTCGAGTGGTGATGGTAAGGTCCATTCGTTTATGATTGATTTTGGAAGACACATGACTGTTTTCATTAAATGCATTTTTTGTTTTCAGCTCTGAGAATTCACATAAGCAACAGTACGAACGAAATCTTGGAAGAACTTGGCGGCTTTCGAACCCAGGAACGTGGAGAAATCGCGGTCAAGGTACAAAATAGATTTTTTGTGGATGAGAGTTACAACTTCTGTTTGTGTTTGTGTTTGTGTTTGTGTTTGTGTTTGTGTTTGTGTTTGTGTTTGTGTTTGTGTTTGTGTTTGTGTTTGTGTTTGTGTTTGTGTTTGTGTTTGAGCATTAGGTCTTGATAGCTTTTGTCAACTTTTATCAACTCATTTCCAATTTTATCAAGTCATATCAACTTTTATCGACACATATCAACTCGTATCAATCAACTCATCAACTTTTATGAACTCTGTTATCAACCTTCATTTAACTCCTATTACTTCCCCTTCACTTCAACACTACAACCCCTTCACTTCAACTCCTATCAACTTTGATCAAAACATATCAACTTTCACCAACTCGTCTCATCTCTTATCAACTTTCGTATCGACCTTCATCGACCCCTTAAGGCCCTTATCAATCCTCATCAACCCTAATCATCTCTTATGAACTCCATCAACCCTCATCAGTCTTCGCGAACCATACAATGCTTGCTTGCTAACCGTTAGTTTCGTTTCGATCAATACCATTCCCTCTTGGACTACGATGGTAGATAAGTTACTTACTACAAGGAAATCATCTTTCAGGGTAAGGGCGCTCTGGTGACGTACTGGCTGCTGGGGGCAAATAGCGACGTCCCCCGCTCTCCACACAGGGAGATGGTCCACGCAGACCTTCAGTTGTCCCGACCCCCGGGTCAGGCAGGACTTTTACTCCGAGAGTTCCATCACTCGAATATTTCGCTCCGTGGTTCTATGCGCGGATCCTTTCGGAACTCGCCGGCAATTTTGCGAAACGGCGGAGGTCACGTGGCGCACGAGTCGCCGAGGATGGTTCGTTGGAAGAAAGCAGACGAAGAGTTGTTAATGAATGGAATTGCGTGAGGACGGGGGGGGGGAGCCCAATGGGTAACACGCCTGCTGGTCGCTTGCTACAAAGTTGTTTTAAGAGCTTTTGCCTTCGCTGTCCATAGCCAACGGTAGCAGCATCGTCACAAGTGATTTTGTAATGCACTGGATATTCTGGCTTCATTTTCGATTGGTATATTTTCTTCATCCAGTGTATTACGCGATCAGTGATCGCTACAACTTTGTCGTCAAGCTTTGCAAATTATTTTTCGCGACCACGTCTCGCGTGTAAGACGTGAATTTTCGCGCGTGTACCGGGGGTGGAATTGTAAATATATATATGTATATGGTAATCAGTGATGTATCTTCGACGCCACTTGTTCTAAAGAACCGATTCGTCTTGTATCCTCCCGAAAGAAAAAAATGCAAACTATGGATCGAATAGACCATTCTATGGCTCGTTATTAGAACGAGGAAATACTGATGATTATTTTGAAATAGTAAATTAGATTTTAGAGTATAATTTATAGAAACATATTTGAATTGTCGATCCGGAAGGTGACAGTTTTCCAACAAACGGTGCCCGCGATTAGCGTTGAGAAATATTCGAACAAAATGTCCCGACCCGACCCAGGACTTCCATGTTACCGTCACAAACGGTGGTCCTGGGTTCGAGGTAGAAAACACAAAACAGAACATTTCGTTATAATAGTCATTGCAGGTTTTAGACTCATGAAGAGCCCTTTCCACCTAAGTTCTAGTAACCTTGCGCAAAAGAGAAAACTCGTTAGTAAACGTGAATATATAGATTCATTACATACTATTATTTATCAATCTATCGTGACACCAGTTGATTTCAAACTTTGAGACAGTAGATCCGTGGGCGAATATTCATTCCTGGGATTATTTCATGAAAATGTTCCTCTGGCCAGAGTTGGTTGAAATGTGCATTGAGTTAGTTTATGTATTTTATTTGTAATATAACCCACTGACTTTTGTACAGAATTACGTTATATAAATAGAAGGAATACCAATTGCACTGTGTAGGGAAAGTTTTGTTTGAGCGTCATGTTACGGTTTTTTAAACTAAAAAATCCTTTGAAAAGGCGTAGAATGGGAGATTGTTTCGCCCAATTTGAACGCAAAGTCGTGTAAACTTTGTTTAAAGTTCTTCTTCAACATTTTTGCCTAGTTTTGGCCAATTGAATAGACTTTAACTCTTTGCAAACATTGGACTGGACAGCTTATACAAACATAAAAACCTTTATAAATAATTTAATTCAATGCGAGGCGTAGGACAATCTAGGACAATAAACTACATCAGAGGAACAGAGGTGGTATTTTTGTGTCCAATCAATCGCAGTTACCTCAAGTAAATGTGTTCTTTATTCGCCAGTCGAGACTGGTCAACTCGACGGCCAGTTAAAAGACTTGTAAATATCCTTTTTCGTTTTTAAACCACGGATGTTCGTGCCGAAAATTTCAAGCTTTCTCGCATGGCCATGTCGCCAGCCGATTTCACGTTGAGTCGTTTCAGGACGAGGCTTGTTAACGTTCTCGGTCGCGCTTCTGCGCATGTGCTGACTCTTCTGCACAGACGCACAAGACGTTGTTTTGTTTCTGCAAAAGGAGTACAGCTAAAGAGCAGAAAATGGAAGACAGGTTATTAAAAGTGCATCGTGTTGAAGTGAGGACCAGGCCTCTCAGGTGGGCAAGAGGCGTTAATGTGCTCTGACTGGTTGCGATGGAGGGGTGCAATGATGATTTTGGGAAACCTTGGGCACAATGGGGTACTACGAACCGTTTTGTACTCGTCATAAAGGTATTGCCAGTTGCTGTAGTTTCTCCTCGCTTTATTTTCAATTCGTACGCGATCTTTCCTGTAAATGAAGTTAATACTTATTTAGGTGCCAAAGTGTAAAAGGAAAAATAACTCAAATCAAATTCGAGTTCTGCAACAGCCATAAATATTATAGGAAAGGGTCGCAAAACGAGTACCCGTCTTACCATATTTGATTTTCATCGACCGCATTCATCCAGCATTCTGGACCGCGCTGCAAAACCATTTCTTCTGCTTGAAATGATCAAGGTCTTAATTTGCACATTGCGCGTTGCGCGCGTCCTGTATGACGTCACAATACTATAATTCATTCATTATTATAATAAGAACAGGGGGGGGATCCACCATAAATTCGTAAATCTCCCCCCCGGAAATTTCGAGTTCAGTTTTGAAAAGAACGCGGCAGAAATGATGACGCATTTTGAAAACATTTTGTGATTAATTTTGTACTTTTTGCTGTTGGATATTGTACAAAAGCGGGTTGATAAGTCGTAGTTTGTACAAGGAACGCCTCGAGGTACCATGGAAGCGGTTGAAACAAGCAGTTTGTACTTGAACGAAGATGTTGAAGCGTGGCAGAATGCTCTTGCTGCCTACGGCGATGTTCTCCAGTTGAAAGCCAACAATAACGGCAAAGCTAAGAGGGATCGAGACCTCGTCGCTTTGGATAAATGGTAAATATATTTAAAAAGGTTATCGGGGTCTTGTAGACGAGTTTATCCCAGCGTATTTGGGAGCTGGTTTATTTAGATTTGTGTTTATAGGAAGTTCGCATGTTGAATTCACTCACAAGATTTGTCAGAACAGGCGTAATTCTGTAATTGCTGTTATATATGCATGAAATGCCCAAGCAAGCTTGGGTGATGTATTTCACCGTTTATAACCCTAATTCAAGGCTTTAGCGCCATTATTTTCAAGTGTCTGAAAAATTTTGTCAACAACTACTTGACATGAAATATTCCCACTGATTTCAACAGCAAAATGAGCTGTTGCAGAAAGAATCCACCTCCCAGACAACAAGGAACACTCTTGCAGTTTGCAATTTAGGAAGACCTGTGTAGTGGTTCCCCTTGAAAAGTGTTTGACGCTCTCTTGGAGTGCAGTTTTGCAGGCTGACAATTTTTGACAAATAGTTTACGGTTAGATCTAAATATATATATATCGATTAGATCTAAATATATATATTTTGTCTCAATTACTCAAATAACAACCATTATTGCTCAGTAAATATGCAAATATAATCAGGTGTTGTCACTTCTTAGTGTCAACAATATCTTTTTTTCTACATTTTTATTCACTTGCCCTTCATGACCTGGGTGTGTGTAGTTACAGCTCTAATAGCCTGGTTCAAACTACTCAAATTATCAATTTAGATAATCCATTGCTAATTGGTCATTTGAATGCTTTTTTACCCATCCAACTAGTTCATCAGTGACATGGAATAGAGAAATAGACACTTCCTAAATTTATTCTCGAGCAATGAAAACCTTCCCACTAACAATAGACTACATTGCCTGCCTTGTTTCCAAGCTTTTGTTTTGTGTTCAGTCAAGCAAGTTAGGAAATGTCTATCGTAATTAGCTGAGCCTTGGCATTTTTGTATTTGTGCAGGTATCAGGATGAACTACCTCAGAATCTTAAGAGTAGGGACAAGATGTACCTCAATTTAGATGAATTATGTCAGCTGATGAAATGGAAATTGACTGTAAGTGATTTGCACAAACTTTCAGGTATATTTTACCGTGAAAATCTGAATCCTCCGACTTATGATTTTAAACATAATTCATTCTATCTAGCGTGGGAAGTTCAGACCAAGGTTATCAGATCTTGTCAAAGCAAATGATGGTGAGACGGTTGAAAAAATAAGTCTTAAGGCATTTGAATGCCTCCCAGACGTCTCTTCCGCAGTTCGGGAACTTTCGAAATTGAAAGCTGTCGGCCCAGCGACTGCATCAGGTATGGAGTAGAAAACTCTGAGATAAAAACTTTATTTGCTTGTCAAAACACTACAGTGTTAAGCTAAACATACTAATTTTGGACACAGATTGAACCTACTTCCACCAAAAGTTTACATGAACAGGCGTTCATTCTTAAATAGTGATTGTCCAAAAACCTTCGGTACCAGTAGATAGATATATGCTGCTATTCATTGCCAATGTTGGTTTTGTAGCAATTCTTTCAGCTGGCGCACCAAATCTAGTACCATTCATGGCAGACGAAGCAATGATGGCCATACCCAATCTGGGTGAGATTAACTACAATTTACCTTTTTACATGAAATTTGTTGAACGAATTGACGAGGTTTTGCAACGGTTAAAAAAGAAAGGTAAGCAATTTTTTTTTTAATTGAACCTGCTAATTCATTGAACCCACTAATTCATTGAACCTAGTAACTGGCTCAATAGCTGGCTAATGCAGTTAGACAATGTCTTTCCATATATACAAATAGTTTACAATTAGATCTAAATATATATATTTTGCCTCAATTACTCAAAATACAATGATTATCGCTCAGTAAATATGCAAATATGATGAGGTGTTTGTTGTCACTTCTAAATGTCAACAAGATCTTTTTTTTTCTAAAAAAAATTAGACCCTAATGGGAATTGGACAGCACACAAGATTGAACTGGCACTTTGGACCGAGGTCATGGCAAAAAAATATGATTTCCATCTTTCACAAGGAGCTCACACAAACGGTTGTAATAATGGTGTTGACAGCAGGAAGAGGAAGTCCGCGGAGGCACCCAAGGGAAAGAAAAGAGCAAAGAAAAAATGAATATCTGAATCAATGTGGATGTGTCAAAGGATGTGTTCCAGGGCTAGGTCACTTTAAAAATGCTGTTGTGATTCTACGCAAGATTTCTTTGTGAAATATGGAATCAATTGTGTTATCCTGTTCAGCTTTGCATATGTTTGGTAAAACTGGCCAAGTAATAATGTTTCCAAGAAACAGTGTGTCCGACCGAATTTATCAACCATGTGGAAACATGCGTAGGAATCTGTTGAATAAGTTATTCTGTGTAAATTATATTTATCGAGATTGATTAATAATGTTCGTAAGTTATATATTTTACTGCTTATCCATCCACTGTACCTTCATGCATTCTGCACCAAATTATTCCTAATTTTTTAACCGTATTAACATCAATGAAATAAAAATTTTATTTATAAACCATACAGAATGAAGCTTTATGGAAGTTCCACAAATTTGCATGAGCTTGACATTGTGTTTGCGACCACCCATAAATAAACTTTCAACCTCTTTTGATTGACATATTTACAGCTGAAGATGTAGCAGAATGGCAGGTTCCTGAGCTCTTGTTACCAGTGGTAGGATAACTAATTCAACATGTTTGTGAACACAAAATATAAGATCTTAATCTACACAAGTATTCATATATCCTAAATTTTAATCTATGCATATTATTGCGGCACAAATATGTTAAACTATAGGCAAAGAGCTTTACACTTTTATTTCGCATTTGGACTACTTTTCGTCTCTAAAACCCAAGCCATGTGTTTACCCAAGTATCGTTTCATTCCCGGAGGCAAAGGCAACTTCTCTAAATCCTGTGGTCCTGAAATATGACTACCAATTTTGGCACAGCATAGGTACTGCAGTGTTGTTGGTAATGTACAACTTCTTTCTAATTTCATCCTCGTTCTTGCAGCTGTTGACGAAAGCATTGGATAAAGTTCTTTATTTTGTAAGCCACGGAAAGCAACCCCGCATGCTCTGCCGTGGTTGTAAATGCTCAAAGTCCCATGCCACATGTCGAGGTGCAATCCTACTAAATCATCTCGTTCTAGTTTTGTCGTAAATTGTTTCATTTCCCCTCGGTGTTGGACCGTCCCCAAATAGGACAGTCCCCAGCTCTCTGAATCCTTGCCCAACAAACTTGCAAAAGCCGTTCTTGAGTTGTTTAGGTCAACTGAACTACTGCCAACACCAATCATCTGAAAAGCAATAAAATTAGTAAGCTTCTGTGTCACATCACAATTTGCCCTATTTTACTCTGTCTTGAGCTGGTTGGAAGGGGATTTTGCCTGTTAACAAGTCAGACATAAAGCTATTTAAATTTGCCCTTAATGTCTAATGGAGTTAGATCTTCAGCTCTCCAAGAACTGTTTAAGTAATCTTACATGAGACTATCCATATGGCTGCATAATTTCTACAGTTATCAAGAGCCACAACCCACTCTAATTATTTTAGTACCCATTCTCGTATTAATATATAGCGTAAAATACTAGTTTGTCTAGTTTGTTCCCAGTTCTGTAAGTCTGTTTTGTCTTTGGTCTTTTCTAAAAACATCAGTTACAGAGGTTAGATCTTTACACAGACAGCATTTAAAATCTCCTAGAGCAATTCGCCTAATCTTACCATATCAGTTCCGTAGACAGCACTAGTCATCCTTATCTCCCAATAATGTTGACTGCCCAACTCAAATGGCTTCTCGCCTCTGATGGCAGCTGTACCACAGCTGTAATCTGGATGAAAGAGCACCTCTTCCTGATTGCCCAGGGTGATCGAACCTGACATGGATTTGGTATCCCACACCCAACAACAGTGTTGTTCTAATAAAACAAACAACCAAATGAGCTAGCATCCTCGTGTATATTTTACAAAGTTTCTTCAGTGGGGCTTTACAATGTCATGTGATGTTGTGTCTTTTCAGTTTTCACCTGTTTGCAATACTTATCAACAATTTTTGTTGCGATGTTTGGCTGGGCAGCTGTTTGTCACCTAATACAAATAATTTCTCTATGTGTACAGATATTTCTGCGTGCGAGCATGTCTTACAACTTACAAGTCAGTTTCTCTAAAGGGTTTTCACTGTAGAATTCCAAAGGGGAAACGTTGCACACTATTAATGAAACTCCGAAATAGAAACAACTTTGCCGCTAGACCGATAAAAGCGCAAATGAACATTATTGTACAAGTACAAATAATTCAATTTCAATTTCCATTTTGAGAGATTTAAATGTTTACCCATCAAGTGTCACGGTATACCTTCGCTTTGCGATGGGGCAATCTGGCATTTAATATTTCAAACTAATAGTATTTCATTCAAGTTCTTTGAAAGAATCGTGTATTATTGAAACATGCCACGGTTTTTGAATACACACTCGAAGATTCTTTTGCAAAGTGTTTATATTCGCAACGCATAGAAACAAGAATTCGAGAAACGCGAATGGGGCTTTGCCAGCTTTTATGACGAAATAGGTTTACTGTTTGACCTTTAGGCACTTAAAAGTTAAACCTATCGTATTTTTTTTATAATATAGACGTCACTGTCACGGTTCAACTCGAGCCCTTCTTTATAAAAGCTCAAACTCGAAGGACTAGCCACCTGCTAGCATCAGTATATTATAAACAACTTCACAAGATGCGCTTGTTTTTTACAGCTAGCAGTGTTTATAACGCTTTTCATCACGTATAGAGGATCGAGGCAGAAAAAGTTCTCAAAAAGAGGAAACAACTTTAAAAACGCTTAAAATTCCACACCTTTGATCGGCGACGTTTTAAGAAGCTCTGTTTTTGTTGAGCTCATATTAGCATATTAAAATTTTGAAGAGGCGATACCTGCTTTGTATAAACACATATAACGTATAGTATAGCATTTCTAGGGCGGATAAAACTACATAAAGATTGGCAAAAACTAAAATTTTAACTAAAGTCATTGCGGTTTTTAATCTTTTTTTTAAATTTCAAGTTAATTTATCAAAAATGTCATGTTATAACAAAGCACTATTTACAAGATTTAAACATCTTGTCAAATACAAATTATTGTGACATAATCGCGAGCGTAAAGTTGCAACAGTTTCTTGCCCATAAAAGTATTAGACACATTCCCAAAGCTATTCAGATAAAAAGATTTCATCTGCGATACCTCTGCATTGTATAATTTAATACTAGTAACATTTGGTTGTATCGATTGTTAAACGTTTCATATACCACGAGGAAGATTCTCTGCTCTGCTCTGCTGCGCGTTTATCATTCAGATATTCATAGACTAGGTTAATATTCCCATAGAGATTTATATTTTAAAAAATGCTATCATACAAACCATCACTCTGCTCGATTTTGCGACAAGTAACGTTTTCACCCAGGTCTTGGATTATATTGCTTTCCAAGTGCGATGGAGGTCCGTCGAATATGCTTCTCGGGGACAATATATCAGCGCTTGATACAGTCGCAAGAGTTTTCATTTTCTAGAATGATATGACTCTCGTAGTTGATCGTAGTACATCGACACGCGTTTAACCTGCTTATGAAGCTTTGAAACGGTTCGTTTGCCCGCGTTTAAAGGCTTATATTTTTTTTCCAAGTCAAGGCAAGCCAAGCGGTTTCGCGTTGCGTTTATTATCATTTACCTTATATGGTAAGTGTGGGCGTGGCCAGTACTTGTTCTGAATAACATCAGTGATAACATGGGAAAAAAATATTTGAAAAAAAAGAAAATTAACTAAGTTATTTTAAAACGAAGACTACAGCAGGAGACTGAGAAGATTGTTAGCGATGTTATTGAGACAATTTTGGTAGAAATTACTCGTGATTTGGGATAGAGTTGCACTATTTGCCTACTCTCGAACGATCAGACTATTTCAACAATACAATACAGCTTTGGAATCGACTAGAATCGTAATTAGATACTAATTTCAAGTACTTCCGTTAGCGATAATTGTTTCGTAATATGGGGACGGAAATGGAAGCCCGTCTGTTACTCCAAAGACGGCTGGGAGAATCACCTCTTTGTCACTTTTAATATGCCAGAAATTATGGGGAAATGTTAAAATGCTTGATATAAAATGTTTTAACTTCTTTCTTTTGGTCTAGGAAAATAATCCATGATTAGCATATTCTACGTCGTTAAGCCGTTGTAGCGTCACGAATCGAATAGGTCACCTCAACTGAGCTTTATATATCAGTACTCAACGCCTTTAAGCTGGATTATCCGCAGTAGATATTCTTTACTTCTTAAGGGATGTGTATTAATATGATAACTACCCATATGAGAAGGAATTTAGACACTGTCAACCTTTCTTGTGACTTTCTTAACCAGTCAGACGCTTGGTAAAGATTGGTATCCGTACGTAATGTTAATACTATAAAATGTCTCTTGTTCACCGTATATAGTTATGAAATGCGACCATATGCACCCTGCTGATTTTAACATTTGCCTAATAGCAGACGATTTCGCTTATCATCGGTACTTGATTATTCCAGTTAAGAAAACGACCGGTCAGTTTTGCTATGCACACAACTTTAATACCTACGTTGAGCCAATTCCAGCCTAATCAGTAGGGTTCTTCCAGTTAAAAAACATTCATAATCGTCTCCTGTTTTCCATTCGGTCATTAGCTTGCATTGCACCCAGATGGGCCCCACCTTTAGTATGGGTACCCCTGCTCAGGTGATCGAGGTGGGGTCGTCATGTCAATTAGTTCAGCCAAGTCGAAAAACATGTTTATTCAGTCTGACAAAACCACCCCAGGTGTAAAAATTGAACGTACATGCAACAACCCCTTAAATAGTGCTCCTTGCATACGACTACCTGGTAAATGCTAATTATGTACAACAGCGTGGAGGGCATCGTTAGAACGCTGAGATTATGCCGCATTCTGCGTTATTATCTAAACCTGTAGATTTCGCTGCTGGACTTTGTCAGAAAAGCTCTCACACACAGCTTGAACGAGCAAGGCTTTTTCAATGCCTCACAATGACTAAAATATATCATACTGCCAAAAGTGTCATGAAAAAAGGCACTATTCTCGACCACCCGTTTCAAAAGGGTTTATCGATTCAGACTGTAAACTAAAAGCTTTTGTTTTTTAACATAGAGCTAGCTTGCTTTGGTCTCTCAAAGCCTTACTTGGGCGATCAGTCAAAAAGTACATTTTGCATCGTAAGAAGTAAAATTCGTATACTAAAACTTCTCAAAGCTGTCTCGGCCATTTCACTTAAGAAAAAAGCTTCAAAGTCCGCAGCAAACGGTTTTGATTTGTTAAGGTAAGATATAAATATTTGTTTTGCGAGTCTTTTTTATCAATTAGCTTGCACAATGCTTAGCATTGAAAAGTTGATAGAGGTTTTAATGGTTCTACTTTAGTGGGGGTTAAAATACGGGGTGGCAAATGATAGTCGTTTGTTTTGATGATTGTGGTTGGTAATAAGTGCATGTGTTGGCCATTTATTGCGATAAACAAATAGACATGATCGCAAGGTATATGATTAGAAAGATTTCCCACAAATATCTGTGTCGTTCTCAATGCAAGCTCATGCAGATTTCTATCCTTAGTGTAATGATTTTTGTGTAGTCAGATTTCTATCCTTAATGTTTGATAACGTATGTATCTGATAAATATTGATCAGCTTTTATTAATAAAAGTTGGACAAATCACTGCTATACACTACTATTTGTAAACTGAGATCATCCTGAACTATGTTTTGTATCTAATAGTCTTCTGCATGGCCCATGCAGCACAATTCGTATATTTTCATGAAATTCGCCCGATAGACAACAACTGTGAGGTTGTATAAAAGGCCTTTGAAAACATATTTACAGCTTGACTCAAAATGGTCTCACCACCGTAGAGGGAAATTAATCAAAATATCTGCATCGAACTGACAAAAATGATAACTTTTGGTAATGACGAATCGATCGTAGTGTCAAACCTAATTGTTTGGCATATTGTTTGATTGTCATGTGCTAACCCAAATCGTTTATAGAACATAAATGGCCTTGAAGATTTTGAAAGAATGATAGTGTTAGATTAACGTCAGTGCAATAAATGAATATTGTTTTTTGAATATAGAAGTTAACGATCAAAAACGAGTGTCTTCCGTACGATGCTTTGTGTCGGCGCTATTTCCATGTTATTGGTGTTGACCATGATGGACAAAGTGAATGGTAATTACGTGTTATGATTTTGAATCGTCTCACAACCACTATACACATATCTAAACTGACATTTCATTTCCACCTTCATGTTATCCACAGCTACCTAGCTCAACTGTTATATATTATATACCATTTTATAACAATAATTTAGTTAATATTTGTGTATAAGTCGTGCAAAATGCATGTATATGACTATGTGAGTCGGGAATTCTTCCTAAAACCGGCGCCCTTGCCCTTGCACAAATTTTTGGGAAGCGTATAGCCGTATACTACTTAACAACGCGGTTTATTTTCATCCTAACTAGCCACGTTGAATGAAAAGAGGACGACACCTTATTCCGACAGCGAGCACCGTCTCATTCGAGATCTACTTCATGGCTATAACAAGTTCGCTCATCCAAAAAGCTACCTCAATGACACGGTGAACTTTACTGTCGTGTTTGGGATCGAAATAGTTCAACTGGTTGACGTGGTAAGCCAATTGAAAATGCCGTAAATCATTCTCTGTCAAAATGAGGATGGAATAAAGAAATAGTCGGGGAGTAGACTGGGTATTTAGATATACAGTACAGAACTTTGAAGCACGCTTTATGTCATAACGTTAGTTAGCAAGAGCAACTGAGTATCTGTCATAAGTATGAAGAATAGAAACTTTCGACATTCCCATTTGGAATTGAATCTGATGATGTATATATTTGCCATTTGTTTGCCATTCTGTAGTTATTTTGGGCATCAGCCTCTTCTTGTTGTAATATGCGGAAAATATGTCACTGCATGGACAGCCTCGTTGCCACAACCATATTTGTATGAATTCATGCACTACCATGTATTAAAGGTTGTATATTTTTTCTGTAGGAAGACAAAAATCAGAGAATTATCACAAACTGCTGGGTCAGACAGGTAAAAAAAAATCACTACTGTTTTCTCTCTTCCATCAGAACTGACGGGCTGTTGCATTGCGCCCGAGTTAAAGTCTGTGAAAGGAAGCATATGAAAATAATTTTATTGTGTATTCATTTTAGAAATGGACTAATCTCGCTATGCGCTGGAATCCCAAAGACTACAATGGCATAAAAAGAATAAGAATTAGCGGCGAGAAAGTCTGGATTCCTGACATACTTTTGTATAACAGGTAAATGTTTGAAACAAGTTTTCGGTGCTTAGATCGACCATGATATCAGGTCAAGTCTGCGATGTTCATTGATTGCTGTCCCATCTTCTTAATCAACCACTCCAGTGGTACACTGACTTCATACGGTCTTTGAATAATAGCCTTTCATTCGTCGATCATGACTTTACAAAAGCGCGCTCGTTACACTGCTGTTTGCATGCCGCTGAGCCCGATTAAGTTTCAATGTCTTGTATTATCAGGTTAGGTTCTCGTTTTCGGCTTGTTGACTAGTTTTCAATGACTTGCTAGCCTCAAATTAAGGACTTGTAATTATCCTGAGAGTCAACACTGTTTTTATAAAAACGCCATGGGAATTACATCCTCAATGTTCAAAGCAAACTTCGATAAAACACAATATTAATAGGCGTTGCAACTTGTTTACAATATGCAAGTTTTCCTGGTCTGTTTGATCTCTTTCCGTATACCTCACACGATCGCCTAGGAACACTATAAATCCCTACACAACTCTAATCGTCCCTTTTTCATTTGCAACCAGCGCCGACACAAATCAGCCCAGCGGCGGACTTTCAAAATACCACACTCAGATCATCATCGATCACGAGGGACGCCACTCGTGGTTCACGCCGACATCGTTCATCAGCACGTGCAAATTGAACGTGCGCTACTTCCCGTTCGACCGACAAGAGTGCATCATGAAGTTTGGCTCATGGACCTTTCAGATGAACGATCTCGATGTCGTTGGTGATTCAAACCCCATCGTGACCAACCAACTGCTGCGCAACGCGGAATGGGACCTATTGAGCGCGAAAGAGGAACGCAACGTCAACCAATACGCTTGCTGCGCCTTCCCGTTCTCTGATCTCACTATAAAACTTGTAATACGACGAAGACCGCTGTTCTATATCTTCAATCTCATGATACCATGTTTCATCATAATAGCCATGGTTCTCATGGGGTTCCTTCTCCCCCCGGAAAGCGGGGAACGTACGACGCTGAGCATCACGGTATTGCTGGCGATGGCCGTATTCTTACAACTCCAAGCCGAGCATTTGCCGAGGAATTCCGAGCAGATTCCACTTCTGGGGATATTTTATATCACGGTGATGGCCGAAGTAGGTTTATCCCTAATGGCCACCTGCTACGTACTCAATATATTCCACAAGAACCCCGGTGTACATATTGTTCCCATGAGTCCATTGGTGTCCGGGTTTTTTATCGAAACAATGGCGCCTTTATTGCGACTTTCCCCTCTGACTCCCGAATGGTCGTCGTACGACATCGAACGTAATCGTCCGACAACGCGACTAGACGGATTAGCCAATCCGAGTGCGTTGAGTGACACGCAAGTTCACCTTGTCGGAGAGACATCGGAAAGGGTCGAGATTACCGAGACAGTGCGTGCTTCTCCCGGGGGAATCGGACGACCTCTTAGAAGTATACGGCCCCGGTACTCTCCGACTAAAAGACCCCTCAGCAGTTCCGCGTCAGCAACTTTGATCAGTGGGACAGATTGCTCGTCCCCAGCTCCCAAAGTGGCACACTGCTGCACGGTCTTGGCAGATAAATTCAAAGAGAAACGATCAATCAGACTTGATCAGGAAAGATGGCGATATTTGGCGCTTGTTCTCGATCGCATCTTCTTCATCCTCTTTGTGATAACAATGTTTACATCCACAGTCCTGATTTACTCTCAAGTCCAGTTTGATATTTGAGCTAGAACCTTGGAGAGGTCAAAAGGCGAGACGGTTCTTCCACTTCTACGGTTTAGATTGAAAAAAGTCACTAACTTTGCATGACAAATTATAATTTTATGTTGATATATACTCATTTTGTAACCTCCTTTCTCAGAGAAAACCAGGCAAAAAACCCGTAGAGAGATTTAGCCAATAACAGCATGGATGACGTCAGTGCACTAGTGCAGGGCATTTCACCCCCATCCGCACATGACCCTTGTGAAGAGGTAATCTCATTTTAGTATTATTAGTCACTTTTCTGCTACCTGTTTGGCAATAAAAACTCATTACGTGCTCGCCGGTTCCCTTCAGAACTACCTCCGGTTCGAATTTCGAGCGCACTCCAGTAAACTCGCGATCATACGCCAGTATTAATAATACAATAATGTAACGTAATACAATGTAACAAAGTGTAATACAAGTTTAAAGAGGAAATATCTTGATAGCCCGTGCATGCGTTAAAACAATTCTCTTCTTATCTTGAAAGCTTTAATAATCTGGTTCGGTCTCAACTGGTGTAAACACATGTCCACAACTTTATCGGCGATTAAGCGGAATCTGACAGAATTACGAACTTGATGTGTTTTGGTTTCATATTTGCATGTTCCACAGGACAGAGAAGATAAGATTATAGTTTTAAGTGCAAATTAATCGAACTTTGGGTGAATAAAAAATTCAACCTTTAAAAACGCTCTATAAATGTCCTTTATATTAAAATTTATCAAAACATTTATGCAACGAAATAATATCTCTCGTAACATTACTTTTTCTATTTGTATAGCAATGAACCATTTGATATATTAAATAATGTTCATTTCATTATCTTATTTCGACTGAAATGCACTTCAAACTTAGGGAAATTTTAAGCGGGGAACTGACATGACTGTCTCTCGTTCGGCAGATTTCTTATCAAAACGTCCCCGTATCTTTGTCCCCACTGCAGGGGACGGTGCGGGGAAACATTAACGCAATCTGTTGGCAATTTACCCCAAACTTCGGCACAAATTCAACATGCAACGATATAATCTTTTATTTTACGAGTATCACCAACCTAACTCCTAAATTTTGTGCGGGAATCTTTCTTTTTTATGGTGCAAAATGTTGACAGCAATTTGTAACTGTTTGTTTATTAACACTGCTTCATGGGGTGGTGTGATTTCGAAATGTGATTGTCCGGATTTCTGGGCCAATGTAATGAATGTTGTTTAACAAACAACGCATCCAGTGGTCCCCATTGTGTTACCCAGTTGGCACAACTCCTGTCAGAGATTTGCGTTTGCATTTTGAATTTTCATCTTAAAACCCGTAGTTTTTCGGATGGGGAAGCATAGCGAATTGTTTCAAAAGGCTTCGGTAAGGCTTTTGCAACATTTCACCGCAATGCGATTGGCTGATCGCAGCAGAAATAGCAACATTCGCGCCCTCGAACACCATCTGTGAGGTGCGTTCCAAATTTGGTGCGATGGTATGAGTCGAATGACCTTTGACTGTAGCGAGTGCGTTGACCAATCAGAGCGAGCCATGGTACTATATCAGTCTCTAGCCCAATGCATGGGAGTTGTCTTTACGGCTGACTGTCAACTTGAGTTGTGCGTCTTTGCCGTTCGCTGCAAGCGAGTGTTGTGTTGTGAGCCCTCAGTAAACTCGAAGTACATTTCACTGAGAACTCTGCCAAAATGTCAGGGGAAGATCCCGAGCAATATCTGCGTCCTACGGACAAAGCAACCATGCTCGAACGTACGAAGACGTTCGATGCTAAAAAATGGTTGTGGATTCCAGATGAAAAGGAAGGCTACTTGGCTGCCGCTGTTGCCTCGACCAAAGGTGATATGCTCACGGTGGAAACATCCGCAGGAAAGGTACAAAAATTTCACTATTGTATACTGATTTAGCGGTCAAAAGCAAGCTTGTACCTCGAAATACGCGCTATAGTATTCCAACAAGTTTCCGATCATTCCAGACAGACAACTGACTTGTCCTAATACTGACATATGTCTGTTGGTGTTGCCCAGCGTAAACATACACTGATGTACACATTCTTTTCGGCTTTGGATAGAAATTAAACCCTGTAGTTTTCATTTATCAAGTAATACTAGACACAATTCTTTGTTTATTTCACAAAATAACCCTGCCAATCTGTGGTAACTAAACACAGGCCTTTACTTGTGGAATATCTGTGAATGGGATGTACAATTAGCCCCTTCTGGTACATGGTAACTGAACAACACCGTATGTCTGTCGAATCTAGTCATATTAAACGTTGTTTGTAATGCAATAACACTGTATTTTTATGCAATTTTCTTCTCCAGAAAATCGATATAAACAAAAATGATACCCAGCAGATGAACCCTCCTAAATTCGAGAAATGTGAGGACATGGCCAGCTTGACCTATCTCAACGAAGCTAGCGTGTTATATAACCTGAAGCAACGTTACACATCGGCCCTAATCTACGTAAGTGAACTAATATCTTGCTTTCTTTTATAATATGAATAACAAGAAGCGCTTGTTATTGTAGACGGATGCATGAAGCTATTGTTAGCACAAGAAAATACACAACGCCAAATACGGGACGGTGTATTTAAACTTATGATGCACTTTTAAATCCGGTGGGAAAAAAAAGCTAATTCCTGTGAGGGTTCGAAATTTTTATACGCCCTTGTGTCTGTACCCAACAATCCACAACTATACACTAGAAATGGCCCTCGAAGATCTTGTTTGTATAAATGTTTGCACATATACTTCGACAATATAAGTAATTTGTGTTTAATATGCTAAATAGTTATTCATATTAATGCTGTTAGGCTTAGCTGACTGTTAGCGGTATCTGTGTCTTAAATAACAGACACACCTTTTAAAAACCTTCCGAGCGCTGCAGTATTTGTCAATATTTGGTGTTCAAAATATACCTTGTGCAAACTGTTTCGAAATGACAGATTTTGTAGCGTTGTTGGAAAGACCAAAAGCCCGTCCTTGACTACAAAATTCAAAACAGATTTGTGAGCAATTAGCATGACAATAAGTAAGCGTTAACTGGCAGCAATTGTAAAGTTGAAACGCATTTGAATATATTAACCACATGCAATGTAACAAAATACACACATCATACACTGCTCGTTTGAGATATGTTTCCTTGCTGTTAACAATTTCTAACCGCTAGGAATGTCACACAAATCACACGGGATTATATTTTAACACACAAGATGGCCGTCAAGCGAGACACATCTGTGTGTAAATACGAACTAATCTGTTTGACAATGCTCAATAATTTTCACACAAGGCACTTTGAGGACTAGCTATTTTGCTTGTCTAATAACGCGAATCGTAAAATATGCGTAATGCTGCTTTTAGAGACATTTCCCCGTTGCAACAGACGGACAGAGAAGCGGGCCTGTTGACAAAAGGTTTCACACCGTGTTTGCATATTAAGAAAATCCCCGGACCTTCGTATGTCATTCGATTCTGTTTTGCGAAACGGTGCTTTTTGCTCGCTTCAGTGAAAATTAAAACACGCAGACTTCGAACAGTCGTAGAACTGGTTTGTTTTCGCTTATCCTTCCGTTGACCGGCATGCTTTGACTGACAGAAATATTGCAAGAGTTTATAAAAGCGTGTAGCATTTTATATCATAGAGCGAAACGGAAGAGCGGGCGCTTTAATTGTCAAACGGTGACCCGGGTCAGCGAAGTCCTAAGATTCCAATACATGATTATTTTAATATTGTGACCATATTTGGCAACCCTGTTGAAATTCCGGTTGGTCGAATGAGATATTTTTGTTTTCAAAAAACCGCATCAAACAATCAGGTCTTCGAATTTTTGAAAATAACCACTCATTGTAACTCAAGTGTTGTTTCTCATTGTTTTTTTTTTCACGCGGTTTTGCGGTTTCAAAAAGCAGAGATGTGTGCTTTTCGGTTATTTGAATCTATGTTTTTCTTCAATCGAAATCTGATCTGTTTTAATTGTTAATATGACACCTCAATCTATTGGGTGCTTTCGAACAAATCTGTTAAAATATTAAGCGTTTCATGGCCTCTTTTGACCGTTAGATGTCGTGACATTGTTGCAAAAAGAAGCAAATGCAACTTAGTTTTATTTAAGCGAGGGATGATGCCGTATTAAACAAGATTTAGGCCAGTTTACTTTACAGATTTGGCCCTAAATTGATAGGCTCTGTAACTAGTTGAATCCGTGGTGATTAGTACTATTGACATAAGAAAAGTAGGCCCAGTCTGCCATGACGTTGTCGACGTTCCTGTGAACGTTTCAAGCATATTGCGACATTGCAATTTCTGACATAAAGAACCGTTTTCTTTGAGCACAAGCAGAGTTGTCTCTTTCGAGGGTAAAAGCGAGATTTCTGAGCACCATTTCACCGATTTTGGGAATTTAAATTAATGCAAATGAGATGATTCTTAATCGCGACAAATTTAGCGTAATGGATTTAGCTTATGTTTCAGGCTATGTAAATAAAGCATAAACATTTTGAAGATGTTTTTGAAAAGCAGGGAATATGCAGCCGCATTTTAGCGTATTTATTTAAGCGTTCTTGAACATATTCATATGGGAGTTCGTCATCATTGCTATTATTGACTGTTTCGTGCGGTGTCTGGTTTCGTGATTTTCATCAAATTCAGATACTCTGTCGGACACATTCAATCGACAGGTCATAAGTTGTCGCACTGACTTACTTCATATAGGAATAGCGAATGTGTGCAAGTTCTGATTGGTCGACGCAACGTTCAACGCGCAAATCTGATTGGCTAAAGTGCTACGACTAAAAAAAATCGCTGAAAATAGGCGCAACCTCATTTCCTGCGCTTTTTTTTAACAAATATGACATACCGATTACAAAACTTTTCATTTTTTAAATGTGCAGTTCATATTTGTACTAATACGTGAAATTCCGAGCGTTTTTATAACGGTTTAAAATATTAACCCGAACACACTGCTTATGAACAACATATGAACTCACACCCAATATTTCACCCTCGTACACCCCTCTGGCCTAGGTTAGGGGTACGCATGTCCTTCACCCTCCAGCAAATCCTTATCTCCAAAACTTCAAGAGTCTGTCCTCTTTCCCAGGGTTGTAATTCCATGGTCAAAATCTAAGCATGTGATCCTACCCGATCCTAATCCTAAATCCGACCCAACTACTAACCGTATAGGATTAGATTAAGAATTATTTAGATTAGATTAAGAGTTAATAAGTTGGTAATGTGTATGCAGTGATTCCTAAACGCCGTCTATCCCTTGCAGACATACTCTGGTCTTTTCTGTGTCGCCGTCAATCCGTATCGCCGGCTTCCAATCTACACCCCTCAAGTGGTTCAAATGTTCAAAGGAAAGAAGCGAAGTGAAATGCCACCTCACGTCTTCTCAATCTGCGACAACGCCTACCACGACATGTTGCAAGATCGCGAGAATCAATCCATGTTGATTACGTAAGAATTCATCTTTCCTATATGCTGACGTCATGTTGATTCGCATTGCATTGTGGTCAGTCAGTCCTAGAACTATCCAGTATAAATAAAGCTAGTTTAGTTTAGGTTTCCCCCTGTAGTAACACTGGATCAATAAGAGATGATCCTTACTGGACCTCTAGGAAGAACAGTTTAGAACTGATAGAGCTATCCAGTATAAATAAAGCTAGTTTAGTTTAGGTTTCCTCCTGTAGTAACACTGGATCAATAAGAGATGATCCTTACTGGACCTCTAGGAAGAACAGTTTAGAACTGATAGAGCTATCCAGTATAAATAAAGCTAGTTTAGTTTAGGTTTCCTCCTGTAGTAACACTGGATCAATAAGAAATGATCCTTACTGGACTTCCAGGAAGAACAGTTTAGAATTGACGTTAGTTTAATTTAGTTTAGTTTAGATAACATTAGTTTATATTTTTCGTGTGCATTACAGAGGTGAAAGTGGAGCTGGGAAAACAGAAAACACGAAGAAGGTCATCCAGTATTTTGCCAATGTTTCCATGGGAGGATCCAAGAAGGATAGCGATGCAAATGTAAGTTATGGGTAGAATTGTTGTATAGGGACGGAGGGAGATACCAGGGAATAAAGAGAAGGGTAGAAAGGTGTAGAAGTGGATAAGAGCGATGGAAGAAAATGATAATATGAAAGAATATCTGATATATCTTGTGATCTTCAGGTGCCATCAATCGAAGACCAAATCGTTATGTGTAACCCAATCCTGGAAGCCTACGGAAATGCGAAAACCATCCGAAACAACAACTCCTCACGTTTTGTAAGTTGAGAATAAATCGCAGCTCACAAGAACCAACGCGACACCGCGCGACCTTACAAAGACATGTTTTATTTTGCGTTTCCTTTTTAGGGAAAGTTCATCAGATGTCATTTTAACACCCAAGGCAAACTCGCTGGCGCAGATATTGAAACATGTATGTACGCATAGTTTTCGAAGTTCATGATATTTTAAAAACAATCTTCCTGCTAATATTCGCTTGATATTACTTAATAGGATCAAAACAGTCGAAGAAAGTTACTCGGGAGGTTTTGTTTTGGACGTTCACCTTGTTATAAATGACTTTATCTGTTTTGTTTTGTTTTCAGATCTTCTGGAAAAGTCGCGTGTTATCAACCAAGGGCCCGACGAACGATCTTATCATATCTTCTACCAAATCCTGAAGAGCGCTTCGGCAGATTTGCACAGTGCGTTTCGCAATATCTTGCTTCTGTGTTTCATTTAGGATAGCAATGACATAAGAATTAAAACAACGGATTTAATCTAGAACCATGTTTCCACATCATGCCGCGTGCCAAATCTTGTCAGTTTGCCAACACAAATTATTTGAAGCCGTTGAGTTAATTGCAAAGCGATGAAACTCTTTTTTAACAACTTACAACGTGTCTTTTAAATCATTAGTCTTCGAAGTCCGCCAGACCGGAGCTATAAGTATTTCTTACAACTTTCTTGTAAATTTTCTAGAAACGCTTTTGATGGACAGCCGTAAACATGACGACTACAAATTCTTGGAAAACAGCGTCGACTTCGCGAACGGTATCGATGACGATGAACTCTGGGAGGAGACGGAAGAGGCTGCGCGAGTCCTGGGTTTCACTGACGACCAGCGTATCGCCATGTACAAAACATGCGCTGGTATTCTCCACTGGGGAAACGGAAAGTTCAAACAACGACCGAGAGAGGAACAGGCCGAAGTTGCTGAAGCGGAAGGTAGGAGGAATGCAATTGGCTGTCGGCCGTTATCGCAAATGGGATGAGCTTTTTTAAAGTATTTACTTTTTTCGTTTAGCATTGGAGAAGGCTTCCTTCTTGTTTGGCGTGCAGTATTCCGACTTTACAAAAATGTTGGTGAAGCCTCGTATCAAAGTTGGTAATGAATATGTGAACCAGGGACGTAACATGCAACAGGTGGGTGATTTGATGTGTGTCAAATTTGAGGTGTGCCGGGTGGTATTGATGACCATATGATGATAATTGTGGATAATTGTGGATGGTCTGGTGTTAAAGAGTTTGCGATTTTAACTATAGTTGGCTACAACGGGGTATTTGAGAGTGGGGGGGAGGGATGATCCGAAATCCAGAACCCCTTGTCCACACAACATTAGTTACATGAATCGGTTGTGTCTTTGACGGTTGGACCACCGTCCCACTTGTTTTAGAATAGCTACACCACTGGTTGCCAGTCGGGCGTGAATTTTGAATTAAGTTGTTGATCTTGAAGTGCTTAACGATGTTATTGTTCTCAGTGTTACCTTGTATACAAAGAGACTGATAATGGCGGTACAAATATAACATCATCCAATTCATATTTTCCAAATGCCTAGGTGCAATACTCCATCGGTGCTCTGTCGAAAACCATGTACGAACGTATGTTCTTCTTCCTTGTGAACCGAATTAACGAAACTTTGGACCGAAAGGTAAGCTGTTAAAAAACGTTTCGTAACATCTTTCAACGTTTGCAGAACATAGACTGAGAAACACCGTCAATTTCTTGCAGGAAAAACGAAATTACTTCATTGGTGTGTTGGACATTGCAGGATTTGAGATCTTTGATGTAAGTATTTAAATATTTTTAGCTTTCTGTTGGATATTGCGAGTGTTGAAATCATTGGTGCTGGTGTTGCATAGTTAGGATTCCATTGCAATAAATTTAGGATTTATGTAACCTTGTTGATTTCTTTGTAGTACAACTCCTTTGAACAATTGTGCATCAATTTGACAAACGAGAAACTGCAACAATTCTTCAACCACACTATGTTCGTGTTGGAACAAGAAGAGTACCAAAAGGAAGGAATCAAGTGGGACTTCATCAATTTCGGAATGGATCTGGAACCGTGCATCAACCTCATCGAAAAGGTGAGTTTGGAGCTATTTACGCTGCAATTCAAGCGCTGATGCTGCATGGTACATTCGAAGGCCAGAATTATAGTAATCTTGAAACAATTAAAAGTGTTGTTTTTAAAAGTTTGTGATGGTTTTGCCAAAGATACGTGTGCCAGTTTCTGCTATTTCAGTGTTGTTGTTTAATTTGTCTGATGACGATTTCGGTTGCTTTGCAAACAATCCTAGTTTGTTGACGAGTCTATGAACACAAATGAACAGCGCTATATTGTGTCTAACATTAATACATTGCCAGATTGCCTAATATCACACTTCATTTCTATTTTCAGCCGATGGGAATCTTCGCCATCCTTGAAGAGGAATGCATGTTCCCGAAAGCAACGGATCAGACGTTCTTGAACAAGCTCCACAGCACTCATGATGGAAAACATCCAAACTACGCTAAACCGAAGGGCTCCAAGGCTACGTACGATTTCGAACTCGGCCATTACGCCGGAAATGTGGGCTACTCCATCGCCAACTGGCTCGACAAGAATAAGGATCCCATCAACGAAGCTGTTGCCTCATTGCTAGGAAAATCAAGCGATGCTTTCGTTGCTGACATGTTCAAAGAATATGGAGGCGGAGAAGGAGGTACTGTCAGATTCAATGTCGTTCTTGTTTAATTTGATGCTAACGATTTGAGCTGGTTGTAACCAGGAACTTTTGGTCTAGGCATAAGCAGTCTGATCAAATGCGGAAGAAAAGGACTTATGAACCCCACAATTTCTCCAGATTTTTGTATTTAAACTTTCAAGCTAAAACTATATGTTTACAAATAGTAATACAGGTAAACATTCAAAATTTGTTAACTTCATGAGGATATATTTTCCATATTTAAATAATACATTTTACTTCATAAGGATATATTTTCCATATTTAAAAAACACATTTTGCAGCCGAGTTTCAGAGTTTTACTCATTCGGAGATGCCCAATCAAGCTCTGGTGTTGGATTTTGTACGAAATCTATGCTTAGATCAAAGTTTAGGCGGTAGCCATGATCATGTAATGTATAAGTCAAATCGCAAACAAGTCAGACTAAACTTAACCTTCTCTTCCAGCAACCAAAGGTCGAGGTGGAAAGAAAGGAGGAAGTTTCCAAACGGTTAGCAACCGTCACAAAGAACAATTAAATAAACTTATGACCATGTTGTACTCGACAACACCTCATTTTGTACGTTGTATCATCCCGAACGAAGAGAAGAAGCCAGGTCAGGTAGACGCCAACCTTATCTTACATCAACTGAGGTGTAATGGTGTGCTGGAAGGTATTCGTATTTGCCGAAAGGGTTTCCCCAACAGAATGCCCTTCGATGAGTTCAAACAAAGGTGAGTTTTCGCAGAGTAAAAGGTCGTTTTTAAGACGAAAATTGCACAAGTCTAAGAAGATTTTAAATGCAAACTATTGGTCTTAGTGCAGCGTTCATCCCTCATATTTATTGTGATCCTCATAGATGAACTTACATATTAAAAGCTCATGTAGCTCTGTCTGTTTCTAGAACAATCCACCATGTACTAAATGGTCAACATAGCTGCTATTTACTACTAGTATAAAATGATCATTCATTCATTGCTCCAAGTGTAGAGTCTTTTGTGATAGATTGCCTCGCAATGAAACGCTCCTTTTCAGTTTAACAAAACGCTATTCAGAGCGGCCTGCAGCACGTCTGACTTCATCGTTTCTTTTTACTAGATACCAGATCCTCGCTCCGAATGCAATCCCGCAAGGTTTCATGGATGGAAAGAAGGCCGCTGACAAACTGATCGAGGCTCTTCAACTTGAAGAAAATGAATACCGAGTCGGAAGCACCAAGGTGAACACCAATGCTGATTGTGGTATTTTGATAACATGATGGCCGATGGTCAAGCATGAAATTGCATGACATTTTGAGATGCGTGGATTTGGTTTGTGGTAGAAATCGGTGGCACAATGTTAAACAAGTTCCTGAGCATTGGGAAACTCCTCCATAAATTAAATATTTTCAATTTCAACCGCGCAGGTATTCTTCAGAGCTGGTGTCCTGGGTACCTTGGAAGACATGCGTGATGAACAACTGTCCAAGATCATCTCTCAATTCCAGGCCTTCGCCAAGGGCTTCCTCATGCGACGACGTTACCGCAAGATGTGCGACCAGAGGTATGCTCCGGTCCAAATTGCTTCGATGCGGGGATGGGTAGGGGATTGGGGGTCTTCGGTTCGTTGTAGTGTCAAAATGGAAAAAACGGAAAAAAACAGAAAGTAGTTGAGTTTTCATTTTCTTTTCAGAATTGGTGTCGCTGTGATCCAGAGAAACGTGAGGAAGTATTTGTTCTTGAAGAACTGGGCTTGGTGGAAGCTTTACACCAAAGTGAAACCGTTGTTGAACGTCGCCCGAACTGAGGAAGAAATGAAACAGAAGGAAGAAGAGGTGAGACTTTGAATATTTTCACGAAGGAAAGCATTGCATGAAGAACAACGCGATAACTTTTCATCGTAAGCGGAGAAGAACAGCGAAACCGAAAGACAAGTCACCAACTTTGATAACTACAAAAAAACAGCAAGTCTGCACGAAATGCTCGCCATAGAACAGTTGTCTAGAATGATAACATGAATTTCTCGATTTCTAGTTGGCAAAACTCAAAGACGATTTGGCAAAGGAGAAAGAATTGAGACAAGCACTCGAGAACGAGAAGACTGATTTGATTCAAGAGAAACAACAGCTGTACGATGATTTACAAAAGGTACGAGAACCATGTCCTTTAGTTGAACTTTACTAAGCCTCTAGAAAGAACAGTTTAGCGCTGATAAAACCATTCAGTATAAGTGTGACAAGCTCTGTTTGTTGTATTTTCCTTCAGGAATCAGAATCTTTGGAAAACACCGTTGAAGATTTGCAGAAGGCACGTGGACGTTTGGAGGACATGGAGGGTCAACTCACAGAATTGAACGAACGACTCGAGGATGAAGAGGATAACAACGCTGAGATCACCGCGATGAAACACAAACTTGAAGATGAGGCCGAAGACTTGAAGCAAGAAATCTCTGAACTTGGCACAGCTTTAGAGAAGGTACGATAACTTTAGCAATAGCTCCATGGTGTAGCTATTATTTGAAGATTTCAATCTCACTTGGAATTGTTGTTATAGGCTGAACAAGAGAAAGCCGCTCGTGAACAGGATATTGAGAGACTTAATGACGAGATTGCGAAACAAGACACTGCTTTGGAGAAATTGAACAAAGAAAAACGAAGCCTTGAAGATGAACGAGCCGTACGTTATGCGTATTCATACCTTTTCTCATCCCGACCTTAACCATGGACAATTTCGGTTGAGATTTCTGGGAATTGAACATTCTTTCTTTCTAGGAATTGGAAGATCAACTTCATGAAGAGGAGAACAAAGTGAACGGTTTGACCAAGGCTAAAGCAAAACTCGAACGGGATCTTGACGAGGTGGAATTTTAAACATGATTTGAAAGATAATACTGTTTGGTAAAGTGTATGTTACTGAACGTATTTTTTAATAATTCTCTTTCAGCAAATCGAAGTTTATGAGAAAGAAAAGAAAGTTCGTGGAGAAGTTGAAAAACAAAAGAGAAAGGTGGAAGGTGATCTGAAGGTGAAGTTTAAAATAATTTCATTGGTGTTTCCATTTGAATCACGATGGGGATTTGTTATTGGGGGGAGTTGGTTGGTTCTTCAATTGATAAATGTGTCTCGGATTTGATTTAGATGACCAGAGATGAACTCCAAGAAATGACTTCAAAGAGAGACGAACTTGAGAGTGTTGTCAAGAAGTAAGTTGGGATATTAGTAATTGTGATGGTGATATATGGATGGTGATTTGGTGAAGGTGATGTGGTGTTAGTGGTTTTATGGTGAAGGTTTTCTGGTGATGGTGCAGCAACGGTCATTTGATTCTTCCCCTTTTTCGACAGGCGAGATGCTGAAATTAGCGAGTTGAACAACGCGGTTGAGGACAACAATGCACTTATCGCACAACTACAGAAGAAGATCAAAGAACTTGAGGTTGGTATCGCTAACAAATAAATATTGAATCCTGTTTCAAATGAATTCAATTTTGTGTTTTCTCCATCATTGACATCGTTTTCACTCCCTCCAGGCGAAAGTGGCGGAGTTGGAAGACGAACTCGAAAACGAACGAGCCCTTCGCGCCAAGGCTGAACGCGCCCGCAACGACCTGGAACGTGAACTTGAGGATCTTCAAGACGCCTTGGACGAGCAAGGTGGAGCTACTCAGGCTCAGGTAAAAACATACATCGCTATTTGCTTGCAGACTGGGACCGTTTTATTTGCTAGAAAACTGACTGAGGTCCCTTAGGTGCATCTTGAATTTAAGCGCAATAGCAAACCGGTTTTTAGCAGGATTACCTTGTATCAGAGACCCTGTGACACCATTTTCACGACTTGTTGTGGTGAAGTTCTGACTGCTGGATTTACCAGCGCATACACGGCCAAAAATTGATCAGGTTGTCGCATCAGGGGTGTGAACAATGTTGTGCTGCATCCTGGGAACAGTATTGTTAACAATTTTGTTCAACCTTGTTGAATCATCAATGTTGATGCAATTATGATGCAAGGTTGTTGTAAAAAGTTGCAACAACATTGATGATTCAACAAGCTTCAACAACATTGTTAACAATACTGCTCACAGGATGCAACACAACATTGTTCACTCCTGTTTTTAACAACTTGCATCAACATGATGATTTTTACGCGTGTATATCAATCTTCCATGATTTGTGATCGTGTGTCACGTAGGTGGACCTGAACAAAAAACGCGAAGCTGAAATCAGTAAACTCCGACGTGATGTTGAGGAGGCCAATGCCCAGCACGAACAAGCCATCAGCAGCATGCGAAGTAAAAATCAACAAGCTTTGGCTGAAGTTCAGGAGGAACTGGAGACATTCAAGAAATCGAAAGCAAAGTAAGTGGTCACTTGCAGCTGTGAATAACACAAGACTACTGCGCTTTGATAGTGCAGTATAAATAAAGTTAGTTTAGTTTAGGTTTTCCCCTGTAGTAACACTGGGTCTTTATCCACAGATTGGAAAAAGAGAAGAATGCTCTGACACAGGAGGCTGACGAACTTGCCGAGAGTAACGAGAAGCTGCAGAAAGCTAAGGTGAGATCCCTTGACTTGCGTTCAACAAGAGAAGCATGTTTCAAACTAACTTTTTTTACAATTTCTCTTCAAAGGCCTCTCTTGAAAAGAACAACCGTGCCATGGACGCAGAATTATCCGAAAGTCGAAGTGCGGTAAGCAATAGATTTTCTTGGAATTTCCAATACGCATCTCTTCCAAATTGAATCAATTTTTCTTTGTTTCGTAGCTGGAAGAGCTTCGCACAGCCAATGCTGATCTCGTCTCGGCGAAACAAGCCCTGACGAACGAGAATGCATCGCTAAGCTCACAACTGACGGAAATGGAAGGCAGAGCTGCGACTTTGGCTAAGAACAAGAAATCTTTGGAGACTCAACTGGACGAGGTGAAGAACGCTTTGGAAGAGGAAGGAAGGGTGAGTAGATATCTTTATATAAATGAGAAGAAATAGTGAAACGAATAAAGTACTATTTAGGTTTGTTCAAACTCTCTTCTCAAATGTAACGAACGTTTGGGGTATTTTTCTGCATCGAACAGGCAAAGAACGAATTCTTTGATAAGATGAGGAACTTCGAAGCTGATTTGGAGCTCGCTAGACAGGACAACGAAGATCTTGAGGAAGCCAAAGAGAACTTGGAGAAGGAATTGGCCAAAGCAAAGAACGACATCTCAATGTGGAAGAGAAAGTTCGAAGAGGAAGGACAAGCAAAAGCAGAAGAACTTGAAGGAGCCAGGTGTGTGAAGATCTTCAGAGCGCTGTTTTAAAACTGAAGTAACTGAAACGAGTTCAAATAGCGTCAGTTTGGGTGAGATTGTCTTTCTAGGAACGCACCAAACGCTTGCTTATACAGTGGTGCAGTCATTAAAGTTGTAAAAAGGATGGTTTGTCAACAAGAGCAATGGTAATCGTGTACATTTTCTCACATTTTCAGACGAAAAATTGCTGCCAAGTTGGCGGAAACCGAAGAGGAACTCGCAGCCGCTCTGTCGAAGGCTAATTCCGCTGAGAAAGCAAAACAACGTTTGGCTGGAGAAGTCGAAGACCTCAATGTTGAACTGGACAAAGTATGTGTTGGAGATTGTGTCGCGCAGTGCACAAATGATTTGATGCGTCAGAGGAAGCTATTGCTTTTCTGAGATGGTTGGAAGTTATCGTATATTTTGTGTTTTTTAGGCCTCAAATCTTGCCGCCTCATACGAGAAGAAGCAAAAGAAGATCGATCAGGAGATTGCACAATGGAAGGCGAAGGTTGACGAAGTCCAAGCCGAGCTTGAAGCGTCTCAACGCGAGTCGCGTGCCAACTCCACTGAGGTATCTTTGATCTCTCTCTTACGCTGTCAACTGGAGTGCCGCTACAACCAATCTTGCCTTATTTAACTGAAATGTTATTTTGAAACTGGACTGTCTTCCTGTTCGCAGGTTTACAAACTCCGAGCTCAATTAGAAGAATCGCAAGATGTCGCTGAGCAACTTCGACGTGAGAAGAAATCATTGGAAGGTATGTATTGTTGATTGCTGATGAGTGCTGGACTATCTGGCCTCCGGGCCTTCCTTGGACTGATCGTTTTTGTCAGTTGATAAATTGGTGTTTCTCCTGTCAGTTTCAAAAGTTATCTCCTGGTAATCATGTTTCCTGGATTTGGAAGAGACTTTCAAACCAAGCTAATAGTGTGTCAAAATCTTCCCATCCCACCTTCTGTAACCTACTTTGCTTTTAATAATCTTACTCACCCTGAGGCAGGAAGAAGGCCAAAATCATGCATGCATGAGCAGTTCTTACAATCTTCTCGCATGAAATTCCAGCCGTCTTTTCAGTCAATATTCCTCCCTAATTTCTATTTATTTCTTGTTACCTCTCAGGCGAAGTTAAAGATCTCATCGACCAACTTGGTGAAGGAGGAAAATCTGTCGTCGAATTTGAGAAATTGAAGAAGAAACTCGAGATGGAGAAAGAAGAACTTCAAATGAACATGGAGGTTTGGCAATGTGTTTTTAACGATTTAGTTTTGTATATTTTATATCCACAGTGTGCTGCTTGTGCTTCGGGGAATCTCAATTTTAAATACATGTGGTCATGGGGTTCCACAAGGATCATAACTGGGCCCTACATGACAAAATTGTATTTTGTGACAAGAGTTGCTGAACTGTGATTGTTGTTGTTGTTAAGGAATTGGAAGGCGCCCTCGAACAGGAGGAAGCTAAGGTGCTCAAGGTTCAACTTGAAATGACTCAATTGAAACAAGAATACGAACGACGACTGGCGGAGAAGGACGAAGACGCAGAAAGCTTGAGGTAGTTATCGCCTTTACCTTCCAATGGCAAAATACTCATCCATCATGATGGCACAAAGAAGACATTGACACCCAGTATAAACGAACAATTGAAACTGATCCTAAAACCATTCACTGTGTTTTAGGAAAAACTACAATCGCCAACAAGAGAGTATTCAGGCATCCTTGGAAGCAGAGAGCAAGGCTAAGAATGAACAGGTAACAGTCCTTCGAATTCTTCACTGATGGCATTTTGTTTAGATATTTTAGAGTACGTTCGTGCTTGTTCTTCAAGTTAAATGTGTTGTGTTTTTGTACTTCAGATTCGATTGAAGAAGAAGGCTGAACAAGATGCGGCCGCTTTGGAACTTGCTTTGGAAGCAGCACACAGGGTGAGTACGGCAGTTTGATCTGAATTTTCTAAGATAAAACTGGTAATAATAGACATTGCTGTAAGTACATTTGCACAGCAGTAACGTTTTATAGACAAAACGATTAACCGTTCAACATTTTCTGTTTTCACAGGACAATGCAGAAAACGCCAAGAACGTGAAGAAATTACAACAACAACTGAAGGTGCGACAGATTCAGACTCAAACAACTTGTTTAGGAAACGTGTCTACACTGCTTGTTTGACGAACAGCAGTTTGTCACCATTTTGAATGACTGGTCACTAGTTGTTCCAAGCAATTGTATTTATCCTAAAATCCATCTTTTATCAAACTTCACTAAATTAAACGACAACATTGTTCACAAGTTATTGAGAAGTTCGTAACACATTTTGTTAGTCGGGGGTGGCTTGGTTTATTTATACTTTCTATGATGATGTTAACTCTAGGAATTGCAAGTCATGGTTGAAGACGAGCAGAAAGCACGCGACGATGCACGGGAGAGTCAGGCGAAATCTGAACGCAATGCTAACAAGTTGTCTGCTGAATTGGAGGAAGTACGGGCTCAGTTAGAACAGGTGAGCTTCCATATCAGTCTTTTCATGTCGTGTTTATAATGCAAGTGGGAAAAAAGGCGAAATTTTAAATTGCACTTTTCCTAAGAAACCGCCAGTATCCCTGTATTGGAATATAATTGACCAATATACTGATTTTCTTTTTCGATAGTCTGAACGACTCCGACGAAACGCTGAAAATGAAAGTCAAGATGCAACTGACCGCGTTGGTGAGTTACAAGGACAGATCTCGTCTCTCCAGTCCGCCAAACGCAAGGCCGAAGACGATTTGCAATCGATCCGAGACTCCGTTGACGAACTCGAAAGTGACCTCAAGACAGCCGAAGAGAAAGCACGCCGAAGTGCTGCCGACGCTGCCCGACTTGAAGACGAACGTGCCGCCGCGCAAAACGCAGCAAATGCTGCAGAGCGCGCACGGGCTGCCGCTGACAAGCAGGCCAAGGATCTGCAGGCTCGACTTGAAGAGGTTGAAGCTGCTGGTGGTAAGGCATTGAAGAATAAGATCAAGACCTTGGAACAGGTTGGTTGGTCATTTGATCCATGAGAGAAAAAATGCCATAGAATAGTAAAATTGATTTCAATTTTTCCTTTTTTTCTTGCCAGAAAATCAAAGATTTGGAAGATGATTTGGATGCTGAAGTTCGCGTGAAGACTGAACAACAGAAGGCGATTAAGAAGAACGATCGTAAAGTTAAAGAGCTGTTGGCCCAAGCTGATGAAGACCGCAGAGCCATTGAGAAGCTTCAGGATACCTCTGAACGACAGAACAAGAAGTTGACTCAACTACGCCGCAGAGCCGAGGAAGCGGTAAGAACTGAATTCTTCATAGACCTATCACTTCTAAACTGTTCTTCCTGGAGGTCCAGGAAGGATCATCTCTTATTGATCCAGTGTTACTACAGGAGGAAACCTAAACTAAACTAACTTTATTTATACTGGATAGCTCTATCAGTTCTGAACTGTCCTTCCTAGAGGTTCAGTAAGGATTGAGGAACTCAAATTACACTATGTGGTGGACAAGCTCCATAAGTTTTAGGTTTTTTGTGTCCCAGAACGGGTCACTACTTTTTCGCAGTGTTATTAGAGAAAAAACTCGAATGATCCATTCTGAATGATTATATTTTGTTTCCTCTTGCAGGAGGAGACTGCTGCCTCAAACATGACCAAACTTCGCAGAGTGCAGGCTGATTTGGAATCCGCCGAGGAGAGAGCTGATACCGCTGAACAGGCAGCCAGACGTCGCCCTGCTGGGGGCGCAGGTGGCCGCGCATCTGCTGGTAGAGCTGGGTCTAGAACACCAGGAAGATCTTCATCCCGCGAGGTGATTCTTGATGACGACGAGGACGACGATTAAATTGCCTAATCCTGAGCCCTGTTTAATCTGTCATGAGATTAGTCCGGATTAACTAAAATAACTTTTCAAATTCCTTAAATTCTCGTTGTACTAAGAATTAACTTGATTGATTGTGATTCTTTCCGCAAAACTATCGTTCTGTTTTCGCTTAGGTAAAGTTTCTGACAAAATTTGTCTTCAATTTTCAATTTATTGAAATTATCAATTAGTTTAGTTGAAAAATGTTTTAATATATTCATTCTGAGGAACTTTTTCAACCGTTTTATTTTCACCAAATTTTCTTACACCCTCATGGCAATTGCGAACAGGGCTCTTTTCGCTTTTCCACCAACAATGAAAAGAAAAAAAACACGTTAGATTAATTTTTAAAGCCATGTATATGGACCAAATAGAATTATGTTAAACTTTTTCATAGCTATTAAAATTTTGCACCCTAATATCTTTATTGTCTGCACTTTTTAATTCAGAATATGCACTTAAAATAATTAAAAGTTTATGCTTAAAATCTAAAATTTTACTGTCGTTTTAAATCGTATTGACATGAACTAGCTGGTTATCGATAATTAATTCTAAATCATTTAATTTTCCATTTAGATATTAATAAAGTTTATTGTTTAATAATTTATATCCTATTAATTATATACCACTTTAATGCAATAATTAATTTAACTATTGAATGCTATACGCATAATATAACAATGCGTGAAATTACGTTAAACTATTTTTGAATGTCAGCACTTGGGTACATAATTCATGATAATGAGAACCAAATTTTAAATCCTAATATAAACCAGATGTAATCCTAGACTTTCATCAACATAATTATTCAAATGCTTCATTTTATTACCCAAAGCACGAACTAAACTCTGAAAAAATAGTGCCAAATGCAAGAGAATGAAAAATAATTGTCTCTACCATATTTGCGAATGATTACAGAATAAAATTATAAAAACCCACAGCGTTTAAATTTTAACTACACTAAATATTCCCTGTCAAATATTTGGTATTATGCATTAATTCACGAATATTTACGAGACGTTTGTTCGTGCAATTCCTTGCAATTTAAACAATCTTAAATCCATGAAATCTTTTCTTACAATGTACTAATACTCATAGTTTGTTGCCAACGAGAGATGGTCAAGTTTGGTGCTGTAAAATAGGTCAAGTTTGTGCTAAAACTAAAGCAATATATTAATTGTATTAAATGGTAATATATGAAAATTAATTGTAAGTTTTAAATTCCTTCGTTGATAAGATTAACTTCTAACCTAAACAGTTGGTTTAAATCATTCTCTTATAAGCACCAAATGACCAAATTAGGCTAAAAAACGAGGGAAAGCTTCTTAATTTGATATGGTCGACGATTGATGAATTGAATATATGCTGTTATTTTATACTTATGGCTAAAAATACCAAAATGTTTATGCTATAATCTTTAACTAACGAATAATTTTGCACTTATATAACCAAATTATGTCAATGTTTATTATATTTTGTACACTTTAAAACATATATGCATATCTTGATTATTGCATATTTTTGATTATTTTAAATATGATAAATAAGTGGCTTAAGAGGTTTATTTTGATGAAAGGTTAAAATAACATTCCTAAACGCCTTTGGACAATTCTCAAAATACTTTCCACGTAAACCTTAGTATTGAAATCAATAGTTTTGATAAAGATAGTGCTTGAATGACACATTTATCGATGCATCCTTATAGAGCTTATTGAAAAATAGCTTGAAGTAGCATTATCAGCCAATATGAGTGACTATCTTTGAAATATCGTGATTTAATCTGATTACAAATATTTGTTTTCTTTCAGCCTTCGCGACGTGGTTCCAAAAGTGACGCCGAGTAAAGACCAGAACTTTCATTAAACTAAGTCAAAATAGCTAGAACCGACAGCATAACAGCTGTAGTTATTGTATGGTCACCTTATATAGATAGAGTCCAAAATATTCGGGCAATATTAACTTTAAACATAGCGTAATTTTACCATTAAGGACATGTAATCATTGCTAGGAATTTTGTATGTCAGTTAATTTTCAATTTTAATAAATTTAAGTTTCCAATTTTGTTTGTAGTTTTTTGTACAGCTCACTGAAAGACGCCCAGACCTTTGGAAAAGTTGATAGTTTTAAAGCTTTTTCTATGAAAAATCTTTAGACAAATCATACTGTAAGACATGACAACTTCAATGACAAACCAAGTGAATTTAAAAATGAATATCAGATTTCTAGGATTAACCCAGTTTAGACACTCAACAGTGACCTCTGTGAAACATTCTCAATAGATGGGTTTTTTTGGGTATTGAGCTTTTTTATTTCATTTTAAACCTTTTATAGGATTCTCATCACTTGACCCAAACAACCCAAACTTAGTCAGAATTTTATTTCCTCAATTCTTCATGTATTAATCTGATCAAAGTTCTCCTTATCTAAAAGTATTTCATTTGTTTGCATTTTATTTTCGATACGAGATTTGGCAAATTCCGCAAAATCTTACTGGTCAGGCCTACAAGATAATGCTTGGAAAGCACTATCATCTTGGAAACCAAAATCCACAAATTTAATTCTTAATCTAATACTTTATGGGTAAGGATTAGGGTCAAGTTTAGGGATTAAAGGTAAAGATTTTATTGGATATACTGGACATGGATTTGTAGACAATCCAGTGTAAATTGAGCTCAACTGAGTTAGGGGATATTCGGGGAGTTCGAAGGTTCGGGGGGGTTCAATCACGTGGTTGCTTCAAAAGATCGAAAGCTTTGTATTGCTTCTAAGTTCTAACTTTTATCATTTTCGACCAAAAAAATCGTTTTAAACTAAACTTTTTCGACACATTTCGCTCGTCCGACCTTCCTTACACAACAATGAGTTACGATAGAGGCCGTGGACCGCCGAATATCGAAGGGATGACAAGTTTAAAGGTGGACAATCTGACGTACCGAACGACAGTTGAAGATTTGAAGAAGGTCTTTAGTAAATATGGAGATGTCGGAGACGTTTATATACCACGCGATGCTAGGACGAATCAGTCGAGAGGATTTGCTTTTGTACGCTTCTACGAAAGACGAGACGCCGAAGACGCTATGGATCGTGTGGATGGGTCAGTGTTAGACGGACGAGAGATTCGTGTTCAGAACGCAAAGTATGGTAGACCACAAAATGACTACAGACAAAGGTCTGGTGGTAGAGATCGGGGTTATGACCGCAGCAGAGGACGAAGGTTTGTAGAGGATGTGAATTGGTGATCTTAGTAGTGTTAATTTTAGGGGTGATGTCATCCAAATTCGGGATTTCAGTTTTCAAACAAGGAATGGTGGCATTATTAAGAGGATATCCTCTTGAGAGGCAGGATGCCAGTCTTGGGCAAACTTCCTGCAATGAACAATGATGGGCATGATTTCCGGATTCTAAAAATGCCAAGCGTTTCTAAAGCGGCAATCCATAGGTCAAATTTCATCCCATCGATTTTAGGAAGATAATTAACTCCCTGTCACACCCACGCTCTGGTGCGGTTTTTTTCTGGAAATTTACGATTTGCACTTGTCGAGGTGACAGAGCTTTAGTCTCCTCCTTTCAACAGGAATCGGTCTTTATGTAAAGCGTCACAAACAACTTGAGAATTTTTCCAAAGCAAATGGCACAATTACTTCCAAAAACAAGGCATATTGTTATACTTGTATTATTCTTACAGTTAATCATTGTGCAAATTCCTCACAGATCAGATTTTGAGTAATTTATAGTAAATTCAACACAAATTGTTACCTAAACTGTCATCACTTATCAACTGCCCAACATGTACTGAAAATTGACCAGATTTCAAAAACTCTTATTTGACAGAAGCAGTTTATTAGAAAATTTAATTCACAACTTGTTCCCTTTTATTTGACATTGACTATAACATTCCAGTTTATACATGTGTTTATTTAGATCATACTCGCCACGTCGTCGCAGGTCTAGGTCAAGATCTTATTCTCCCAAACGGAGGTAATTTGTTTATATTTACAATCAATGTTATCAGATGATGTCCCTCATGCACCCTTTGTACCTCCAATATTTTAACAATTTGTTATGGTTTCTTGCTATTTTGTTTTCGCGGACAGTCGTAGTTGTCAAATTGACTAGCTTTAAGTTGTGACGCTGGGCAGTTTCTTGGCAGACCGTCTAGTTATCGTTTGTAATGAATTCATGTAAAAATTTATTTTGTAATAGGTCCAAGTCACCAAGGGGCCGAAGATCAAGATCCCGCTCGCCACGGCGCCGTACTTCAAGATCACCTGGGCAAGATCGTCATCGCGGTTCTAGAAGTCAGTCACCGAAAAGAACCAGTCAGTCTCCAGAAAGAAATGGTTCTCCGACACGCAATAGAAAGTCATCATCTCCAGACAAATCATCCTAGTGTTGCAAACAAAAAAATTTAAAATTGTAGCATTTTTAAAAAGCAGAGGTAATTTTTCCTCTATGATGATGATTCACATTAGACATAGTACATATAGTAAGGTTTTTTCAGTGTCTTAAAACTCCTGTAAAATACAAACACTGTTTTGCTGGGATACTTGAGTGTGGTATATAATTTTCCTCATGAAAGGATAAAAGAAATTGCAAGCCTCAAGGTGTCAATGTTTAAAACTGATTCTCATTCTGATATTTTACAGGCACTTAATGAGTAGCAGTGCTTATGCTGTTGTTCGGGTTATAAGCTGCCATTTTGTACGGGATTCCAGAAACGCGTGCAGCTGTTCCCTGTTGCTGAGCTGTAGTAATTGCTGTGGGCGTTAGTTTGCAGTGCAGTTTGCTGTTTCTTATCGAGTTTGCTGTCAGTGGCAGTGTGTCTTGCAGTGTGCTTGCAGTGTTCTTGCAGTGTTCAACGCCTTTGCAGTGGCCTTAACAAATTTTGTTTTAGAAAGCCAGCATTTTATCCAGTTTTAATATTTCAACTGTGATGCGGTTCAGCAACAGACCATTACCTTCATTTGCTGCTGTTGTTTAATTGAGTTGGTTGCAACTCTCCTAACCAAATGAAAATGAGGTTGCAGATATCTACTCCTGGGAATTTATTGTGTGAAAATGTGGACTATGAAAATGAAAAGGCACACTATGTCCTAGCCTCTAGCGGGCATTTCAACATTATACCTGTTGGCATTGCAGTGTGTAGAGTTGAAATTAAGAAAAAGGTGGGTTTATTTTGAATATCAATTGTGAAATATAGCATCACAATGATCACATGTTCGTGTATTTCCGAGTATCCATTCCCGCCCAAAACCCTCCCTCGTGCAGGAAAACACTGGGTTTGCATAACCTTGGAAAACATTTCCTGTTCTGAACTTTGCCAAAAGAAAAATTATTTCTGCTATTCAGTACTTTCCCCAGACAATGCTTCGACCTATGATTGCCTGAAGACTTATATTTTGCACGTGGGTCTTAAAATAACTAAATACTTCCGCTTCAGAACTAAAAAACGAGCAAATTCAAAAATGTTTTTAATTAAGAACGCGATGGGGCTTTTTTTTGTCTGAGGCGATGTGAAAAGTTCAACTGAAGCCATATTTGCTATGCATATTTGTGTAAGCGTTTCACAAGAGTATCTCCAATAGATTTGTCATCGATTCACTGTATTTTCGTCCGCCTTGTCGGAAAATACAAATGAAACAGCGAACGGGAACTCATTTTAGACATAACCTTGTAAGAATAGTTGATATTTCAACTTTCAAGGTGGTTAATATTGTAACAAATATCCAGGCATCTTAATTTTCAAGTGTTCGTAATTACATCTGCTGTTTGCAATTACGAGTATTCTTCTCTGAGAAAACACGTACGTTATATAAGTTCCATTTTTAAACACGAAATTAGTTGTATTTCCTACTATTTTGAGGGCACGTTTGCGAGAAAATGCTTCCCCGAGAATTTGAAACTGACATATTTTCAATATTTCGTAATTCTTTCATCGTTGGTACAGCGGAAGTTAAATCGAAGTCTGAAAGCGGCTATCCGAAGTGATCGTCATTGTAAAATTTCAGCTTTAAAATTAGAGTTAAAAGCTTGGATGATATCGTAAATGTTAGGACAATACAGTATTATGTAAACACCAATGTTTCGTGTTTGAAATCGTGTCAAAGTTAGCGATAAAATTTACATTTTTTTTTGAGCCCAGAACTCCGGAAGTTTTCGTGTGATCTTGACAGTTAAGTCTTCCGCTTTTCAAAGGCATGCCATGATATTTCAGCACAAGGGGTATAAACAATTTATTATGGTGATTCATTGTCGAACGTATATCGAGAAAGCGAATATGAAGAGGCTTTTATGAACCTCAAGGCCTTCAATTTAAAAGTGTTTTAAAAAGTTAAAGCAAGCTTTATCCCGGTAGTAAAACTGTGGGCGAAAACACACGTCAGTGCACGTCAGTAAAGCGGTAGGCACTAAGCAACAACACGGCAGAGGAAGATCGAAAAGTTCCTCTTGATTTCCCAACGATGTTATAATTTAAAAGTTGCATGCTAATTCAACATCTGTGCTGTTTATTTTAAAGAAGCGTTGATGCCAAAGCGGAAAACCGTGCTGCTGAAATTGCTATGCTGTCGAAGCTCGAATACTTGTCGAAGAAATTTATGTCGTATTAATGTAAGTACAGAATATACAACAGTTTTGTTTGTAGATAATACAGGGATGTAAAATGTCCCTCCGGTCGCCTTTTATGCGTCGGGTATTGATTAATATTTGCAAGGCTTTGCCTCCGTTTCATCTGCGCAACGTAAATGCCAATGCTCAAGAGCAGAACTGAAACGTAAAGTGAAACGTTGTCAGTCAGGGGAAACCCTTTCCCCGAACCACAATGTCATTTTCTTGGAATCAGCTTTACTATCATTCTGCTTTGCCGTTTAATTTATATATTTCTGCAGAGTAACAGTCGAAAGCGATTCTAGGAAGCCAGAAATATCGTTCAACCTTTCGTTTATCTTCGCTATAAGTTTCATAAATTGTTAACTTCTATTTATAAATAAGTTGCACCTCTATAGGCTGTCATTTACGATTGCGATTTTCACGAGATATTTACCATAAACAAGTCACTTTTGACTGGAATACTTGGAAAATGCAAGAGGGGGATTTCTAAACGCGAAATGACATTACTTGGGATATAAATACTGTGAATTTACTAAACTTTGTGTAGCCTTTTCGGCACAAGAGAAAGCATAAAGTATGAGTGCTCCCCCAAGGAGGAAAAGTGATGGTGGTGACGACTCCTGTAACGAAAATGGCAATCTAACTGAGGTATGATGATTTTTTTACACCATTTACTATAATATATTGTATGCCTGAGGCATATACAGCAATATTGGCAGAGCAAGCTAAAGTTTCAGCATCCTTAATTTTTTACAAGCTAGCATTTGAGATATTGGTCAGTATAGATGATGGATGTATGTTTTGGATATTTGTGTTTTAAAGACGAACAAGGCTCTTGCCTGTTGGTCGGTCTTTTGTACAATAGCTGGCGATATAGGAATGCTTTGTATCTCCTCCTAAAACTAACATGCTTTACCTAAAAATAAGGGTAATTCTTGGTTGATGACAGTTTGTGTATTCTTGTCGTTTCTGCTCTATCCATCTTGGGTTCCTGTTTCTCACTATTCCTTGTGTATCCATATTGTCCAAGAATTGTGGACCCCATCATTCTAAGGAACAAATTTGTCAAAGACCTCTTGTCTCTAAGCACTGTTAATAGCCTTCATAACAAACCACAACTGCATTTAAAAAAGATAGTGAAATTAAGTTGGCATTATTATACTTTGAAATCTAAAACATGTGTGTGATCATCAGGTTGATATATTGCCAAAGTTATATTGCTGGTCTTAAAAAATACTTGGCATTTGAGGAAAAGTTTTCTATTTGCGAGTGGGTGTTCATTGTGCATAGTTCAAGTTGGTAGCATGCACAAGTTGATTTGAAACAGAATATCTCCAGAGATTTCTTGTTAACCCATAGTTGGTGGTGCACTTGACTTTCAGGATTTTTCAATCACCAGACAATTTTAATCTGTTCACCTTGCTAACTAATTGGGTAATTAAATCAAATGCTAGTTTCTCATGCTAAAATCAGCCAACAAAGGCTTCTAACACAATATATACCCCTCTCTAAAACCACATGCTTGACTTGATAGCCTTCATCAAAATCTGCCTTTTTGGCATGAACTGCATCTTCCAAACTATAACGGAAACGGTCACAACAGGGCACAGAAATATACCTTGATTATTAACCTAATTTTCCTTGTTCGATATGAGTAAAAATTATCAGGCGCAAGCATGTGTGAATAATGGTACTCTACTTGCAGTTTTTGAACGCGAAAAACTTCCTGCCAGAACGCGAGTCTGTAATTTTTACGGATTACTGCAAGAGAAAAGCCTGTTCAGTTGTTTTTGAGATATTTTATTAGCGACGCCGACGGCATTGCTAACTCTGTCACCGAAATCATCCCTGAACCTCGCTGGGCATTTACTTTTGTGTGTCAGTTGTTTGAGCTTGTTTTTCGGGCCATTATAAAAACCGAAATTAAAATGCTTTTGGGAAATCCCTGCATGAGAAATCTGAACTGTTTCTCGTTAAAACGGAATGCATTCTTCGACTTTGACAAATATTTTCGTATGTCTTGTTTCTTTTTTCGTAAAACAGGATGTAACTACCTTTAAAGTGTTTGATTATAATAAATAATATATGCAAGACAAAGTCAAAAATGCCGATGGTATTTGTCATAACACAAATCTGATGCCAAAAATTGCCGGATGTTTAGCAGGTGAATAACGTCATTTCACAAGGAATTTGGAAAGTCTTTTTGCATGATTGACAAAGCTATCTCTCACGCGATTCAACTCGCTTCATTAATGAACTTCATTAGCTTCTCCTGTTGTGGGAAAGTCGTGGTTATTTACAGATTTTTACCATTTGTATTTTGTATACAAAGTAACGGGAGCAAGCGAGCTCAGGGACTGTATGTGTGGGGATATATAAGATTTTCTACGTTTTCTTTTGGATTTGTGGTGATTTTAGGGATCCGATATGGATCTTTAGGGATTTGTAAGGTTTGGCGGGAAAGGGTTCGCGTGACACGGTCCAAGAACCCCCGCGCGCTCACATAGCTAGCCACTGATCTCTATAGTAGTTTGACGCGTTCTTTCTTCCTCTAAAAGTGCCTCAGACAAGTTTCGTTTACCAAAACCCAAATAAACTGATCCCATTTCGTCTGTCGAAGCAAGTTCATTGACCAGAGAACACTTGAACAAATAATTAAGCCATCGTATTCCTTTTGAATAACAGTACTAGTATATTTCCTGGCTGGCAGTTCGTTGTGGTCAGTACCAACACCGAAAAAGCTCACCAGGTTTAAGAGAGATCTTCACAAGAGATGATATTATAATATATTGTTCAAACTTGACTGAAAAGCATAACGCTATGTTTGTTTGTGAAGAAAAGTTCCTTTCTAAAATGTAGCCTCTGTATTTTCCACGCTGAAATAAACGACTATGATATTGTGTGTAATGGCAGACGGTTCAAGTCACCCTCTAAACAACTACACAGAGCCATTACTCGATTTGGAAAAATATTATCGACGATAAGTTCTAGATAATGAATTGAATCGCACTTCCATATTAAGCCCAGTTTGCAAGCTGTGCTATTATGACCCGGAATAATGCAAATGCGTTTGAACGAATGATTTGTTCACGGTATTAAGTTAGACTTGTGTATTAACACGGCGCCTTATAATGGTAGCCAAAAATACCTCAAATCCTATCGACGGCGTTTGTGAGATAAAAAAATACGGTATTTATAGCTTCTCACAATATTGTTGCCTATAGTTACTTTGGTTCTGGTTTTCTAAAAACAGACAGTAGAACAATTATTGTAGATAAAGGTCAATAGTTTGTTCTATTTTTGTCCTTAGTTACCCTAGTTTTCTCATCTTCTTCGCCATTAGCAACTGATATAGGAAATGCGATCGAAATTTTGAGTCGTTTAGCAACGGATCGCACCCTATTATGGAACTAAACACTTCTTCAAATTCGATATTGAAACATAATATTACGGAATATTTTTAAATCAGAATCACTATCACTTAGGTCCAGTCTAGAAGCCCATTCCCCCTGAGAATCAGAAGTGTAGGCCCTCTTGAGAACTCCTTGATGGAGACTGTTCGACCTCAAAAATTGATGGCACCTGTAACACTCTTTACCCTAGTTTTCAACATCAATTTTTCAGCTATACTTCCACGAGCTCATTGTGGAATACAAATATTTGAGATACCTTTTACGTTCAAATTCTTATATACGTCCTTAGCAACACATACCACAGCAAGTCTATCAAATATTTTGGGTTACTTCTTGGGCATCGTTGTTGTCATAGTAATCGGACCAGAAATGATCTGACTCCAATATATCCAGTAATATATTCGAATAACTTAGATTTATCCACGAGAAATGCAATGTTTTTTAGCCTATTTGTAAAATACGAGAAATATACGATTTAGAGCTCCTTTAGATGTAATGGCCTTTTTGTCAGTAATAGCAGTTTTAATGGCATCAGTGACTCTACTTCCTCATTCCAGTTTTCTGATTTGCAAGGTGAACGGGCTGAAATTTGCTGCATTAAAACTCTTTTCCCTTGTTCAAAGCGATTGAAAATTGAAATGGATAAAATCGTAATCGTCTTCAACGAAACGCGATTCTTTTCGACGGCATTTTCGTGTCTTTGTGAGTGGCAAACGTTTACTTCCTCATCAGAATTATCCAGATAGTGCTCTGGGATCAAATTTACATTCACTTTAACTTCCTGTTTGGTTATTACTAAGCTATTGCTAACAATAGTACCATAACAAGATGTCTCACCGCCAGATCGTGCTCAAATCGACTCAGAACGGCGATGTGAGATGGTGTTCGATGCCGCTGACAATTGTCGGAGTGGTTTATGAATTCATTTAACCTTCTCGCTGCTTTCCATGCTTTTTTTCTTTATTCTAAATTTACTGGATGGACGGAGCTTACAAGAGCAATGCTGCTGCTTTGCAGCAAGCAAAGCAGCAAGTTCACCACAGACAGGCAAGTGACGCCTAGATAATGGCAAGTTATTTGTAACCTATCAATACGCACAACATATTTTTCTTTTCGAAGCAGAACTCGCGGGCATGCGCTTATTAAGATCTGCAAAGGGTTTTACAAACGTGAAATCCGCGCTCGTAATGGCATCCAATTTGCTGCCTTCTCCATTTCACTGGTGTAATTAATCCAAGCGTGGTCTGAAGTCAATTTGTAGAGTATCCTAATTTATTAAGACATCGATTTCCGCTCAGGGCTGGGCTATAAGATATAGTGGAACATTTCGTGATGAACGTTTTGTATCAGCTCAATAGTACTTGAGTTACACGCACGCATGCTTGATGCTTGAGTAATCGTATAGAAAACGTTTCAGAGTAAATCTAGGCAGCATATCCCTCGCTATTTCGTTCATTATGAGTTCTACGGCTTTGTTTAAACCATGATTACTGTTTTTCGTTGATTCTTCGGAATGGTTCGGTGCGTTTAAACGGATTACCTGGGAATAGGGTGAAATTGAGTGATTCGATGTTTGTATCGTAGAGTGTTGCATTTGGTTCAAGAAAATTCTAGTTTTCAATACGTGATATGATGTAGTCTGGACGTTGTCAGCTTCAGTCCAAATAAACACGTATTGTTTGCACTTGGGAAGAAACGCATGCATGTGTCAGCTCGTGGTGATTACGGAAATACTGAGTAAACTCAATTTCTCTGAGGGAAAAACCCCTTTCTTTTGGTTTGCAAAACGTTTTCAACCTAACTAACCTTTCGCCAACTCTGTTTTGCTAAGGATAATGTTGCTTATTGTGGTAATGATGTGTTGACTAGTCTAGTACTTACTGCTTTGCAATGTTTTATTCAGTGTCTCACTTTCAACCTTCCTCAATGTCAGTTGATCATTGCAGTGCTGCTAGTCTGACTGAGTGCTGACTGTTGCTACTAATACCAGCCTGACTAGTCCAGTACTTGCTGCTTTGCAATGTTTTATTCAGTGTTTCACTTTCAACTTTCCTCAATGTCAGTTGATGATTGCAGTGCTGCTAGTTTGACTGAGTCTTGACTGTTGCTACTAATACCAGCCTGACTAGTCCAGCACTTACTGCTTTGCAATGTTTTATTCAGTGTTTCACTTTCAACCTTTCTCAATGGAGTACGGAAATAGCCGTACGATTTTAGAAAGCCACGACTCAAGGGAGGCTTACCTGTTATTCATTTTATATGCAAGAATTGTCATAGTTATATATATTCTAGGTCGAGTTTTGAACGTTATTTATCTTGTTATTGCAATTGTCTGTGTTTCTGAAGCAATGCTTTCAATTCGTTAATTCTATATAAGGCAAATGTCCTTATTTGGTAGCTATATTACTATATAATATGGGGGATTATCACGGCATGAACTCGTTAAAGCGTTATTTTCCCGCCAATCGCAACACGTGAGTAAGCTGACGTGACATCAGGCCATATGACATCAGGAATTGAAACAATCATTTAGCTTTCTTTTAGATGAATTCATGATGATTCTAAGCAACAATTATCGAGGAAGTAAATAATTGAGAACTGCATGTTTAGAATTCTGTCTTCCAATTCAAAATTTTTAAAAACCTTCAGACTAGGCTATCCGTGAATCTGACTATTCTCTTTAACATCTCACACCAAGCCAACATATTTTGCTATGGCATTTGTGGGTTTTAGACTTTTAGTGTTTTTCATTGGAAATTTCGAAATCTCTTTTATCGGCTTCGTGTATAGAAACAAACGCTTGTTCTTGATCACAACTGATTTCAGTGTTTTCGTTTTATTCTGTGGGCATTACATTCTTGTTGCTTTTTTATTCATCCTCTAGCTTAAAGCTCTCGACTTTCGTTTAAAAATTTCTGATTTATGAATACAAAGAGTTCACTAGTAGACCAAAACAGACGATCTCTGATCGAGTTTTAAATTGGCAAAACTCACGATATAGAAGATACTTAGCGTTTCATTGTAAACATCTTTCTATATAGATCGAGTGCCCTTTGAGTGTAGCCTTCAGTTGGTGCCAATTTTGTAGTCCTCTGACGGAATAATATCCAATATCTGCTTTATATATTCAATAATGAAACATTGTGAAAACTTTCCTGAGATCTCTTCCATGCATTTAGGCTGATTCAATTAGGGCCATTCTCACTATCATATCTTAAACTGAAAACGGGATGTTGGGCCATTCTCACTTTCAAATCTTAAGCTGAAAAGGATGTTGGATGTAATTATCTAATATAGTTAATTTAAAATGCCTTTGAGATTACGGTTATTTTCTGTTCTGATTTATTTTTTATCGACTCGTTTCGCATTGTGTTCAAGGCCAAATTCGCGAGTTTGAAAAAGGCGGGAAAAGAATGGGCCGACCTTTCACGATAAACCTTCGTGTAATTTTCAGCTAAGCCGAATATGTTTGACCAAGATGTCGTTTTTTATTAAAACAGATAGCATTTGGTCCGGAAACTGTTGAGAAAATTGCCGGAAACTGCCTCGTTTGAATGCTTATCCAATCTCAATTTCTTCCTAATCCTTCTCGAGATTATCTCAATTTACGGCCTGTTCGTCTTGTCAATTTAAAGTCTACCCACCAAAATTCGCAAATATCTTTCAAAGTTCAAACTTGCATGAACTTCCAAGTTCCAAATTTCATCGATATGGCTTCCCCCAAACAGGTTTGTGAACTTGCCGTTTGATTGGCTACCTCTTTTTCTCGTAGCCAATCGGAGGCTTTGTTTACGACCCTGTCGTTGTACACTGTTTTGTCGCGATAACTGGACCGCCCACATACTGCGAGGCTCGTAGACACGCTTCAGAAGTGAGATGTTCGACTTCCGTACCACCACGAACGTTTTTGCAATGCACATCAGCGCTGCTAGGGTTACACACAGTTTTTGCTGAACAAAGCTGAGGTAAAGAATTTGCAAGATTTCATATCGTTTAGAAATAAGTAACCCTATGTTTATATAAAGAAATTTACGGCTCGTGTTTAAACTGCGAAGTTATAGAAAGAACGTCGCCGTAAAGCGAGGAATCTGTCCGAAAATCCCAACAGAGAACGGTTGGACCTATCGCTTGCATTTAGTTTTAACGCGTGTGCTGTTTTACAAACCTTTGTTTTATAACTATATAGTTTCCATATCTTGTACAGCAAGGAAGAAGTACAGGATAAAACTAAATTTATCTCCAAATTCTTCTCGTAGTTGATGGAAGTCAATCGTCGTTGGAAGCAAGAATATGATCTACTTAAGACGAAATATTTGAGGGAAAAGTCAGAACTTGAGGGAAAAAATAACTTGCTTACGTTGGAAGTGTCACGATTGCAAAACGAACTTGCTAGGCTAGCTAAGGCGGTAGCCGAGAGGCCTCGCGCAAAGCTAGACTGCTGTAATGGACACACGGAGCAAGGTTGTCAAGAAAATGGAAACGTGACTAATGAGTTAATCAAAGAACAGGTATGCATAGAGAGAAATGTTTATAAATCTCTAATTTGAATTCTTAGCTACAATACATTCATAAGTTGGATAGCAACTATGGTTACCTCTAAACGGATTGTGGGCACGGCCACAAATTGCCAGTTCTCAACAATAATAGTTGGTTTGCAAGATCATCACAAACAGAAATAACTTATTTCCATGATTATAATCAGTTAGAACCACTCGCGTTAGTTGAAAAACCATCTATAAAAGACCCTTTCGAACGTTAGGACACTGTTGGTGTCCATATATGTATAAAAAATGCTACGAGAAATGTCAGGGTAAATGATTCTCAAGTCGATTCGTATTACTAAAGCAAACAACTGCATGCTCTTAATAAGTTCAGCGCTTTATAACAGGAAGAAATAGAGCCGGATGATCTTATGAAACTCTCTCTCGTCCGGTATGCTCACGCCAGCACGCACTCATAACAGGTGACCACGTAGCCTATAGTCCCCTTTTTTTTTTCTCCTTCCCAAAATGAAATTCGTGTCTGTTGCAAAGGTAAACTCATGGGTATAAACAGGAAAATAAGGTGTTGAAATTAGCTGTCAGATTATTATCAATGCTTCGAGTTGCATGTTCAGTCAATTTTCTTCCTGAATCCTGACCTTGTGAAAGAGCTATTCATTATGTTGTGAGGAAGTTAATGTCATGTCAAAGAAAAAAAACACCTGATTTTTTTATGCTTGTGTTTGTGCTGCCGTTCATCGGCCCATCTTGGGTGAAATTGACAAAAGTGTTTGCTGGTTCGTTCCAAAGTCAAAATTCAACGTGGCAAAATCGTGTTCGCCTCTCAAATCCTACGAGATTGATTCATTTGATTGCACAGGGCTTAAGACCGTATACATAGAGCATACACTTTATTTATAATCACGATAACCTCAACAACCCCATTCGGGGCTGGTTTCCATAAGAGACGTGGATTTTTTTATTATGCAAAGTATATCGTATGAAAAAGAATTTAAATGATGTATTGCCTGGAAGTCGTTGTCATAAACGCTGCAGCGATATCGTGTGCAAAAAGGCACGTTTTCATCGATAATACGACTTCCTATTTCCTTGTTTGGCTTTTGATAAAAAGCTTTTTTATCGCGGTGCATCGGAAGCCGTTCCTTGCGATCCGTTGTCCATGCATGATTAGCGAAAAAAGGCTTCATTTCTTCTTTGCGAATTTACTTTGACAATACGTGAAATCTCGTAAAAGAGAGTAAGAGCTGGTGCTTCAAAGATCAGGCTCTGAGATCCAAGAATCCTAAAAAGCATTTCCTTTGGGAACTTTTTTGAATTAGTCGAGAACTGATGGATGGAATGTAGTTTGTTATTGACTTCAGTTAATATGCCGCTTATATACATTGCAAGTCGAAGAACTACAAAAAATTAAAAATCCATCAGAAGTGAATTGGATATGACAAAATTAGATCTTGTGAACAGACCTTTATGTATTGTATATTGATAATCAACTAAAGTTTAACATCATCTTTACATATTTGTGTTTATTTCCACTCCTATTAGTTGTTTTAACTAGAACTAAATGATTACATCATAATCATAGACATCCTTTCAGGCCTAAAATCCAATCTAAGTAATCCATAATCCTCTTCTTCAGATTATAATAATCCGTAAACCTATATATAGCATATCCAACTAATCCTATATATACAGAAGAATATCGCTAGTTCGTTTGTGAAATCACGTGAAATTTGAATCAACCAATCGCGTCTTGTTTAGCTTGCTGCCTACAAAGAGGATTTCAAACTTGAACATGAGGATAAAGAAAAAATTCAGTCAGAAAAGAAATCTTTACAAGAAACGTTAAATCAGTGTCAAAGACACGTACAGAGTCTTAATCAAGAGGTTTGTCACCACTTTTGAATTCGTCAAATTTTGAGGGGCTGTTTACATGAGCCCGGTTACCCGAGATTCAACGAAGCGTGAGATGATTTTGAGGTATTGAAATGAACAGATAACATGATCTTGGCAGTCGTATAATCACCACAACAATAGCATGTACTTGTTTGATGTCATAAAGACTTATTTTAATACCTCAAAGTCCTCTCACGCTTCGTTGAATCTCGGGTAACTGAGCTCATGTAAACAGCCCTCTGAATCACCTTTTCATATCGCGTTTGTGAGTTGTCGGTTTTATTTCGCCGCCAGTCGCATTTGACATTGTTTACTTCAAAAAAAAAAGACCGTCTCGCCAATATTTCAACACTAATTCCCTTTTTTAGTTAGACGTATACAAAAAGGAATGCAAGCGGTTACAGGAGGAACAAGAGGGTAGTCGACGACGGGATATCAAGAGACATCCAAGTGTAGATAGGAGTAAATCGTATCCAGAGACTAGTTCCCTATCGTACAAAGAGGAACCTCTTGATCCCATGTCGTCCATAGCATTGCCGCCATCAATGTGCAGTAAGCGAGAGGGATATTTGAGCTTGCGAGATTTCCGTCACGAACAGTTGAAAAGAGTAAGTGACCAAACATGTCTAAACGTTTTCTTCCATTGAAAATGAAACCATCTACATCGAAATATTTCAGCTCAGTTGTTCAATAAATAGATAATTTTGTTTTCCGTTTTGAACTTATTCACCAATTTAAACGGTTTTCGAACAAACCGGCCCCAGACCACGTTAGTTAGGCAACGTAAACTCTGTTGAGTGCAAAACGCACTTGTCTAACGCTTTTTGGTCTTTTCCCAGGGTATTTTAGTTCGGAACCCTACCTCCCAAGGCAGACCTCTTCGTTCACCGACATACAATGGTGGTAGCTCTACTACGAGACGGCTGAGCGACTCGGCCCCACCCTCCCCTCCGACGTCGCCGTCGATCAACCAATCGCCTCGTAAGCCAGACACCAGCAGAACTTCGTGTTTGTGGTAAAAACCTCGGAATAGCCAACCATGGCGCGGCCTCGTGTAGGGCTACCGCGGAAAAAACACATTGTGCTTCTCAAACGATGCAACTGAATCATAACACGTACCTGTGACTATAGAAATACGTCATATCAAATCTCATATTCAACAGTTCTGATCATTCTTTGGCCATTTCTTGACGACTGGTGGTGATGGAGGGCTTCGCAATGCATCATGGGGCCGGCCTTTTTGGTGTGACGTCACACAAATATCGTCCTGAAGAGTCATCTAGAATACTTGATAGAAATACAGTAATCTGTGCTACCCAATTTATCCATCCGATTTATCGATGTGCGAAGTTTTTGCCTGTTTAAATGATTAATGAAAAATTTATTCCTTGATTAGGATTACGATTGGGATTTTGTCTCAGATTAGGAATATGGTTGATTAGGGTCAACCCTAATCATGAGTCTAATCAGCTCTAATCTAATCTCAAGGATTAAATTCGTGTACTTAGCGTTTACAGAACATGAAATTATTACATGAATTCTCTGGTTTTTCTTCTTGCCACAGCTACAGGCTATGATTCACTTGCATTTCAGATGACATTCAAAAACTCCACTATCTCGCTTATATGCAAATAGTTCATTCCAGTGTGGGAAATTCGCCTTCCTCGTGCAATTAGCCATTTTCCAAAGTCCCCGTTTCGCATCAAATTCAATATTCATTTCATAAAACAGCGTTATTTTATTTGGCTTGTAAATATATTGACGGTATAGTCTAAGATAGATGTGATTTTCATATTTCAACATCATTTTTAACCTTCCTGGCAACCTAGAATACACTGGGAATTTCTCATTCTGATAAGGGCTAACTCTTACAGATATGTATTTTATTTGCTTCGCGAGAGAGTTTCATATCATGTTTGGCTGAATTTCAAACGGTGCCACCACCACACGTGAAGACCTGTTTCCACTTGTGATTTTTGCTGCGATTTTCTTCTTTTGATCGATGTGAACGAGTGAATTAGTTACTGATGTTCAAATAGGAGCTCTTATACATCAGAACAAACGTAACTTATTACTCGTTCACATCTATCAAAAAAAGAAAATCGCACATGCATTAAATCCCACCTGAATTTGCAAGTGTAAACTGGCCTTAATATAATTTTACTATCATTCGAAGTGAACGACGTTAACTTGGGAATACTTAAATATTATACAGTATTTAAATATTGTAAATAACGTATATAAGTTATAGTACAATGCTTTATGAAATGTTTTGTTTATTGTTGTTCTTTTTTTACGATATATTTGAACAACTCCATTTTGCATTGATCATTTTCCTTCAAGGTTACTAAATACATTTCTTCGACGCGTTCAAATAACTTGTAGGACGCAGGCAACACAGTTTTTCACTTGTAATCAATAGTTCTAATGTAGTTAAAATTGAGTTCCACTGTTAGTAAAAATGTTGACTTAAGCATTAAAAGGCTATCGAAAAAAAACACATTATATAATGTGTCAGAACTCGGTAGATATTATATGCTTCAAGTTCAGCTTCGCTTCGGTATATAACATTCACAACACATTATAAAATGTGTATCCTTGACTGAATAGATCAATAATATGGCGTATCAAGTATTTCAATTATTTGAATTGTCAATATGGCGCTCATTGGTTTGAATTTCTGGCATATACAATCGCTTTCTCGCATTTGTTTTAGACGAGCTATTTGACTGACAAATGACCATATGCATGCAATTTCATTTATTTCAATTCATTCATTCGTTTTGCTTTTTGAATGCGTTTCTCAGCTCTTGGTAATCTTGAAATCCAGTCTGTTTCCAAACCACCTCATTCCACTTTGCCTGAATCATTTCTTTAGTCTTCTCATCCATCATTTCTCGTCCTTTAGTCGCAGATCCTGTGACGACCTTACTTCGAACCACTGTTTCGTCTGCTACACCACAAATTTTATTCCGATATTTCGATGAAATTGCCGACGAAAATTTCCTCTCGTTGCTCTTCATGAATTCAAAGGAACTCATTTGAACAGCTTTTTTAATTCTTTCGTCGTCTTCAATTCCTATGAACGATGCAACCTTTCTGACTGCGCTCTCCAAGTCGTCTTTCATGTCCTCGAAGAACAAAAACAAAACATTTGGATCGTCCCTACAGCAGACAAAATTATAAACCATTAGGCTGAGATTAAACAAGTTGCACGGTATTGTACAAACTGTGGTATCATTTTTCTAGTTGCTTCAGAAACCCTGGTAGGGAATATCCCATCAAACATGTAAAGGTTAAAAGATTATTTATGATAACGATTGGACCTGTGTTCAGCCACTTACCTGTGTTCCCACCAGCTCAGCAGGTGGGCAAAATATGGTGCAGGTCCCATTCTGTTTATTAGTTCTCGTGGGAGCGCATAATCTACTACAAATTCATGGAGGGAAATCTCTCCAGGTTGAAAAAACCAGCCTTTGAGATAGTTGAAGCCACTGCTGAAACAAGCACATGGCTCACGATAGATGACAATGTATTTAGCACCTTTGGGACACTCGGAATACAATGTGTGGGTCTTGAAACATCTAAAAATGAAATCAATGTAAGCTACTAGTTCAGTCTAGTTGAACGTTAAAGGGCCGTAATCTGCCTCTTCGACTCAACAAAGCCATACGTTCGTGCAACGTTGTCCTCGCGAGAAAAATCATTGTGACGTTCATCACCGGAAGGACTTGTTCGTTCCATTAATTCCTTTCGTGAAATCATTTTACAACATATAAACTGATAAATGATAACAATCATAACATTTGATACAAGCCCAGGGCCTTTGATTGAACTGAACTCTAGTGTTAACATATCATCGTCATAAGTATTGAAATCAAATATTGACAGGTCATTACCGTGGTTGAAAATTGTGCTCAGCTTCAAGATCTATCTCTGAATCATAAGCAGTTTCTAAATAAGGAACAACATCACTGATTTCATCAAATGACATATCTCCACCACTTCGAAGCTGGTGTAAGATCTGTTGCATCCATGTTGTGCCACATTTTGGCGAAGTAACAACGAACACATCGTCTGATCGCGGTTTAAAATTCAGACCGTAAAGTCGACCATGCTCTGAAACAAATTTCGATAGTCTTTGCTTCATAGCTTGAATTCCTGGATTTTCAACCGGAGATTTCTCAGAGGTCATTCTTTAAGGCTTTTAATTTCAGTAAGGAGAATACAGCAGTACATATGTTGCTTGCCTAAGCAACCTAACTTCAACAAATCTCGCTGTGTTACTGACGAATCAAATGTATGTAACTTGATACGGCCTTCTGCCAATATTATCTTACGCAATCATGAACAACCGTAACCATACCCTAACCTTGATGCGGCAGCGTAATTGTATCCGGTTCGCTTTTCACCATCATCCATACGTGAACAAGGCTCCATAAAAGAGGCTCCCCGGTTGGAGCATTTCATAATTCATTGGCTAAATTCATTGCCCATGTCACATCATTCTAAATTTCAGTATAGTTTATAGATTCATTGATGCATAGAAAAGACAAACAAAACGAAATTCAGTTCACAAAATATTGCAGGAACACCTAATCATTAATTATAAACACTGTTAGATTACTCCGACCAATTCGTAAAACCGATTTGCCATTTTGCCCTGGTGCATATTCTTGACGTGTCTGTGCATACGTAAATTGAAACTACAATAAAGCTAGTCACCATTTCGTGAAGCGAGAAGCTTTTTAATTAAATTCTACTTATGTCAGTCAATTATTTGTTGATTAACTACTTTGACCACACAAATTATCGTTAATTTAATACCATTTAATTATTTCATATTATAGTTTGCTGAGATAAAATATGATTTTTCTAATTAGATGTTATTCCATTTAGTTCATTCATTCATTCACTTTTCGTTTTGTTTTTTGAATGCGTTTCTCAGCTGTTGGTAATCTTGAAATCCAGTCTGTTTCCAAACCACCTCATTCCACTTTGCCTGAATCATATCTTTAGTCTTCTCATCCATCATTTCTCGTCCTTTGGTCGCAGATCCTGTGGCGACTATTCTACCTTCGGCTCCCTCAGGTAAACCAAAAATTTTATTTCTATATTTTGTTAGGCGCGCAAGAATAAATTTCCTCTCGTTGCTCTTCATGAATTCAAAGGAACTCATTTCAACAGCCTTTTTAATTCTTTCGTCGTCTTCAATTCCTATGAACGATGCAACCTTTCTGACTACGCTCTCCAAGTCGTCTTTCATGTCCTCGTAAAACAAAAACAAAACATTTGGATCGTTCCTACAAAATTGTAAGCGAAGCAAAGTTAAACCATCACGTTACAATGTGTCCCATAGTAATGTGCGGTACTGTGAATACTTGTGTCAGTGGAATTGCTCAACAGTAAAAGAGCATGTCATTAACCTGTGTTCCCACCAGCTTATCAAGTGAACAAAATATGAGGCATAATGCTCCATTTTGCTTTTTGGTTCACCAAGAGCAAGCGGAAATTCTTCCACAAATTCATGGAGGGAAACCTTCCCAGGTTGGAAAATCCAGCCTTTGAGAAAGTTGTAGTAACTACTGAAAGAAGCACACGGTTCACGGTAGATGACAATGTATTTACTATTTAGCACCTTTGGGACAGTCGGGATACCAAGCGTGGGTCTTGTAACATCTAAAAATGAAATCAATGTAAGGTACTTGTTCAGTCTAGTTGAACGTTGACTTTGGCTTCGACTCAACAAAGCCATTCGTTTGTGCGACGTGGTGCTAGCGAGAAAAATCGTTGTGACGTTCATCACCGGAAGGAGTTGTTCGTTCCATTAATTCCTTTCGTGAAATCCTTTTACCACTTATAAACTGATCAATGATAACAATCATAACATTTGATACAGGGCCCTTGATTGAACTGAACTCTAGTGTTTATCATCGTCATAAGTATTGAAATCAAATATTGACAGGTCATTACCGTGGTTGAAAATTGTGCTCAGCTTCAAGGTCTCTCTCTGTATCATAAGCACCTTCTAGGGATGGAACAACATCAGAGATTTCATCAAATGACATATCTCCACCACTTCGTAGCTGGTGTAAGATCTGTTGCATCCATGTTGTGCCACATTTTGGCCAAGTTACAACGAACACATCGTCTGATCGCGGTTTAAAATTCAGACCGTAAAGTCGACCATGCTCTGAAAAGAATTTCGATATTCTTTGCTTCATAACTTGGATTTCTGGATTTTTAACCGGAGATTTCTCAGAAGTCATTCTTTAAGGCTTTTAATTTCAGTAAGGAGAATACAGCAGTACATATGTTGCTTGCCTAAGCATGCAGCCTAAAGTCAACAAAACTCGTCGTGTTAACGAATCAAATGTATGTAACTCGATACGGCCCTCTGTCAATATTATCTTACGCAATCATGAACAACCGTAACCCTACCCTAACCTTGATGCGGCAGCTTAATTGTATCCGGTTCGCTTTTCACCATCATCCATACGTGAACAAGGCTCCATAAAAGAGGCTCCCGGTTGGAGCATTTCATAATTCATTGGCTGAATTCATTGCCGATGTCACAGCATTCTAAATTTCAGTATAGTTTATCATAGAAAAGACAAACAAAACGAAATGCAGTTTACACAACAATGCAGGAACACCAAATCATTAATTATAAACACTATTAAATTACTCCGACCGATTCGTAAGAACGATTTGCCATTTTGCCCTGGTGCATATTCTTGACGTGTCTGTGCATACGTAAATTCAAACAAACTACAGTAAAACTAGTCACCATTTCGTGAAACAAGACTGTTTTTTAAATAAATTCTGCTTATGTCAGTCAATTCTTTGTTAATTAAATTTTTGATCACCGACAAATTATCGTTAATTTAATAGCATTTAATTATTTCATATTATGATTTGCTGAAATAAAATATAATTTTTCTAATTAGATGTTATTCCATTTAGTTCATTCATTCATTCACTTTCGTTTTCCTTTTTGAATGCGTTTCTCAGCTGTTGGTAATCTTGAAATCCAGTCTGTTTCCAAACCACTTCATTCCACTTTGCCTGAATCATTTCTTCAGTCTTCTCATCCATCATTTCTCGTCCTTTAGTCGCAGATCCTGTGGCGACTATTCTACCTACGGCTCAGTCAGGGAAACCACAAATTTTATTCCGATATTTTGCTATGCGCACAGGAGTAAATTTCTTCTCGTTGCTCTTCATGAATTCAAAGGAACTCATTTCAACAGCCTTCTTAATTCTTTCTTCGTCTTCAATTCCTATGAACGATGCAACCTTTCTGACTGCGCTCTCCAAGTCGTCTTTCATGTCCTCGTAGAACAAAAACAAAACATTTGGGTCGTTCCTACAAAATTGTAAGCAAAAGTTAAACCATCAGGTTACAATGTGTCCTAGTAATGTGCGTTGCTGTGAATACTTGTGTCAGTGGAATTGCTCAACAGTAAAAAAGCATGTCATTAACCTGTGTTCCCACCAGCTCGTCAAGTGAACAAAATATGAGGCGCTCTCCATTTTGCTTTTTGGTTCTCCTCGAGCAAGCGGATATTCTTCCACAAATTCATGGAGGGAAATCTCCCCAGGTTGGAAAAACCAGCCTTTGAGAAAGTTGAAGAAACTACTGAAAGAAGCACATGGTTCACGGTAGATGACAATGTATTTAGCACCTTTGGGACAGTCGGGATACCAAGCGTGGGTCTTGTAACATCTATAATATTAAGTAATATATTATTAAGCCTCTTACAGACGAGCAAGTTTTTCTTTGACAAGTTTTATTTGTTCGTGTGAACGTGCCAACAAGTTTACTTTGACAATTTAGTTTGCAGCCGGCGATGTAATCGTACAGCGGACAACGTGAGCGCGTCTGTAAGAGACTTTACCGTGAGGCTCGCCGTTCTTCTGAAAGCAATTGTCGTTTCCAAACTGATATATGATTAGACTGGAATGTGCAAATTGAATGTCTATAAAGAGGGGGTTCTGTCAAGGACGGTCGACAGGTCATTACCGTGGTTGAAAGTTGTGCTCAGCTTCAAGGTCTCTCTCTGTATCATAAGCCGTTTCTAGGAATGGAACAACATCAGTGATTTCATCAAATGACATATCTCCACCACTTCGTAGCTGGTGTAAGATCTGTTGCATCCATGTTGTACCACATTTGGGCGAAGTTACAACGAATACATCGTCTGATCGCGGTTTAAAATTCAGACCATGAAGTCGACCATGCTCTGAATAAAATTGGGATGCTCTTTGCTTAAAAAGTTGCATTTCTGGGCTTTTACCGGCCGGCGTTTTCTCAAAAGACATTCCCTAAGGCCTGTTAGAAGGATGCTGCAGCACAACTGACGTTTGTCAAGCTTTCAAAACTCGCTCGTTGTGTTGCTATTTTACGGCGATAAGTGGGATGTTGTTTGAATCAAAGCCTCAAAGGTATGCAAATCCATACATTCCCTACTCAATATTGATTTCATGCTTTTATTGAACAATCATAACCTCTTCACATCTGCATACAACATCATCACGCGTAAATTTACCTGATGGAGCCGTAGGTAGCCAATAGTCGTGTAGAATAGATTGCCTTTACACAATATTGAACGAACAACAAATCAGAGGTGAATTATAAACACTATTAAATGACTCCGGCCGATATTCGTGAGGTAGATTTGCCCTGGCCGCAGTTGTATTAAAGGCTATAAAGTTAACTTTTAGCTGTAGTTAAGGACAGAAGTGGCCAATCAGTCTAGAGTTGCGTTTTTCTAAGTTAACTGTGAAAAATGTACTAACTCTACTGACGAAGGCCCTCAGGTTGAAACGTCAAGAAGTGTTTTGTCTATATCAGGCTGTTGCTATACCACATGTGATTCTAAGATTCTTAAGACATTTAGATTTAAACCACTCATAGTCGTTTGTATATAACAAAGTATAAGTATATAATAATTATAGTGCTTCCTGTAATATTCTTAATGTGGTGGGGGCCACATGTTTTTCAGCTTTTGGCTGTAATGTGTATTTACCCTCGTGAAATAAAGTTGCTATCTATCTATCTATCTATCTATCTATAATCATGAACAACTATGAACAACGTGAACGAAGGCTCCTGGTTTGAATATGTCATAATTCACTGGCGATGTTACATCATTCCAAATTTCAGTAGTTTGTAAATTCTTATTGATGCATAGGAAAGACAAAAACACATGCAATAGACCTTTTTAATAATGACGTCAAACGCGGAATGTCTAATATTACACGAAGTTTGTTTGGCTTGATAGTTTTGTGGAGCCAATCAAATTTCGTGTAACATCAGACTTTCCGCGTTTGACGTCATTATAAGAAAGGTCTATTAAAGGGGATTTTCCATTACCGTCGGCTTCACCCGCTCGGGTGAACGTGAACGTGCCAACAAGTTTTCTTTCACAATTTAGTTTTCAGCCAGCGATGTAATCGTACAGCGGAGAACGTGAGCGCGCCATTGCAAAATACTATAGTCCGCTGGCCAACCGCTTACAAGTGCTCACATTATGTGACTAGTTTTCTTGACTAATACAGACGAGCAAAATTTGTACTTTAAAATTTTTTTCTATAACAAGTTGTCAAGTACACTTGTTCAAAATCAAATGAACAAGTGTACTTGTCATAGAAAAAATTGTCAAACTTGGCCGTACAGACGAACAATTAAAACTTGTCATACAAAAACTTGCCATAGAAAACTTGCTCGTCTGTAAGAGGCTTCAAAAACAAAGCGTGCGGGCAAAGCTCAAAGAGACTGCAATGGGAAATTGCCTTTACACAATAATGAACGAACACCAAATAAGACGTGAATTATAAACACTATTAACTTTTAACTGTAGTTAAGGACAGAAGTGGCCAATCAGAGTCGTGTAGTTCTGAGTTATGAAAAATGTAGTTAAAGAGTTTTATACAACCAGCCCCTGGTGCATATTCTTGACGTGTCTGTGCATACGTAAATTCAAACAGTAAAGCTAATCACCATTTCGTGAAACAAGAATTTTTTTAATTAAATTCTGCTTATGTCCGTCAATTATTTGTTGATTAAATTCTTTGATCACCGACAAATTATCGTTAATTTAATAGCATTTATTATTTCATATTATGATTTGCTGAGATAAAGTATAATTTTTCTAATTAGATGTTATTCCATTTAGTTCATTCATTCATCCATTCATTCACTCTTTTATTCATTCATTTTCGTTTTGCTTCTTGAATGCGTTTCTCAGCTGTTGGTAATCTTGAAATCCAGTCTGTTTCCAAACCACCTCATTCCACTTTGCTTGAATCATTTCTTTAGTCTTCTCATCCATCATTTCTCGTCCTTTAGTCGCAGATCCTGTGACGACCATTCTACCTACGGCTCCCTCAGGTAAACCACAAATTTTATTTCGATATTTTGCTACGCGCACAGGAGTAAATTTCCTCTCGTTGCTCTTCATGAATTCAAAGGAACTCATTTCAACAGTCTTTTTAATTCTTTCTTCGTCTTCAATTCCTATGAATGATGCAACCTTTCTGACTACGCTCTCCAAGTCGTCTTTCATGTCCTCGTAGAACAAAAACAAAACATTTGGATCGTTCCTACAAAATTATAAGCAAAAGTTAAACCATCAAGTTACAATGTGTCCTGATGTGCGGAACTGTTATTACATGTGTCAGTGGAATTGCTCAACAGTAAAAAAGCATGTCATTAACCTGTGTTCCCACCAGCTCATCAAGTGAACAAAATATGAGGCATTCTCCATTTTGCTTTTTGGTTCACCTTTAACAAGCAAAAATTCTTCCACAAATTCATGGAGGGAAATCTCCCCTGGGTGGAAAATCCAGCCTTTGACATAGTTAAAGTAACTACTGAACGAAGCACATGGTTCACGGTAGATGACAATGTATTTAGCACCTTTGGGACAGTCAGAATACCAAGCATGGGTCATGTAACATCTAAAATATCAAGTAATATATTAGATAATACTGCGTGAAGCCGTTAGATATACCTTCTACCAGAAATCAACTGTCGTTCCTTCTACCAGAAATCAACTGTCGTTCCTTCTACCAGAAATCAACTGTCGTTCCTTCTACCAGAAATCAACTGTCGTTTCTAAACTGATAAATAATTACACTGAACAAGTGGCTCTGTCAAGGACATCAGAGGTCGACAGGTCATTACCGTGGTTGAAAATTGTGCTCAGCTTCAAGATCTCTCTCTGTATCATAAGCACTTTCTAGGAATGGAACAACATCAGTGATTTCATCAAATGACATATCTCCACCACTTCGTAGCTGGTGTAAGATCTGTTGCATCCATGTTGTGCCACATTTGGGCGAAGTTACAACGAACACATCGTCTGATCGCGGTTTAAAATTCAGACCATGAAGCCGGCCATGCTCTGAAAAAAAGTTGGATGCTCTTTGCTTAAAAAGTTGCATTTCTGGGCTCCCAGCGGCCAGCGTTTTCTCAGAAGACATTCTTTAAGGCCTGTTAGAAGGATACAGGGACATGCAACTGTCGCTTGTCAGTTGTCAAGCTTTCAAAACCTCGGTCGCTGTGTTGCAAACTTGCAATTTTACGACATGTGAGATGTTATTTGAATCAAAGGTATGTAACTCGATACATTCCCAGCTTCGTACCCGGTCCCAGGCGCTTTGATAGTGAAATATATAACGTTGCATTCAGTTATTGTACAGAGGTCAGCTGAAAAAAAGGCGAGCGCGCGGGGGTGCTTGACGTGGTTTTGTTTTGCCGACTTTGTCAAAACCAGCCCAAGGCGGCACCCCGCGTGACCTTTCATCATTATGCGACTTTCCAACGTCAAAATTGCGTATTTTGAAAACTTCTACCTGAGTGCAAATGCGGAGAGTTTACTCTTTGTTGAGTGAGTTGAGGCAGCAACAAACGGAACATATACTAAACCAGCATTTCAGGTTCTTTTTTGAGTTCAGAGTTTTCAGAGTACGGCTAAAACAAACATAGTCATGACATAAAACATACAAATAATCCTTATCCTGCATGTAAATCAATGCGAATACAACTATGAACTATACAAGCTATTTTTCAAAGAATGAAAACTTAGGATAGTTCTTTGAAAGCAACAACTTTTTTAATAGCTGCAATTTCATTTTAATAGTTTAATTCATTCATTTATTTTCGTTTTGCTTCTTGAATGCATTTCTGAGCTGTTGGTAATCTTGAAATCCAGTCTGTTTCCAAACCACCTCATTCCACTTTGCCTGAATCATTTCTTTAGTCTTCTCATCCATCATTTCTCGTCCTTTAGTTGCAGATCCTGTGGCAACTATTCTACCTTCGGCTCCCTCTGGTAAACCACAAACTTTATTTCTATATTTTGCTAGGCGCGCAAAAATAAATTTCCTCTCGTTGCTCTTCATGAATTCAAAGGAACTCATTTCAACAGCTTTTTTAATTCTTTCTTCGTCTTCAATTCCTATGAACGATGCAACCTTTCTGACTACGCTCTCCAAGTCGTCTTTCATGTCCTCGTAGAACAAAAACAAGACATTTGGATCGTTCCTACAAAATTGTAAGCATAACAAAGTCAAACCATCAAGTTACAATGTGTCCTGATATGCGGTACTGTGAATACTTGTGTCAGTGGAATTTCTCAACAGTAAAAGAGCATGTCATTTACCTGTGTTCCCACCAGCTCATCAAGTGAAGAAAATATGAGGCATAAATCGCATAATGCTGCATTTTGCTTTTTGGTTCACCAAGAGCAAGCGGAAATTCTTGCACAAATTCATTGAGGGAAATCTTCCCAGGTTGGAAAATCCAGCCTTTGAGAAAGTTGAAGTAACTGTTGAAAGAAGCACATGGTTCACGGTAGATGACAATGTATTTAGCACCTTTGGGACAGTCGGGATACCAAGCGTGGGTCTTGTAACATCTAAAAATGAAATCAATGTAAGGTAGTGTTCAGTCTAGTTGAACGTTGACTTTGACTTCGATTCAACAAAGCCATTCGTTTGTGCAACGTTGTCCTAGCGAAAAAAATCGTTGTGACGTTCATCACTGGAAGGACTTGTTCGTTCCATTAATTCCTTTCGTGAAATCATTTGACAACATATAAACTGATAAATGATAACAATCATAACATTTGATACAAGCCCAGGGCCCTTGATTGAACTGAACTCTAATGTTTATCATCGTCATAAGTATTAAAATCAAATATTGACAGGTCATTACCGTGGTTGAAAATTGTGCTCAGCTTCAAGGTCTCTCTCTGTATCATAAGCACTTTCTAGGAATGGAACAACATCAGTGATTTCATCAAATGACATATCTCCACCACTTCGTAGCTGGTGCAAGATCTGTTGCATCCATGTTGTACCACATTTGGGCGAAGTTACGATGAGCACATCGTCTGATCGCGGTTTAAAGTTCAGACCATGACGTCGGCCATACTCTGAAAAAAATTTCGATATTCTTTGCTTCATAACCTGCATTTCTGGATTTTCAACCGGAGATTTTTCAGAAGCCATTCTTTCAGGCATATGTCGCTTGCCTAAGCAGCCTAACTTCAACAAAATTCGTTGTGTTAACGAAGCAGACCGCAGACGTATGTAACTCGATACGGCCTTCTGTGAATATTATTTTACGCTATCTTGAACAAACATAACCTTATCCTAACCTTGATGCATAATTGTATCCGGATCTGCTTTTCACGATCATCCATACGTGAAAAAGGCGTGAACATAATTCATTGACTAAATTCATTGCTGATGTCACATCATTCTAAATTTCAGCATAGTTTATAGATGCACTGATGCATAGAAAAGACAAACAAAACGAAATTCAGTTCACAAAATAATGCACGAACACCTAATCATTAATTATAAACACTGTTAAATTACTCCGACCAATTCGTAAGAACGATTTGCTATTTTGCCCTGGTGCATATTCTTGACGTGTCTGTGCATACGTAAATTCAAACGACAGTAAAGCTAGTCACCATTTCGTGAAACGAGAAGTTTTTAAATTAAATTATGCTTACGTTAGTCAATTATTTGTTAATTAAATTCTTTGATCGCCGACAAATTATCGTTAATTTAATAGCATTTACTTATTTCATATTATGATTTGCTGAAATGAAACATAATTTTTCTAATTAGATGTTATTCCATTTAGTTCATTCATTCACTTTTCGTTTTGCTTTTTGAATGCGTTTCTCAGCTGTTGGTAATCTTGAAATCCAGTTTGTTTCCAAACCACCTCATTCCACTTTGCCTGAATCATTTCTTTAGTCTTCTCATCCATCATTTCTCGTCCTTTCGTCGCAGATCCTGTGACGACCTTACTTCGAACCACTGTTTCGTCTGTTACACCACAAACTTTATTCCGGCGTTTGGCTGAGCGCGCCGTCGCAAATTTCCGCTCGTTGCTCTTCATGAACTCAAAGGAACTCATTTCAACAGCCTTTTTAATTCTTTCGTCGTCCTCAATTCCTATGAACGATGCAACCTTTCTGACTGCGCTCTCCAAGTCGTCTTTCATGTCCTCGAAGAACAAAAACAAAACATTTGGATCGTTCCTACAGCAAACAAGATTATAAACCATTAGGCTGAGATTAAACAAGTTGCGCGGTATTGTACAAACTGTGGTATCATTTTTCTAGCTAGCTACTTGCTTCAGAAACCCTGTTATGGAATATCCCATCAAACATATAAAGGCTTGACTTAAAGTTTATTAAAGTTGGTCAAAAGATTATCACATTCAGGTACGAAGGTAAATTGTTTACAAAACGACTGACAAAGCTGTAAAAATCCATTCCAAATTTACTCCCGTTTAAAGAAAGCGATTGGACCTGTGTTCAGCCACTTACCTGTGTTCCCACCAGCTCAGCAGGTGGGCAAAATATGGGGCACTTCCCGTTCTGTTTATTGGTTCTTCCTTTGCGAACACAAAATCTACTACAAATTCATGGAGGGAAATCTCTCCAGGTTGAAAAAACCAGCCTTTGAAAAAGTTAAAGTAACTACTAAAACAGGCACATGGTTCACGATAGATGACAATGTATTTAGCACCTTTGGGACAGTCGGAATACAATGTGTGGGTCTTGAAACATCTAAAAATGAAATCAATGTAAGATACTAGTTCAGTCTAGTTGAACGTTAAAGGGTCGTAGCCTGCCCCTTCGGGCTTCGCTCAACAAAGCCATACGTTTGTGCAACGTTGTCCTCGCAAGAAAAATCATTGCAACGTTCATCGCCGGAAGGACTTGTTCGTTACATTAATTCCGTTCGTGAATTCATTTAACATGAACATATAACCAGTTTATATGTTCATGTCAAATGATAAAATTTGATGTAGGGTCGTTAATTGAACCGCCGCAACCGCGCTATCAACCGTGATTGAACTGAACTCTAGTGTTTATCATCGTCATAAGTTATATGAAATAAAAGGTCGACAGGTCATTACCGAGGTTGAAATTTGTGCTCAGCCTCAAGATCTATCTCTAAATCATAAGCAGCTTCTAAATAAGGAACAACATCATAGATTTCCTCAAATGACATATCTCCACCACTTCGTAGCTGGTGCAAGATCTGTTGCATCCATGTTGTACCACATTTTGGCGAAGTTACAACGAACACATCGTCTGATCGCGGTTTAAAATTCAGACCATGAAGTCGGCCATGCTCTGAATACAATTTCGATAATCTTTGCTTCATAGCTTGCATTTCTGGACTGCCAACCGTAGATTTTGCAGAAGTCATTCTTCAAGGCTTTTAATTTCAGTAAGCAGGGCACAGGAGCACAGCTGTCGGCCTGTCACTTGCCTAGCTTCAACAAAACTCGTTGTGTTGCAATTTTACGACATGTTTATGCGTTTTCTAATGAATCAAAGACATGTAACTCGATACTTCCTTCAATCAATATTGATCGTACGCAATCATGAACAACTATGAACAACGTGAACGAAGGCTCCTGGTTTGAATATGTCATAATTAACTGGCGATGTTACATCATTCCAAATTTCAGTAGTTTGTAAATTCTCATTGATGCATAGGAAAGACAAACACATGCAATTTAAGGCGATTTTCCATTACCGTCCGTCTCAAGCCTTCACCTGAGCGGGTGAAGCCAGAAGCGGCTTTTGAACATGTGCCCATGCAACAAAGAGTTTTATGCAACCAGCCCCTGGTGCATATTCTTGACGTGTCTGTGCATACGTAAATTTAAACAAACTACAGTAAAACTAGTCACCATTTCGTGAAACAAAAAGTTTTTCAATTAAATTCTGCTTATGTCTGCCAATTATTTGTTACAAATGTCGAGAATTATTTCATTTTACGGTTTGCTGAGATAAAATATAATGTTTCTAATTAGATGTTATTCCATTTAGTTCATTCATTCATTCATTTTCGTTTTGCTTCTTGAATGCATTTCTCAGCTGTTGGTAATCTTGAAATCCAATCTGTTTCCAAACCACCTCATTCCACTTTGCGTGAATCATTTCTTTGGTCTTCTCATCCATCATTTCTCGTCCTTTAGTCGCAGATCCTGTGACGACCTTGCTCGGCACCACATCGTCTGGTATACCACAAAATTTATTCCGATATTTTGCTGTGCGGTACTCTGAAAACTTCCTCTCGTTGCTCTTCATGAATTCAAAGGAACTCATTTCAACAGCCTTTTTAATTCTTTCGTCGTCTTCAATTCCTATGAACGATGCAACCTTTCTGACTGCGCTCTCCAAGTCGTCTTTCATGTCCTCGAAGAACAAAAACAAAACGTTTGGATCGTTCCTATAAAATTGTAAGCAAAAGTTAAACCATCAGATTACATTGAGTCCTGATGCGCGGTTCTGTGAATACTTGTGTCAGTGGAATTTCTCAACAGTAAAAGAGCATGTCATTAACCTGTGTTCCCACCAGCTCATCAAGTGAACAAAATATGAGGCGCTCTCCATTTTGCTTTTTGGTTCTCCTCGAGCAAGCTCAATTTCTTTCACAAATTCTTGGAGGGAAATCTCTCCAGGTTGAAAAAACCAGCCTTTGAGGAAGTTGTAGAAACTACTGAAAGAAGCACATGGTTCACGGTAGATGACAATGTATTTAGCACCTTTGGGACAGTCGGGATACCAAGCGTGGGTCTTGTAACATCTATAATGTGAAGTAATATATTATTAAGCCTCTTACAGAGGAGCAAGTTTTTCTTTGACAAGTTTTATTTTCTCGTGTGAACGTGCCAACAAGTTTACTTTGACAATTTAGTTTGCAGCCAGCGATGTAATCGTACATAAAAACGTGTCATAGAAAACTTGCTCGTCAGTAAGAGGCTTTACGTGAAGCTCGCCGTCCTCCTGAAGGCAATTGTCGTTTCCAAAGTGATATATGATTAGACTGGAATGTGCAAGTTCAATGTCTAAAGAGGCTCGAGGTCAAGGATATCAGAGGTCGACAGTTCATTACCGAGGTTGAAAGTTGTGCTCAGCTTCAAGGTCTCTCTCTGTATCATAAGCAGCTTCTAAATAAGGAACAACATCAGTGATTTCATCAAATGACATATCTCCACCACTTCGTAGCTGGTGTAAGATCTGTTGCATCCATGTTGTACCACATTTTGGTGGAGTAACAACGAACACATCGTCTGGTCGCGGTTTAAAATTCAGACCATGAAGTCGACCATGCTTTGTATAAAATTTGGATGCTCTTTGCTTATAAAGTTGTATTTCTGGGCTCCCAGCGGCCGGCGTTTTCTCAGAAGACATTCTTTAAGGTCTGTTAGAAGGATACAGGGACATGCAACTGTCGCTTGTCAGTTGTCAAGCTTTCAAAACCTCGGTCGCTGTGTTGCAAACTTGCAATTTTACGACATGTGGGATGTTATTTGAATCTAAGGTATGCAACTCGATACCTTTCCAGCGTCGTACCCAGACGTTTTAATAGTGAAATATATAACGTTGCATTCAGTTATTGTATAGAGGTCAGCTAGAAAAAGGCGAGCGCGCGGTGGTGCTTGGGGTAGTTTTGTTTAGCCGACTTTGTCAAAACCACCCCAAGCACCCCCGCGCGACTTTTTATCATCACGCGACTTTCCTTTGAACGTCAAAATTGCGCATTTTGAAAACTTTTACCTGAGTGCAAATGCGGAGAATTTACTCTGTGTTGAGTGAGTTGAGGCAGCAACAAACGGAACATATACTAAACCAGCGTTTAAGGTTCTTTTTTGAGTTCAGAGTTTTCAGAGTACGGCTAAAACAAACATAGTCATGGCATAAAGGCATACAAATAAAAAACAAAGAACTGCTCAAAACAAGAAGGCGGTAAAAAAAACCTTCTCAAAACAGTTAAAATTCTCTCAAATGAACGTAACTGTCCCTCTAACAATATATACGAGTAAATATAGACATGCTGAGCTGAGTATAAAATATTCATATTTTGTTGACCTTCCTTTGGCCTTGATGACGGCCTTACACTGGAATGAAACTTAGAATAGTTCTTTGAAAGCAACCTTTGCTTAATAGCTGCAATTTCATTTTAATAGTTTAATTTGTTCATTGATCTCCGTTTTGCTTCTTGAATGCATTTCTCAGCTGTTGGTAATCTTGAAATCCAGTCTGTTTCCAAACCACCTCATTCCACTTTGCTTGAATCATTTCTTTAGTCTTCTCATCCATCATTTCTCGTCCTTTAGTCGCAGATCCTGTGACGACCATTCTACCTACGGCTCCCTCAGGTAAACCACAAATTTTATTTCGATATTTTGCTACGCGCACAGGAGTAAATTTCCTCTCGTTGCTCTTCATGAATTCAAAGGAACTCATTTCAACAGCTTTCTTAATTCTTTCGTCGTCTTCAATTCCTATGAACGATGCAACCTTTCTGACTGCGCTCTTCAAGTCGTCTTTCATGTCCTCGTAGAACAAAAACAAAACATTTGGATCGTTCCTTTAAAATTGTAAGCAAAAGTTAAACCATCAGGTTACAATGTGTCCTAGTAATGTGCGTTACTGTGAATACTTGTGTCAGTGGAATTGCTCAACAGTAAAAGAGCATGTCATTAACCTGTGTTCCCACCAGCTCATCAAGTGAACAAAATATGAAGCGCTCTCCATTTTGCTTTTTGGTTCTCCTCGAGCAAGCTGAATTTCTTCCACAAATTCATGGAGGGAAATCTCCCCAGGTTGAAAAAACCTGCCTTTCAAAAAGTTAAAGTAACTACTGAAAGAAGCACATGGTTCACGGTAGATGACAATGTATTTAGCACCTTTGGGACAGTCGGGATACCAAGCGTGGGTCTTGTAACATCTAAAATGTGAAGTAATATATTATTAAGCCTCTTACAGTCGAGCTAGTTCATTTGATTTTGAACAAGTGTACTTGTCATAGAAAAAATTGTCAAAGAACAAATTTCGCTAGTGTGCATGAGTTAACAAAGAAAACTTGTAAAAGTAATATGAGCACTTGTATGAGCTTGACCAGCGGACTGTTGTATTTTGCAGAGGGAGCTAGCATTAAGAAGCCTCTTACAGCAAGTTTTCTATGACAAGTTTTTATATGACAAGTTTTAATTGGAAATTGCACTTGTGTCTGTACAACAAATTTTCTTTGACAAGTTTTATTTGCTTGTGTGAACGAGCTAACAAGTTTACTTTGACAATTTAGTTTTCAGCCAGCGTTGTAATTGTACAGCGGACAACGTGAGCGCAACGTGAGCGCGCCATTGCAAAATACTATAGTCCGCTGGCCTGCCGCATGCAAGTGCTCACATCATGTGACAAGTTTTCTTTGTTAACTCATACAGATGAGCAAAACTTATTCAAATTGAAATGAACAAGTGTACTTGTCATAAAAAAAATTTGTCAAAGTTTGGCTTACAGACGAACAATTAAAACTTGTCACATACAAAACTTTTAAACTATTGTTAAATTACACTGATCCATACCGGTTACTACATTATTCAGAAATGAAATTTTAAAATGGCGCCTGTAAGCGCGTTTACGTTTTCCGCTGTACGATCACTTTGGTAACTGCAGTGAAGTAGATTGTCAAAGTAAATTTGTTGGCACGTTTACACGAACAATTAAAACTTGTCAAAGAAAAAATTGTTATCAAAATTTGTTGTACATACACAGTAGCGTAGCCAGCCTGACGATTTAGTCATGCTATGCAAATTTTATGTTATTATCATTATTCATTTCTTTAGAAATTCATTGTTTTCACAGTCAATGAACACCAAAATATTAGCATAGCATGACTAAATTGTCGGGCTGGTTACGCCACTGTACATACACACTGCAATTGCCAATTAAAACTTGTCATATAAACTGAAATTTTCATAGAAAACTTGCTCGTCTGTAAGAGGCTTTACGTGAAGCTCGTCGTCCTTCTGAAGGCAATTGTTGTTTCCAAACTGATATATGATTAGACCGTAATGTGCCCGTTGAATGTCTAAAGAGGCTCTGTCACAGGACATAAGAGGTCGACAGGTCATTACCGTGGTTGAAAGTTGTGCTCAGCTTCAAGGTCTATCTCTAAATCATAAGCAGTTTCTAAATAAGGAACAACATCATTGATTTCATCAAATGACATATCTCCACCACTTCGTAGCTGGTGTAAGATCTGTTGCATCCATGTTGTACCACATTTGGGCGAAGTTACAACGAACACATCGTCTGATCGCGGTTTAAAATTCAGACCATGAAGTCGACCATGCTCTGAATAAAATTTGGATAATCTTTGCTTAAAAAGTTGCATTTCTGGGCTTTCAGCTGCCCGCGTTTTCTCAAAAGACATTCCCTAAGGCCTGTTAGAAGGGACAGTGGCACAACTGTCACTTGTCAAGCTTTCAAAACTCGCTCGCTGTGTTGCAATTTTACAATATGTGGTATGTTGTTTGAATCACTGAAGCCTTAAAAGTATGCAAATCCATACATTCCCTACTCAATATTCATCTCATGCTTTCTTGCAACAATCATAACCTCTTCATATCTGCATATCTTCATACAGCATGATCACGTGGGTAGAATAGTCAAGTAGAATAGATTGCCTTTACACAATAATAAACGAACACCAAATCACCGATATTCATAAGGACGATTTGCCCTGGCCCTAGTTGTATTAAAGACTATAAAGTTAACTTTTAATTAAGGATAGAAGTGGCCAATCAGAGTCGTGTATTTATAAGTTAACTCTGAAAAATGTACTAACTCTCCTAACGAAGGCCCTCAGGTCGAGAAGTGTTTTGTCTATTTTAGGCAGTTGTTATACCACATTTGATTCTAAGTTATGAAAAATTTAAAGAGTTTTATACAACTGGCCCCTGGTGCATATTCTTGACGTGTCAGTCTGTGCATACGCAAATTTAACCAAACTACTGTAAAGCTAGTCACCATTTCGTGAAACGAGAAGTTTTTTAAATAAATTCTGCTTATGTCAGTCTATTATTTGTTGATTAAATTCTTTGATCACCGACAAATTATCGTTAATTTAATAGCATTTAATTATTTCATATTATGGTTTGCTAAGATAGAATATAATTTTTCTAATTAGATGTTATTCCATTTAGTTCATTTATTCATTTATTTATTTTCGTTTTCCTTTTTGAATGCGTTTCTCAGCTCTTGGTAATCTTGAAATCCAGTCTGTTTCCAAACCACGTCATTCCACTTTGCCTGAATCATTTCTTTAGTCTTCTCATCCATCATTTCTCGTCCTTTAGTCGCAGATCCTGTGGCGACTATTCTACCCACGGCTCCCTCTGGAAAACCACAAATTTTATTTCTATATTTTGCAACGCGCACAGGAGTGAATTTCTCCCCGTTGCTCTTCATGAATTCAAAGGAACTTCTTTCAACAGCTTTTTTAATTTTTTCTTCGTCTTCAATTCCTATGAATGATGCAACCTTTCTGACTGCGCTCTCCAAGTCGTCTTTCATGTCCTCGTAGAAAAAAAACAAGACATTTGGATCGTTCCTACAAAATTGTAAGCTAAAGTTAAACCATCAGAGTAAGTTGTAAGCTAAAGTTACCAGAGTCCTGATGCGCGGTTCTGTGAATACTTGTGTCAGTGGAATTGCTCAACAGTAAAAGAGCATGTCACTTACCTGTGTTCCCACCAGCTCATCAAGTGAACAAAATATGAGGCATTCTCCATTTTGCTTTTTGGTTCTCCTCGAGCAAGCGGATATTCTTCCACAAATTCATGGAGGGAGAACTTCCCTGGTTGGAAAAACCAGCCATTGAGAAAGTTGAAGAAACTACTGAAAGAAGCACATGGTTCACGGTAGATGACAATGTATTTAGCACCTTTGGGACAGTCGGGATACCAAGCGTGGGTCTTGTAACATCTGTAATATGAAGTAATATGTTACTAGAAATACATGCATGCAGCAACCCCTCGCATCGGTTAAACAAAATTAGTTAATGATTGTTAGAAATTTTATGTGGTTTGGGGGTTTTGGAGGGTACAGGGTACTTGAGAAATAGAAATTGAGAAAAGTATGGAAATATTTTTCTGCACGTGGAAACACTGTAGTCATAGCAACTTGCAACGGCCGTATAGTTTTAAAGAATCAAAGTTTACCCTCATATTTTTGTGAAAAAATGGCAAAAATACGACAAGATTATTACCTTTTTCTGGAAGTTAAGTTACTCATCTATAGTCAGTGTTATGGTAAATTATTTTAATTATTAAATACCATGAAATATAACGTCAGACGTCTCATACAGCGCTTCGACTGGTTTTTGTACGGGAATGTTTTCATTTTGTTTTCTTTTTGTCTTTAGGAAAACGGAGTTTATAAATAAAATTATAATGTCGTTTATCACATAACACATTCAGATTTATAGTGAAATACATTTGAGAATATTAAAGTTGTGTTAGCCACAAAAGAATTACTTTTTAAAGCTGCGCCGGATGAAATATTATGAAGTGTAAAATCTTCCGACTTCATTATACGCGGTGAATTCGGTCGAAAATTTGGTCTTGTTATTTGTTAAACCGTGAAAAGTCCTGACCTCATTCGAGTTTCCCTCTAATTTAGTAAAAATAAATATATTCTATATTTATAAAAGTATAAATTTAAAAATTTCATCAAAATTTTGCTAAATGACAGTTATTCATTGACGTTTGAAAATACAAATTTTTGTCTCGACCAATCAAGAGCGTAGTAGTTCACACTGGCGCATGCGCATAACGTAGAAGACCGTCCATGGCGTGAGGTCCATTGCATAATGGCGGACGACTTTGATTTCGCATTCGCATTTCGTAGGTGTAAATATCCGAGCGGAATTAGTACCCTCGCACGGTGCTCCGCACCGGCTCGGGGATTACGTGAAGCTCGCCATCCTCCTAAACTGATATATGATTAGACTGGAATGTGCAAGTTGAATGTCTAAAGAGGCTCTGTCAAGGACATCAGAGGTTGACAGGTCATTACCGTGGTTGAAAATTGTGCTCAGCTTCAAGATCTCTCTTTGTATCATAAGCACTTTCTAGGAATGGAACAACATCATTGATTTCGTCAAATGACATATCTCCACCACTTCGTAGCTGGTGTAAGATCTGTTGCATCCATGTTGAGCCACATTTTGGAGGAGAGGCGACAAACACGTCATCAGATCGCGGTTGAAAATTCAGACCATGAAGTCGGCCGTGTTCTGAAAATATTTTTGGTGCTCCCGGCTTAAAAAGTTGCATTTCTGGGCTTCCAACCGGAGATTTCTCAGAAGACATTCTTTGAGGTCTGTTGGGAGGGAACTACACCACAGCTATCGCTTGTCTTTCTTTTAAAACTCGTTGTTTACAGTTTTACGACATGTTTGCCTTTTTGTAATTTAATCAGAGTTTTGCAACCCGATACTTTCTCTAATCATTATTCATCACGCGCTTTCAAGACACACATAATCATTAAATTACCGTATTTACTCGTTTGAGCGCCGCAGCGCTCTTTAAATTTTTAGAACTTCAGATGCGGCGCTTAATCGAGGGAGGCGCTCAATCGAGGGCGGCGCTTAATCGTGGGCGGTGCTCAATCGAGGGCGGCGCTCTTTAAACAATATTATTTGTGAATTGTAACAAGAACTTTAAACAAAAAGAATTGAAAGTTAGATGTAGCAAAATGTTCCCATATTGACAGCGAGCATCTGGACATTTTACAGAACGGCCTCTTGAAAATCAGCCTAGACTGAAGAGCTACCGTTGTTAAAGAAATTCTAATGATAAACCTCCTCGCACAAATCACTGGAATCTTTGCCTTCAAGACTGACCTGCGCCTTACGAAAATTTTAAAGACCGATTTAACAATAGCGTCTTCAACAATTCTGACGGTGCGTCGATTAGGCGCCGAATTAAAAATAATTAGTCACGGCGCTCTTTAAGGAAAATTTATCGCAAATGCGGCGCTCATTGGGGGGCGGCGCTAAATCGAGTAAATACTGTATCTATAAAATTTTCTTCAAAATTATCCGGTTCGACCAGTTTGTCTGCCATCCACAAGGCCACAACATACCAGGCGCAGTGAATCACGCTCCTGGTTTGAATATTTCAAAATTCGCTGGCGATGTTATACAGTTTTCCCAATTTCACTAGTTTTTAAATTTTCATGGATGCATAGGAAAGACGAGATCAGAAAGACAGATCTCTCTACGCAATAATGAACCGAGACCCCAAGACGAACAACAAATCAGAAATTGATGGACACTTACTGAACTTGCTTCCGTGCACACAAAAAAGTAGCTTGGAAACGAGGCAGGCAATAAAATCTAAAATTTATTGGATGGTTTTCATTTTCAAGTGTCTATTATAAACACCATTGAATGAGATACTATTTGATTATTTCATGGATGACTGTGATTACTGAGATAAAATATAATTTTTCTAATTAGATGTTATTCCATTTAGTTCATTCATTCATTTATTCATTCATTTTCGTTTTGCTTCTTGAATGCGTTTCTCAGCTCTTGGTAATCTTGAAATCCAGTCTGTTTCCAAACCACCTCATTCCACTTTGCCTGAATCATTTCTTTAGTCTTCTCATCCATCATTTCTCGTCCTTTAGTCGCAGATCCTGTGACGATCTTGCTTGGCACCACATCGTCTGGTATACCACAAAATTTATTCCGATATTTTGCTGTGCGGAGCTCTGAAAATTTCCTCTCGTTGCTCTTCATGAATTCAAAGGAACTCATTTCAACAGCCTTTTTAATTCTTTCGTCGTCTTCAATTCCTACGAAAGATGCAACCTTTCTGACTACGCTCTCCAAGTCGTCTTTCATGTCCTCGAAGAACAAAAACAAAACATTTGGATCGTTCCTACAGCAAACAAAATTATAATGATTAGATTTATCTATTCTTATCAACGACTTTATCTTCCTCATGGGGTATAACATTTCCTTTGAGATCAGAGAGAACAATCAGGCTTCAAATTTTTGAAATTCTGTTGTTGGTAAGGTATGGTCTCTTGGTAAGGTAAGGTCTCTTGATAACCCTCTCCTTGTCAAAGCTTGACACTTCTGTCTTCATGATAACACTATGTTATTACAGAAGGGAAGGGAGTGCATGGGGAGGTATGCTGAACAAACATATCAAAACATAGTCTGGAGGCCTACGTACTTTGCCTCTGGACTGAGTAGATTCCCCTGGGTGTATGGAGGATGGACAACCCCTCAAGTTTCACCAAATTGAGCTGTACCTGTGTTCCCACCAACTCAACAAGTGAACAAAATATGATGCATTCTCCATTCTGCTTTTTGGTTTGCCTCGAGCAAGCAGAAATTCTTCTACAAATTCATGAAGACCAACCTCCCCAGGTTGGAAAAACCAGCCTTCAAAGAATTTATAGAAGCTACTGAAAGAAGCGCATGGTTCACGGTAGATGACGATGTATTTAGCACCTTTGGGACAGTCGTCATACCAAGCGTGGGTCTTGTAACATCTATAATTATGAATTGGGAATGAGGTAATTATTCTACTGTCAGTTGGCTTTATCAAGTCAAATATGGTAGAGAGAATCCTTATAGAGGGGAGATTTTTTTTCAGGGTGAAAAATGATAATAGGTACTCAAATCTGTCAACCTCCAAAAATTTAGAATATCAGATTATTCAGATATTGGTAGATTGGCTCTTACCGTGGTTGGAATTTGTGCTCAGCTTCAAGGTCTATTTCTGTATCATAAGCAGCTTCTAAATAAGGAACAACATCACTTATTTCTTCAAATAACATATCTCCACCACTTCGTAGCTGGTGTAAGATCTGTTGCATCCATGTTGTGCCACATTTTGGTGGAGTAACCACAAGCACGTCATTAGATCTTGGTTTAAAATTAAGACCATGAAGTCTGCCATGCTCTGTCTCAGATCCGGAAGCTCTTTGCTTCATTAGTCTTATTCCTGGACTTCCACCTGCAGATTTCTCCAAAGGCATTCTTAAAAAATTTGGAATTCCCAACTAAAATGAAACATCAGATGTATGTTGGTAATCTCGGTATAGTACCTTGGCTGTCAGTGGTACCTTGGTACTGGCTGGATCGTTTGGTATACCAGATGTGGGTGACTGAAGTTTTCAGAATTGAGCTGAACCAATTCATCTTGCCAGAACCAAGTGATCATTGACAACCAAAATCTTAGACATTCTAAATCTTTTGGTAAATATTCTATTTCTATAATTGTTTTTAGCAGTGGCATAGCTATCATCGATAATTAGGGGTCCCATTCAAATATTCATCTTAACGGACTGTAAAGACAATTGTTTTGAAAAGAAATTAATCATCAGTGCGTATCATTAACTGTGGTATCATGAATATATGAATATGCCCCCCCTCCCCAATTATCATGCCCCCCCCCCAATTATCGTGCTGGTCAGCCACTGGTTACGCAGACCAGTTGAACTATGGTTCCATGACCATCTTTGGTACCACATGAAGTACAATAAGAATATAAATATATTCACCTGAGTTAAAAACACCACCAATCACCAATTAGGCCTGAGATGAGTATCCAAATAAATGCACCATCCAGTTTTACCTGCGAGACCACTGACTGGTACGCTTGCTATTGCGCATCCAGTTTAAATTTGCGATCAGTGTTGCGGCGGTACACTGTCCAGTTGCATCATCGCGATCAGTGAAAAATCAGCGCTGAATAATAACCTTTTTTTCCGATATGCCGCTAGACAAGTAGATTCGCCGTCGCCAATATCACCATATATGGACAGTGTTTTCATTTGTTTCAAGTCCCGGATGTTCGGGCACCTCGTGTTGTTGTTTTCATTTGAAAAACAAATCCGACCGCTTGCTATTGACGGCTAAAATAGAAAAAAATCGTATTTTCTTTTGCGAAAAACATGGATGTACAGAAGCCAGACCACGAGGACGATGCGTTGGCATTGCTCGCGTTAAAATCTGGGGTCAACAGTAACGAGAAGGCAGTATGGTCGCCTGTGAGCCAAGTCAAACCTATCGCAAAGCTGGAAGGTCGCGAGTTCGAATATCTCGTCCGCCAAAATCGTATTTCTATCGGTAGAAACAGCAGTTTGGGAAATGTGGATGTCAACATGGGTCATTCGAGCTTTGTTTCGCGAAGGCATCTTGAAATTACGTTTGATTCCAAGAGCTTCTTCCTGAAATGCAACGGGAAAAATGGTGTTTTCGTGGACGGCACGTTTTTTCGCCGTGGTAACTCGCCTCTTAAGCTGCCAACAACGTGAGTGCTTTGTAACGCATTTGATATTTCTATTTTGTTTGTTTATTTGTTTGTATTTACCTCCGTCGTTTACTCGTCGTTTAGGTGTGTGCTACGATTTCCCTCGACTAACGTAAAAATCTGGTTCACCTCGTTATTGGATGAAAACGTTCCTCGGCGAGTGCCAAGTCCTCCAAAGAAGGCAGCTAAACCTTCGCTCAAAATCAAAATTCCCGACGCTAAATCTACTCCAAATTCTCCGGTTCCCTCTCCGACGGAAACGATAAGGTATGCGAGGCCCTTTTGGCATGTTTTTGCATCGTTTAACATCAAAACAATCCTAAAAACGATCTTGTAAACGAATCATTTATTTCCCTAACCGCTACATTTCTGGTTTGTTTGTTGTTATGTGCTAATGAGGTCACATATTTTGAAAAACGCATTTCATTGCCGGGCTGTTCATTTTGCTTCGGGCCGTATGCACGGGAAATTGCCGTCGAGAGAAGGCTGAAACATTTGAGTAAAAGCTTTTTGCAACGGCGCGAAGTTTTGCTGCGAAAATGGCCTTTGTTTTGAAGTCTTTCCGCGTTATGTCATGTCACCATATAAACAAAACGCACGATTATTGCGAAATCGGTTTTTTTCGACGAGCAACCAAATTGTTGGAGTGTTTGCATCTTGTGTAAACAATATCAATTGCCTAAAGATGTGTAATATTACAAAGCTATCACCATTATTACAAATATATTGAGGTGGTTGTACATCTGAACTTGCATCGCACTGACATTGCACGGCGAAGCAAAAATTACACAATTAAAAAAGTAAACATTAAAGTACAATGTTTATACATATATCTAAGTGCGTACAGGACATCGTAATCTGGAGATTTGTACCATATTATTGTCATCTCAAAGTTGTCTACTCAGCTACTTTTGATATAGGATTTAAAGACAAATATAGTTGAATGAAATTATAGAGTTGAACGAAATTATAGAGTATTTTTTTTCTGACTCAGACTGGGGTAACCCCTCAGGAATCATGCCTCGCAGCTGCTGTTGTGTTTATGCTGCCCTGCACACAAAATGAACTTAAAAAATGCCTAAGAAAATCTCTACTGTCCTGTAGTGAAGGAGGTCGTTTTGCTTTGAGGGAAAAAAGTTTGTTATAGATTGGTTTTATTGTTTATTGCCCCTTTTCACAAGGGGGACCCTCCATATTGTATAGACATAATAAACAAGAGTCCCTAAGCCCTCCCCTGGGGTACATAATTATTGTGTACCTATGCAAGGTTTACCAAATTAGAACGATTCAGGCATTTGAAATTTGATTTAACCCTTTGGCTTGTTAGACAACTGTTTTTGGTCCACATATGCAATGTCATTTTTATATGGTCTTCCTAAACCTTACTATTCAGATATGCTAGCATAATGCAACATATGTCTACAAATTCTTGTCGAGTTTGTTATACCACGCTTGATGAAAAGTTGTTCCAAGACTTTACAATGCTACAGCATAGTTACACACTGGTTATATTGTAATGTAACATTTGTAAACCACACTTTCAAGTTTCAATATTGAGTACATTATCTGTCATCTTTTATTATTGCATACATTCCCTCGGTAAAAAAATCATCTAAATCTCAACCATATTCAATATTTTTGTATTCCTGCTTGACTCTGACCATTCTTTTCCAAAATCCTTAGTGTTCCCAACTCATGCCCAACTAGTCCTGGAACAGGAAACAGTGTAAGCACAACACCAAGTTTTCTGGAAGAAACCACAGAGGTCATTGAGGAACAGCCTAGCACACCAAAGAACGAGAAAAAAGACAACAACTCGTCTGGTAAAGAGGATGGAAAACCACCATACTCCTATGCTCAGCTGATCGTTCAAGCTATTCTCTCTGCCATGGATAAGCAGTTAACTCTCAGCGGCATCTATAATCATATCACAAAGAATTATCCGTACTATCGATCGGCTGACAAGGGTTGGCAGGTAGGGTGGGATGAAATATTGATGTTCATACAGAACTGGTGCTAATTAAGGTTTAAATGGGGTAGTTTTTGTACAAACAGGACCTTCATTACTTTTGCAAATTATTTCGCTATCCTTACTCCTGAGATTCTTGCTCAGAAATTGCTTTTTGCTAAAGCATAAGCTAATAATGGTACGTCTTTTACAAATGTACTCATGTACACTGGATGTACATACTCATTTAAGTACCAATTTTTCAACACAGAATTCGATACGGCACAACCTGTCGTTGAATAGGTACTTTGTAAAAGTGCCCCGAGCACAAGACGAACCCGGCAAAGGGTCTTTTTGGAGAATTGATCCAAGCTGCGAACCGAAGTTGGCGGAACAAGCTTTTAGAAAGAGGAGGCAGCGAGGCGTACCTTGTTTTAGATATCCATTTGGAACGCTATCATCAAGGTGAGTCTTGCCTGCATGTCTGGGTTTTTGGGGAGTAGGTGTGGGTGCACCCTCTCTCTTCCCCTTGGAATTGTGTTGTATTGAGTTGAAGGTAACAATTTTCACAGGATGTGTGGTAATCTTTTTGTTGTATTTTCCAAGGTCTGCACCAGCTTCGCCAACTCATGGCCTACAATATCCTACCATGCCTAGCAAATCAACCAATCAGACGGCTGTGGTCACCACAGAAGTCCTCCAACCACCCTCCTTACCCAACACCCCGATGACCACCCTCATCACCCAAACCCCCGGTGGCAACCTGTCGTACACAGGTGTACCCCATGTGCAGCATCTCCTTCCAACCGTCAGCTCACCCGGGGGCAAAATCCAAACAGTCACCCTGCAACCCTCCGGGATACCAGTGGTACCGGTGAAACAAGAGGTGATGAGGGTCCCCACCTCTGATAAGGTGATAGTCCAGAATGCAGAGACTCTGGTCAAAGTTACCAACAAAACTCCCATGTCGGCAGCAATGCAAACACTTCAAAAATTAGCGCCTGTTTCGACTGCTGTTCTTCCTGGCTCAGGTAAGTGGTATGATCTTCACTAATTTGTAAACTTCTCTAAGTTATTTCCAACTAAGTTCACTTCTTTCTCTAAAGCCTTAGCATGAAATTCAGCATGTTGTGCCTGTGCCTCTTTCTCATCAAGTTCTTGTTCTAACTGGTTAATTCTTTCTTCAATATTCTATGGTCGCATTATAGAAACACTGAAATTTTAAGTATTCATGGTATCCCATACTCGATAATATATTTTTATTATAATTATATTCATCAGTGGGTCTGGCATAAATCATCAGAAATTATCATACATTAGCATACATAAAAGTGTTAGCAGTATATATACAAAAAAATACAAATATGAAATATATATTCTTCATGGAATTTTTTTAATTTTGTACATCATACAACATGATAATCGAGTATACAATACGATCATTTTTCACAGCGTGTTTCCATCAACATTGTGGGTGTATTTTAAATTTTAATTTCTTGTTTAAACCAGTAGGGCTTCTAACCCCGGTGCAAACCCCCACCGCCCTGTCCTCCGTCGCCGCCGTTACAACGGACCAGCAGCAGCGACCCAACAAACTTCAAATTCGTCCACCGCCTCCCGAGACCACCCTAACCCCGGAGACCTCGCCCCTCGGTGTACTTTCGCCGGCCGCTACAAACGCAGCCGTAAGCCTGGTAATGAATAGCGTGAAACGACCATTTGGCATGGGAAACCTGCCGGATATCTCCGAGGAGGAGCCGATCATGAAACGATACAGGGAGAGCTCGGAGAATGGCATTTTGAAAGATGAATTAAACGGCCAGCAGCCTAATGATAATGGCGCGTCGTAACTAGAGAATTACTCTTTAAAAGACATTGTCGATCAAATTTGGGCTTAGTTGCGAAAGAACTTGTCCGAAAGCAATAAAGACTTGAATGTCTCTCTAATTCTCGCTTTTTTGAACGTCAAAAGAGGTAATTCTAGCTTTTTCCAAAGAGCGAAAAGTCAATTAAACGGACACTCAAAATTCTACTACACTTCTCTTAGCTTAGAAGCTTAGATTTTACTTTCGAACCCTCGAGCTTGTTGAGACATTTTAAAGATTTTTTCGTCTTTTTTCACTACACGAAACAGCTTTACAAGTACGAGTTCCTTCAAAGGAACATTGCGACGCTAAAGTTTATCGGCAATGTCTTTTAAAGGATATATGTTCACTTTTTTAACCACCAAATAAGAGGACGCGTCGAATTCTGCTAAAGTCTTTGCTCGACAGAAAGCTTTTACTGCTCAGAAAAAGAACAACGAATCTCGCAGCGACAGATCTCTTTAATATAGCTGGACTGTAAAAAACGGCGAAATTATACGAAATTGTAGCCCACGAAATGGTTAATCACGATTCTGATGGAGTGTCGCAATTAATGGAATGGCAAATGAAACGAACCATATTCAAACATTCTTCGTATAATTCCAAGAATCGAAGAGCCGGGAGCAAGCAGTGTATATGTTGCTTTTTTTCAAAACAATTTCTCCGTGTTTTTATTAAATAATTATTTCACCCGGCTGTGATAATTGCATAACGGATTTCTCCTGACTCGTAATGGAGGAAGTCCTGAAGTATATTTAGTAATTTATTGTGAAAAGTTACCATGGAATAGAAACTATAACTATCTCTTAGATCATTGTAGATGTATTTCTTATAATATGTAAGCGTTGAGCTTCTAAAGCTGTTGTATTGTTGAGAACGAAGAAAAATAAATTTATTGACCGAATACAACTACGCTTTGTTTGTTTTTTATGATTGCTTTTGTGTCTCTGTTGAAGATCAAGTGTAAATTGTCTTTGTGGTGTTGTTGTTGTTGATCTTGGTGTTTCTAGTGTTGGTGTTAACGTTCTTGTCTCTAGTGTTGGTGTTTTTGATGTTGTTATTGCTGTTGATGATGCTGTTGTTGTTGTTGTTGTTGACGCTGGTGTTGTTAATCTTGGTGTTTCTATTGTTGCTGTTATTGATGTTGTTATTGCTGTTGATGATGTTGTTGTTGTTGTTGACGCTGGTGTTGTTAATCGTGGTGTTTCTATTATTGGTGTTGTTGATGTTGTTATTGCTGTTGATGGTGGTGTTTGTTGTTGACGCTGGTGTTGTTAATCTTGGTGTTTCTAGTGTTGGTGTTGTTGATGTTGTTATTACTGTTGGTGATGTTGTTGTTGACGCTGGTGTTGTTAATCTTGGTGTTTCACGTTGTTTCTCGTACATGTTACTGCTGGTGGTATTATTGTTGTTGTTGTTTATGGTGTTTGTGTTGGTGTTAGGGGATGATTTTAAAGCCTGTGTTACTACAAAATCATTTATTGCAACCCTTACAATCGTCAAAAATCTCTTCATATCTAATGCAAGCTAAAACCTAGCCACCTCGCAACTTGAAACATTTTAAAAAGAAGAATATTAGCCATATCAAATATCAATTCACGCATATCCGGCAACCTCGATCCAAGGTAATCTTTCAAATTTTAACTCGTACAAAACAAAATCACAAAATAATCATCGAAGTTTTGTACTCGTAAAACCTGGGCAAAGCGGTGCTAAACCTGAACATTCTGTATCGTGTGTCTAGTTTGTGGCTTATGGTAATATTTGTCTGCACCCTCCAGTCATTGCTGTTAATAATCTGTTCTTTCACGATCATAAATTCATTCGCAGCTTGAATGCATCGCGCGGTGAAATCTTGCGGCGTGCGCGCAACGAAGAATTGCAACTGCTTTGCATGAATTGCGTGTCTTATCAGTTCCTGCTCTTTGTCGGCGTCAACAATCGCCCGTCGTCTTTGTGTCAAGCGCTTGCTCCCTTTCAATATCGGAAAAAGTCGCGTCAACCGAGGGCTGGTGTCAACAGTAGTACGAGTGTCGAAAGAGACTCTTTGGCGTCGACCCATTGGCTTGCCTCCGTAAAACGTCAGCACAACTTTAAAAGCGCCATATTTTGTCTACAGGGCCAGAAAATTACTTCAGCAACGTTCTACTTCAGTACTAAGTAGTTCTTCCTAGAGGTCCAGTAAAGATCATCTCTTTTTGATCCAGTGTTGCTACAGGAGGAAACCTAAACTAAACTAACTTTATTTATACTGGATAGCTCTATCAGTTCTAAACTGTTCTTCCTAGAGGTCCAGTAAGGATCATCTCTTATTGATCCAGTGTTCCTGAATAGCTCTATCAGTTCGCATTTCACAAGCATCCCAACTCACTTTATTCGTGCTGGTTAAATCTTTCGTCTTCGTATCTTTTTTCTTCTTTCGTTTATTCATGACGTGCGAACTTTTCCCATATCTTCCTCTCAACTGAACTGCGTCATGAAATTGTGTAGACTCCGCTGAACCAAGCTTGCGACTCACTACCAAATCGTCGAATACCTTGGGATAAAAACGCGATCCAATCCAATTTTGTTGGATCCAATTCACTTTTGAATTCTGATGGATGTTTTATAATCTGTTGTCTTATGAGGTTTATGGGCAGCAAATGCACTGAAGCGAATGCAGTAATGCAGTACTGCTTTATCAAAAACAGACTATATTCCATACGTCAGAAGTGAATTGGCCTTTCTTGGAGTAGGGTGAGTGCGGCCTTTGCCCACCTTTCTTCCCCCTCTCTTTGCCCCAGAACAGCGTTGGTTCTTTTTCCTTCTCCCTCCAAGTAAAATATTTAATCTTAAGGTTTCTTAAATGCACTGGAATTGCCAGGATTTTAACATGAAAGGTCAGACGTTGGCGTCTTGGCGATCAAATGTAACTTGTCTTTGCACCTGAGTGAAGCTGAGTGTCTACTTGGTTTGAAAAACTCGTCCAAGTTCAACAAATCGGTGCAACTTGACGACAACCATGTTTGTGCTGAACATCACAGCATTGTTTAGCGTTTCCATCAAACAGGAACAAAAAGTGCGCTTTTCGTGTAGGCAAACACTTGAAAACAAATATGGTATTGAAAAGATTTTTATATTTCAACTCACTCGTATTAAAGTCCTCAACAAATATCCTTCGTCAACCCGCAGTCGTCCTGTCCAAACATGACTGTAGACGTAATCCCAGAAATCATTTTCGGTCAGAACGACCCCTTCCCCAAAGTCTTTGGTTGCATCAAACGGATCTTCCTCGAAAACCATGGATTCATGGGCGTGTACTCCTTCGATGGTCTCATTCTCCGAGGTCTCCGAGTCCCGATGCAGCAATGGGTCTACGTCGAAACGCACTCTTTTGTAGACTTTTCGACGCATCATTTTTGGCAACTTTTCAGCTGTCGTGTTTCGTGGCGTTGTTAACGTCATCTGATTAGACTGTTGCGCGCGCCACAAGATGAAAGGTTTTATCTTAACTGTTCTTCCTAGGCTATAGGTCCAGTAAGTATAACCGCTTATTGATCTAATGTTATTACAGCTAGGAGGAAACCTGAACTAAACTAAATTTATTTGTACTGGATAGCTCTATCAGTTCTAAACTGTTCTTCCTAGAGGTAAAGTAAGGATCATCTCTTATTGATCCAATGTTATTACAGGAGGAAACCTAAACTAAGCTAACTTTATTTATACTGATAGCTCTATCAGTTCTAAACTGTTCTTCCTAGAGGTCCAGTAAGGATCATCTGTTATTGATCCAGTGTTACTACAGGAGGAAACCTAAACTAAACTAACTTTATTTCTACTGGATAGCTTTATCAGTTCTAAACTGTTCTTCCTAGAGGTCCAGTAAGGATCATCTCTTATTGATCCAGTGTTACTACAGGAAATCCTATTAACTGTGAAACCTAAACAGTATAACGAACAAAAAGATTGTAAAATACAGTTGTTAATAATTTAAACATTAGGAAAATGTCGATGTTAATTTATAATACAATGTCAATAATTTTCATAAAATCAGGGTTTCATAATCTCCTAGAGCCCCAGTAAGCTATACCATTCACAAAAACTAAAAAAATAGAACTTAGGCTCAATATATAAATTATAGCTACCTATTCTGACTATATTTTACAAATTTCATAAACTATTTTATTATTTTAATTAGAGTCGTAACAAAACCGACTATCCCGGCTATTATTCCAAAAAGAATAAGAATTATATCTTTGGCAACGATAAGTGTTGGTAACGTATCTCGTTTTATTATCAAATGAAATGCACAAGGCAATATGAAAGCAAGAAGAGAACTGCCAATTGATCCGGACAAGGCAGAGACATATGCGTAGTAATTCCGGGAAACGTAAGCCACGCCGAATGCTATACACACCAGAATTGTACGAACGAAATTCCTCTTCCAGGTTGACCATCCCTGAAAAATTTGAATGTTAGTTATGTCCAAAACCCTTAGGGGAAGTTAGTTTAGTTTAGTGTAGGTTTCTTTCTGTAGTGACACTGGATTGTCAAAGAGATGATCCTTACTCGACCTCTAGGAAGAACAGTTTAGAACTGATAGAGCTATCCAGTATAAATAAAGTTAGTTTAGTTTAGGTTTCCTTCTGTAGTAACACTGGATCAATAAGAGATGATCCTTACTGGTCCTCTAGGAAGAACAGTTTAGAACTGATAGAGCTATCCAGTATAAATAAAGTTAGTATAGTTTAGGCTTCCTCCTGTAGTAACACTGGATCAATAAGAGATGATCCTTACTGGACCTCTAGGAAGAACAGTTTAGAACTGATAGAGCTATCTAGTATAAATAAAGTTAGTATAGTTTAGGTTTCCTTCTGTAGTAACACTGGATCAATAAGATATCTTTACTGTCTTGTTTTCATTTCAGAGACTAACCATATCACAGGAACACAGTCCCCTGGAATTCCGAACTAATACTGGGTTGACGCTTCCGTTATCGTTTTCTTCTCCAGATATTTCTTCTTCAGACGGGCTTATGCTTCCATATTGAACCACTACAGGTGTATCGGGTCGTAGGCCCGAATGTTCGCTACTGTAGCTAGCTGTAATTGTAGTTCGCTCACTTTTCTCTTTAAAAAAGAAATTCTCAGCGATTTGAACCACTGGAAATATTTGCAAGGGAAATGTGAAAAGTATTCCAATACATAAAGTAATCTGAACGACTATGGATAGTGTTCCGTAGGGAAGGTTGTCGCTTATTATTTGTTCAACTTCATCGCTGAAATGAATGTAGCCGAAGATTCCAAAAGTTCCGAGGATTATCGAGACTAGAGATATCGCGCAGTGAAGATACTTTCGAAAGTTTGGACGATTTTCTTTCATGCTCGCCTCGATGGGGATTATCTAATGTAGGCAAGAAGAATATAGGTGAGATTAAGAAAGTCATTGTGGGGTATTGTATTGAAAAAGAAGGGGAAGTCTTTTCGTTCATCCCTCAACCCCCTCTCCTCTTCAGTCCCCGTCACATCTATCCCCCTCTCACCCCTCTCACCCCTCCCTCTCACCCCTCCCTCTCATCCCCCCTTTCACCCCCCTCCCTCTCACCCCCCTCTCTTTGTCCACATCTACACCCATAGCCCCCTTGACCTCTTCTGGCCTGTCAACCCACGGGATAGGTCTTAATCTGACCCTAGTCTGACAAGTGACAACTTTCTAAAACCATTTAGGACCTAAATGCTTTACTGGATTTACCGTTAGTATTTGGCCTTGGGCTCATGGCGAGAAATATTACCCTTGCAATTCTTTAGATTTAGGAATATAAAAACAGATTCTCAAAGATTAGCTCTGGGTGGTCAGTTATGGTTTCTCAAGAAGGGTGATATAAAATTCTACTCAACTGTTCCGATGCCTTCATAAGCGCCAACGATTTGCCCGAAAAATATTGGAAATGTCGAGAACTTGAAAAGGTTGAAGTTGTCGCTGTAGATATTGCTGAAGTTTATACCTGGATAACAAAACAGACACCGTCAGAGTTCTGGCTGTGATAACAATTATAACACAGAAGGAATGACCGGGAAATTGGCAGTATTTCTGACATAAACAAAGGATATTGAAAGAAGAAATTTGCTATGATTTGGGGAAGTTTCCGTGCTTAAGAAACCGATGTAAGTTTATGATTTGCTTGTTCTGCTGTGTTTTAACTTAGGAGGTTTTCTTGAAGTAACTTTAAATGACTTGTTTGCAGATAGAAAACCATTCCTGATTCATATATTTTCACTACAGTTGTGCAACAATTTGAACATAGGAATTTGTATTTGAACTATATGACACTTTGTAGGCTAATGTCAAGCATGGGAAACTTGTTAATGTACTTTTAAAAGAAATATATTTGAACTAATCTAGCCTATAAGTTTCATGATGTGAAACTAAGTTCGATGTATTTTATTTCAGCCAGGATTTATCGAGATTTTGATAAGTTTGTGCAACATACCATTGAGAATAAATCCAAGAATTGAGAAGAACCCCAGGAAGACACATGCATTTGCAACAGAGCTCAGTGGACCGAGGTTTCGCATATTCCTAACGTAAGTTTGCAGCAGAAAAAATGGGAAGGGTATCATCATAAGGTATATGGCACTGGGTGCACTAGGATGTTTCTCTGATGGTGATGCCCCGAGCAATGATGTTGCATTTAGGGTGGGTTTACTGGTATGATTCTTGTTTGCCAGTGGCCACACCCTTGTCAGTGTATCACCAATAAAAATAAAATAATTGACACAGAAGCTGAATTGGGTTACAATTAGAGCCGCATTTACAATAAGGCTTCCCCACCGACCCATGGCTATCCGGCCTAGATCACCATAAGAGATGGTAAACTCTAGGTTTGACCTTTTCCTTTTCTTTCTTTCTTCCAGTTTGCGATACTCGTCACTACCATCGTCGTACGAGTATTGGTAGGTGGAGTTCATCATTTGATCGATCGCAGCTTTCTTGCACTTCACAATCAGGACACAACAATGGTCCGTGATGTAGGCAATAACGACAAGACCAATAATGCCAAGCTGGGAGGTAAGAGAATTTGAGAGATTTTGATAGCATAATATAATAGTAGTGATATTACTGGTCTGAATTATTGGTATTTATTAGTTACAATTTCATAATGGGTCTGTTTCCTCATATACATGACTTGTTAACTAAAGTTGGAAGCCTTTTTTATTTCAAAATAGTCAGATAAATACTCTGAGGAAAGACATAGTGTAATATAAAGTCCTAAGACACCATAGGCAGCCCAATGGCGACTCGCGTGTTCAGGCAATGTAGGCATTATATATCCTATATATATCCTATATATATCCTATATCCTATATATATATATATATATATATTAATATATATATATATATATATATAGGATATATGTATATATATACTATATAATGCCTACATTGCCTGAACACGCGAGTCGCCATTGGGCACCTGTTTTTTGGGAGGCCCATATATAACCCAAACTGTCAACCCAGTGTTTATGTGTTAGTCTGTTAGAAAGAATATTATTAACTATTAATTATCATACAAGACACTTACAATCAATCCACTTTGTTTAAATGCAAACGGCACAGCCAAATAGTTCGCTCCAATAAATGCTTTAAAAACATTGGCAAAATCAGAAAGTTTATTCCATATTGGGCTTCTGTAAACAAAAAATAGATTATAATTAGGCTTCTGTAAACAAAAAATAGATTATAATTACCCTATGATAAAAGCTCTAACTCAGTCTTAGAATATGATTGTGTGAATTACATGACCAAGCAGGGTGCATTTGGGTGGATTTTACTTTGCAATGAATTATTTTGATTAAGTCAAATAGTGTTTTAGGACTGATAAGTGTTCGACAAAATATATAACACTAGGGTGCATATTTCTAAGGGCCTGTTTATATGAGACGGGCCAGCCTGTCTAGCCAGGCCTACCCATCTCATATGAAGTGATTTAATTTACTAAGTGATTTTTTCAGTTGCTCTAGTGTTTATGGTAACTTTGATAAATACAAGGATAAATATCTTCCCCCTCAACAATATTTATTAATTATACAAGCATAACATGTATTACGAATAGTGACTTAAATTTTTCAAATATAAGCCCCTTTTAGCGCAATTTACGCTGTAAATCCCCCCAGCCCTAGGCCTAGAGAGACCATTGGTAAATACAAAATTATGGTCAATCTTTCACAAAGTACAGGGTTGTATCAAACTTGTTTTGACCGGACACAATCTGGATATAAACCGGTTATACAAAATATACATCGGCAGTCACGCGGGGCATGCATGTTTGATATTTAAATATTTTTATATTAAAATCCCATGGGGTTGAACTATATTGAGACAATATTTTCGAATGAATACCAAATCTTTTTTTATACATGTATAATTTCTAAGAGAGTTGAATATTTTGTACCTTTCTTTACTTGTCTTTTGTCTCTGATCAACAGCCGGCACAGTCATAATTTTGTATCGAATTGTATGTATATAAAAAGGATATATCCTTTACGTTTCGTAGGTTCGTCCTCTTTTTTTAAAAAGCTATATTACACCATTCTCAGCAGGATGACGATGCAAAATAATTGTTTAAAATCATCGTACTGCCAGTCCATCGAAATCTTTATAGTTTATCATTCGACTGTAGATAGGAATCCACAGAATTTTTTCAAATATTCTCGTGACCTGCCACAACTATTTCCGGTCCAGGAAAAGTACATTTTGTACGGGTCAATTTGGTCATCGACTATAATAATTGATATATCGATTAATCAAATAATCGATGGGTTTAGTAGATAGATAGATAAATTCAATCGATGAATTAGTGGTTTGTATATAAACAAGCAAGTCGCTTGTTACGTATAAAATGCCTGGGGGTAGCGTTTAATAATAAAAACTGGTATATATGAATATGAAAGTTAAAATAGTATATAAAATAAAATTTTACAAATGAGTAGATAAATATATAAATTATAGCTACCTATTTTAACAATATTTTACAATTTTAAAAACCTATTTTATTATTTTAATCAAAGTCGTAACAAAACCGACGATGCCTGCTATTATTCCAAAAAGAATAAGAATTATATCTTTGGCAACGATAAGTGTTGGTAACGTATCTCGTTCGATTATCAAATGAAATGCACAAGGCAATATGAAGGCGAGAAGAGAACTGCCAATTGATCCGGACAAGGCAGCGACATAGGCGTAGTAATTCCGGGAAACGTAAGCCACGCCAAATGACAAACACACCAGAATTGTACGAACGATATTCCTCTTCCAGGTTGACCATCCCTGAAAGTAAAAACGAAAGTTTTGTTTGCTTACATGATATTGTGGAAAAACGAGTAGAGAATGCTTCCTACTGGATGCTTTTCACGTGAAAAACTGTGTAAAACTGATAGATCAAGAAAAGATATTTAGTTTTCCTCCTGTAGTGACACTGGATCAATAAGAGATGATCCTTACTGGACCTCTAGGAAGAACAGTTTAGAACTGATAGAGCTATCCAGTGTAAATAAAGTTAGTTTAGTTTAGGTTTCCTCCTGTAGTGACACTGGATCAATAAGAGACGATTCTTACTGGACCTCTAGGAAGAACAGTTTAGAACTGATAGAGCTATCCAGTATAAATAAAGTTAGTTTAGTTTAGGTTTCCTCCTGTAGTAACACTGGATCAATAAGAGATGATTCTTACTGGACCTCTAGGAAGAACAGTTTAGAACTGATAGAGCTATCCAGTATAAATATTAAATAAAGTTAGTTTAGTTTAGGTTTCCTCCTGTAGTGACACTGGATCCGATAAGAGATCTTTACTGAAGTACTCCTTATCTTGTTTCAGAAACTAACCATGTCACAGGAACACGGTCCCGTAGGTTTCCGAATCAATACTTCAGTTCCTTCGGCGTCGCTGTCGTTTTCAGATATTTCATCTTCAGACAATTCATCTGTCGGAGTTATGTTTCCATATTGAACTACAGAAGTTTCGGGTCGCAGGCTCGACTCGTCGCAACTGTAACTAGCTGTGACCGTGGTGCGTCTCCTTGTGTCTTTCAAGAAGTAGTTCTCGGCGATTTCAACAACTGGAAACATTTGCAAGGGAAATGTGAACAGTATTCCAATACATAAAGTAACCTGAACGACTATGGATAGCGTTCCGTAGGGAAGGTTGTCGCTTATTATCTGTTCAACTTCATCCCTGAAATGAATGTAGCCTAAGACACCGAAAGTGCATTGGATTATTGAGACGAGTATTATGACGCTGTGCAAGTACTTTCGATAGTTCCGACGGTTCTCTTTCATGCTCGCCTCGACAGGAATTATCTAGGGGAAGTAAAGGAAATTGGATTAGATTACGTACCAACCATCACCCACCTACCAACCATCACCCACCTACCAGCCAACACCCACCTACCAGCCAACACCCACCTACCAGCCAACACCCACCTACCAACCAACCATCACCCACCAACCAACCCTCACCCACCAACTGACCCCACCTACCAACCAACCATCACCCACCAACTGACCCCCACCCATCGACAGACCACTAACCAACTGTCAAATTCACAGATCACTCTAATCAGGTGAGCCAAGCCTTAATCTTAATACTAAAGGTTATATTAACTTTAACTGCCTCTCATTGCAAGAGGGGGATACCTAGGAGTACCTGGGGGTGCCAAATGCTTGGAGTGTTCAGAGGGGGAAGTAATTAGTTGACAATGCATTTAATTGCAAGGGAGAAGGGTCAGTCTAATCTTGAATCTGATGCAAAGTCCCCAATGACATTCCCTTAGGCATTGGAAGACAGATTCTTCCAAGACAGACACATAGCGTACATCAGAGCTGGGTACACAGCTAAACAATATCCTGCTGTTGGGAAAAGTGTATTTTATTACTCAACTGTTCCAATGCCCTCATAAGACCAAACAATTTGCCCAAAAAAGATTGGAAATGTTGAGAGTTTCCAAAAGTCAATTTTGTGGACATTGCTGAAGTCAATACCTAGGAAACAAACAGATACCATCCCAGTTAAAGTAGAATTGGGTAAACTTATGACAGCAATACATAATATCATAACCTTTCAGGAGTCAAAGTGAATCACATACCATGAAGAATGAACCCAAGAATTGAGAAGAATCCAAAAAAGACACATGCGTTTGCAATGGAGCTCAGTGGACCGAGGCTTCTCACTTTCCTCACATACGTTTGCAGGAGGAAAATTGGTAAGGGTATCAGCATAAGGTATATGATATCGGGTGCACTAGGGTGGTTCTCTGAGGGTGATGCCCCAAGTAATGCTGTTGCATTTGGGGTCGATTTACTGGTATGATTGTTAATAGGTGGCCACATTCTCATTATTGTCTCACCAATGAAAGTGAAATAATTGACACAGGCACTAAATTGGGTAACAATTAGGGAGGTAATAACGATACGGCTTCCCCACCGACCCATGGCTATCCGACCCAGATCACCATAGGAGACAGTTGACTCCAGATTTGAACGTTGCTTTGTTTTTCGTTTTTCCAGTTTCTGATACTGATCACTACTGCCCTCGTAGGAGCAATGGTAGGTGGAGTTCATGATTTGATCGATCGCAGCCTTCTTACACTTCACAATCAGGACACAACAATGGTCTGTGATGTAAGCAATAACGACAAGACCAATAATGCCAAGCTGTGGGGTACGGAACACAATTACAGGTATGTTATATATTTATTATCAATCAAGAGAAAAACATCATTGTTTTTATACAAGGTTCTTACAATCAATCCACTTTGTTTGAATGCAAATGGCACAGACAAATAATTTGATCCAATAAATGATTTAAAAACATTGGCAAAATCAGAAATTTTGTTCCATATTGGACGTCTACAAATAGAAAATTATTTCATTATCACCCAATGCTGATATGCTCTGGCATGCTTGGTCTAGCATGCATTTGGGAATTGGTCTAGGGTCAAGATGCATTATTTTGCAAACCTGAAATGATGTATTAGACAAAAATTTTCAATAGCATGTTTCATATTTGGCACAAAATTTTGGGCAATTGGGCTTCAAAATACAATTAACAAAGTACCGGTCGGGTAATATGAAACTCGTTTTAGCCGGACACAACCTGGATTTGTAACAGGTTATACAAAATATTATACGCCAGTCATGCGGGAAGCATGTGATATTTACATATGGCTATATTTATATATGAAATCCCGTGGGATTTAGCTATGACATAGCCTATGTTGTTACGATATTCCCTTTGAAATATCATTATTAACCTACACTATTTAAATATTATTAAATTTATAATTTTTAAAAGAATTGAATTCATCATTGAATATTACCGTCTACGTGGCTTTTGTCCGTGATCTAAATCTTCTGCTCGCCCGGTCATTTTGTTGTATAACAGCGTTTAAATTTATAAAAAGATATATTTTTTTGCATTTCCTAGAAATCCACTTGTTTTAAGAAGCTGTATAAAATCGTCATAGTTCTCAGTACGATGCAAAATAATTGTTGACGCTCTACATCGAAAGAGATAGTTTCAGCTTTCGGAATTTTTTCAAAACATTCGCGTGACCTGCATAGCCATTTCCGGTCACGCTTTTAAGGAAAATATATTGACGGGTCAATGATCATCAATTATTATTGCTTACTTTACTATCGATGAATCGAATAATCAATAGGTTGAAATAGATCATGAAATCAATACAATCGATAAATTAGTGCTTTCATATCATGATGAACAAAAAAAGATCGAAATAATTTAGATTTAACCTATTGATTGTATAATCATGGATACTGTGACTATTCTATCATCTTAATTGATTATCAGATCAATCGATAGTAAATTTGACCAAAAGCTTCGATGATTTAGCATTCAACTGGTCCAGTTTTGTGATGAGAAATGAGAATTTAGCCAGAAATATCGAGATAAATATATCGCGGCGAAAATGTCGATAATTCCGCGTTCAGAAAACCTGGAGTCTTGTCAAAGGCAACATGGACGATGGAACGCATGGTTAGTACCATGAAAAGAATAATTCAAAAAAAATATTTACAATGCTTTAAATTTTATATTTTATACGTTGTGATACGAAAGAAAGAGTAAAGTTTCATATGGAAATGTTTTCACCTGTCCTAGGTGCCGAGGAGAAGCAAGATCAGGCGATGGATCAGGGCAAATCACATTCATCCTGTGTTGATAAAGAAAATGAAAGCAGCGAAAAAGGTAGGTGGTGCCTGGTTGAAAATCTGCTGCGATAAACTGAGTTTGTTTTGCAACGGAGACCAGAATTCCAATGATAATGCCACCAAATTGCTGCTTTATTAATCGGATGTACAATAAATTTTTGCAAGACAATTGTCAAAGGTCATATTTTCATGGCTAACAGTATATAATTTCCTTTATTTTTATGAAACGTCAGCATATTATGATAGAGTTACTAGCAGCATCTGTTTTCAGAGCTTTATAGTAATGTAAAACCAAACAGCTTTCCATTCCAATTGTTAAGAAATTTATCAAACAGATGTCTTTCTTGTAATGTGTTTTATATAATTATATTTTAACCAGCTTGTATATACAGTACTACACACCTTAGTTGTCAAGGGAACACACTTAACCTATGCAGTAAACTTTCACTGACAGTCGTAAGACAGAATCAAATGCCAAAGCTAGTAATGCATTAATAGCTCTCGAGACATCCACATTTAGTGCCTCGATCGGAAATGCAGTTTGTTTTGTTAAACCTATAACTTACAGTTACTCTTTGATTAAGAAGTATTTCACCAGAGGTGCCGGAATCACAGGGGCAGTGAGGGTAACTCTGTGCCCCCATTGCCCTTAGTTACAGGAATAAAAGGGGACAACCCTGTGCCATTTCCTACCATGTAATAGTATAATACATGACACACATATCATACATTTATGATGCCTACTCTTCTCATTAAAACAAACCGGTAATATTATTCTAAATATGCATTCTCCTATGGATTTGCAAGTTCGCATGTCACTTGTAAATTTAAGTTTCCCATTCTGCTATTCATGTGATTGCCAAGGTGAAAGAAATGTGCCCTTTTCTAAAACTCTGACCCTGCCACCCTGAATTTGACCATGTACGTAACATGATGGCAAGTATTGCTTGCTAACCAATTTTCATTCATTGCAGAAATAATTGAATTAACAGAAGGGCTGGCCAATTCAACTGATGTGAAAGTGACAAACGATGACATCCGACCTTGTAGAGAAGAAAAAGGTGCTTTGAATATATTGTCTATCATATGCAATGAATGGTGTTTTAACTGTAGTTGTTTATATGTTTGATTATGTGCTCTTGTATCTTTGTCCAGAAACCAAGTGTACGGAGAACGAAAAAGCTGGAGAGTGTTTGACAGAAGAGTCGACATCTCTTGCAAAGATGATTAGCTTTCGTGTTGTGTGGAATAAGAAAAACTATGATGTGACTTTCAATTCTAATGACACGGTAGAAAGCTTAAAGAAACACATTGAAACGCTGACAGGTCAGAGAACTTGACTTTTCACATCATGTGGTACTTGAAAGTTTGGTAGAATAGTAAAATTTCAAAACATTGCTTTTTCCTCCTATTATTTAATGAGGTTATTCAATAACCAAAGTTAATAGCGAGGAAACCACACGTGATCCGAAAGTTAGGTGTTCCTGTCGAGGTGCGCTGCGTCAGCCCGCATATTATATTGCGTGCTTGCTCGCTTTGCGGTCATTAGTTGCTAGGCACGCAAAGTGTAACAAGCTTAACAAAACGTTGAAATAATTATTTATTTATATTACATGTAGGTTTACCTGTTTCAACCCAAAAGTTAATGTACAAAGGTAAGACTTTGTTCTGTGATGAATGTATCACTATCATTTTTGAAACAAGTACAGTAATTGTTCCTTAGTATTCTTATGTCCCTGGGAGCATTTGTCTATTTAAAAATGATTAGAGCATAACCATGCAGGATTTTGTTTAAAGGGTCTATGGTTTTGAATATTTATCATGAGCTTTCAACTGTCAGTTGATGAACAATCTTTACCACTTACCGAATAAGACTGTGGACTTTCATGCAAAAACTTGTTCATTTGTTCAACTGATTAGTTTTTTAATCTGTTTGATTTTTCTTACAGGTTTAGTGAAGGATGACTCAAAAACATTAAATGACATTAAATTAATAAACAATGCTAAAATGATGGTGATTGGTTCAACTGTCAAGGACATCATGGCTGTCAACATTCCTCCTAGTGCTAAGGCCCTGAAAGAGGAAACTGCTGCAGCAGGTAAAACATCTACTAATCTTCAAATAATTTGTTAAGTGATAAGTCTGATGATTGTCTGGTGCAATAGACCTTTCTTATGATGACGTCAAACGCGGAAAGTCTGATGTTACACGAAATTTGATTTGCTCCACAAAACTATCGAGCCAATGAAACTTCGTGTAACATCAGACTTTCCGTGTTTGACGTCATTTTGAAAAAGGTCTATTGGTCCTCTTGATAGGTATATAAATTTATCCTTTATTATCCAATAGCTTCTTCGAAAGAGCCTTGGTCGCAACAGAAGGTAGGTATCACAACAACTGAATGTATTTTAGCATCAAATGTGGTATAGCAACTGTCAAAATAGACAAAACACTTCTCAATGTTTCGACCTGAGGGCCTTCGTCAGGAGAGTTAGTATACTACTTCTCTCTGTAGAGTTAGTATAAGAGAGTTAGTATACTACTTCTTCTCTATAGTACTCCTCAGGTCAGAACGTCGAGAAGTGTTTTGTCTATTTTGGCAGTTGTTATACCACATTTGATGCTAAGTTGTTTGAAGATGCTGCCACGCTGCTTCCTGGCTATAGTGAATGTATTTTATTTAAACCAGAACAACAGCATGTAGTTTTTGCCATAATTTCTGTGATGGTTGTGTAGAGTACGTAACATCATATGTTGTGAATTGAAATATTTCAGATGCACAAGAAGATTTTAGACAAAGGCAAACCGGAAGATGCTATGCCTGGTGATAAAACAAAAAAGGTATCTATAGCTTTGCCATTAGGGAAGCAGACCATGTGCTGTAGGGTAAACGTATGAGCACTCCAGCACCTTGCTTCTCACACCAAACAAAGCTAGCATCACCATACAGCTAATCTTTAATACAAGCCTCTCTGAGGCTCTGAGCACTCAAATATATAAGCATTCCTCTCCCTGTAGTCATTAAGTATATTTGTTCATATTTTATGTAGTGCTGTACTCAGGGACGGATCTAGAAGCTTAATTGGGGGGGGAGCATATTCATATATTCGTCTTATGTCCAATTGATTTCTTTTGATAGCGATTGTTTTTACCCTCTTTTAAACTTGAATATATGAATATGCACCCCTGCAATTAAGCTTCTAGGTCCGTGCCTGGCTGTATTCAATTTTCCAAGTTTAGTTTGGAGTTATTAATTTTATTTGAATTTAAAATTTCAAAGGAACCATTGCCACGTCAGCCTATCTCGGGAATGCTAAATAAAGCAGCTGGAAAAGTCAGATTAACATTCAAACTTGAGGTTGATCAATTATGGATTGGAACTAAAGGTATGAGAACTGGAAATTTGGAGTTAAATCTAGTGAAATGTGATTGACTTTAATTTCTTTTGTGTTGACAGAAAGAACTGAAAAAATATCAATGGGTTCTATAAAGAATGTCTTATCCGAGCCAATAGAAGGCCATGAAGATTATCATGTGCTGGTACAGTGTGTTACTTTATGTAGCAATAAACTAAACTAACTTTATTTATACTGAGTAGCTCTATCAGTTCTAAACTGTTCTTCCTAGAGGTCCAGTAAGGATCATCTCTTATTGATTCAGTGTTACTACAGGAGGAAACCTAAACTAAATTAACTTTATTTATACTGGATATCTCTATCAGTTCTAAACTGTTCTTCCTAGAGGTCCAGTAAGGATCATCTCTTATCGATCCAGCGCTACTACAGGAGGAAGCCTAAACTAAACTAACTTTATCTATACCGGATAGCTCGATCTACCAGTTCTAAACTGTTCTTCCTAGAGGTCCAGTAAGGATCATCTCTTATTGATCCAGTGTTACTACTGGAGGAAACCTGAACTAAACTAACTGACTTTGTGTGGTTTTTTTAGGCAATTCAGCTTGGTCCAACAGAAGCATCAAGATACTGGGTCTACTGGGTTCCTGCACAGTATGTAGATGCTATAAAAGACACTATACTAGGAAAATGGCAGCCTTTTTAGCAACAAAAAGTTAGCAGATGTACATTTGAAAAGCATCCAGTAGATAACTGCAGCTCAGATTTGACAAACTAAAATGCAGGGGTTCATTGCGGGTATCGTACAATAAACTGTTTTGGTTTGCAAATTTGACTTGTGTAGTAATGGCCGATTGTTCATTCAACACAAGCCATTGCAGTTTGTGAAAGATACTATGACCCACACTGCACCCCTCGCTGTGTAGGCTAATTGTTGTAGTTCCCTTCAGATATAGCTAGCTTTTTGGTCCAACTGGGCAGAACAGAGATGGATGGTAATCACCAGGAAAAGGTTGGAATTGTATAAGTTGACTAATCTCAGCAACAGTGTTTAATCAGACTAACTTACTGTAGTTTGTGCTGTCAACCTGTGCATTAAACAAGAGAAATTAAGTCTGACATGACTGCTACTTTATCATTGGTTAACTTTCTAAACCTCCAGTTATTTATGAAGATCACTGGTTAGACAGGGATTACAGCAATCACCTGACAAAATTTACCTGTTCAATTACTTATTTTCTATTGTCCTGAAAAGTTTTTTTAACTGCATTAGGTGTTTACAGCAAACCAATGACGTTTAAATAATGCTACCTATTCTTTTGTTTAAATACAGTGTATGTGTCTAGTGTTTTTAATGCTGGGTTTAAGTATTCCCAAATGTCAAGCTAAGTGTTTGAAGCTCAGTCTTTTAAGTCCCCATGCATGATATTAACTCTGATTTATTGCTGGTTTTCTTCGGTTGATGCCATTGCCTGAAATCGAAAGCAAATTTACAGATGCATTATGTACATACACAATTTGATGAGGTTACGATATATTCAGATATTTATGTTGACCCAAGGTACCTGCTTTAACAGTTGCTGTCCCAGAAAATTTCCAGCCATGCTTTTCAATTTCTTTGATGCATCTTTCTTACATCTTATGTACCCAAAGAGGTTTGCACAACTTAAACTTAATGCAACTGCTACAATGATCTGGAAAATACAATAAATACCCATAGTATGGTTGTATTCTTCCAAAAATCTAATGAATTAGTGATGCTATTAGAGGAACTTTGATCCAGTGCAAATTGAACATACCATCCATTGAAATTTCAAGGATATTAATGATGTGATCAGCAAAAATATCCATATGATTGGAGTGGTAACTAGACCCAGCCAAAATATTCGTGATTCTAATGAAGATATATTCTTATTCTAAAAGTAGAAGTTGCCAATTAGTTGTCAACACTTTCTAATGAAAGGGGAGAAATTGAAGTGGTTATAACCTTGTGAGATTCAAAGACCCAATGGCTTTCACCATCCTCGTCAACATAATTCCACCATCGCAGGCCGACCAGTAACCTTCCAGAAATGTTTTTCACCGTCCAGAAGTCGACAGACAAGAGCACAACAATTATAACAAAGCTGGTTACAAAACTGTTGCTAAACCAACCACACAACAGGTAAACAACAATAGCTAGAATCCGGAATGCGAGATGAACTGCCACAGTAAATGGATGCCTGTAAAATAGAAAACAAATGATGACTTGTCTGGTCAATTTACTAGGTACCATAACTACCATTACAACTACCACGTCAGCAAATGCCACCAAATTATGGCAAAATCTGCACTGTGCACTACACGACGTCCCTCAAGTAACGCAGGTTAAAACAGAGTTAAGGAAATGAAAGAAAGGAATATGATTTTGAAATAACTCCGATCTACAGATCCTTGGTAGAAGCTAAAGAATATTTTGTAACCTAAGTCTTCGCCGCTTCGGGTCCAAATCATCCTCTCCAAACGTTAAGGCGACGTCCTCCGTCGCATCGTCTGACATCTAAAGAACAACATTAGAGAAATGACGAATCTGCGAAAAGCCGAAAAACATCAAATACCAAGAGATCCAGACAAAAATTAGGTTTGTTTATATTTAAAAATCGTACCATTGCCACGATCTTTTTAGTCAACACATGAACACAAGTCGACTCTCACAAATATCAAATTTTCAATTTCCTCAGGAAAACTTTGACAATTCCTTATATTTCCTTAAAATTCCTTGAACTCGTTTTCTTTGTATTTTTTTAGTAGTTTTCTTAGTATTTTTTTAGTAGTTTTCTTAGTATTTTTTTAGTAGTTTTCTTAGTATTTTTTTAGTATTTTTTTAGTAGTTTTCTTAGTATTTTTTTAGTAGTTTTCTTAGTATTTTTTAGTAGTTTTCTTAGTATTTTTTTAGTAGTTTTCTTAGTATTTTTTTAGTAGTTTTCTTAGTATTTTTTTAGTAGTTTTTTAGTAGTTTTCTTAGTATTTTTTTAATAGTTTTCTTAGTATTTTTAGTAGTTTTCTTAGTATTTTTTAGTTGTTTTCTTAGTATTTTTTTAGTAGTTTTCTTAGTATTTTTTTATTGGAACAAGACGCCTGTTCTGGCGTTAACTCCGGCGTACCGCGCACGTGCCATTATATAATAAATAAACATAATAAATAAGCATTATATAATAAATAAGCATTATATAATAAATAACCATTATATAATAAATAATAAATAATACACTTTTCAAATACTTGTATATTTCGCGCCAAAACACACTTGCGACGACGAAAAATAATAAAAAAATAAATAAAACAAAACAAAACCGAGGCGAATTTTCAACTCCATCGCTGACGCCGGAATAACTACAATCTTTTTAAAATAGGTGTTTGGCCTGCATCCTAACGCGGACATAACGTATCAAGCTAAGACAACCACGGACGTGTTGGAAACTATTGTGAATATTCAGACAGCCTAAGGATAGCGGTGGAGGAGGCGGAGAAACACGTGAAACAGTCGTGTTCAGACAGGCTTCTGAAATGCTGGATAAGTTACCAGACAACTATGTACCTCATGAGGTAAGTAGACGTAAAACGTCACGATCAAAATTATATACATGTGCTCTCTCATTTAGTTCCTCTGTCCCTTCACTATACCATCCCGGAACCTTACTCTCTTTTTTGTTCTCTTCACCTATTCTGCAGTTAAAAAAAGTTCATTTCCTATCTCTTGTAAAAATACTTTTATATATGTTTTGATCTGCCTAAAATGTATTTAATACAATAAAATATTATAATATATAGATTGTGTAATAAATTGACTTCGTTATAGCTGTATTCAACCAGCTAACTATAGGGCATTTATTCCGTTGTCTATGACATTAGAACATAAGACTATAAAATAATATTTTATTGCATCAGTTGATATTTACTTGGGACTATAGCAGCTTTATCGCAGTTAATAATGTTTTACAGGCTACCCACATGTACGCATTGCGTACCTATTTTTCTTCATGTTGTTTATCACTGAAGCTAAAGAATTGAGATATAACAATCTTTGATTGACTTTAGGTGTAAGACGTTCGCCCAGCTATTGTAGACCGTATGGAATCTTTAAAAATTTGTGAATCAAGATGAGAATGAACTTAGTGATTCTGTAATTGCTGCTATATGTTTTGGCTAAAATATAAAAAAAACTGTTGTATGTCTCCAAAACAAAGGAGCTTATATTTATGATACCAAAAAGTACAGGATTGTTTGACATCAGAAATACAAAGAATTCGGCACAAAGTGACAATTCACCTTTTAAAACGAAACCAAAAAACTAGAAGCAAAAAACAAATTGTGCTTCAAAACAAAACTAGAATGCACTGCTTTTAAAATGTTGAAATACTGATAGGAAAGGACAACTTTTTTCTAGGCTTTTAATGATTCGTTTATAGTAACATCGCTCACGATGATGTTCGGAGTTGATCGGCATGTTGTCGTACATTATCATACCACGTGATCTGCTATGATCACACGGTAATTATCGCCTGTAAAACTAATCTCAACGTTAAAAAAAATTTCTTTAAATAGGTGGCGATCGAAGGTAGACAGCAAGATCGAAGCTCAGCAAGATTGAAGATTGTTCGAGGAAGAAGGAGTTCGTTGACTAAAAGGTGGGTTCCGGCGATTATATGCGTAATCTGCGGTTGCTTTGTCCGACCCCAGTAGGGGGACCGTTTGCCTAGAGCGTTTTGGTCCCCCGCACGCTGCTAGTTCCTACTATAGGCCTTTACACTAATCTACGGGAAGGCCATAGGCCTTCCTTAAGGAGTACAGTGTAGCTGAGCCGACCCTTTTTTTTCGTTGTATATAGGTTTATCTGAACAGCTAGTTGTCAAGATGAACGTGAAGAGAAAAAGATAAAATGGCGATGCCAAAGAAAACCATCCACGTGGACCGTTCGCGGACCTTTCTGAGCAAGATTGTTGTGCTGTCTGGTCAAAGTTAAGTATTTTACTTTTATGTTTGTGTGCCTTCTGCTAATTGTCGGCCAGAAATAACAAAAAACCATTTACAATATGAAATATTCTGCGTACAAGGTTATCTAAAGTTTCGAGCTTAATTCTGCCTGCAATGATGATAATTTTTTACTGAAAATTTATGTCATAAACAATTTCCGCACCCACAGACTGAAGCAGAACTGAAAATTTTATCTCAACAGCCAGTTATCAAGACGAACGTCAAGAGAACAGTTGAAATTGAAATCAGTTCAAGACTCGCCCGGCCGAATTCAAAATGGCGATGCCGAAGAAAATGATACACGTGGACCGTTCGCGGACCTTTCGAGGAAGATTGTTGTGCTGTCTGGTAAAGTTAAGTATTTTACTTTGATGTTTGTGTGCCTTCTACTAATTGTCGGCCAGAAATAACAAAAAACCATGTACAATATGAAATATTCTGCGTACAAGGTTATCTAAAGTTTCGAGCTTAATTCTGCCTGCAATAATGATAATTTTTTACTGAAAATTTATGTCATGAGCAATTTCCGCACCCATAGACTGAAGCAGAACTGAACATTTTGTCATTAACGTTTATCTCAACAGCCAGTTATCAAGACGAACGTCAAGAGAACAGTTGAAATAGAAATCAGTTCAAGACTCGCCGGCCGAATTCAAAATGGCCATGCCGAAGAAAACCATACACGTGGATCGTTCGCGGACCTTTCTGAGCAAGATTGTTGTGCTGTCTGGTCAAAGTTAAGTATTTTACTTTACTGTTTACGTGCCTTCTGCTAAAACTAGACAATAATTAAGATAGTTGAAAATGTAATTTTATATTAATAATGTCTTCTTATATTCAAGATTTTCCTTGGTCAAGAGTGCAACATGAGCTGTGAATATGAACTTTACTGTCAGATGAACATTGAAAGTGAAGGTAATTCGATTGTTTCTTCCAAATTTATATTAGCCTTGCAGCTCAAATTCTTGTCACTACCTTGTAATACATATCAACTGCCAGGGTATATATTTTGTTATTTAGTGCATGATAAGGGGGAATTTGCTGCAACTAGGATCTTTTTTTGAAAAATCGTCAGGCAGTCACAAATTTTGTTAAGATTACTAAGTTAACATTGCTTCTATGCTCACTATGTGTCACCAGTAATAAATTCCTGTGGTGGTCTTTGAATAAATATAGCAACCATAGTTATAAGTAGAGGGATGAAGTATAACCATAGAATACCTGACCAAAAACTGGACAATAATTAAGATAGTTGAAAATGGAATTTTATTTTAATCATGTCTTCTTATATTCAAGATTTTCCTTGGTCAAGAGTGCAACATGAGCTGCTGTGGATATGAACTTTACTGCCAGAGGAAAATTGGAAGTGAACAACATTTCTGCAGAGAGGTAATTTGATTGTTGCTTCAAAATTTATATTAGCCTTGCAGCTGAAATTCTTGTAGTGACCTTGTAATACATATCAACTGCCCAGATATATATTTTGTTATTTAGTATAAGGGGGAATTTGCTGCAACTAGGATTTTTTTTTGAAAATCATCAGGCAGTCACAAATTTTGTTAAGATTACTAAGTGAACTTTGCTTCTATACTCACTATGTGTCACCAGTAATAAATTCCTGTGCTGGTCTTTGAATAAATATAGCAACCATAGTTATATATAGAGGGATGATCGAGTAACCATAGAATACCTGACGAAAAACTAGACAATAATTAAGATAGTTGAAAATGGAATTTTGTATTAATAATGTCTTCTTTATATATTCAAGATTTTCCCTGGTCAAGAGTGCAACATGAGCTGCGGATATGAACTTTACTGTCAGATGTACATTGATTAGAAAGTGAACAAGATATCTGCACTGAGGTAATTTGATTTTGTTAGGGGTGGTCAGCGTTTGATTTAAAAAAGCCACTACATTGTTGAGATGACAACTATGAAATTGAAATTTTCTTCTATGGTCACCATGTGTGAAACCAATGATGAAACTTAATGCTATAACAGCTGAACCAGTCTGGCTGATTACTAAAATTCCTGTCTTACAATAAATATCCACGAAAAAGACCAGCAATTACTATTTTAAACTTGGGAGAAATTTTTCTGATTTCCATGTGATTTATATTCTGTAGTACTCAGAAGGGTGATACCCAGTTTTTCTGTGTTCAAATTAAATAGCGACATGTCTGGGTTGAATATATGCATGTGACACATTCTTTTTATTGAAAATGGCAAAAATATAATTGGCATAAAACAGAATGCATTCATGAATGTATTGTCTATCCATGAAAGATGACTAAAGTAAGATAATGAGTAATATCTTTTAAAAATGATGTCAGGTTGAAAATACAAACTTTGCTGCCACTTTTTGCCTAAAAGGATTGATGAAATGCTTTTTCTCTTTAGAATGAATGAAGTTGAAGAAAGTTGAGAGGCACCCCTGAAGAACCTGAATTATTTTAGCCCTATCCTAGATTCATTAATTAATATATTTTAGTGTGTTATAACATGTGTGAAATGTGATCAATTATGTGACAATTTTTAAAACTTGGATTTATAAAGAGAAATTTTTCTTTGTAAAGTTTAAGAAGTAAACCTTTTTTGTCTGGTGGTGTTAGTGTTTTGATTTTGCATGTTTTCCGTGTGCTTTCACAATTGAAAATATTTTGGCAGTTGCTTCTAAATGTTTTTTGAAAGGTTTAAGAAGAAACTTGATTTTTGTCGTGTGGTGTTTGTTGTTTCGATTATGCATGTTTTTCCGTGTGCTTTCACAATTGAAAAGATTTTGGCATTTGCTTTTTCTTATACTTCTTTTCTCTTTAATTTCTTCTTAGTATTAGTTTTTTTCTAAATATATTTTCTCTTATTATTTTTTTGATGAAATTATTTTTTTACTTTAGTGTTGAAGAAAGTTGAAGGGCATCCAGATTCATTAATTGATATATTTTAGTGTGAAATGTCATTAATTATGTGACAATTTTCAAAACTTGGATTTATAAAGAGAACTTTCTTTGTAAAGTTTAAGAAGTAAACCTTTTTCATCTGGTGGTGTTGGTGTTTTTATTTTGAAAGTTCTTCTGTGTGACTTGACAATTCTAAATTAAACCTCTTAGTATTTTTTAGTATTTTTTCTAAGTTGAAAAAAGAAAAAAAACCTGTTAGTATTATCTTCTATTTATCTAGTTTTAGTTTTTTTTCTCTAGTTTTCTTTTCTCAAGTTTTTTCTACTCTAGTTTTTACTTCTATTTCTCTAGTGTTTTTTCTATTTTTCTACTTAGTTTTTTTTCTCTAGTTTTTTTCTCTCTAGTTTTTTTACTCTAGTTTTTACTTCTATTTCTCTAGTGTCTTTTCTATTTTTCTACTTAGTTTTTTTCTCTAGTTTTTTTTTCTCTCTAGTTTTTTTACTCTAGTTTTCACTTCTATTTTTCTACTTAGTTTTTTTCTCTAGTTTTTTTTTCTCTCCAGTTTTTTTTACTCTAGTTTTTACTTCTATTTCTCTAGTGTTTTTTCTATTTTTCTACTTAGTTTTTTTCTCTAGTTTTTTTTTCTCTCTAGTTTTTTTACTCTAGTTTTCACTTCTATTTTTCTACTTAGTTTTTTTCTCTAGTTTTTTTTTCTCTCCAGTTTTTTTTACTCTAGTTTTTACTTCTATTTCTCTAGTGTTTTTTCTATTTTTCTACTTAGTTTTTTTTCTCTAGTTTTTTTTCTCTCTAGTTTTTTTACTCTAGTTTTTACTTCTTTTTCTCTAGTTTTTACTTCTATTTTTCTACTTAGTTTTTTTTTCTCTCTAGTTTTTTTTACTCTAGTTTTTACTTTCTCTCTAGTTTTTTTACTCTAGTTTTTACTTGTATTTCTCTAGTGTTTTTTCTGTTTTTTTACTTAGTTTTTTTTCTCTAGTTTTTTTTTCTCTCTAGTTTTTTTACTCTAGTTTTTACTTGTATTTCTCTAGTGTTTTTTCTGTTTTTCTACTTAGCTTTTTTTCTATTTTTCTACTTAGTTTTTTTCTCTAGTTTTTTCTTCTATTTCTCTAGTTTTTTTCTAGTTATTTTTTTACTTTAGTGTTGAAGAAAGTTGAAGGGCATCCAGATTCATTAATTGATATATTTTAGTGTGAAATGTCATTAATTATGTGACAATTTTCAAAACTTGGATTTATAAAGAGAACTTTTTTCTTTGTAAAGTTTAAGAAGTAAACCTTTTTCGTCGGATGGTGTTAGTGTTTTTATTTTGCAAGTTCTTCTGTGGGACTTAACAATTCTAAATTCAAACCTCTTAATATTTTTTAGTATTTTTTCTAAGTTAAACCTGTTAGTGTTATCTTCTATTTCTCTACTTTCTTCTATTTCTCTAGTTTTTTTATATTTTTCCTTCTATTTCTCTAGTTTTTTTTCTAGTATAGAAAACTAGACAAAAAACTAATTTCATCAAAAAAATAATAAAAGAAAATATATTTAGAAAAAAACTAATACTAAGAAGAAATTAAAGAGAAAAGAAGTATAAGAAAAAGCCAAAAGCAAATGCCAAAATCTTTTCAATTGTGAAAGCACACGGAAAAACATGCAAAATCGAAACAACAAACACCACACGACAAAAATCAAGTTTCTTCTTAAACTTTTCAAAAAACATTTAGAAGCAACTGCCAAAATATTTTCAATTGTGAAAGCACACGGAAAACATGCAAAATCAAAACACTAACACCACCAGACAAAAAAGGTTTACTTCTTAAACTTTACAAAGAAAAATTTCTCTTTATAAATCCAAGTTTTAAAAATTGTCACATAATTGATCACATTTCACACATGTTATCACACACTAAAATATATTAATTAATGAATCTAGGATAGGGCTAAAATAATTCAGGTTCTTCAGGGGTGCCTCTCAACTTTCTTCAACTTCATTCATTCTAAAGAGAAAAAGCATTTCATCAATCCTTTTAGGCAAAAAGTGGCAGCAAAGTTTGTATTTTCAACTTGACATCATTTTTAAAAGATATTACTCATTATCTTAATTTAGTCATCTTTCATGGATAGACAATACATTCATGAATGCATTTTGTTTTATGCCAATTATATTTTTGCCATTTTCAATAAAAAGAATGTGTCACATGCATATATTCAACCCAGACATGTCACTATTTAATTTGAACACAGAAAAACTGGGTATCACCCTTCTGAGTACTACAGAATATAAATCACATGGAAATCAGAAAAATTTCTCCCAAGTTTAAAATAGTAATTGCTGGTCTTTTTCGTGGATATTTATTGTAAGACAGGAATTTTAGTAATCAGCCAGACTGGTTCAGCTGTTATAGCATTAAGTTTCATCATTGGTTTCACACATGGTGACCATAGAAGAAAATTTGAATTTCATAGTTGTCATCTCAACAATGTAGTGGCTTTTTTAAATCAAATGCTGACCACCCCTAACAAAATCAAATTACCTCAGTGCAGTGCATGTTGCACTCTTGACCAGGGAAAATCTTGAATATATAAAGAAGACATTATTAATACAAAATTCCATTTTCAACTATCTTAATTATTGTCTAGTTTTTCGTCAGGTATTCTATGGTTACTCGATCATCCCTCTATATATAACTATGGTTGCTATATTTATTCAAAGACCAGCACAGGAATTTATTACTGGTGACACATAGTGAGTATAGAAGCAAAGTTCACTTAGTAATCTTAACAAAATTTAGCTGTCTGACAATTTTCCAAAAAAAAATCCTAGTTGCAGCAAATCCCCCCTTATACTAAATAACAAAATATATATCTGGGCAGTTGATATGTATTACAAGGTCACTACAAGAATTTCAGCTGCAAGGCTAATATAAATTTTGAAGCAACAATCGAATTACCTCTCTGCAGAAATGTTGTTCACTTCCAATTTTCCTCTGACAGTAAAGTTCATATCCACAGCAGCTCATGTGGCTGGTTGCACTCTTGACCAAGGAAAATCTTGAATATATAAAGAAGACATTATTAATACAAAATTCCATTTTCAACTATCTTAATTATTGTCTAGTTTTTCGTCAGGTATTCTATGGTTACTCGATCATCCCTCTATACATAACTATGGTTGCTATATTTATTCAAAGACCAGCACGGGAATTTATTACTGGTGACACATAGTGAGTATAGAAGCAAAGTTCACTTAGTAATCTTAACAAAATTTGTAACTGCCTGACGATTTTCCAAAAAAAAATCCTAGTTGCAGCAAATTCCCCCATATATTAAATAACAAAATATATATCTGGGCAGTTGATATGTATTACAAGGTCACTACAAGAATTTCAGCTGCAAGGTTAATATAAATTTTGAAGCAACAATTGAATTACCTCTCTGCAGAAATGTTGTTCACTTCCAATTTTGCTCTGACAGTAAAGTTCATATCCACAGCAGCTCATGCATGTGGCCGGTTGCACTCTTGACCAAGGAAAATCTTAAATATATAAAGAAGACATTATTAATACAAAATTCCATTTTCAACTATCTTAATTATTGTCTAGTTTTTCGTCAGGTATTCTATGGTTACTCGATCATCCCTCTATACATAACTATGGTTGCTATATTTATTCAAAGACCAGCACAGGAATTTATTACTGGTGACACATAGTGAGTATAGAAGCAAAGTTCACTTAGTAATCTTAACAAAATTTGTGACTGCCTGACGATTTTCAAAAAAAAAAAAATCCTAGTTGCAGCAAATTCCCCCTTATCATGCACTAAATAATAAAATATATACCCTGGCAGTTGATATGTATTACAAGGTAGTGACAAGAATTTGAGCTGCAAGGCTAATATAAATTTGGAAGAAACAATCGAATTACCTTCACTTTCAATGTTCATCTGACAGTAAAGTTCATATTCACAGCTCATGTTGCACTCTTGACCAAGGAAAATCTTGAATATAAGAAGACATTATTAATATAAAATTACATTTTCAACTATCTTAATTATTGCCTAGTTTTAGCAGAAGGCACATAAACAGTAAAGTAAAATACTTAACTTTGACCAGACAGCACAACAATCTTGGTCAGAAAGGTCCGCGAACGGTCCACGTGGATGGTTTTCTTTGGCATCGCCATTTTGAATTCGGCCGGCGAGTCTTGAACTGATTTCTATTTCAACTGTTCTCTTGACGTTCGTCTTGATAACTGGCTGTTGAGATAAACGTTAATGACAAAATGTTCAGTTCTGCTTCAGTCTATGGGTGCGGAAATTGCTCATGACATAAATTTTCAGTAAAAAATTATCATCATTGCAGGCAGAATTAAGCTCGAAACTTTAGATAACCTTGTACGCAGAATATTTCATATTGTATATGGTTTTTTGTTATTTCTGGCCGACAATTAGTAGAAAGCACACAAACATCAAAGTAAAATACTTAACTTTGCCAGACAGCACAACAATCTTGCTCGAAAGGTCCGCGAACGGTCCACGTGTATCATTTTCTTCGGCATCGCCATTTTGAATTCGGCCGGGCGAGTCTTGAACTGATTTCAATTTCAACTGTTCTCTTGACGTTCGTCTTGATAACTGGCTGTTGAGATAAAATGTTCAGTTCTGCTTCAGTCTGTGGGTGCGAAAATTGCTCATGACATAAATTTTCAGTAAAAATTATCATCATTGCAGGCAGAATTAAGCTCGAAACTTTAGATAACCTTGTACGCAGAATATTTCATATTGTATATGGTTTTTTGTTATTTCTGACCGACAATTAGCAGAAGGCACACAAACATAAAAGTAAAATACTTAACTTGGACCAGACAGCACAACAATCTTGCTCAGAAAGGTCCGCGAACGGTCCACGTGGATGGTTTTCTTTGGCATCGCCATTTTATCTTTTTCTCTTCACGTTCATCTTGACAACTAGCTGTTCAGATAAACCTATATACAACGAAAAAAAAGGGTCGGCTCAGCTACACTGTACTCCTTAAGGAAGGCCTACGGCCTTCCCGTAGATTAGTGTAAAGGCCTACAAGTGGGAACTAGTCAACTAGCAGCGTGCGGGGGACCAAAACGCTCTAGGCAAACGGTCCCCCTACTGGGGTCGGACAAAGCAACCGCAGATTACGCATATAATCGCCGGAACCCACCTTTTAGTCAACGAACTCCTTCTTCCTCGAACAATCTTCAATCTTGCTGAGCTTCGACCTTGCTGTCTACCTTCGATCGCCACCTATTTAAAGAAATTTTTTTTTAACGTTGAGATTAGTTTTACAGGCGATAATTACCATGTGATCATAGCAGATCACGTGGTATGATAATGTACGACAACATGCCGATCAACTCCGAACATCATCGTGAGCGATGTTACTATAAACGAATCACTAAAAGCCTAGAAAAAAGTTGTCCTTTCCTATCAGTATTTCAACATTTTAAAAGCAGTGCATTCTAGTTTTGTTTTGAAGCACAATTTGTTTTTTGCTTCTAGTTTTTTGGTTTCGTTTTAAAAGGTGAATTGTCACTGTGTGCCGAATTCTTTGTATTTCTGATGTCAAACAATCCTGTACTTTTTGGTATCATAAATATAAGCTCCTTTGTTTTGGAGACATACAACAGTTTTTTTATATTTTAGCCAAAACATATAGCAGCAATTACAGAATCACTAAGTTCATTCTCATCTTGATTCACAAATTTTTGACAAAAGATTCAAATTTAACAAAAGATTCCATACGGTCTACAATAGCTGGGCGAACGTCTTACACCTAAAGTCAGTCAAAGATTGTTATTGATAAACAACATGAAGAAAAACATCACTTAATGACAGAAAACAACACAGATCAGTATACCATGAGAAACATTAAAAGGCCTTTACGATCTCTTATAATAATTACCTTGGCAAACATTTTGCAAGAAAACTCTCACACAGTCCAGTTAACTGATAACACTAAATGACATGCCTCCGAATAGCTTTTGTTCTGCTCCGAGAAGGTCATCGTTTGCAGTTCCTTGGCTAGCAATAATAGAACAAAATGATTAGGACTCCACATTCTAGATGGCGTTGGCCTTGCAGCACTTGTCCACAGGATGTAAATTGACAGTCATCTCGGGCAGTCATCTCAGGCAGTCATCTCAGGCAGTCATTTCAGGCAGTCATCTCAGGCAGTCATCTCAGGCAGTCATCTCAGGCAATCATCTCAGGCAGTCATCTCGGGCAGTCATCTCGGGCAGTCATCTCAGGCAGTCATCTCAGGCAGTCATCTCGGGCAGTCATCTCGGGCAGTCATCTCGGGCAATCATCTCTCTGTGTTGACGTGAACGCTCAAGGCAGAACAGGATCTCACAATGATCGTGATGGCGCCCTACTTTATTTTGTTGACGGATCCTGTGGTTCTCTTCCTTGTCCACCATACGCTAATGGTAAAGAACTCACTTATGTGGTTTGCACAAAATGATTTTAAGAACTTAGGAGCTGAGAGTGGGAATTTATTCTAAACAAGACGCCTGCTCAAGGTGTTCACTCCGCCTGCATGCCAACTGATGTACATAATTCATCCGTGGACCGTGTAACCCAGGGCTTCTCGGTCAATGTGTTTTGGTTTATCTGTGGAAATGCCAACTTCTGTCGCCCAAAACGACGAAAAGGAAAAAAGACCATGGCATTTTAAGACTCCGCTGCGCATACGCAGGCGGAGTAAAAAACTTTTAACGGATTTTGTTGATTAACGGACTTTTGCGGATTTTGAATATTTAAATTTTTTTGGTATTTTAAAAAATACATAATAATATGCTGTTTGATTAAAACAATTACCGACCGGCAAAAAAACGGGAAGTTTTCAAATATTTTTTAGATATTTCTCTTTAAGCTAAAGTCTCGAAATTTCTACACGAAATATAACTTTTTAATAGCTTTAATTTGATATACGGCTCAACATTTGGCGTCAAGTATTTCAGCTAAAAACTCAGAAAAAGTAAAAAGCACTGGCTTCAATTCCCCCCCCCTGAGTTATCATTCCAGTTTGTTTACAGTTCAACGTTTGTGGTGGAAAATTCGGCAAGATGGCCGCTGTTCGAGGCATGGCGTTTACGAGGTACTTTGATATTTCAATGCTTTTCTCATATATAGCTCACTTTTAAAATAATTGAGAAAAAGTACAGTTTCTAAGTTATTGTAACACGAGTCTCAGTGACTCTTACCCACTACTTTTTTCTTTCAAGAATCTTCGCCAGCCGTTGTGTTCGAGGGTTACGAAGTACTGAAACCAGATGGCTGAGTGCTGTTGAAGTCCAGAAAGAAGCCGAGTGCGAAACAAGTTCGACAGAAAAAAATTATCCAGAGCATATTGTAAATATTGTCGACAAAATCTCACAGCTAACACTTGTTGAGACTGCTGAACTTAATGAACTTTTAAAGGTAGTATATGAACTTAATGAACTTTTAAAGGTAGTATATAATAGCTAGTATATTGAACTTATTCTGCCCGAATTTATTTTGAATACCATTACCTGTAAAGGCAGCCACGGCTGACAATCTGGAAGATATGGTCGTCTTTGCAAGCCAAGCTTAAAAAAAGAATGCAAAATAACATTGTTTTATTGTTGGTAATGCTAGAGCCATGCATATAGTACATGCTTTACAACACTCGAATATTTCAGGTGAGATTGAAAATTCCCGATGCCCCAATGATGGCGATGGGAGCGATGCCTCAGGTGGTGGAACAGGTGGGAATCTCTGAAAGAAGCATTTGAATTACGTCACTTCCGTTAGGAAATCCAATTACATCAGGGCTTTAGTGATAGTAATACGGTAGTTATATTTACACACATCAATACTGTATTTTTTGTGGGGCCCTGTGTGATATAATCATTAACCAGGTTCACTTCTACATAATATATATATCATCAATTAATAATATACAACATGATGATATATTGGACTATAGAAGAATGAATATTTAACTTTTACCTAATAATTACATTTACACACATGTACTTTATCAGCAGTGTTGCCAGCATCTGTAATTGGGGAGACTGTATAGATATATTTATGTGGTTGAAATTTACTGTCTTTACAGTCTGTTAACACAAATATGGCCCCTCGATTATCAACGCTAGCTATACCACTGAGCTTTACAATGACAAGAATCAATTACATACTTTTGGTTTGCTAGTCCTGTGAGCAACAAGTTCTTTGACATTTTTTGCAACTTTGAAGAAACTCTGAGAGGATAATAAAAAAATAATCATTAAAAGAACTACCATCATCAGATATATCAACATAATATTTTTTGTATTAGACCGAAGTGGCAGAAGAGAAAAAAGAAGAACAGACTGAATTTACTGTCAAACTCATGTCATTTGACGACGGTGGAAAAATCAAACTGATCAAAGAAGTGAAAAATCTGGTGGATGGATTGAATCTTGTACAGGTATTGAATGACTTGTTCATTTTCTCAATGCAACACTTTAAATTTACTTGCTTTAAATTTACTCATAAATGAAAAAGCATAACATCCAAACCTGGTTTTATAGGATTTCAAATGAATTCACATCCTTCTTTCTAGGCAAAGAAATTTGTAGAAAGTGTTCCACAAGTCTTAAAAGAAAACATCAGCAAGGAGGATGCGGATAAACTGAAAAACCAAATAGAAGCAGCAGGGGGAACAGTGGAAATAGAATGAAGTGAAATGGCTCAAAGTGAGCAATATCCATCGTGATAGCCTATGGACTGACTGGCTTGTATGCTTGGAAACAAATCGCAGGAAAATAAGTCACTTCCAACAAACTCTTAAGCAGATAAAAATAAAGATTTGTTAAACTTGAAAATAAAACAAATTATTTCGAAAACTCTGGTTTTGTTTGCAAATACTTCTTAAGTGGGTAAATGAGTAAAATCATTTCCTTAGATTGACAAAAATGCTGAAGTAGGTACCTCACCTATAAGAGATCAATGGGTCTTTGTCAGCAAGAGAGAACTTGACTTCAAGTTTGCCTATTCCATGCATTGCACCTTTTCCATACTGTCAAAACCTCTTTTATTCAAGGTTTATGAAGATGAATGGTTTTTACAAATACTACACAATGCCATTTTTACACACTTTAGTTTTCAAATATACAACAAAATGAGGAAATAACGAGGTTGCAGTTTCTTTAAAAATCAATCCTCTCATGAAATACATCTCACAACTGCCCGAAATACACAAGCATGTCTCAACTCGAGGGCCAAAAAGTCGCAACAGTTATTAGCTTAAAATGTTGAGTTGTCTCATATATTTTATGCAGTTGTTGAAACCATTTCAGAAAAACCAGAAAAACAATACAACTAATTACCTAGGAGTCTAGCACATTTGCATCACCAAAATACATGACCAATATACAAGTTGCTTTCAGACAACAATAGTCTTCCTAATGTTTAGGGGCATTTAACAAAACACAAGACTTACTTCACACAGATCATTGCTATGCACACTGGCATTGCCAGCATTTTGTTATGTAATCCAAAAGATATTTTATATTTCTAACCCCGAGATAGTTCATTTCTGGGAGTTAGTGCAGGTTCTATACATTTCCAATCAAATTTCGGCATTGCTATAGGAATTTACACTTCTTGTGTAAGGATGAGTCCATGACAACATCTTGGGTCGAAAGCGATCTTTTGCGAGCTTCACGAATAAACTCCCTACTCTCCATATTGTCCTCAAATGTGTCCGTCCGAGAGCTTCGACGCCGGCCCCACCCATTAAACCCGACTGTCGGGACGACCGGCGGTAACAGAGGATTATAAGCGTCAGTGCCTATATCATCAGTAGATCGGTCTTCAATAGAATCAGCCCTTTGATAACAAGGGGGAGATCTTCCGCTTAAATGTGAAATAAGTTCATCACGTCTGATCGATCGTTTTTTCTTTTTTGCCCAAGCGATTACTTCTCTATTTCGTTTCTTGTGGCCCAATTGGTAGCCGGCTTCGAAATTTCTTTTATTTGTATCAATACTATCTGTTATATAGAGCATATTTTACAGTCAATTAGGCTGAATCAAATATGAAAGAACATTGTCTGGTATTTGTCAAAATTAATTTCATTATGCCTTTATGCAGCTTTTAAAATCAAGGACAGCACTTCAAATCTGTTGTTTATATAGCTGAAGTATGACCAATATTTTTAATCAAACCCTCACCAAAACAATTAAAATTCTTATTGACTGATATATGTAAAGGTAATAAAGCTTATTTTTAAGACTTACTAAATCCGTAAAAAAAACGGCATTTAAATGTATAATTGTATCTGTGGGTTGTAAAAATCAACATGCTCTTATTCTGTAAACTGGGATATCATGAAATGACTGGTACCTTTGTAAAGAACTGTTACCAAATTAGCTGTGTCTTGAAATGGTGTCCACAGGGAGGAACCATGAAACTCTTCACCCCGCTCTGAAAAAAATTAAAAAACACATATCAAACGCACGAAAAACGCACGAAAAGCCTGCCTTTTTTAGAAAAATACTCTTCATTGGCTTATTTGTTGAACAGAAGAGATACGGACCTCTGAATAGCTGGGCAACGGCATTCGCGGCGTTTTGAAAGGACATCCAAATTCGTTGAGAATTCTCTTCTCTTTCTGCCGCCAATTTTTCCTCTAAAGCGTTCAACTCGCGCTCGGCCGCATCTTCGCACTGCTCCTCCCAACTGCTGGTACCGTTTAACCTTTCTTCTCCGTCCATTTTGCGAGGTTTTTCTGAAAACAAACGTACTAAACTCGCGACGTTTTTCTACTATCACGTCGCCATGTTGATAACAATAAACCAAGGCACTTGAACCGGCTTCAGAATTCCTTGACAAAATATTCGAAATTCCTTACGTTTTCCTTAGGATTTCCCAAGGTTTTTAGTAGTTGTCCTTTATCAAAATTTGCAAAATGCCAGATTTTAAGGATAACTTTGTTTGAACGCAAGCCAATACAAGAGGAAGAGAAGGAAAGAGAAGGAGACGAAATTGCTCGGGAAGCATTCGCAAACATTTCGGGCATGTCCGATTTGAAACTTCAAAGATCAAATTTGGACAGCGAATTCACAAAAATGTACCGTTAAACAGTCTCTTTAAAAAACGCTGGCTAGGAAATCGCGTCAAAACAAGCACAGGGGAAGATTGCGCCACATATAGGATTTATAAGAATATTTTCTCATACCAATTATCCTAATTACTAAATCACCGGCCTGTGACGACAACCTGCCGAAGATAATTTACCCATAAGGTGTCGCGAGTCCCATGGGACGACAATGAGAGAAACTATAAACTGTTTTTTTCACTTCAAATTTCTAAAAATTTGAGCGATTTCTTTACAAAATGTCCGCCCAAGAGCAGATGAAAAAGATTTTGGATGAACTCATGGGAACCAGTCGTGATGGTAGGTCTAAACGGCGCGAAAATATCGCATTTCCAACTATATACAAGTATAAGTGTGTAAAATTCTACGAAATATCGAAGTCTTGAAAAGATGCATTTTATGCCCGTGGGGAATAGTCGACTTTCGAAATGCGACAGAATATCTCATTTGGAATAATTTATGTATATATCTAAATGTTTAAACGGTATCTTATACAAGAATTTTGACGTATAAGTGAATTAAAAACAAGAAAGTCTTGAAAATTGAGTTTAGCGAGGATTCTAGTAAATATGAAGTGGCTTAAATGAAACATGCAAGTTTCATTTTGTGTTGCAAAATTGCTTTGAAATGAAATAAAAATAAGAATTATACACAAATTAAAGGCTTTAAACTCTAAAAGAATAAGCCTTAGGTGTGTCCACATTGCAAAAGTTAACTCTGGTACAGTATAAAGTTATATAGAACACACAGTAGGCCCACTTAGAAGTATTTGCATATGGCATATCACATTACCCATTGTCAACCACTACTTTGGCTGGTTAGTGGCATGTTACTTAGGCTTCTGGTCAATCAAAATGGTCAGTCATTTTAATTGGAAATGTATTATAAGGCCAATCATGAGTGGGCCTACTGTATAAATCTCTATACTGTGGCACCAGATTGTCAAATCATCACCTGACATATTTATTCTCTGATTTGGCACTCTATGATTGTGGGACACACATTGAAACTGGTTTGAAAAAGCTCATTGCACATGCTCAGTTGTTTCAAGTGCATGATTTGCAAAAAACATAAAAACGACATATAGCGTAGTGACACCTTAACCTGTAAACGCTTTTGCCAATCCTGTCGGGAATAAAATGATACATTTTCAATATAAAAATCGCTTTCTCAAATGCAATACACTATATCTGTTTTGGCTGCTACCAACCAGTCATCTTAACAATCTCTCTAAAACAGACCATGATTGATCTAAACTCATCTCTACAGCAAAACCACATGCAATAATTGGGTTTTAAAATTTAAGCCCAATCAATCCTTCTGTGTCAACAAAAATTTCAAATTAAAAAGTAGACCATGATAAGTCTAAAATTCAGTTTCCTCATGAAACTTTACTATATATGTAGGTATTTATTTTGCATTGCTAAAACACTTTCAGTAAGCTAGTTTTCAGGGATATTTTTTAACGGCAAACTGTTTAATGCTTTTCTAAAGAATGGCAGAATAATCAACCACATTGTTAAACTTGACCATTTGTTGTATTTACCATTGAAGTGACAGGACGCGTAAGTAGGTTTTACGTAAGTAACAAATGTTGCAACCATGTTTCATAATGTTAATATTCCGTGTTTTTGAACCTTGGATAATAATGGAGCTACTATGTAGAATACTGCCTAAGGGGCCTAAATTACTCAAGATGGTCTAGTACTTGTACCGAACACAAATGGGTGAGTTTTTTCCAATTGAAAATATGTCATATAAAATATGGTGTGGAAATCTGAGGGTCTGAAACATTCGCTCTGAATCTAGTCTGAAGATTGATTATCCAACCATAAATTTGTTCAGAAAAGTTTTGTAAAAAAGGCTACAGTATGTAGAATTATACAATATATTGTCGCTTTCAGTTTTTTTATATAAGCATTTTATAACACCATAAAAAGTATGCTCAAAATTTGTGGTAGTGAGTTTCTTTTTCTAAAAAGGGTCTTTAACTAAGCTATGGTTTAACTTCTTTTCTTTTTTAACAAACATTTCATCAAAGAACTTTGTTTTAAGCTAATGCGAAGATCTGTTTCTAAAGGTGAACCCCCGGCTGATGATATAAAGTTCACAGATGAAAAAGTTTGTAAGAGCTTTATCATGGGACTCTGTCCTCACGCCCTCTTCAATAACACAGTAAGTAATGCATGCTTAGTGATGGTACTTCGTCTTTCAACTTAATGAGTTCACCACAGGTTGATCCAATGTAGCGGAAAGAGTATAGGCCAGCTCAAAATCATGAAGTGGAGTATGAGCGCTAGCATCAAGGATATTAGAATGTATCTGTACACCTTTTGCACCCTGTCTGCCTGAGGGCGTGGACACAGCAACTTAGAGAGGGTATAGACCAGCCTCTGTCATGGAGGGGGTATGAGCATCAGGAATATTAGAATATATGTTTCACCCCTCTGCCCTAGGCTAAGGGGGTGAGCAACTAGCCAACCTATTTCCTATTAGTCCTGGAATTCACATTGACCATTTTTTGCAGAAAATGGATATTGGTGACTGCAGGAAGGTTCATTCAGCTGCCTTGAAAGCCGACTACGAGGCTGCATCCAAGTCGCGCAGTTATGGATACGAACTGGATGTAAGGATTATGATTTCTGTAAAAAAGACTGTAATTCAGACCTGTGTTACCAGGGTAAGAACTATGCAGCATCTGAGCTGGCCAATAAATTACTTACATTGTTTCTTACAGCAAATGGAACATCTTCAAGCATTTATCAAGGAATGTGATCGAAAGATTGTCCTGGCGAAAAAGCGACTGGCAGAAACACAAGATGACTTTGGCAACACTCCTGAGGTTTGAAGCATGGCATGGAGTTTCCCTCAATGGCATAATTTGCATTTTCTCTAGTTGCAATATGTCACTGGTATACTCTTGGTTGGCATTCCTCTGAAGTTTAATATATTTTTTTACTTCAGGCACAAGCTGTTCATGAATTGGGAGAAAAGATTGGTAAAAAGCTTGCCGAAGCTGAAGCTCTAGGTTTGTAAACAAAACATAAAGTGTTATCACAGAGATACTACTGTTTCTGTACCTACAAACACAGTGTCTCTTGCAATCTGTGGTCTTTCTGAATGTGGTCATTCTCATCAAAACTAGTGGGATAATAGTGAAGAATACTTTTATACAGTCGTTATTATGCTACAGTGTCTTGTGACTTCCCAAAATGTTGTTTATTCATTTGCAGGTGCTGAAGGCAAAGTAGACGAGTCCTTGCAAGCTATGGCAGAAGTTGAGGAATTAAAAAATCAGAAAAGAACTGCCGAGGTGACTTGGAATCATAATCTTGTGGATAAATACTTATTGATTGTCATAATAGATAACTATTGATTATCAGTGAATAAATTGTAGTAATCATGGTTATATGATCATAATCATGACTGATTATATATGCTCATACCTATGGATAATATTTGATCATAATCATCAATAAATATTTACTGATTGATCGATAATATTATCTATTCCAGGAGGTCTATCGCGATACGTTGCCATCGTCGTCCTTACAACAGCAGAAGTTGAGAGTTTGCGAAGTCTGTGCCGCATATCTCAGTCTTTATGATAATGATCGAAGGTTTGTGGATGAATGTGAATCGTCGATATTATATACACTTAATGTATGCTCCCGAGGGAAATAGTGAGTTTTGTTTACCCAAGAGTCTGAATGTTTTCCGAGACGAAGTCGAGGGAAAACAAAACTCACTATTTCCCGAGGTAGTGTATTACTAGTGTACATTAAATGTTTTGTTATATAGGAACAAAAACATACATGTTACACAACAATTTCATTTAAAAAAAACCCCAGTTACCCCACTTTACTTTGTTATGACAAGAAGCAGGCAACAATTTTTCACTTGTTTCCCTGGCGGGAAACATTGCATTTATTTAAAGTCATGTGACTACGAATGAACCAATCACATTTAAAATACACAGCACCTATATAATTAACAACGAGAGTGAGCAGAATAACTTTTTTATTATATAAACAAACTTTGTCGCCCTTTCGGGGCATTTTGGTGTGCTATTATCATCTAAAGCTTGGATTTCTATTTCACTCAACTCTCCAAATCTTTCCGCCATTTTGTTTACTTTCTCTACTAGACAGATATGAGCTAATATCTATATCTGTCTAGTAGCCAACCAATGAAATTGCAGCATACCTCATATCTGGCGCTTGTGTATATAACAATACATGATATTATGCACCGCGCAAAATCCTAGTCTTACTAAACACTAACACTAGTATTGTACGTTTCAGACTGGCGGATCATTTTGGCGGGAAACTTCATATGGGTTTTATCAAAATTCGGGACCGACTCAAAGAGCTCGAAGTTAGTAAAAAATTTCTGCTTTTGAACAAGTCAGAAACTCGCCTGTAGAATAAAATTCAGCTCTCTTGCCTATCCTCAATTAATACCCATAAAAGTCTACGGTTTTTGGTTTGCAAAATAAGATAAAAAGTTCCCAAATTCATATTACCTCAAGATATCTACCTGAACATTTATATTGAGTTTAGGTTAGGGAGGGAACTTTTTTCAAGCTTTTTAGATGTGTAATAGTTTATATTTTAAGTCGAATGTGCAGGAATGGCTGCTTAATTCGATGAGTGATTTCGTCATATTGAAAACCACAGTTTATGGAAATCGTTTGTTTTCTTCAAGGACGAGGTGGAGAAGAAACGTGAAGCACGCGAAATGGAGCGTGCAAAACGCCAAGCTGAACGCGAGAAAGATTTGGAAGATAGACGAAGAAAGGATAGAAATGGCGACAGGTAAATATTGGCAAAAGAGGGTCGTCGGTATTGGGAAGAAACTGGGTACATCAGTTGATGCTGAAGGTGTTATTTTGTTTTGTAGGGATCGCAGGAGAGATCGTAGTCGGGATAGGGATAGAGACCGAGGGAGAGACAGGGATCGCGATCGTCGAGGAAGAGATGATCGCAGAGACAGTAATAACGACAGATCAAGAAGGTTTGTATGGCCTTCGGGGATATCTTCTGTCACGTAATGAATATATAGCGATAGAACAGGTCTTGGACCTCTATATGAGGAACATTTCAGAACTCAAGGACTTTTTTCACTTCCTAGGGATCGTCGTAGCCGCAGTCGTGAACGACGTCGTAGTCGGAGCCGAGAACGAAGACGAAGTCGTAGTCGTGAACGTCGTCGGGATAGGTCGCGTTCCCGCTCCAAATCAAATCCTGCCGCCAGGAGGGAGAGATCGCCCGAGTAGAAATGAAGTGCAATAAAGCCAAAAAGACTTGGACTAGCGGGTTAATAGGATGATTTCCAGCGATAGTTTGTCGTCTACAAGACTTATGAATTTGTTTTGTACTGGGCTCAAGAAGTCGCTTTTAGCAAGCTACAGCCAGTTTAAAACAGTTGTCCACATCATTACCTATACACTTTGCTTGATATAATATTGTTTCCGATTAAATCTTTAATAAACACGCATACAGTTTGTAAAATAGTGTTCAATGTAAGAATTGTGTCGTCAAATACATTCCTTTTTTCTTGAGAGTTGGATATACGACGTTGCTTCGTTTAATTTGAATTGATCTTGAATTGAAATTGCTAGTATTTCTGAAAAGAAAGGTCCTCTTTGAGCACTGTCCAGTTATCCGTTTCTGATACAGAGACAATAGATGTTGAAAGCCTTGAATCTAATTCAAAGTCTCGATTTTGAGGCGGAAATTTTTCACAACGACCAGAAACCCCTGTAACGTGGTTGATATTTTCAATGTGGTAAGATCTTCAGATGGGAGAAATTTTAAGTTAAATCCGGACAAATTTTTGCCTATGTATCTTGTGAAATGCGGTTTTCAGCGAAGTAGTTAGCTCTATCAGTGTGTTAACACATTCTAAACACGGGATGATTAGGTTAATGGCGCGGGTTTGATCAGTTATTTACTGCCGGAAATATTTTTCTTTCCCACAAACAAATAAAAGTGAATTAATAGAATCTTTTTTGACAACTTTACCACAACAATTAGATTTAATTGAGACCACAGTCAGCATGGTTGTTATTGGTAATAAATACCAAACGCGTGAGCAAGTCTAAGTTTACATTATTAAAAAAAATGCAGGGGCCGGCTGTATCAAGCCCGTTTAGCTTAAACGGCGGATAAGTTCAAAAAAGAAATCACGTCTATCGTTTTATTCAACAAGCAAACTAAATGTTTTTAACCTTAATACAAATATACTGTTTACAACTACATATTCAGTGCATAATATTAAAGTTGACTCGTTCAAAAGAGATGTAAGAGTGTTATTTAATTTTGACTTATCCGCCGTTTAAGCTAAACGGGCTTGATACAACCTGCCCCAGTTTGTTTAGAGTAGTTTAACTAGCTTATCTTAAGGTAATGTTACACGAAACAACTTTCAACATCAACTTGCAAAGCAACAATGTTTTGAAAAAGGTTTACGTGTCGAATATGAAATATATGAGCTAGTTTGTAACACAGAAATTGCTTTGGAAACAAGTTGAATGTTTATGAACTGTTTTTATTCCACAAAACATTGTTGTTTAGATTTTTGCTTATTGCATGTTGCGTTGCGAGTTGATGTTGAAAGTTGTTTCATGTAAAATGACCTTTAGTTTTCAATGACACAGCGGAAATTGGTATAGGCTTAGCCGCAATTCTCAAGGCTTTATAGACTTCAAACTTGGTGAGAAAAAAGATTGATAAGTATTCAAGAAAATATATCTTGCATAAAAGATTTGAAGCTTGCACATGGTAAAAACGAATCGTCTAAATTCATAACCTTGTGTATACTTTAAGCCTGAAAATGGCCATTCCACAGCGGTCATATGTGTATGATGAGTTGTCAAAAGATTGCAGAATGCGTATTCGAAAGAATAATTGAACTTTTTTAAGATATTCAAAAGGTTTCTCTTTAATAGCGGTACAGAAATGCACAATTGTGAACCAGCGATTAGATTTTCGGGTTGAAACGTCTTAAACACCAATTTCTGCGGTGTCGTTTTCAATTTAAGTGAATCTCGGACAATAGATAACCAAGTGATGGTACTTGCCAGTTGTGTCCTATTGGTTTCCAGTGATCAATGCGGTTTACAACAGGAAATTAACGTAATTTCCTAAGGTAACAAGGCACCATGTAATCGACCTTATGTTAGTAATAAGCGGTTTTCTGCTTACGTTCGACTCACATCTGTCATTTTAAGCTGTATAATTAATGGTCAGATCAGTTTTTCACTACCTCTTCTAAGCGCAATTATCAACTATTTATTTTCCCCCTGCTAAGTGCGAAGAAAGTCTGTGATTCAATTTCCATATGCTGTCTATAGAGTTTTTGTTTAGATCCATCGATACGAACGAATCAAATCATCTCATTGGGGGGTTTTAATCGTAAGATAGCTTTTCTAGTTAAATACATAAGGCCGGCACATGTGACTTCGCAATGCATTGCAGTTGTCAGTTGTAGCGCAAAATATGTCTAGTTAATGTTAATCATCTACATCATATACGCATGTAAGCCTATGTGTGAATAATAGAATTGCTTCGATTCAACAGAATTGTGCGAATAGAATTGTGTAAATGGACAAAAAATTTCTCGACATTCCAGACCTATATCACTTTTAAAATTGCCTTGTTTTTTAGATCTATCCTTCCTTAACAAACACACAAAAAAATTAAATCAAAATAGCCTTTAGTTATAAAGTTATCTTGGGTTAAACATAGGCTGTTTTCCGTTCGAAATTTGCAAATTCCAATAACAGGCTACCGAATGCGCGCGGTCCCTACCTATAAGGGCCTTCTTCAGGAGAGTTATAGTAAGAAGAAGCGATCTATCCTGATGAAGAACCCCTAGGTCGAAACGTCGAGAAGTGTTTTCGGCCATTTAAGACAGTTGTTAAACTGCATTTGATGCGAAGTTGTTTGAAGACGCCGCCACGCCGCTCAGTGGTATAGTAACAGCAAGAATCCTAAGTGTAAACGAGCGTTAACGATTACTCGATCGTTGTCGTCAGCGCATTGATTACCGTGATGCAATTAACTTATTTTTATCTTCATTAATCCAATTATATTAGCGCGCATGTCAGCACGATCCCCACGCACAATCGAGGACTGATCGTTATGCTAAGCGATAATCTTTCCCATGTCTAGTGAGATCTTCCTGCATGGTAACGTATTACAAAGCAAATCCTAGTATTTCACTTCAAATTCTTCCTCCTCGTTTCTGAACACCGGCTTTTGCAAAGCTTCAGATGATTTTGTAGAATTTTACTTATTTTAGGAAAAAAACATTCCGGAAAATCCGACACCGAGGAAGCTTTAAAACGTCAAGTCGGCGAATCTGAATTTTCGACCTTGTCAATCAAATTTCACGGTTTCTTCAAGGTATGGAACATCCATAGCCTGAAACGATTTGGGACGATGCCATTTTGTGTTTTTTTAGTTCTTTTGCGTGGTTTCCCGTTTGAAATCGCGCACAGTCATCCATCCTTGTTCATTTCTCATCAGCGTCAATTCGAAAATATTCTAAATATTTATTTCATAGAGAAACGTGCAAGATGGCGTGAACAGCAATGGAATTACCACAGCAAATAGGAGAGAGTTGGAATCGTTCGGAAACGACAGTGTCCGTTACGATGATTCATGATTGCACCAAAAAAATACGTTACTTCAAGGTCAGATGACGTAATCATCGAAAGGGTGAAATAAAGAAGCCTGTATGCTGTTTCTGGGCTATCACAGACAAATTCAAAACAAGATATTCAATATATGTTTTAAAAAACACGAGAAAACATCTTGTAAACACTAGATTACGATGATATTTTAGACTCTATGTCAAGGTCATTGTCAAACCAGACTTTAAAGGTAATGCTACACGAAATCACTTTCAACATCACATCGCAAATAAACAACAATGTTGTATGGAATAAAGATAGTTCATAAACTTTCAACTTGTTTCCAAAACAATTTCTGTAGCTCATAAATATATATAATATTCGACGCGTAAACCTTTTTCAACTTGAATATTGTTGCGTTGCGAGTTGATGTTGAAAGTTGTTTCGGATCATGAAGGAAAGAGTGTAAACTTGCTTAAATCTTCAGTTCACAAGGTGTTGATCTTTGGAGTATATTTTCTCTTCTTATATATTGTTTGTTGGTAATAGCTATACTATAAGTTTGGATCATGTTCAAAAGCATAAGAATGAGTCTGCCTTTTCCTTTGGTTACAAAAACGCAATCCGTATCTTGAAGTATGCTTTTTTTCTAAGAATCATCACGCACTGCGAGGAACAATGATTTGGGAAGAGGAACGTTTAGTTGCAACCAACGCATTCCTCTTAGGCGTTTTTTTCTTACATCATATCCTGCATGGGGGTTTGAAATTTAACTCAACAACAAATAACACGCATTCTTTCCTGAATAAAGCGACGGAATTGACCTCATAAAGTAGAATAACGACGTCAGCAACGAGTACAATAGTCGAGCTCAAAGAAGTCTTTTGACTATGAGGAAGGTTTCTGACGCAAACAGCCCGGTAGTCCGTAGTCCGGGGAGACCAGTTTACAAAATCAGCCAAATTGATTATTGTTCATCTCCTTACATAAACGCATGAACGTGCTTTGGAATGCGACTGGCTGACTGCCCACTCGAATAAAGAGGCACCGCCCGTTTCGCCAAAAATAGATGAACCCGAATATAAATCCACTGTAAAATATAAATAGCTCAATTGAATGAAAATTAGATTAAATTGCGCTACTCCAAACGCACGCGAACTTGTCGCAAAGGACTGACAAAGAACAGAACAACCACTGAGTCCCCGTTTCATCAAGAGGCAATAATATTTTATAACGAATAAACTCTATCTGCTTCAGCCTTGTTGAATTTCCTCTAGAGCGTATACTGCATGGTTCGTTATAACAGCGCTGTATCGTTCGACCGCAGAGCCTATGCTGTAAATGCAAATACTATAATTTATTAGATGTTAAAAAGGTCATTTCATTGGCTATGCATGTAAATTCTTTTGAAAACTAACGATAACTGTAAAAAGAGGTAATGCCATTAAGCTAAGCTCATTTCTGAACGACTTTAGCTTAGATTGGAGCATTAAACGCCCTACATGCAAGTGTTCATGACGTGAACTCTGTTTTTTGACATATATCAAAGCGTAGGCCAAAGAGTGACGATTAGCAAAAAGTGCGTGCGTATTCTGCGCTTGATATCTTTAAAGGCGTTGATAATTTTTTTTCTACTTGGGCTAAGTGGCGAAAAAAATCAAGTTTACACGTTCGTCAAACAGCCAAGTTGAAGTATTTCAACTCAGCAAAACAAGGTTTTTTTCGAAATGGCTGAGCGCAAGGTAGTTCAGGGTCTCATTTCAGAGCGCGCGACGGCGCGAGATTTCTGTGATTCAAAAATTGTATATATACATTGTATAGTTTCATATTTCACTGTTAGAGTCATTTTCATATTCATATTTTCTACTTCTCGAAGGCTATAGACTTATAGCCGAACTTGTAATATCATTAATTTTAATATTTCAACCGCAGGGCGTTCTATATTTCTATCATGAATTACTTAATGCATGCCTTAACAGGTTTTTACAAATTTTACTTAATGACATGCGTTTAGCCGCTTTTGACCGCCTTTTTAAACTTGAAATATTCAGTCATTTTCTGATCAAGAAACGTGCGAAAGGATCGTATATCTTAAAGGAACTTCTACCGAGGTGTTGAGATTCGTAATCATATTTACTATGTTATTGAATATTGTTTTGTTTATACTGTGTTTAGATTAACGTTAGTCTGTTGTTCGAGCTTGATCAATTGCCAAGCAAAACAGTGCAATTACAAACTTTCATTATCGTGTTGGCCGAAAATTTACAGCAAGCTGACGTCGTATTCATTTGAGTTCACGGATGCCCGAGTGTCATTTTTCCCAATGCAAACATTTCCTGGCTTGCTGAAGTTCCGCGTCAATTGATCGTGGGAACATTTCTCGAATGGCCTTTTGCACTGTTTACAAACAACACGATTATACTTAGGAAAATGCTCTTGAGCTCTGTAAATGCGCATTCAGTCCGCTTTATCTCGCTCACAAGAGATTAAACCTCGGTGTTTAGATTTCGGGGTAGCCTAAATATGTCCTTATGAAACAAAACAAGCATATAATATTAAGATGAAATAATTCAAATAAGATCATATGGTAAGATGACTAAGATCACAGATAATAATTAATGTAGAAAGGTTATGGTGTTACCACAATAACTAACTACATAATAACTACATTATTTACCACAGAAACCTCTGAGTTTTTCACGCTGTCTGAAAATCCGTGGTATAGTTTGAAATCTTCACCATTATAGCTCATATATACGTTTTGAGAAGTTAGCTGGAAGCATTTTTGGAAAGAGCTAACAAAGGTGTTCAGTTGATAGGAGATGTTTAGTGATTATGGACTCATGGTATTTTGAAACGAGTTTTGCCATATTGTCATTTCTTTTCGTTGTGAAATGATTCAAGACTCACGATTTACTTTTGTAGAATTTCTGTGTTAACACCGAACCATCAATACTTTGAACTGGGTCTAAATCTTGCGTAGAGTCTTTATGTCTATATGTATATGGTTAACTGCACGGGATATTTCAACATCCCCAAAAATGTTATAGCTACTCACCTATGCATTTACTATGTCTAAATCCATGCTATTTTATTGGAAATTTTAAGAATATACTAGTTGATATAGGGCAATCATGAATCATGCATGCAAATTTACAGCAAGGTTACCGTGTTAACCTTTATGAAAAAAATCCCACATAACCCCTTGCATATATATACCTCATTCCAAACGAAAGGAACGAAAGGTATATAAGACGACACTTCTGTGAGAAATGAAATGTATTATATATGACACGAAAACAATATCAGCTAACAGAACGCTCGTGTTTTTTACAAAAAAAAAAACGTTACTTAATTCACAACTGCATCGCGAGAAATACTTTGCTAACTTGCAGCGTATTTTTTATAAACCTTTGGAAGGCTAACGGAGGTCAGCGTTCTCACGGTGTTCGCTATCATAAAATGTTTGCATCACTTTTACTTATTCTGACCAGTTCTAGAGTTTGCCTTGCGTCATGATTGCCTTGCACTAGGAATTTTGCAAGCGTCAACATGCAAACATTCTGGAAACGATTGTGAAATTATGTTACAAAGAGACTTTCAAGTTGCGGGTATATTTTATACTAAACACGTCATGCAATCTTGCAATTTAGCAATTATACTATTTGCGAGAATATTTATATAACAATCGACTTATTTTCTTTGTATATTATGAAACAAATTTCGACCAAGATTGCGACCAGCAACCATTGTTTGTTGTGACTGCGGAAACCCAATTCAACATAGACAGAAATTCAATATTATTTCGTCACAATTAACTGCATTCTCGCTAACAAACAACTCTCGCTTAGCTTCAAGAGCTAAGAACAGCAACCCTTGACGTGCTTTTTTGTGATGGACACTTAATTCTAACATATAAAGCACAATTTTTTTTGCTCTTATGAAGTGAATGACAACAAATTTGTGAATAACCGTAATCGATTCTTCAAGGATTCTTGAATAGACATAGGACTCGTGCAAATATCAGCTGAAATCCCTGAATTGTTAACGTCGGACATGAATATCACACAATTGAATGCAATTATATCAGATCACACAATCGAATGCAATTATATCAGATTTCAAAGCGAATTTGCAAATTTCCAAAACGTGAAATTCATACCGACTGTTAAACCGTACGTGATGACAAACGCCGCTTAATCGCACAAACCACGAGCGCAGTTTACGTGCAAAATGACCGCGCATAACGGACGTTACCCAACGACACGAGAGGATGAGATATAAATCAGGAAACTATAATGATTGTCCGCTCAGTACGGGCGAATACCGTCTCGCAAAAGCACAAAAGGGAGCCAGTTTTTTGCCATTTCCGCCGAAATGACCTTAATTAAGACAGGATTTGACCTTTCATCACCTTATATAATCTTCCGTCAATGGATCACATCAAGCATATGTATAAAAGACGGGGAATACAACAATACCCGTTTAACGAATGATGTACAAAGAAAGATATATCATAATACCATTTGCAACGATTCATTTCAACCGGGCGAGGCTCTGAAAAGCTCTAGCCTCTTCTGGGAACAACGGCTCGCGGGCGGTTTTGGAAACTTCGATAGATTGATCCATTGAAAGTTAATAAATTTCAAGCCGCGATATCGGGCGTCTGTTTATAGCAGCGGGGATTGCCAAAATAAACAATGAGACAGTAAAGAGTATTCGTTTTTTTCTAGGGTAATTAATTATACCGGACAGCGAATATAAATTTGCGAACTGGTCGTTCAAAGACGTTAACGACACGAATGTGTGATAAAATTTGGACGCAAAGACAAAAAATCAGAGCGTCTTGAATCGTTGGTATAAACATTGTAAGTTGGTTCTATAAATACGTGCCATTGGTCAAGTGTTTTCTGGCGATGGACGGAGAAACGTGTTGTTATTTTGTGAGGCTGTTCATTTTCCAAATTTTACTGTTCGACGCAAGTCTACTTCTGTTTACAAATGGTGAGTAATTCACTTCGTTGCATTTAAAGTAATCATTTTTCGGTAATCCTAGGTGCAAGTAGGCGGTTAAAATTGACTGCAATTACAGCTGTATCTTTCATTGCGCTGTACGTGGTGGTGCTACAACGCTCGCTGTGCGCTTGGGAAGACGTAACCAACGAAGTTGTAACGATAATGAAAACTGGAATTGCGACCTGTTCTCAAGCTGCTTGACCCTTGGATTTAGTTTGCGCGACCTCTAAGCAGATTTTACTTAGCACAAGGGATCATCTGGTTTAGTGGGTCGCAATATGAAACAGGAATTCAGCGACGGTTTACAAAAACCGGCAAACTGCAACCAATTATAACGTCTGTATACAGGATTATCGGGATTATTTGATTCGGGCGTATTCAGAGCTGACGCAATTCACACGCAAGTAGTGATGATCAGCCTTTTTTGCGCGATTACCAATCAGTCGACATGAGCGAATTAGAAACCTAACTGCCATATGTTAGGAATATATATATTTTTATATAAAAGCCTGCGATTTCTTGAGATAGCTTCAGTGCGCGCGGCTATTTTCTCGAAAAATTTACCATGCAAAAATTATTTGCCGGGAAAGTCGTATTATTTGATTGACTTGCGCGCTATTTCTGTGCATGTTCCTGGCGATTCTGTGTGGACGCTAAAATCACTAAAAATGTCAACAGTACAATAGAAAACATCGTATTTGTGGTTAAATCTGTCAGCTGGGAATATTATTGACGCTGTGAAGGAAGGAATACTTATCCCTAGCAAGTCCATCGGCGGCGTTAAACATCTGGCGTTTTAGATAAAGAGGTTATAGTAATGTCCTTGAAATGTCAAGAGAATATTGTTATTCTTGTATACGATATCAGACGAGATTTTGTCTACGCCACTGAAGAGTGACGTAGTTTATAACTTCAGTTGAAATACCGACGAGAATTGTTGTCTTTGAGTTGACGGACAATGTTCACTAAAGGACGGGTATCTACTATCCAGCACGATTTAATAGCGTTGTACGAGCGGTCACCGGCTATAGCCAATGAGGAAGCCCGCAGGTCGATGATTTTGTACCAGAAACAACGGTTTTACTAGTCGAATACTTAGGATAAGTAAAGTACCTTTTAACGCGCGTAAGATGTGAAGAATGTTCACTGTATAGTATTTTCCAGATTCAGGAAACTAAATTTAACCCATTTCATATGCCAACACGCCCGAAGGCAAAAGAAACGTTTAGTATTGTCCTTAACTAATGGCAGCCAGCCAATATATGATGATCACATGAACTTGAAATCACTTGAAATGTTTTTGTTGTTTTTACTTTCGACAAAAGCGCAAGTTCTGATACAGGAAGGAGAAATCTTATCCATTTAAATGCATTGCAAACTATGACATTGTTTTATTAATTAATTAACCGCCATGTGATTTATCTCAGAAACGTTGTTTCGGAATTCACGAAATTGTTCATTCTTGTTGTTGCCTTGACAAGTCATTGTCTTATTGATGAATTATGCGACTCACGAATTGTCGTGGAGCAGTGTCGTGGAGACGCATATCCACATGAAAATATATCTGATATCGATCTTTTCTGAGGTCAATACGTCGTGAAGACAATACCTCAATGGTTGAAACACTCGAGATTTTCAAATTTAAATATATTTTACACTTAATTCAGTCGACGAGATGACCTTGGAGTTCAGCGGGTAATATTTCAATACTCCCACTTACGATCTCAATCAACGCGTAGGGAGGTGACGTTTGAGAACGCGGATTCTAAAACTGGAGCGCTTCAAACCATTTTGATTATTAAAAAGCCATGCAAATAACTATACGTAGCATTTTCGTCGCATCGAATGCAAATTAAACGAAAGTCAAAAGATGATGGTATGATGAACTGACGCGAATTCTCAGTTTTTAGCAACATATAAATTAAATTCTGGAAGAAAAAAATTCAATCTATGGACGGCAGAGAAAAATCAAAATGCATTATCGTTAAATCTACTAGAATATTATGATAGCTATTTGCTTTTGAAAAGTAAAAAGCATTGCAAAAAAATCGCGTCGCGTTGCCAAATCATGTCCTTTCTGTGCGGGCTTTAAACCAGTTCTCGTAGGCGAGTTTTCTGTGAGTTGATGGATGAGATCAGGTAGATAAGTTACGGATTTTCAAATATAGGGGGAAGCTATTCACAGGTACCCAAGAAAGCGCAGTAGTTCGAAATAAAAATCGCAGCTGAGGATTTGCAAATGTTGACAGCTTTGTCGCCCCAAAACGTGCATTGCTGCTTCGACATAAGAGGATTAGAACCACGTATCTTCTTAAAATGAACGTGCAGTTTCGAATGCCATATTTTGTGCTCACGCAGGTTTGGATCATCCAAAGCTGAACTTTCTGCGGAAGTATTTATCTTTCTCACGAAGCTTTGAAGACAAAGCTTGTTTGGAACCCTAAGTGAAGCATACTATAAGATTGTTTTTGAACATCAGCAGACGAGTTTCGTCCCATAGCCTGATCTCTTTGTAAGATTGTTTTGGTGTTTGTCTTACTGGTTCCTCTGTTCTTCAGATCATACAATTTCTGGATTTTTCATTTCAAATGCTCACCAATATGGCGAATGCATGACGTATAGGTGAAAACCATCGATTATAAGGTGGCATGCAGATATTTGATGAAATTCTTGTGGTTGTAATTCTTGTGGTCAAACTGTGTATTTCAAAGTTGCAACCAATGTAAATTGTTGTCAAATATTGGGCCATTATTGGCCACAAGGCGCCATCATGCTCGGCGCCTCAAAATAACAGTTAAAATTTCAAGAGCCTTTAGATCGTGAGAAATGCAAGGTCTATTCACGTCCAGTCTTGCAAAAAATTCCATGGATTCTGTCGTTCATTAACTGCCGAAAAAGTTGGGATGGATCAGGCCTGTCTTAGGATTTCAAGGCCCATGATCATAGGAAAACAGGAAGGCATGACTATAGATCTACAGAATAACAAATCGATTAACAAATCCTCATCCTTGATCCTTGCACTTGCATAATTTATTCAAACGTTTGTGCATGATAGAGCATAGATGAGAAATCTGAAAACACTGTTGAACTCATCACAAAAGAGTACATCCTCTCTGCACACTAACCACTTCTGTTCATGAGCAAACGCGAAACTGAGAAAGATAGATAGTTGTCTGGGGCCGTTTGTATCAAGCCCGTTTAGCTTAAACGGTGGTTAAGTTCAAAATAGAAAGCAAGTCTATCGTTTTATTCAACAAGCAAACAAAATGTTTTTAACCTTAATACAAAGATACTGTTTACAACTACATATTCAGTGCATGAAATTCAAGTTGACTCATTCAAGAGAGATGTAAGAGTGTTATTTAATTTTGACTTATCCGCCGGTTAAGCTAAACGGGCTTGATACTACCGGCCCCTGCATGAAGTATCTGGAATTGGCAAAACTGATTAACAAGTTTTAGCAACGACACTTACAAAACGACTGTAATTATCTTTATCAGGTGCGTCGTCAATGGCAGTGGCGAGGGTCAAGTGGCAAAGAAGAGACCGTGCGAGACTACAAGGTATGCTGCTCTGTGAGAATCAGAAGGAGAACTTGATTTGTCCGGACGGCAAGGTTCTGAGGATCCACAACTCGGATTATGGCAGGAGACACAAGTTCATTTGCGGGTTGGGAAAGACGAAGAACTGTTCCACCAAGATCTCCACTACGGCAAAAATGAAGACGATGTGCGATGGACGAGCGATGTGTTACGTCGACACGAGCGACGGCCGTTTCATCGACGCCTGCCCAGGGGAAATAAAATACCTGCATGTGGTGTATAGGTGTGTTAAACAGCAACAGATTTCAAATAGAGGTAACTACGATACTATATCCTCAGGGAAATGCCGCATTTAGGGAGGGGGCGAGCTTCACCCGCCTAATACCAGCAGACTAACATCTGCCTACCTTCACGAGAAATGAAAATTTTGCTACTGAGAACGAGAATTCTTAAGAGTGAAATATATGAATTGAGATTTCTCGGCTGTATCTCGGTCAATTCAGCTATCGAGGCAAATGAGATTGCTAGAACATATTTTCGCTCTTCTGAAAAAATTTGAACTATTGAATTCTTCAACGGGAGACACCTTTGTCCTGAAAGAAATTTGGAAGAAGATTACGATGTAAAAGGAATCGAGAAACAAAAAGATTTTAGAAAAACATCATCTTCAGTTATAAACAATCTATTTTTTGCTTTGGAAGAACAATTTACCAGGCAATATCGATTTGTCATGTTTACAAATCAACTGCAACCTTTATCAGAAAACTAAGAGACCTAAATCGGATTGAAAACTTATTTATTTTCGAGATCATGAATTCTGTTGTTGTGTTATCTAGTGCCGATGGCTCCAAACGTCGTAAATATGAGGAGGAAAGTCTTGCAGCCGAAATGCGGTAAATCAAAGCCGACTCAAGTCAGCGCCAGAGTTGTGGAAGGAATGAAGAGCCCACCAGGGAAATGGCCTTGGCAGGTAAACTATATATAGCCACAAAACTCCGGCCGTAGGGAACTGTCAACAACCTCTCACCCACTCAGAAACCTTTAGCCTTGTAAACAACTGTCAACAGGACAGCGAACAGGACGTAAACATCACGATGTCGTTCACTTCGTTCACACAATACAGGCCAACTTTGAGTTTATATGTTTTTTACTATCTGTTTGGCTCACAGCTCTCAATTTTTAACTGAAGATTACACGATTTGTAGTCAAAACAAACTCATCTGTAGTTAAGGTGTTCACACAATGCCATAGAGAGAATATTTCAGCATTTTCCTGACGGTTTAAAACTCTACAGTTAGCATTCTCTGTTTTCAATATGCTTTCCATGGTTTTCAGTTTATTTCATAACGGTGAAAGCAACTCACAAAAAAAGCCTAAGCATTTCGTTTCCGTTTCAGAAATCTATCTCAATCTAAAATGAAATTCAATCGAGGTTGTTCGAAGAACAATTCTCCTTTTACAATCGGACAGCTTTTACCAAGTTGTGAAAAATGTTGTATCTTAATTAATAACACTTGGTATTTTAAAAACAATAAAACACTGTTTTAGACTTGACTTGAAGCGTACGTATGAATCTCATGACCTCTTCCATCTTGCAGTTGTCAATCAGTTGATCATGCATACTGTTCGGTGTTTACTCTCGATAAATAAAGTTGATCTATCTATCATTGCAGTGCAAACAGAGCATTCCCATCAAAATTTTAACCCATGTCGCAATTCCCTAGACGCGAAACTCATTAAGATATTGTCCTTTCATTGTTTCAAGGCATTGATGTTGAAAGGTCGCAATAAGCGCTTCATATGCGGTGGAACTTTAATCCATCCAAGATGGGTTTTGACAGCGGCACACTGCATTAAAAGCAGGTAGGTAAATAAAACTCCCGAGGATATTAACGCTAATGTCAATGCTACTGTGGTGACCTACGAGCAGTGATTCTGAAAATACACACATGCACACGCTGTGTTTATATTTTTTTCAACACAACTCCCAGGGTCTGTTGTATCAACCCCGAGAAAGCAAGTCTGCATGCATGCCGTTTTATTCAACAAGCGAACAAATTGTTTTTAACCTTAATACAAAGATAATGTTTATAACTACATGTTCCGTGCATAATATTAACAAGTTGACTTGTTCAAGACGTGTATTAACAACGATTTAAGTTGATTCCGGTCGATAAAAACAGAATAAAGAAGTGTTGTGAGCTTGCATGTGGCGCAGCACTCAACGACGAAAACGTGGTAATTTAAAAGGTTTGTGACGTGCAGAACGAAATTGTTAAGTCTCGCTGTTATCAATCGGGAACAACTTGAGTATTTTACTAATTTGTATATAACTTCAAGTATATATCCGGAATCATCCGCTAGAGATAACGAGAACGACAAAGCATCGCTGCTTTTATCGACTAGTTTTTCGTTTATAACGCCAAAACATTCCCAAGATACATTGTTAATCGCCTGGGTCCTCTCCTGCGACTCCGAGATAGTCCGTTAACGATCCATCATAATACTACTTATAGAAAGAAGAACTACTACACAATCCGTCTTGGTGATCTAGACAGAGGTGTGAGTGATCCTCACGAACAAGAAATTTCGGTGAAACGTGCGATTCGTCATCCGGACTACTTTACGCCACATCCACTCAACAATGACGTAGCGTTATTGGAACTGGAAAAACCCGCGAAGCTGAACGATCGGGTTGGCCTGGCTTGTCTACCAAGCTCGAACTATGAACTACCCGTTAACGATCCGAACACGAGGTGCTACATCACAGGTAAGCAAATGAGATGTTTTTACAAGCAGCTGAACTCAGGTGGACCGAAATGGATGGAATGAATCATTAGAAACTGTTTGTTTCTGTAGGTTGGGGGAAGACGCGATATTTTGGGCATATGGCTCAGATGTTAAGACATGTCGAGGTTCCTCCTGTCGATAGAAAGAAATGTGCGAGACGACTTGCGAAGTCACCAGGTAATTCCGGAATACAAGTTAGAATTCTGGCAGAAGAATGTTCCCAGATGTGTTCCACTTTGTAAATTTGATTCGTCTGAAAACTACTCGCAGTTTTCACGATTTTCTGTGCGATTTATTCTTTTGACAGATGGAGACGAGTGAGTAGTTAGGAATGTTCGCACGTACAAGTGCCTTTTTTTGAACATCCTTGACTTATCCACTCGATCACATCCATCGAAATCATCAATGATCAGTGAACTTTTAGTATACTGTCTATTAATGGGGCAATCAAAACTATTTGCAACCATTTACAGCCGTCAAACGGACCCCAAAACTGAATCTAGTTCCTTCAACTAACGTTTAAATCCGTGAAATTTCATCAATTTTCCCTTTTCAAACTCCCAGGTGGTTCAAATCGCCGAATTACGAAGCAGATGATCTGCGGTGGTGACGACAACACTGGAGTGAGCGCCTGCCAGGGGGACAGCGGGGGACCCTATGTGTGTCAGAATGCACTTGGGAACTGGGAGGTACACGGGGTGATCAGTTGGGGATCACCGATATGTTCTCTCAAACAACGTTACACAGTGTTTGCGCAAGTGAGCAAGTTTCGTAAGTGGATTGACAAGTACTTAAATGCTATTTCTAATACGATTTAGTCACCTTTGAGATGGTTTTAGATATTTAAAGTGAAGTGGACTTTGTAAGTTCACTTAAAACGTCCCGGAATTCAACTAAGCCAACCATCTTAATCTTTAACGGAAATGACAGTGAAAACTTAGTTTGTTTTGAAAAAGCAACCGTCAAAATTATATCTAAGACTCTTTTAGCAACGTTTGAAGTCCTGCCTTGTTTTCAAAATATAAGTGAGACCGAAATAAGTCGGTGGCCATCTTGGATAAATATTTCATCTGATCAAGTGCAGTTTTAAGAGTTTCAATTACGTTGTAAGCGAGATTAAAGGCGTATAAAAACACACTTAGGCGGATAAATAAGGATTACTAAATGTGGTATATGCCTTCAGGTAGCCGGCTATTTTATATAGAGTGAAAAAAGTATATTTAAGGGCCGCGATGTTCCATAAAAGCAATGCAAGATGGCGGTCAACGGACTCATTACGGTCAACATATTTCGAAAACTAAGCGGAATACAAAAAATTAGAAAAAGAGTATTATATAGAGCTTTAACTGTTCTTTTAAATACCACAAACTAAATTTTTCATTAATACTCTTTGAGCTGTTGAACGAATATGAGTTTGCGAGAGTTGGCCGATGCGAAAGTTTTCCCAAATCAACTTGGCAGCGTCAAAACAACAAACAAAAAATGCATTCGAGTTGAAATTAATCCTTTTATTTATTTGGCTGCGAGAAAGAGTGTTTATACTCATAAAAAACCTGGACACACTTTATTTTCTCACGTCAATTCATATTCGCAAGCCGCAAGGCACTATAGACTCTGTGCTGTGACGTAGCTTTTCGGACGAAGCAAGTTCCTGATTGGTCAACAGGCCGCTTTGTATAGCCAATCAGGAACACGCTTAGCCCGCAAACTACGTCATAATGATATATGCGAATTTTTGGTCGGAAATCCAATTTATTTAAAAAAAATACTCCTCTTACGCAGAACTGGGAAGTAAAAAATGGTTTACGAATTAGGTTTATGAAATGCAATGGTTTATAGTCCAATTATATACACTTTATTTACATCAAATTTACGTACGAACTTCAAATGATTATAGAAAATCTTTCATCAAAATTTGAATCAGCTTAAATTTGATGCGGCTTTTTGCAAAAGTTGATGGGAACTTTTGGTCAAACGCAAACGTTTTACTCTCACTAATCTCTTTGTCGTTGATCTAATAATCCACGCGATTACGAAAAGATGGCGGGTGTAAATTTCTTCTATAATGAGCTCGGAAATTGTTCAAAAAAGCCATTTGACGTGTCCCTTCGAAGGGCAGACATAAGAAGGATTATCTTGTTTGTTTTTATGTGATTAAGACTTTTCTTCGACATTTTGTCTAATCGTTTGATATGCTTGAAATGTACACTTTATCCTTCGGATACAATCGTAGATTAATCATAAACCTTGTGTCAATCTTAACCTTTATAATGTCAGACTTTACCCAAATACTAATCCTTAATCGTACAAAGCCGCTTCTTACTCTAATCCTTAATCCTAATCCAATGTTCAAATTAAACCTCCCAACCCAGTATTCAGAATCGTATACATAATACATTGAAGTAAAAGAGATGGTATATTCTATAAATTAATTTAAATTAAATTATAATATGTACAGTTGAAGTAAGTTTTTTAAACGGTAATTTCATTGAGTTTGCTGTGCAAACCTTGTTTTTACCCTGTCTATGTGACATGCAGAAAATTAGGCCGGTAGTTTGTAGGTTTTTATATAGTTTGTGATTAGAAAGTTATAATTATTTATTCAGTCATGTAAATTATGAATTCTATATATATACTAGTTAATATGAACCTTTTTGATAACTTTTAGCATAGATTTTGTAAGCATAAAGTAACCTATATGCTAGTCTCGCTTGTAATAAGACTTAAAAAAACAGATCTCATATAGTTCATTTCCTTTAGTTAATTTTCAATTGTACTGTTTCCATTTTGTAGTAAAATTTTACCATAACTTACAATCGAGAGTTCAGAATTTTCTGGTGATGTACCTCGTCCTTGATGACGTTGCATGAAGTTAACAATATATTTCACACGCGTAAAAATAACCAATTTTTCAGAGCTTATAGTATAGTTTTCAGCGCGAAATGCAATATCCTTGGCATACAAAATTTATCATCTCTACAGCCCACAGGGCCTATATCACTCATCCAGCAATACACTGGATCAATACGACTTTAGCGATCACAAACGAAGCCAAAATTAATGAACTTCCGGCCTCTATAAGAAGATTTATCACATCACGCGAAGTTTCGAACCACATGAAGACTCTTTTTAATAACGATACATTCCAATGGTTAGGGGCAGGGCATTATTTTTCATCGTCAGATTCCAGATTAAATTTCAGAGCCGTACGTTAAAGCGACGCCCGTAAGGTAGAATTTTCTAGTTTTCCGGAAGTTCATTGAAGTGCACCATACTATACTTTCCCCATTTTACAACATTTTGCAACCAAACTTTTCAGTTTGGCTGATTCTGAGACGATCTTCCAAGCTATGGTATCGATTTCAATTATTTTGCTTCGATTGAAATTTTGTTTATACCTGGGCATTGAAGCCATCGATGGCGCGCGCAAGGTCGTTACGCAGGTTGGTTAAAAGTCACGTTAATCCTGTGCTCCGCCGAGAAAGCCAGAACACGATCCTTACCACAGAAGACAGCATCCCTCATCGGGTAATCAAAACGGCTCCTCGTAGTCAGGACGATTGTAATCGTATTATTATTGTTTTTTATCAAAACCAACCAAAATCAACCTGATCCCTTTGTCCTACTGACATTCTGCGGCTGGGTATTGTGGTCAGCGATCGCGAAAAATACAAGACCAGCTGTTCGCTGATTTGAGGTCAAATGGCAGTCGAAGGCAGGTCGTGAATATAAAAGGACGGTAATAAAAGGACCAAGCGCATTTCGAAAGCAGCTTGCGAACTGTGCAAGACTAGTGTTTTTGTAGACAGCGGTAGGATCTGGTTGATCTGAGGAAGATTTCGTCTGAAGAAAGGCACCCCTAAAGATCCTAAAGATATCACAGAAGATCCAGAGTGTCATCTTTGACGGTGGTCAAGTATTAGACGGTTTCGTATTTGAAAACAGTCTGAGCTAAAATGCCAGGTGGTAGAAACATTATTTGCCTTCTTTTGGCGGTCGTTCTTTGGACTCAATCCAGTCAGGGGCAGAACGGAACGGAATCTGAAGGTAAACTAGATAATATTCTAGCTACTTTTTTTGCCATACGAGTTTGCGCGTGACATCGTCGAACGACACACAGCATGCGTCTTGCTAAAAAGAACAAAGTGATCAATTGTGTCCCAAAGCTCGCAGTAAAATATAGTCATACGTTTACAGCAACCGCATTGCTTTACGATAATGTAAACACTGTTCCTGATGACTTTGTCTAATTGGATATAGTTGTATGTCGAAATCATGTTTGATATCCTATGGTTACTAATGGTATATCGTTGAAACACATTGCATTGTTTTTGCGCCTGACATTAGCGCTGGTATTAACTCCTGAGAATAATCTCCATCCTCCAAGTACGAGCTAAATTACTCAAATATCTTGCCCCCTAATCCGTTTCAAAAACAGAATTAAAATTGGCGTTTCCAAAAGAATTTCACGGCTTTTATTTTTACTAAATCTCCTTCGTATTTCTGGCAAGGTTTCGACGCAACAAAAACATCATCCACAATCAAATAACATCCGCTGCATAGTTTAGTCTACCCTCACAACAATAAGAACAACATTTTCCAAAATGCCTGCTTGCTATTCGACCTTATACTATACAAAGGCAATGTTTTGAAAGATGGCAATCAAGGTCTATACAATGTTTCTTTATTTAGCAACGTTTTTTTTAGCTATTTTGTACACTTAAAAACATAAACCTCTTATTATACGTTCGTATTTTCCTTGTACGAATATCGCATGAAGTTAAAAAAAAAATGAATGCATATAACCTGACTGAACAAGCAGAAATCTTCGATGAACCTGTGAACCTACGTTAAGTCAACCGTGATTCGAATAATGTGCCACGAATTTTATAAAAAAACTGTTACGTAACTTTGTGAAAGTGTGGAGTCCAACCTGTTCGTACTTTGGTCCCGTCTCGGTCACACGCGGTCAACCGTAGACCCCCATCGTGAGAAGATGGTTATATGGTTATATATCTAATGCGATTAATACTATCGTTTCTAAGCTGATGTTTTCATACAAAATACGATGTGTCGTTTGGACAGTGTGATACTCAATTTCCCCGTTGCTATTCAATTACGAATGTTACCGATCTACACGCGAGATTGAACGTTGCACTGTCTAGCATACATCAACGATCGCTAATTTGCCAAACGTCGGGTTCACCTTGAGTCCCCTGACCTTAAAATATGTTAATGACGTTCTTAAAACGATAGAATTACTGGAAATATGATATTCAGAAAACATGAAACAATAAAATCACGGGATGGTTCACTCATCATGATGAACAGAAAGAGTCTCGGCTGGAAAAGTCGAGAAATTTTGTAATTTTTGCAGAATGCGCATTCCTGCAGAAGAAAAATTGAACTTTTTTAAAGTTATTCAATAGTTTTCTCTTTGATAGCGACACAGAAATGCACAATTGTGAACCAATGATTAGATTTTCGCGTTGAGACTTCATAAACACCAATTTCTGCGGTGTCTTTGGAACTTAGAAGAAGATATTTACGATTGCTTCCGAAAAATTCCCAAAACGACGGCCAACGCTCGGTTTTCGGGCGATCTTGAGAGGGTTTAGGCGAAGCAGATAAGCGAGAAGACACACAAACTCGTTCACTGAGCCCTTGCTGTCGTTAATTATGTCGTTAATTATGCCGTTAATTAAAACATGCTTCGTCTATCCAAATTACAAAACTACTTTACTGATGACTGACGAGGGAGCGTAGAGAATCACTGATGAATTACGACATACGAAAAGTTGGCAAAGAAGCCGCGCCTGCGATAAGCGAGGACAGTTAACAATCGCAGATCCGTGATAGATTAGAGGAAGCCGAATAGGAGGGTAGTGGAGGAAGGTGGTGCTCGAGTGACACGTGTTTTAAGATACTTTTCCTTATTTTTAGAACTAAACCAATGCGGGCAATCCAACCCAAGTGGGGTGCGAAAAAGAGTTGTGAGTGGACACGACGCTCTACCTGGGGCGTGGCCATGGCAGGTAACCACACCCAAATCACCGAATTTTATTTCATTTTTCCTTCGCGCGTTTTTACCCATTCATCGATTATACTGCATCTCGTATCCTGTTATATCCACATTTACCCTCGCCGGCGAAGAAATCGTATCATATTAATTAAAAAGGCGCGTTCATCACTGCTTTATTTAAACCCACCCATGATGTATTATAATTTCACTATAAATATTCTATTTTTATTTAGTATTTTCTCGGTTTTTATGAATATGATTTATCGTTGATTTTTACTTTTTTCGCTGAGTTTTCGATCGAAAACCCGTGTGACCATTTCGTTTATCCCATCTTCATTTGCTTTCGAATGAAGTCGTGAGTAACCCTAGGCTGCGACAATACGCTCGTCTACTTCAGAGTTTTCATCTAATCTCTTCTAATCTGTGCACACAACTTGATCACACAACAGGAAAAAACTCACCAACCATGGTTCGTACAATAATCACCCTTCTCTCTCCCCAACGGTAGGCGCTTTTGCTCTATGGATACCGACGGACGTTCCTTTGCTCTGGGGCACTTATACACCCCTCGTGGGTACTCACGGCTGCTCATTGCATCAGAAATAGGTAAGAATCGTATCTATAAACCAAACGACAAAATTAAGATTAAACTGGAAATTTGCTTGACTGTATTTATGCTTTTTAAATCTGTTCTTCCTAGAGGTCCAGTAAGGATCATCTCTTATTGATCCAGTGTTACTACAGGAGGAAACCTAATCTAAACTAACTTTATTTATACTGGATAGCTCTATCAGTTCTAAACAGTTCTTCCTAGAGGTCCAGTAAGGATGATCGCTTATTGATCCAGTGTCACTATAGGAGGAAACCTAAACTAAACTAACTTTATTTATATTGGATAGCTCTATCAGTTCTAAACTGTTCTTCCTAGAGGTCCAGTAAGGATCATCTCTTATTGATCCAGTGTTACTACAGGAGGAAACCTAAACTAAACTAACTTTATTTATACTGGATAGTTCTATCAGTTCTAAACTGTTCTTCCTAGAGGTCCAGTAAGGATCATCTCTTATTGATCTAGTGTTACTACAAAAGGAAATCTAAATCTATCTTATACTGGATAGCACTATCAGTTCTAACTTTCGTAACACCTATCCCCCACAGGTCGCCAGGAAGGTACAAAATTCGATTGGGAGATTTTGACCGACTGAGACACGAAGGTCGGGAACAAACATTTGACGTGGAAAAGATCGTCTCGCACCCAGAACATGATCAACCTGTCAGCAGAAACAACGACTTGGCTTTGGTGAAGCTGAAAAGACCAGCAAGACTGAACAAATGGGTTGGATCTGTGTGCCTACCATCAAAAGCCGATTACTTGCATAAAGATCTACATTGTTACGCTACAGGTAGGTCTGGCTTTTCCTTTGATTTTTGATATACAGAATGTAACAAATATACCAATCACCCTAACCCCAGACAAGGCTCAGTATACCCCCTAACCTCATCCATCACTCTCTCAAGTATGTCAGTAGTCACACTATTCCTTACCACTTTAGGTTGGGGCACGACCTCACCAATTTCACCCTCATACCTGATCAGCATTCCCCCACTACTTTAAGTTGGGGCACGACCTCATCATTTATACTAGGCATGACCTTACAAATTTCACCCGCTCATTCCCGTCAAACAGATTCCCCCACCAATTTAGGACAGGGCATGGTCTCACTAATTTCACCCACTCATATCCGTCGACATGATCAGTATTCCCCCACCACTTCACTTTGGGGCATGACCTCACCAATTTCACCCTCTCATGCCCGTCGATGTTAACAGTATTCCCCCACCACTTTAGGTTGGGGCATGACCATGCGAGGTCGCTCATACTCAAGAAGGTTGCAACAGGCGCATATCCCCCTCGTGACCAAAGCAAAATGTCGAAAACGTGCAAGCAGTCTGAACGGAAGATACTGGTACCCATGTAAGTTGTTTTCAAGGCGACATATTTGCGTTCTTGTTCATATCAGCACGATTGAAGCGCAGAGAAAAACCTTTAAATTCGACTTCAAATTGACTTTAAATATGGCGACTAAAGAAATAACCCTCAGTCGTCGTTCCACAAAAGTAGGTTACAAATTCGGAGAAAATTTCGCTACATTCGAGAGAGGTTTAAAATGAACGACCGCATTCAATGGTGGAAATAGATTGTAGCAAACATATCAAATACAAAATCGCGGTTCCAGCTAGGTGACCAGTAAATTGGATAAAAGAAGAGTTTTCTAGCGTTTTTGAGATATGTTTAATGAAAAATATCCAGAATAATAATATCACATCATTTTGAGGAAGGTCTTCACGTAACTTCGGGCTCTCTTGGAGAAATGTTGAAGGCTTTTCACAACTCAATGACCGGTAGGTTAGGGCGATACTGACAACCTTTTCTTTAGTTTACCAACAGATCACCCACCAGATGCTGTGTGGTGGGGATGATACAACTGGGGCGAGCACCTGCATGGGGGACAGTGGGGGACCCTACGTCTGCAGGAACCCTCAGGGATACTGGGTGTTGCAGGGGATCACAAGTTGGGGATCGAAGTCGTGCCGCGTCAGAGACCGATACAGCGTTTTTACGAAGGTAAGTAAATACTGACTAACCTAATTGCCGTCGTATTCAACTAATCACAAAGCGCCAATGACCAATCATCACTTTAGTGTTTATCGAGCTCACAATGGCTCATGCATTCACGAATTTCATCGGTTGTATTTCATTAGGTACACTTGTATACAACTTGGATTGAAAAGGTTATGAATGGTACGGCCGGTAACGATAACACCACGACACAGACAACAAGCGGTCCGTACATATCCATGCAACAATTGTTACGAAGTCTTCTCCGACTTGCAAGATTAGGGTGAAGCGACCGTCGGACCATGGTTGATATTAATAGATGGCTAAATACTGAACTGGCCTTAGCTTCGATTCAACATATTTCAACATGATAAATAACTTGACACAATTTTAATTCAACTGATAGAGTTTCTCAAATATTGTTTATACTTTTTGATTAATAATTTATACTAAATTTGTGTACTTTTTGTCATAATTATTATATGTGGTAAAAAAAAGACCTTTCGAATACAAATCAAGAGTCTAGTGGTGTGTAGAAAAACGATGTTCATAGTTTAGGGGTTTTTCTCTCAAAGTAACACTTACTCGACCTCTAGGAAGAACAGTACTAGTTCACCTTACTGGACCTCTAGGAAGAACAGTTTAGAACTGATAGAGCTATCCAGTATAAAAAAAAGTTAGTTTAGTTTAGGTTTTCTCCTGTAGTAACACTGGATCAATAAGAGATGATCCTTACTGGACCTCTAGGAAGAACAGTTTAGATCAGAACTGATAAAGCTATCTAGTATAAATAAAGTTAACCTAGTTAGTTCAGAGGTGCTTGTGTTCCTCGAGCAACTAATAAATTCAACAAAGAAGATATTCACTGGACTCTCGAAGAACAGTTCAAAACAAATGAAGCCACGTTTCTGCAATCACTATGCAACTACCATTCCAAAAGTATTTACCTTAATGTAATCTTAGTCCTGTAATGGAACATTTCGGAACAGGTAGGACATCGATTCTCCGTTGTGAATACGTCTGACCGCCTCTGCTAGTAACTGACTAACATCGATTGTCCTTATTTTACTGCATTGCACCTTCTTTGCCTCGTGTTCAACTGTGTTTGTCACAACGATCTAAAGATATTAGGGAACTTAAGCATGTAGGACGGAAACACGATTAAGACGTGGTTGGAATACTCCTTTAAATTAATGTTATGGTAAAGCGTTGTTGTATATTATCAACTGTACCAATTTAATAAGATATAAGACGTTGAAAACATTGTGTTTACGTTTAGGGACAATTCTATAGAGCCTAATTCGAGGTAGCGCTTTGTCTTTGTTCCTGTTGTACTATAAGTCTGCCCAATTTTACTTGGCGGAACAGCAGAGAATTCGCCATGACGAAAAATATGTGGTTTCTCAATCTTAAACAGGTTGTTTTTAGCGAATTAGAATAAGTTAGAAAAAAATAATTATTTCTGTACGTTGTCGAACGCACGTATTTTGCTATCTCGTTTACTCGTGATGCAAAGATCACGGATAGTCGATTATCGGCAGATATCATCAAGACGTTAATTACCTCGTCTATATGGGAATCCTCGATCAATCTGACACAATCGCCAGACAAGATGCCATGCGTTACCATCACGTATACTTTATAAGAACCCCTTTCCTTCAAAATGGCGGCCGCATCAGCAAACGGCTCGATGCTGTCGATAATATCGTCCTGAGAAACAAAATAGTAAATAAAAATAAACAAAAATAGTTATCAAAGCTTTAAAGTTTTAACACCAAAACACCAAAAATGGATAAATCACGAATAACACCAAAAAGTGGATAAATCACAAATAAAATAAATGCCTCTGTAAAGACATGGCGTATTTCAGAACTTACTATAATTATGGCGATTTTCCCGCCAACATCCCCAACAACATTCATGGGAGGTTTTTCCTTCGGTAACAATCCTAGAAACATGAAACGTGTTTTGAATAACTCTGTGGTGTTTAGGAAGAACAGTTAAGAACTGATAGAGTTATCCAGTATAAATAAAGTTAGTTTAGTTTAGGTTTCCTCCTGCAGTAACACTGGATCAATAAGAGATGATTACTGGACCTCTAGGAAGAACAGTTTAGAACTGATAGAGCTATCCAGATCTATCTATTTGCACACATACCTATACCAGCTATGTTCCCAGGTAATGGATAAGCGAAGGTTTTCTTCTGTGCAGGTGGAGGTGAAGTTCGGCCATCACATATCTCACTCTCTGCCTCTTGTCTAACGCCATGAATGACAGCTAGACCAAGATGAAGACGTTCAGCGAAAGATGTTGCTCTGTACAAAGAAAAATAATCATCAGTTTGGGCGAATTTTGATTTGTGGTGATCTTAAATGAAGTGTCTCGTTAATATCTTGTATTGAAAGTTAAAGAAAGCAAGCATTATCCTACTTGAATACAAAGGATTTTGGTAAAATTACACTGGGTTAAATGTACATGTATACTTTCCTTGACCTATGCTAAATTACAGTGAAAAATACTTAAAACTATACCGTGATGCTGCTTGAGGATTCTTTGAAACAATCACTGCATTTCTGTAGTCTGGGATCTAAAATATACAATTGTTTTGTTGTAGTGATTATGATCAAATGGGGATAATTACGATCAAATGGGGACAATTATGATCGAATGGAGACAAATATGATCAAATGGGGACAAATATGATTAAATGGGGACAATTATGAACAATGGGGGGCTGTCATGATCAAATGCGGGCAATTTCATCCCTCAGCAAGCAAATTATAAATACCTCTTGAATATATTGCACAATGAATGGGGAGGCTCGCAGATTGTCCACTGGACATTTAAAAAATCCCTGAATTTCCTTGGAATGCAAGTCCATAGTTATTAACCCTGTAAGTCCTGAGAAGAAGAGAAATAAAATAAAAAATCACATCACATAATCTGAGTTAGAATATATTTTCATCCAACATGAGCTACCAACACAACCATCCCATGCAAAAAGTTCTAGGCTCTTAGCCACATACCTGCTCCACATAACAAGTCAGCGACCAGCCGTGATGGAATTGAACCTCGATTTCTCATTTTGCTTTGCTTCGAGTAAGGTAGGTACGGGACGACCCCAATAATCTTGTTTGCAGAGGACGTCTTACATGCATAGCATGTAATTAATAGTTCCATCAGCGCATCATTCACACTCATGTTCTCACTAGAAGAAAAATGACCCAATTTTGTCCTTCATTCCTAGCACTTTTTAAGAGGTAATAAAGAGTATCGGAGTAACAGTAATCCTAGTTTGATAGGAAAATCCTTAATTCTGTTTCACAGACAATGCTTCTCTCCCTAATCAATAAGCTGGTAATATATCCAAAATATGTAATCTCTTAGTATATTTTACTCAATACTGTCTAACACAAGACAATTATATTTATTTGTGGAAATGTACCTAAATTAATACAGGTTCATCTTATTTGTACATTACAAAATTACTTACGCCGAACCGGACTGTAATATGAAAACATCTTTACCACGAACAGACGTGCTTATGTCGACTCTTGTTTCTACACAAGCAAATATTGAATAGATTAAAAAATGACCAACACTTTAACTACATTTTGCATAGTTAAATCCTAGTTAATTAACTCTGAAATACACAATTCTGATTGGCCAATTCTGTGCCCTGAAGTCACATTATTTTGCATTCAAGTTGGATATTATTTGTACAAAGTTTCAGTCTAAGTAGCTGGGTCCTAAAGTCGCATTATCTTGCATTCAAGTTGGATATTATTTGTACAAAGTTTCAGACGTCGAACTTTTAATATGCCGAACCTATAATGTTAATGAGCTAAAGCCTTTGCTTTCGATTTGGCACATGAAAAGTTCTACGTCTGAATACACCATGTAGGGTATTACTCATAATAGATGTGACAAACTATACCTCTGTTATCTGGTTCCTGTCCAAGATGAATATCCGCAAGTGGAATTTCCAGACGACTTTAAAGGAAAGAAGAGATTTATTAAAGGGAAGTCAAAACAGAAGTAGATCTAATATGTTAAGCACTTATGACAAAAACAACTTTGTTTTCCTGCGCAGTTAACAAGACACAAGGGTTTTTGTATATTTCTCATAGTGTTACTATACGGTCGAATCAATAAGTTTGATTCATAGGAAAGAAATCATTCAGAAAGCACAAAGCTTGAGGAATGTTATCAAATTCAACTTAAACAAAACAGCAAGATATAACAAGTAGAACAATGTTTTGGACAAAGGTCAAAATTGAATTGTCTAGAAAGGGTCTTTGCAATGCATAGAATGTTTAATCAACTTTTTATTTGGTATGACTGTGTACTTCTTGGTTTTTATAAATGAGAATCATAAACACATCTAATCTTTAGCTATCTAGGCCTCAGCTGGTTGGAGTCTGCCATCCACAAGAATAAGGACTATTTGTTAGACAGATAGCTAGGTTTATGTAAATGTTCTATCAAAGACGACAATATTTAAACAGTATAAAAAACCAAGACCGGAATGTCTACAATAAATCCCCAGTCTGGAGCCAATCTATGCTATCGTGGCTGGTAAAAGCAACTGTTTTGGTAGGTTTTCAGGAGCTGGATGGCATTGAGCATGTGTTGTTTGGAAAACGAACAAAGAATTTCTGGGAATTCAGTAGGGACAAGGGTGTTAAACAAGTGAAATTACCAATCAATCTCTTCAAATATAGAAAAAAGATAGTACATTTCAAATTGAGGTTGTCATTGAGTCATATCTTTACGATGATCAAAGAGCTAAATAAGTTAGCCATCGTCGAAAGTAAAAATAAGCAAGCGGAACGCGATATAAACAATTAAATTATCATTTTATGCATGAAGGAAATCACATGGAGTCGAGAATTTGAGGCAAAATAACTACGATCTGTGCACTCCAATACTGTCCCACACTTCCGCATTGAAAAAAATACCTCTTTAACTATCTCTGCAGTTTACCTGCAACCTTACCTTGCGATTTTCGAGGCCAGATCTTTATTTGAATTCAAAGCGAAAAGTACAAAGTTCGGCTTTCCAGACGCCATGACTAATTATTTGCCCGAGTCGGCTGTCGTTTCAATTTTAAAAACCCCGCTTTGATTAACGGTTTTTTTCAGCTTAAAACCAACTGTTAGATATGAATTCAACAGGGAATACACAAAAGGTACCTTCTGATTATCGATGTAAAATGTTCACACATTTCTGCCCGACATATTTCACAGGTCACTTGCTCTTCCAAATTATTCTTATAAGTTGTATAAATAAATTCAAAATGGTTGTGCCTATTTTCAGGGGGGGGAGACTCCTATTGAGTTCACTGATTGAGGATAATTATTAGTTAGTTATTACCTTATCTGAGGTTGTGGAGAGAGCAATTTGCCAAGGTCTGTAGGGGCCCCCAAAATACTTTTTGTAAAGTACACAAACTTACATATAATTGTGAATAAGGTGTGCAAGGTTTGGGTAAGGGGGGGATTTTTCACACACCAAAAATTTGTGGGCTCCCCCAGATCTTAGCATGTTACCAAAGTAGTATATTAATTTATATATGTTTGCTTCACTTATAATAAGATCTTGTTTCCCAAACACATTTCGTTGACCCCCAACTATTCATGTGAATATACATTAGAAATAAATGTGTCATTTATTGTCATTTAGAATGGACCAGTAATGAAATAGTCACTATTTATGGAACATAAAAACATTTTATAAATACTAAAATTACAACATTGTTTACAATATTGTTGCAAATAGTTGATAATCTTGTTACATGCCACACTCGCCATTAGAAAATGATGGATTAAAGGACAGTCCATCCAACCATCTTCCAAGCGTTACACTCACAAGCATTTAATCCATATATGCATACACCATACTTTCGTATCTGACCATCATTTCTTGAGGGTAATATCAATCACAACTCATTACGAGGTCCTATTCTCTTCTCCAGTGTTGTGTGTAACTTCTTTATCTGAAGACAACAATCATAGTTATAAACATGTAATGATCACCAGTTGTTAGTCAGTGGTGCTATATTGCTAACAATTTACTCTCATTGTGATCACAGTCAACTGTGTTGTGTTAGAAATAGTATTGCATCAGTTCAGTACCAAAGTTGATGAAAACATTTGTTAAAAAATTGATCAAATTCCTGTACGTACGAGTTGACAAATGGTTGTTCTTTCCAATAAGTGATTGACCAATTAGGAACAAGCATTCCAGTAAACAGGAAGTTTAGCAATTTTGAAACAAATGTATTGACCAACTTCAGGTAACAAAAGAATGCAATATTTTATTACAGATCTCACAAAATTGTAGTGATATATAAAAAATTTGTATGCCATTCACATCCGCAAACATTCGCAACCACATATACATTGCAAGTGACGTTTACGTTGACCGGAAGTAAAGTTTTTGTCTTTCACCAATCACAATCCTTGACCCAATCTTTTGATGTTACTCACGCCATTTGTATGGTCAAAATTATCACTTGCTTAAGCTCAATAATAAGGCGGCTATAAACTTTGTGGGTGTGATTACAAATTTTTAATGTCTCACTAGAGTTCGGTGAGATCGTAATACAAACACTTTCATTGCAATGACAGTAAACTCTAAACTAAAGTAACATACATAGACCCAGTTTCTTACATATTTTCTGTGTTCGTTCACTTTTTCAGTTAACTTTTCAAACTTGGGTTTAATGTGATCATGGCCATTGTTAAGCATATCCTCTGCAACATCAAGCTGTTCTTGAAGGTGATCATGCTTGGCTATCCTGTTATCAAAATGCCGTAATTCTTCCTGAAATATAAACCAAATGCTTCAGGCAACAAGCCAATAACAAACACGTTCGAGATTTTGCTGTAGAATAAACCTTTTTGTCTAATAGACCAACTTTTTATTTAGGCAACAAAAAAGGAAGTTCTGAAAAGTGCATACTAAACTTAGTAAAATTGCAAAGTTTGGCCGTGAAATATTGTATAAAGTGTGGAAAATATAGCCATGCAAATTTGGGAATTTTGTGTGTATACTTTTTTAGTTACCGTACACAACTAATTTAGTTACATGCTTCCAGTAAAAAAAGTATAAAAAATTTCGCATGGCTATATTTACCTTACTACTAAACACTTTGCAGCCAAACATGGTAATTATACTAATTTTTGTATGCTCTTTTTAGCTGTGGTGATATATTTTCTTCTTATTAACTGCTTCACAAGTTGGTCTATCATGCAAAGGGCATGGAGAACATACTTTCATGATGTCAAGCTCTTCCTCCGAGTACCCTTGAACCTGGGCTCTTTTCCACAAATCTCTGACGCGATGGTCTTGAAATTCTTCGTTGGGAGCTCCAGACAAAACTTTCTTCTTTAACCGACGGTAGCTGCTGTCCACTTCTCTACGCTTCATGTTCATTTCCTCTTGAAGCTTTGAGAAAGCTTCCTCATGTGGTATGTTCTTTCCAACAATGTTATTCTGTCTGTCTTTATGTGTGGAAACAATTCCAACCAAATCCCTGTACTGCTTCCATTTATCGTGATGGTGAGTTAGTTCCTCACGCAGCTTTTCTAATTCTTCTTTGCTAAATTGTGCTGCGGAGAAGTTAAATTTGAAATTTAGTACATTCTTGGGACTATGATAAGGTCTGAGTGAGGGGAGGAGAGAGGTATGGGGTGGATTGTGGGTGATGAATGAATCACTAGTGTAGAGGTAAGGGGTACCTAGATTATGGGTGATCAATGAATAGTGTAGAGGTAAAGGGTAGATTGTGAGTGATCAATAAATAGTGTAGAGTATATAGTAGATCCATAACAACTCTGTTGTTTACCTTCATTTTTGGCATGTTCCCACAATTTCTCTAGCCTCTCGTCTTTCTTGAACGACGAGTCGTGTGCCCGATTCGTCTCAATATGATCCTGGCCTTCCTCCCCAGCACCCAACAACCCGTACCTTTCCATAATATTCATCAAATTCCGTCTGATAATCGCCTCAGCTTCGCCGAGATTATCCTTCCCATCTTGTTTCTGATGTTTCCATTTTATCTCGTCTCTGTCTTGCCGCTCCAGCTCAACGTACAACGCGTCCAACTTCTCTTGCGATAACAACAACTGCTTCGCCTTTTGCCAAACTATGTTCACTCTTCCCATGCGAAACGGATTGTTTTTCTCCCTGTTTGAACTACGCGAGACGGAGAAGAACGCGGACACAAGTAAACCAAACAGAAACGGCAAAAACAAGCTCCTCATTGTGGTAAAACTTGTAAAATAAAGTCAAATGTTTTCAAATATTTCATACAGAAATTTCCATTTTGTTCATGTTGGGAACAATCACAGCCTCGCTCTCATTGTTTCTGACACGTGTAAAAAAATAGGGACGCGCTGCGTACAAGGCTTACACACTTTCTGCTACAAAATATTTCTAATCATTTTCTCCTTATTTCGGACTTTTTTTACACAAACTGTAGTTCATATTCATTTAGAAGAACGGCTAAATAATTTGTGTTAGATATGCAGACAGTGCATCGTATTCTGAAGACACATACTGTCACATAGCAATTAAGCAAACGTTTTTTTATGTATTAAAAATTGTCCCCCCTCTCCAAAGACATGAAATTCGAAGGAAGCAAAGAACTTTCCTGACGCTGGAATTTTTTAAATGAAGTTGTTTGAATTCGAATCTGAATGAAAATAGATATCATCACTGGTGTGTACTTAAACAACGTGTTATGAACATTATTTCTAAAAATCTTTCTAAGAAGTCAAAAGTACACTTTCGGAAAAAGAGGTTCGCAAACCTAATATTAGCCTAAAGGCGATTTATCGCAGGAATATTTCTTTCGATCATAGGATAAAAACAGTAGTTGAATGTAATTTTGATATTTCGATTGTCTCAGATTACTACGGCTAAAATTATTTTCTAATGCAGTTAATGACCTTTCCCATTATGGTCTACTTTGCGATCTAAGTATCAAATGTGGTATAACAACTGCCTAAAACAGCCGAAAATATTTCTACTTCTCGACGTTTCCAGCTCAGGGCCTTCGTTAGAAGAATTGGTAATTTTTTTTCAGGTAAAGATAAATCACGAGATATTTATGTCATGTGTTGATCTTGTGACCGTCTCAAGAACGAGAACTGGGTATTTATGTCATGTGTTGATCTTGTGACCGTCTCAAGTTGCAAGTATTTATAATGTTTGTTGTGCTAAACGCCTCGCAAATTTCAAGATGACTGAGATCGTTAACGGAGTTTTGAAGCTGACGTTTGGATTTTTAGTGAACAAGGCTCGCAGTAAAATTTCAGAACGTTTAAACGATGGCGACGTCACGGACGAAGAATGTCGACGCTTGATCGTGAGAGAACTCGATGATATTAAGAGGAAGTTGGATGGATTGGCGAGAAAGGATTTACTGAGCAGTTTTTGCTTTCTTGAAGAAGGAATCAATGGTTTTTATCAGTCGCTACAACAGTTTAATGCGTCCGAGAATGGATCAGAATCGACCGAACAAGCAACCTCAGCTGGAGCTACGTCTTCTGAGGAAACTGGTCTTGTTTCTCAAATCAACGAAGTAGTGTCTTTGATAAACACCTTCAATTCATTGAAAATACATTCCAAGGAACGCTATCTTTCTGCCATAGAGTCGTTCAAACTTGCTCGTGAAAATGCCACAAAAGCATTCTGCAACGAAGCTTTGTCCATCGAGGACCGAATTCAAGCGACGCAGGTTCGAATGATGGCCAGAATTTTAGAAAAATCAGAAGATCCTGATGCGGGGGTAAGCGATTGCCTACAATACCTGAAGCAGCTTCATGATATCAAAGCTATTCAAGAAATATTTTCTGTTGTGATTGACGGCGGAATTAAATCTTGGTTTAATAAAACGAAGCGACTCGACAATTTTTCGTCTGTTCATCAAATGAATCTGCTTTTGTTTGAGTTTGCCACAAGATTTTCGAACTTGCAAACAGTGTTTTTTGATTGGCCCAGGATTTTGCTTGGGAAAAAAACTCATCATCCATTAGTCAGGAGTGATCGCCTTATTGAAAAATACAAAGAGTCTGGTGTGGAAATTACGTCGCCGTACCTGGGTTACACATTTTCCAAAAATATTGGTCGATCTTGCTGTGTTGTAAATAGCAAAAGAGAAATTGTTGCGAAAATAGTGAGAGGTGATTGTGTTCAAATTTTTAATCCCTCAGGAGAATCCCGTACAATACTTTATAATTTTAACGAAAGGAATTGGCCATATTCCGAGTTTGTTGCGATGGATATCGATGCCGAAGATAACCTTTACGTCATCACGAAATTTCGAAACAACGATGATCAACCATGGAGTTACAAGTTGTCGATATTTGATGAACATGGAAAGAGAAAACTTGAGTCTCTGTTACCTTTTAAACCAATGAAATACTATAGAAATATATATGGATCTGTTGTACTCATAGCAGTAAACAATGACAAAATGATCGCCGTTTTTGATCGAAAGAAACAAATTCTACATGTCGGAACTTCATCTAAGACGAATTCATTTGGAGTCCATAATAGTTTTCATCTCAAAGAATTATCTGACAGAGTGCGTGTGATACGGTTTCTAGATAATAATGGAACAAAAATAATTGCTGCAGGTTATTGGGAAGATTGTTTTTATATCTACACGGACAACGGCGAGTTGGAACGCAAAGTTATGATACCTAAAAAATATGGATATATTTATTCTGTTGCGATAAATTACATCACAAAACGGATCCTGGTTTTAACTTACGGTGGACGTTATCTTTCTAGTTTCTCAGAAACAGGAGAACTGAAAGACAATATACATATGGGGTCTTCGTCTATTCCTTGGATTATTTCTAATCTCCATGGTGCAGTTGCTTTGGTTTGGGCAGAGGGCGTAACTTTTCTTCAACTGTAGTAGACTTATTTTCGCGAAGTCAAATATTAAAAAATGCACTATGGACATAGATCAAATGGCAATGCAATAAATGCATGGTAAATAAAACTGGAATTAGTCAAATCAATTCCCACAGCATGACAATCACATACAAAGAGTTCAGAGAAATTATTTTTAATCTTGTATGACTCATAACTTTCTGAAATCACTGAACTCTCTCTGTGTGTGAATGTCATCCTGTGAGGATTGACTTTTTGTTCACTATAAACCATTAATATTTTACCATTCACATGATCACATCAGTGTAATTTTAGATCACATGCATGACATATCAAAAAAAATCATTAATAGACACTCCCCAAAATTGTAATTGAGGCATGGACATTGTAGAGTATTGTTGATAAACAGTTTTTCATTGTCAGTCATCAAATTCAAGAATTGGCAATTTTGTAACATTTTATACTGAATGACTTTCTCAGACATGCAGTAAAATAAGATAAAAAAGTTTATTTTTTTTGTGAAACACAAGTTTCAAGTAGAATTATAGCTCTGGAAAAGAAACACTGAACTGTTGAACAATCCTTAATTATATATTTTAGCCAGTTGCTTGACCATCACCATAGTTGATGAGCTTTTAAAACATGCAGTAAAATAAGATAAACAAGACGCCGGCTTAAGCGTACACTCGTGCTCTAGGGATTGTGTTCTACTTATTAGCATTACTTGAGGGACACAATAATGGTGTGTTGTTTGAACCTATAGCGTAAGTTAAGGCTTTGTGGTTACCCAGGGCCTGGGAGAACTTACACGACAAAAATGTATCACACAAGTATGAAATAATACATTATTATCACAATTCACAAATGCCGATTATAGGTAGCCTAACAATCCGCACGGCGTGAGATATTACTGTGTCAATGCTTCTATATTGACTGCAGACTGCAGTGTTTTAGTTTGGACGAAAGCTTTTAAAAAACTAGTTGTAATAGTATTGATTCGTATTGTTCGTAATGTCAGTCGACGGTTCAAACATTTAGGTATTAATAAGTATAATTTAAAGGTATTTGTATGTCTAAAACTGCGAAAACATCGATCGTATATCTTGCTTTCATATAGGAATTTAAAAATATACATCGCACTAAGGAATATGCATGTAAATCACTAAATGTTGCACCGTAGTATAATGTGTCCGGTGCATATATATTTTGCATCCTTCGTATTGTTTGTAAAATGTTATTGTCGGATAATTACATTTCGTCACACATTACTGGGTCAAGTGTGCAATGCATTCTGGGTCATCGGGGTCCAAAACGCGACCGACACCCGACGAAACCTAGACTCGTGCTCTCCTAGAGCACGAGTAAAAAGTTTATTTTTTGTGAAACACAAGTTTTAAGCAAAATTATAGCTCTGGAAAAGCAACACTGAACTGTCGAACAATCCTTAATTATATATTTTAGCCAGTTGCTTGACCATCACCATAGCTGATGAGATTTTAAAACTTTTATAATAGAATTGAAATCACTTGATACCTTGTGTACCAGAACTTTCTGCTTACCAGATGTTGGAACAAGAATGTATACGAAAAACTATAGCTGGAAATGATAAAATAGACTATATCCATTGTTTAAATAAAAATACAATACCATTGACAATGTTTCTGTAATTTAATTTTGAAATACCTCCAGTGGTCTCCTCACACACAATGCCTCACCCACCCCCTCAATTCTCACCCACCTATTTTGACTCCCATACATTTGAAGTTGCACAGTTAAATATAAAAACCCATTTTGGACCTGGACTGTACCAACATGAGGCAGCTTCTTCAGTCTTTTCCGGTCGATTCCAGAAATGAAATGACATCATCGCATATCGCGCCTTGAGTGACGATCATAGCTATGCTTGTGCCAACCATTTGAAGACGTGAAATGTCGGTTTTCCTGCTAAAATTTGAGAAAAATATTTTAACTATTGGGAGCGCACATAGCTTAGGGCGATTTGGTTTGAATTAGGTTTCGATTTTGACAGGATATGACTGATACAATAGCTTTATAAGACTTTCTTGTCACAGTAGGGAGTTTAAGATTCAAGACGCGGCCTAACTAGTGGTCCCATGACAGCGTTCTCATTCTTACAACGTTTTCAAATGAGGCAATTTCACAGCTTCTCAATGACATGAAAGCAGCTGCAAAGTGATAGGCTAAAAGGGGGAGGTAAATGGGTGAAAAGAAAGGGGTAGATTGTGGGTGATCAATGAATAGTGTAGAGTATATATTAACTAGATCAATAACAACTCAGTTGTTTACCTTCATTTTTGGCATGTTCCCACAATTTCTCTAGCCTCTCGTCTTTCTTGAACCAGGAGTTGTGAGCCCGATTCGTCTCAATATGATGCTGGCCTTCCTCCCCAGCACCCAACAACCCGTACCTTTCCATAATATTCATCAAATTCAACCATCTTCCAAGCATTACACTCACAAGAATTTAATCCACATATGCATACACCATACTTTAGTATCTGACCATCACTTCTTGAGGGTAATTTCAATCACAACTCATTACGAGGTCCTATCCTCTTCTCCAGTGTTGTGTGTAACTTCTTTATCTGAAGACAACAATCATAGTTATAAACATCTAATGATCACCAGTTGTTAGTCAGTGGTGTTATATTGCTAACAATTTACTCTCATTGTGACAGAAATAGTATTTCATCAGTACAGTACCTAAGTTGATGAAGACATTTGTCGAAAAATTGATCAAATTTTTGAATGTGCAAGTCGACCAATGGTTTTGACCAATAATTATGAACAAGCATTCCAGTAAACAATTAGTTCAGCAATTTTGAAACAAATGTGTTGATCAACTTCAGGTAACAAATATTTCATTACAGATGTCACCAAACTGCGGCGATGTATAAAAAATTTGTATGCCATTCACGTCCACAAACATCGCAACCACACATACATTGCAAGTGATGTTTATGTTGACCGGAAATAAAGTTTTTGTTTTTCACTAATCACAATCCTTGACCCAGTCTCATGTTGTTTGTGTTGTCAAAAATATCACTTGCTTAAGCTCAATAATGAGGCGGCTATAAACTGTTATAATTGTAGGTATGGTCGTGAATGTTTGTGGGTGTGATTCCAGATTTTTAATGTCTCACCAGAGTTCGGTGAGATCCGTAATACAAACACTTTCATTGCAATGACGGTAACAAACATAGACATAGTTTCTTACATATTTTCTGTGTTCGTTCACTTTTTCAGTCAACTTTTCAAACTTGGGTTTAATGTGATCATGGCCATTGTTAAGCATATCCTCAGCAACATCAAGCTGTTCTTGAAGGTGATCATGCTTTGCTATCCTGTTATCAAAATGCCGTAATTCTTCCTGAAATATAAACCAAATGCTTCAGGCAACAAGTAAATAAAAAACATGTTTGAGATTTTGCTGTAGAATAAAGCTTTTGCCTAATAGACTAACTTTTGATTTAGGCAACAAAAAAGGAAATTCTGAAAAGTGTAAACTTAGTAAAATTGCCAAGTTTGGCTGTGAAATATTGTAAAGTGCAGAAAATATAGCCATGCAAATTTGGGAATTTTGTATACTTTGTTACACAACTAATTTAGTTACATGCTTCAAGTAAAAAAAATATACAAAATTTTGCATAACTATATTTACCTTACTACTAAGCATTTTGCAGTCAAACATGGTAATTATAGCAATTTTTGTATGCTCTTTTTAGCTGTGGTGATTTATTTCCCTCTTGTTAACTGGTTCACAAGTTGGTCTATTATGCAAAGGGCATTGAAAACATACTTTCATGATGTCAAGCTCTTCCTCCGAGTACCCTTGAACCTGGGCTCTTTTCCACAAATCTCTGACGCGATGGTCTTGAAATTCTTCATTGGGAGCTCCAGACAAAACTTTCATTTTTAATCGACGGTAGCTGCTGTCCACTTCTCTACGCTTCATGTTCATTTCCTCTTGAAGCTTTGAGAAAGCTTCCTCATGTGGTATGTTCTTTCCAACAATGTTATTCTGTCTGTCTTTATGTGCGGAAACAATTCCAACCAAATCCCTGTACTGCTTCCATTTATCGTGATGGTGAGTTAGTTCCTTGCGCAGCTTTTCTAATTCTTCTTTGCTAAATTGCACTGTGGAGAAGTTAAATTTGAAATTTAGTACATTCTTGGGACTATGATAAGGTCTGAGTGAGGGGGGGGGGGGTGAGTGGGTGAGAGGTATGGGGTGGATATTGGGTGATGAATGAATCACTAGTGTAGAGGTAAGGGGTACCTAGATTGTGGGTGATCAATGAATAGTGTAGAGGTAAGGGGTAGATTGTGGGTGATCAATGAATATAGTGTAGGGTATATATTAACTAGATCCAAAACAACTCTGTTGTTTACCTTCATTTTTGGCGTGTTCCCACAATTTCTCTAGCCTCTCGTCTTTCTTGAACGACGAGTCGTGTGCCCGATTCGTCTCAATATGATCATGGCCTTCCTCCCCAGCACCCAACAACCCGTACCTTTCCATGATATTCATCAAATTCCGTCTGATAATCGCCTCAGCTTCGCCGAGATTATCTTTTCCATCTTGTTTCTGATGTTTCCATTTTATCTCGTCTCTGTCTTGCCGCTCCAGCTCAACGTACAACGCGTCCAACTTCTCTTGCGATAACAACAACTGCTTCGCCTTTTGCCAAACTATGTTCACTCTTCCCATGCGAAACGGATTGTTTTTCTCCGTGTTTGAACTACGCGAACAGACACAAGTAAACCAAACAGAAACGGCAAAAACAAGCTCTTCATTGTGGCAAAACTTGTAAAATAAAGTCAAATGTTTTCAAATATTTCATACAGAAATTTCCATTTTGTTCATGTTGGGAACAATCACAGCCTCGGCGGCTGCCTCGCTCTCATTGTTTCTGACACGTGTAAAAAAAAAGGGACGCGCTGCGTACAAGGCTTACACACTTTCTGCTACAAAATATTTCTAATCATTTTCTCCTTATTTCGACTTTTTTTACACGAACTGTAGTTCATAATCATTTAGAAGAACGGCCAAATAATTTGTGTTAGATACGAAGACAGTGCATCCGTATTCTGAAGACACAGCAATTAAACAAACGTTTTTTTATATATTAAAAATTGTCACTCCCTCTACAAAGAGATGAAATGCGAAGGAAGCAAAGAACTTTCCTGACGCTGGAATTTGTTAAATGAAGTTGTTTGAAAATACATATCATCACTGGTGTGTACTTAAACAACATGTTATAAACATTATTTCTAAAAATCTTTCTAAGAAGTCAAAAATACACTTTCGGAGAAAGAGATTCGCAAACCTAATATTAGCATAAAGGCGATTTATCGCGGGAATATTTGTTTCGATCATAGAACAAAAACAGTAGTTGAATGTAATTTTGATATTTTGATTGTCTCAGATTACTACGGCTAAAATTATTACTAATGCAGTTAATGACCTTTCCCACTATGGTCTACTTTGCGATCTAAGTATCAAATGTGGTATAACAACTGCCTAAAACAGCCGAAAATATTTCTACTTCTCGACGTTTCCAGCTCAGGGCCTTCGTTTGGGAGTATAATTAATTTTTGTTTCAGGCAAAGATATGCAATTATCATGCATATATGCAAATAAATCACCGGATATTTCATGTGTTGTGTTGATCTTGTGACGTTGCAAGTATTTATAACGTTTTATTTGAAGAACGCTTCGTTTATTTCAAGATGACTGAGATCGTTACCGGAGTTTTGAAGCTGACGTTTGGATTTTTAGTGAACAAGGCTCGCAGTAAAATTTCAGAACGTTTAAACGATGGCGACGTCACGGACGAAGAATGTCGACGCTTGATCGTGACAGAACTCGATGAGATTAAGAGGAAGTTGGATGGATTGGCGAGAAAGGATTTACTGAGCAGTTTTTGTTTTCTTCAAGAAGGAATCAGTGGTCTTTATCAGTCGCTACAACAGTTTAATGCGTTCGAGAATGGATCAGAATCGACCGAACAAGCAACCTCAGCTGGAGCTACGTCTGCTGAAGAAACTGGTCTTGTTTCTCAAATCAACGAGGTCACGTCTTTGATAAACGCCTTCAATTCATTGAAAATACATTCCAAGGAACGCTTCGAGTCTTCCAAGAAATCCTTCGAACTCGCTCGTGAAAATGCCACAAAAGCATTCTGCAACGAAGCTTTGTCCATCGAGGACCGAATTCAAGCGACGCAGGTTCGAATGATGGCCAGAATTTTAGAAAAATCTGAAGATCCTGACGCGGGGGTTAGCAATTGCTTACAATACCTGAAGCAGCTTCATGATGTCAAAGCTATTCAAGAAATATTTTCTGTTGCGATTGACGGCGGAATTAAATCTCGGTTTAATAAAACAAAGCGACTCGAGAATGCTTCGTCTGTTCATCAAATGAATCTGCTTTTGTTTGAGTTTGCCAAAAGGTTTTCGAACTTGCAAACAGTGTTTTTTGATTGGCCCGGGATTTTGCTTGTGAAGAAAACTCATCATCCATAGAGAGTGTCTAAAGAGTCTGGTGTGGAAATTACCTTGCCGTGCCCGAGTTACACATTTCGCGGAGGTATCGATAAATCTCGTTGTGTTGTAAATAGAAAAAGAGAAAATGTTGCGATAGTGGGAGACGAATCTGTTAAAATATTTAAACCCTCAGGAGAATCCCGTACAATATTTGATCCTTCCAAACAAGAGGATTTGCCAAGTTGCGAGGTTGTTGGGATGGATATCGATGCCGAAGATAACCTTTACGTCATCACGAGATTTCGAGAAAGCGATGATCAACCATGGAGTTATAAGTTGTTGATACTTGATGAGCATGGAGAGAAAAAACTTGAGTCTCCGTTGCCTTTTCAATACTACTCAGTATATGGATATGATCTTATACCCATAGCAGTAAACAATGACAAAATGATCGCCGTTTTTGATCCAGAGAAACAAATTCTACACGTGGGAACTTCATGTAAGACAAATTCATTTGAAATCCATAAAAGTTTTCATTTCAAAGAATTATCTGACATCGACAGATTGTATATGATACGGTTTCTAGATAATAATGGAACAAAAATAATTGCTGCAGGTTATTATGAAGATTGTTTTTATATCTACACAGAGAACGGGGAGTTGGAAGGCAAAGTTATGATACCTGAAAAATATGGATATACTACTTCTGTTGCGATAAATTACATCACAAAAGGGATCCTGGTTTTAACTAACTATGGACGTAATCTTTGTAGTTTCTCAGAAACAGGAGAGCTTAAAGACGATGTTGATCTGGAGTCTTTGTCTACTTCTTGTATGATTTCTAATCTCCATGGTGCAGTTGCTTTGGTTTGGGCAAAGGGCGTAACATTTCTTCAACTGTAGTAGACTTATTTTCGTGAAGGCAAATAATGAAAATGCATTATGGGCATAGAATGGAATGGAAAAACTTTATTTAAACAGGGTAACCCCTTCAGCACGAAGGCTGGTATCCATAGGGGCCCTGCATTTAAATATAAGCTATTTATAAAATTTAAATCTTAGTGATATACAAAAATATTGTCACAATCAGTTCGGTCACTCCGTGTTCCAAGTTAAGAGAGCTCATTGCACACAATCTGTGCCAAACGTGCAAAAGTGTGAATGGACTCAGCTTTCATCACGTCATCAGGGAGCATGTTATATACCTGTACCCCACTGAAGATAAAAGTATTTTTCCCAAAGTTATACTTAACTTTGGGTAGTATTAATCTATTTTTGTGTCTAGTATTGTAATTATGTACATTACTAAATTTCTTAAAATAATTTAAAAAGTAATTTGGGACAAAGGAATGTAGACATTTGTAAACTAATATAGCTTTATGGTAAGAACGTCTACAATTCAATGAAGACCATTTCAATTTTTCCATCGCCTCAGATGATCTTTCACACTGTGTTATAATTCTTGCGGCGCGATGTTGCAATCGCTGTAATCTGTCCTCATCTTGTTGCAAAAGGCTGCTCCAGGTAATGTCACAGTAATCGAACACTGGAAGGATATACCGTTATAAACATGTATTGCTGCTTTCTCCGTTAAAAATGTTCTAATACGCCGTAAAACATTAACTCGTAATGCTACCTTTTTGTATACATGATCCGCTTGATCTTTCCACGTCATATGGCTATCGAATAATACACCTAGGTACTTAAAAGTAGTAACACTTTCGATACATGATCCGAGAAAATTTACGGTAAGAACTCTGTTTCGTTCATTGTGCCTCTGTGAACAGAACAAAATACACTTGGTTTTGGAGATGTTCAACACCAAGTAATTATCTTTCAACCATTCGGATAAGCAGTTTAAATCTTCATTGATGTTATCGTTCACTACGTCAACCGTTGAGGCCGCAAAGTATATTGCTGTATCGTCTGCATACATACTGACTGAGCAGCTTCGCATACAAGACGATAGATCATTAATGTAAATGATAAATAGTAACGGGCCAAGAATTGACCCTTGCGGTACTCCACAAACAATATCCAGCTCATCAGATCTATACGAATCAATAACTACAAACTGCTTCCTTGCGCAGAGGTAATCCTTAAACCATAGTAGACTTTCATTTGATACGCCATAATGTTTCAGCTTATGAATTAAGACATCGTGGTCGATTGTGTCGAATGCCTTAGCTAGATCAATGAAAACGGCTCCCGTCACTAACCCTTTATCCATACCCATGAGGATTTGGTCTGCAAAATGGGTTGCCGCCGTTTCTGTTGAGTGTTTCTTTCGAAAACCTGACTGAGATCTACACAACAGGTTATTTTCATGGAAATACGGTACAAGTTGGTTATGTATTAGTTGCTCATGAACTTTAGATACTACCGGTAAAACAGAGATAGGGCGAAAATTTTTGGGATCACTCTTTACGCCATTCTTATAAAGTGGCGTAACTTTTGCCTTTTTCCATTCTCCAGGGATCTTACATTGTTGAACCGACAAATTGAATAAAACTGTCAATGGGTAAGCCAATACGACAGCTCCATCTTTCAACAATCTGCTTGGTATACCATCCACTCCGGTGGCTTTCTTCACCTTTAATTCCCTCAGAACAGTTCGAACCTCCGAGTCAGTTAGTTGTTGAAACATAAAGTTTTCCGAATGTTCCATTTGGGGTAACCATTTTTTGAACGCATGACCAGTCGTGCTACAAATTGATCTTAAGCTCGTAGCACAGGAAACAAAGAAACGATTAAAAACATTACATTTAACTTTCAAATCAGTTATTGAGCCTGCACCGATGAATCCAGTTCCTTTTCCACATTTACCAAGTAAACGTTTCAAATTTTTCCAAGTTCCTTTTGGGTTTGATTCATTCTCCTGAAATTGATTGTTATAGTAACGTTTCTTTTCTCTTCTTAGCTTAAGGGTTACAGCATTACGCAAATTAGATCAAATGGCAATGCAATAAATGCATGGTAAATAAAACTTTAATTAGTCAAACCAATTCCCACAGCATGACAATCA